GAAGCCCAAATCAGCGGCGTTTTTCCTCGATTATCTCGTTGGTCAGGATCAATATCCTCGGCATTGGCAAGGAGCACAGTGACTAAATTATTGAGCCTGTAGACACCAACCATGTGAAATGCATTCTGGGATGGGCTCAAGTACTCCAAACTTAGGCTTGAATCCTCAAGGAGCCAAGAGCGCTCTCTGATCTTGGAAAACATAGCACAAAGTTGCACCACCATACTAACCCATTCGGAGTTCGTTAATAAGTCAAGCAGCTGAGGATTGCAGGAGGAACACGTAGATGTATGATATCCCCAGTAGTCAACAGCATAGGTGAAGAGGGGTTTTTTGAGTCGTACACGCGCCTCCTCAAATGTCCTGACAGGGCCACCTGAAAAGTCCTTAAACAAAAGATATGATATGCAGGTACTGGCGATATCGAGATGGGCGGTCGGAAACCACCGAGTCAAAGTATCCTGGAAATATTCCTGAACTGTATAGTGGACAAGTCGGATAATTTCGCTTTCTTTGTCGATGACAACAAGCCCGCAACATGCAGAAAGCATGTCTTCGACATCAGGAATCGCGGTTTCATCAAGTTCATCTTCACTGTCCTTGACAGCCCATGCATACTGAACCTCTATTGTTTGGAGAGGATGTTTAGCGCAGATGATCCAGGATAACACATTCTTGGCAAGCTCCTTGTATCCAGCCGATTGCCCATTGATTCACTCCATTGCATCGTCATATGCCCGGTGTAATAGGGCAAGCTTTGGCTCTTTTTTCTTAGAGTCTTCTGCAAGCTTATTCAGTGTTTTACGGATAAGCTTTGCGCTAACTTTTTCCTTCAAGGCCTCGAAGAAGAGATGAACGAGTAGAAATCTGGCTTTGAAAGTAAGCATATGCTCAATTAAATCAATAACTCATTGGTCATGGAGCACTGATAACTTACATGCCATCTGCGACACTGGCAATGCAACTGATGATCTCATGTTGGAGGTCTGGATACTTCAAACAGCGCGCAAACTGGACATCCGATTGCGTATGTATCGCTCGATATCGTCTCTTTGAGCTACGATCTCAAGGCGGGTGGAGTGTCCATCGAAGGCTTCCAAAATATCAGGCACAGGGCGGGATGTGGCCAGAAGGTTGACATTAGCTCCTCTGGATTGAAGAGGCAGGAGTGTTTCAATGAATTTGGAACGAAAACTGTCGTTCATTTGACACTCGTCCAACGCATCAACAATAACAAAAACTCCATCCTTATACAATGGTGCAATAGCATGGAACATCTCCTCGAGATCGCTCAATGATGGCTGTGATCGATGCTTCTCATGTCGGTTATAGGCATCCGTGACTGCGGGTGGCGGTGGAAACTTGTTCCTGAACAGTTGCTTTACGAGATTGGCAATGAGCTGCTCCACTGTCTGGTTATCTATATGCCGGTAGTCACAGTATAAGTATGCGATGCCAACGTCACGGTCTCCTAATTTCCGTTGGAGATAATCGATGACGATTGATACGATAAAAGTCTTCGCAGCACCAGGGATGCCAGGGCAGAATAGAGTTACTGACTTTGTTGATAACCTGGTGGACTAATTAGCTTGAGGAAAATAGGAATGAGCCAGGTTCGGAGGAAACAAAGACTATACCATTCCTTAAACTGACGAGATTCTAGAAACCACTGTCCTGTGCCTTCTTGTCTTTGACGCAGAAAGTCGGCTTGTTGTTTCGAATAGTCTTTTTTGGACAGGAAAGAGAGCCAGTTGAGGATTTTTGCACCTTTTTGTTCTTGTAGAACAGTTGTCAGCTCAGGATCGATCACAAGATGATTATAAGTTCAATCAGATTTCGGAAAACCTGTTTGCTGATAGTTGATAACCCCCAGATTCTGTCCAACCTGGAGGCCATCACCATTTAGGTCTCCAAAGTGGAACATCTTTTCGAGGGTGAGGACTTTTCAGCTATCTTCGCCTTCCACCCCCAAGACTTATGTTTCGGCTTCAGGTTAAAGCACAAGGATTCTGAGGTTAAAAACTGTTTTCCCAAAATTGGAAAAGAAACAGGACTTCGAAAGTTGGCTCTGGTCTGTTTGGATGTACTGTCGGTAATGGAGTCACGCTGAAAGTTGAAAAAGATAGTCACGTAGAAAGCTCGTTTGTATGGTAAGGGCGTTGAGGAAGAGGAGATCTTACATGAACAAGAAAAAAATCTCAGCTTCAACGCGAATAGGATGCAAGAAGGCCTTTTGGGGATGATGCAGCCAGGTGGCCGTTCAAATAAGTGATATATGCCCAACTAACCTGACACGGTGCGGGCTAAGGCTGAATCGTAAGCTCAAGGCAGACAAACACCTGTGCGCAGCGTTTTTGTGCAGTTGTGTGACCCAACAACGTGTTCTGATTGTTAGTAGACGCATGAACGCAGCGCTGGAGCAGCAGATTGAATACTTCGGTTGCTGGTCCTAGCTCCGCAACTTTCTGGCTCTCCTTGACGCCTAGCTGATGAATGCGCAAAACAAGCTCAACTCTGCTACCCCCCCATACAGTAATGCTGTATGTACAATTCTTTAGCAGTGCACTTCAACTCGTAAATTTTAGGCCACCGTGTGGATAGCTTCGGGAAACCCGCTTGGGCCAATTCATAGTTATTTCCCATGTAAAATATTCCAAACAAGATGCGTCTATCGCGAATCAGAGCACAAGAACTCTGCCGCGGGTGTGAGGGATGCTGGCTTTGACTCAGTTTTACCCCGCACTGCCATTATGTCAGGTTGGTTAGGTATCACGCTTTTGAACAGCCTCCTGGCTGCATCGTTCCCAAAGGCTTCCTTGCATTCTGTTCACGTTGGAGTTGAAAATTTGTCTCGTTCGGGTTAGATATCTTCGCCACTATCCTTACTATACGAGCGAACTTTCTACATGACCTTCTTTCCTTCTTCCTCTCTTCGTCGTGCCTCCTTCTTTATTGACAGTACATTCAACTAGACCAGATTCAGCTTTCGAAGTCCTGGTTATTTTCCAGTCTAAGAGAAACATTGGAACTCCATTAGTCCTTATTTTTTAGTTCAATACCGGAACGTAAAGCTCAGGTGTAAAACGTGAAAATAACTGGAAAGCTCTTTACTCTTTAAAATGTCCCATTTCTGAGACCCAAACGATACTAGTATCCAGGTCGCACAGAACTTTGGTGTTATCAAATTCCGCCAAGCAGGTTAAACTACACTATATACACGCGGGAAAACCCAAAAGGGGAAAAAACTGGTGTGTTACTGATGAACAGGACTAGTAGCACCTTCCTGAGCAGGTGGGGTTGGACCGACGGATAAGCTGAATCCACGTCTAGAGTGATGAGGAGGTTATGGTAGACTTAGCGTGCCTTACGTCTCCGCGTCGTGGATGAGAGTCTGCACGAGGTCCAGAGCCGATCTTGACGGGATGGCTCCCGCGGTATCCGGGTGGATCACTCCGGAAAGGACTGCAGCTACCGTCATTCTCCTGGCTCTTAGTCTCTCTATCCCCTCGCTAAAGACTGACAGGAGAGTGATTAGTCTCCATCCCTTATAGCAGCGAGGGTCTCGACCTGAATTTGACAGAGTGACGATTGTTGCTTGCGTAAAGGCTGAAGGGAAGGCGCCAAATCTTACGCAGTGTAACAATCCAGACAGACCTCCTGAAATGGGTTCGAGAGTTGCCAGGCCGTTGGACTGAGAGAGAGGAGTTCTCACACAACCAAAGTGCCCGTTGTGGTCACCAGTTGGTAAGCAACTGTTTGTATTGCTGACTAGAGAGTTTCTTGGGCCAAATGCCCTGCTTGGAATCTATATCCATCTCATACACTCTTGTGGCTTCCCTTCCTTCTCCCTCAACAGCACAAATTGTTGAGAGTCAAGATCTTGCGGTGTTGAGGAACACTACCCAATCGTCACAAACAAACTGAGGTTATCTTTGGTCAGTAGTCAGTTTTCGGATTATGATAGCCCTAACCGTAACCTTTAGTTTTTTTTTCTGTCTCTCTTTAGTGCCTGTGTTATCTATTTAGCGAGATATATCTTCAGCCCATCACAATTGTATAGTTTCACAACCAACAATGACTCTATCTGAGAGAGTAGCTTCCGTGCAACTCACTGATCGGAGTAGAAGGGAGTTTTGACCAATCAAACTCGGATTTTCGGCCCCACCAACTGAACATCGAGAAAGCGTTCCTCAACACCCAAGGATGTTAACTCAACAGTTTGTGCTGTTGAGGAAGAAGGAAGCCATAAGAGTGTATGAAATGTATATAGATTCCAAGCAGGGCCATCTGGCCCAAGAAAGTCTCTAGTCAGCAATACAAACAGTTGCTTACCAACTGGTGACCACAACGGGCACTCTGGTTGTGTGAGAACTCCTCTCAATCCAGCAGCCTGGCAACCATCGAACCCATCTCAGGAAGTCTGTCTGGATCGTTACATATAGTACCAAGAGGCTCGCTCATAAAATTATCGTCCAAATAATATCTGTATTGCGGTATTCAAATGAAGTAGATACAATGCTCCTTATACCATGCGCGTAAATGGAAGTCCCACCATCTTTTGCAATGTACTTCAATTTAGCCGTCAAAATCTTCCTCCCAATGGGAATGTAGCCTTGAACTTGCTGCATGCTCTGCGGCCTTAAACAAGTAAGAGGACTCGGCCCGTGATAAATTAATGTTACACCATGTCCACCGCTAATCCAAGGGGACTAATTACTCATAAAACCTTGTTTAAGTCAGCACTAGCTCACCCAGTGTTCTGCTCTCTCACAAGCTCTTTTGTGACTTCTGCCCAGTGCTCCATTAGCTCTGCGCTCTTGTCTACGTATTGCTATTCGAATGCATTGTCTGTTATCAACATAATGGCTATTGGAGCTGCTCATTCGGCCGAGGTCGGCAAGTCAGACCCCATCATCACTCGGCTTGCTGCTGAAGACAAAAAATGGTTTTTTCAAAAACCTAATCTCTTCTATCTCTACCTTGTCCTTTTCCCAACATGTATGGGCATCGAGCTTACTTCGGGATTCGACTCTCAAATGATCAACGCTTTGCAGATTGTGCCAGCGTGGAAAAATTGTAAACTTTGCCATTTGACGCGCGTCATCACATCAGGTTCTTAAAGTGCTAACAAAATTCATCAACATGCAGATTTCAATAATCCCAAGGGTGCCTTGAAGGGCATCATCGCTGCGGCATACTCTCTCGGAGCTATCCTCTCGCTTCCTCTAATCCCCATTGTGAATGACAAATTTGGCCGTCGGTGGTCCATTTTTGGAGGCTCTGTCATCATGGTCATTGGCGCAATCATCCAAGGTTTCAGCACACATGGTAATGACTGAACAAACCGCCCTGTCTCTGACTTTTCAATGTTAACCAGCAATAATTAGTGGGAATGTATATCATTGCGCGCATGATTCTTGGTTTCGGCATCCCGACATGCATCGTCTCTGGCTCGTCCTTAATAGGAGAACTTGCTTATCCCAAAGAACGCCCCGTATTGACGTCGCTTTTCAATGTTGCTTACTTTATTGGCCAGATCATTGCAGCAGCTATTTGCTTCCGCACGAACAACATTACAACAGATTGGGCGTGGAGAATTCCTTCTCTTCTCCAAGTATGCCCTTCACTGCTCCAAATCTGCTTCGTCTTGTAAGAATCAAAATGTGTAAGATGTTCTTTCAGACATTAAGGAGTTTGCTGATTCTGTACAGTCTGCTTCCAGAGAGCCCTCGTTGGCTAATCAGCAAAGATCGCCTTCAAGAAGCGCAGGATATCCTTACCAAATACCACGGCGAAGGAGACCGCGGACTTGAGTTTGTTGCAGCAGAGTTTGCGCAGATGCAAACTACGATCCGGCTGGAGATGGAAGCTTCAAAAAGATCCTGGATGGACATCGTCAAAACATCAGGCATGCGCAGGCGTTTGCTAATTACCTGTATGCTGGGCCTCTTTACACAGTGGTCCGGAAACACCTTAATCTCGTGAGTTGATGAAAAGTTCCTGGAGTCGCCCAAGTAACTTATTTAGCTGACTCGCTACCAGATACTACTTGGTGGATCTGTTGGAGATGATTGGGTACAAGGACTCTACATACACACAGAAGATCAATGTCTCCATCGCGTGCTGGAGTCTCTTCTGCGGCGTTACTGTTTCGCTTCTTGTTACAAGGATTCGCCGCCGTGTGATGTACCTGACCTGCACAATCAGTTTGCTCTTGTGCTACATTGCTTGGACAATTTCAACGGAGCGTGCCCAAACCGCCCAGGACTCCGGGCATCCGAACCGAGCCGCTAACATTGCGACACTGTTCTTCATTTATGCATACTCTCCATGTTATAATATTGGCTATAATGCTCTCACATACAGTATGAGCCTCTCATCAATGTCATTTCACTAGAGACAAGTTTCACTAACCAAGACGACTCTTACTAGCATACATGGTTGAGGTGTGGCCGTATGCAGAGCGATCCCGCGGCATTTCGATCTTCCAGCTTTTCGGCCGACTTGCTGGCTTCTTTACAACGTTTGTCAACCCTATCGGTCTTGATAAAGCAGGGTGGCGTTACTTGATCTCATACTGCTGCTGGCTGGCCTTCGAGGTCTGCTTTGTGTACTTTATGTTCCCCGAGACATTTGGGAGAACACTTGAGGAATTGGCATTTAGTACGTATTTCCCGTTGTTCTAGGAATTTTTGATAGTCAACGTTGCTAACATGTTGCGTACAGTTTTTGAGGACAAGAAACTAGCTGATGAGGCGGTTGCTGCAGTGGAAAAGATTGTGCAGCAAAGGGAAGAGCACTTAGAGCAAGGCGTAATGCAAAAACAAGATGTTAGCAAAGCAGCAGAGAAGACATTGTACGGATAGGTTGCCTATGCATTGGTGACCGGTAGTATTGGAAAAAGGACAAGGACTGCATTTTGCCAACATGTTTCATCTTATTCAGTATTATCGCCCGTCAGAGGGCTTGACGATTATTGTCAGAACAGATCATAGATAGCATCCACACTTGAAGATAAAGCACGTGTATTGACCAAGACAGGCTGTTCAAGATGCTCCAAAATTCACTCATTCATCCGTTGTTCATCTAGCGCCAGATACTGCTGCTTTTTTTAAAGACTACTAAGCTCTTTTGAAATTAGAATCATAACTGTCATGCCCAGATTGCTGATTAAATTTCTCTTTATTTGCGTTTCCAGTGGTATATTATTTGCTTTTCCTCTGCTATTCCCTGTCTCACATTGCTGAACTGGAATCAGAGAATTATTCGACTCCAACGGCCGTTGAATGTTAGGACTCCCTTCCTTTCAAGACTCATTTCTCTCCCGATGAGCCCCTTGGCTAGATTTGAGAGCAACTGGCCTGGCTGTCTTCACATCGTCAGTACTCACAAGCTCAGCAGTATTTCTAGGATGACTCATCTGGATATCTTTTAGTGCTGCGTTGGGTCTAATTCAGATACGTCTGGATAGCTTGCAGCATGTTTTGTCGTCCAATCCATATCTCGGGTGCGAAAATTGTTACTGCGCTTGCTGCTCCAAGGGAGGAGTAGTTTGGACACTTAGTATTCTCGGGTAAGCTGGGCTTAGACTTGGGTCAGGATTTGCAAGACTTACGAATCAAGTTGAATGTCCCGCCCTCGGACATCGAACTCAACTGACAGCTTCCTCGGGGAGACGTCCGACACTCCGGGTCCCGATGGAGTGCCTCTAACATTGTTCGACAAGCCTGGTACAAATTGCTGCCGATCACCCGACGTCTCTCTGAGACCAGTCTCTCCTCGGCTACTTCCCCTCGGCGTTCAAGCAAGCAACCGTGATCACTCTATCCAAACCGGGCCGCGACCCCCGATCCTACAAAGGATGGCGGCCGATCGCCTTACTGTCCGTATTCGGTAAGAGCATTGAGAGACTGCTCGCAAGAAGGTCGTTATGCTTGCGATTGCTCTCCTGAATGAGATTCGCAAACTCCGACGCCAATAGAAGATGATAACGGCCGCAATCTTATCAAACATTGTCCCCCAGATGTCGCCAGGGCTATTCCTAAAGATCCGCCTTGGACCTTGTCCATGACGCAGAGACTAGATCACGTCAAGGATACCACGGGCTACTGGTTACACTCAACGTGGACTTGGCCTAGCCCTCAGTCCAACCTACTCAAAGAGGACCTAATGGACCAGGGACACCCCCCAAACATCTACGAGGGGCAACGACCTTCTGCGAGAGGCGTCGCTTCTCCTTTAAGTGGGCAGGATCTACTTTTCACTCGGACACTGGACTGCCCAAGATCCCCATGGTCACCGATGCTCTTTGTGTTATATTCTTTTGCCCATCATTACTCGTCACAACAAGTTGCATCGTTCATGTACATGAATAACCACGCGCAACTCTCTGGGGTCCGGGACCCGACTCAACTAGCGCTCCACGTTGCCCTCCGTGCCCAATTCTTACGTCACAAAGGCTAGTCTCGTCTGCATCAAGCAGCCCAAAGCATCTAACCACGCCCTCTCTGAGGCCACGCCGTCCGAGGCCTAGAGTTTGGCTCGGACTCCCCAAGCCTCTCCCAGGCCGCGTAAGGTCCCCGCCCCCAGATATTACAACATGGTGGAGGGCCAATAAACCGCAAAATAGCCTCTGGGATGGCCCTTCGGCCAAACCTTTCCTCCGCCTGTTCGACAGGAGATGCCTCGCTATGTGGCTCCAGGCATCGGGATGCGGTGACTTCCTCGAGTACCACGTCCGGCTCAACCACCCGCCGAGTGCGATCAAACTTGCTCTTGCGCGAGACGGTATCCAGAGGCCATCTCCTCCTATAACAACCCACTTGCCGGACGCCTTGACCCCAGAGCGTCTTGGCACTCATGCCAACTATTCTAGAATAGATAAATCATAACTTGAACCTTACGGCTCAGCCAGGAACCATCAAATAGGATAGGTCATCCCTGCTTAACGCCCTCCTCACTCTCCCTTACGCACCACTTTGCAATCTCGAACGATGCGCACCCCTAACGGTGAAGAATCAGAATCAAGAGTCAAGTTTGGACATCACGATACCTCACGCTCTCCCTTCCTAATCCATTTTTTCGTTTTTTTCCCTACATCTTTCCCTTTTTCAATATAGCTCCTTTATCTCGCGGATACGCACCGGTTTTCCCTCTCTGGTTTCCCCGCGTGTATGTAGCTTAGATTAGCCAGTGCATATGTACCTTTTGCCTGCCGGTGTCGTGGGCACGACTGAGCATCCTCATGGGCGAGTTTGAATTTGAATTTGAATTCTATTGTTCGACCGGCTCTACCCCCTAGGGTCCTAGGTCATGCTCATGGTGACGGCGAGCAAAGGCTACATTACTGGACTATGTACATGTTGCACTGGGGAAAAAACCTGCGTCGAGGGAAAAATTCGTGCTAGCAGAGGGGAAGGAGGGGTTAGGGTTGTGCCAAGATCGGGGGGCAGGGCTACCCGTGCGCCTTGGGGAATCTGGATCTCCAGCACAGACACTGACTCGGAAGAGTCGATGTCAAGCTCTATCTCTGTAAGGTTGGGCTCGAGCACGGAGGAGGGGGCGAGGGTGTTGCAGCATCGGTATTGGTTGCCCTGTGGCAGCATCGAAGGCTTGGCCTAGGAGCTCGATCTGGGAGGGCCTAATCTGAACATTTGGAAGGAGGACCAGAAGGCTCTCGGGTTCAGCCTCCCCGCGAGCGGGTTGTTGAAGCCAGTAAGGGGGCAAGAAGAGAAGTGTCCTCTAGATACCACTCGGCCACAAGGGCATATCCTCATGGGTGTTTCGGGTTGGAAATGCAACTTAATTCAGCACAACTCACCCAAAGTAATTTTCCGTTGCTCTTAGAGCAAGCTCCACTCTAAGAAATGTGTACCTTGACTTTCTCTCCTTGCGTTCATTCAATATCTTGTTCATGGATGCTCTCCTTACATTCTTAGGGTTTCAAGTTTCATACTTCCATTTTTCCCTCCCCATATCCTTCCCTTACTTGTCCTAGTTTCAGTTCTCCAATCAGACCCTGTGGAGTTTTTTTAACATCTGCACGGTGCTTGAGGTCTCAAGGTCATGGAATAGAGAGATCTTGTCTTCAAAACGCTTTCTACGACGTCAGTCCCGTACTATGACGCAATCTTTTGGAGACGGAGTGTTACCTCTAATTCAACCTTGGGACTTGACTGGTGGGACCAGTCAAACACATAAAAACCTCGTTTCATTGTTGGCCGACGCATCGTCCGTTATTTTTGACAGAAGAACCTCGGGAACTGCGGACCATGTCATATTTAACGTTGATTGAAAATAAGTTCAAGGTTAGATAATGGCATTATCTCAGGCAGCATACCGTATCGAAAAAGGTCTCAGACACGAAGACGCTACAGTGAGACAAGATATTTCTACCTTTCAGTCCCCCAATGAGTCGATTGACACCATGAAGGCTTTGGTGTGGCAGGGGAAGCAACAGGTCGCGATCGGTCCGTCAACTCTGTGAACACAATGCATACTGATCCGGAAACAAACTCACACCAGTCTTACGATTAGTCAATGTTCCGAAACCCAAAATTATCGAGGATCGTGATGTTATTCTTAAGGTAACAGGTACCACCGTTTGCGGCAGCGATCTTCATCTTCTACACGGTACGCAGTTCCCAAGCAGGTCTAATTCTGATATTTTTGGACAAGTCATGACAACTTGGACAGGAGTAATCATGCAACTAAATTACGGTGACATCTTGGGACACGAATTTTGTGGTGTAGCAGATGAAATTGGTCCTGGAGTGAAAAACGTCAAGATTGGCAAGCGTTACGTTGCCTCCTTCCAGATCGCTTGCGGAGAGGTACGACAAGCGATTGGAGTAATATCAAGAAGCTTGATAACTCCTTTGCACTTTGTTTAAAGATAATCACCGGGAACGTCCTCATGCTGACTGAGTTTAGTGTTTCTACTGCAAACAAAAGCTCACATCACAATGCGAAAGAACAAACACCAACAGATTGATGAAGGCGCTGTACGGGGGCCAGACGGCTGGGTTTTTTGGGTACTCTCACCTTGCTGGGGGCTTTGCTGGCGGGCAAGCGGAATATGTCCGGGTGCCACTTGGTGATGTGAACTTGCTCGAAATCCCCGACGACGTACCTGATGAGAAAGGTAGGTTTCCTTTTATGGGAAAGCTGCAATTATGGCGGCACTGGGTAAACTTGGATGCTGAAACATCCTCCTAGCGTTGTTCCTTTCGGATGTCCTTCCCACCTCTTACAACGCTGTTAAGGACACAGCAGTTTATCCTGGGGACAATGTAGCGATTTTTGGGGCAGGGCCGATTGGGCAAATGGCAGGCATTTTTGCTCTTAGTGAGGGTGCTCGTAAGATCGCTTTTGTTGATACGGAACCGCGACTTACTGCCATTTCGAAGCGATGGCCAGAAACGCACAGAGACAAGCTCCAACTGATCGACTATCAAACATTGAGCTTTGGTGTCACCGACGGAGAAACGGTAGTCAGCAAGCTCAAGGGATTGTTTGACGGCAGGGGACCAGATGTTGCAATTGAGTGCGCAGCAGGCGAGTATGCCAAGGGCTGGCTGCACTGGTTGGAAATGTGTCTGGGAGCGGAGACGGACACCAGCGAGATACTGAATGAGATGATCGAGAGCGTTAGAAACTATGGCAGAGCTGGAGTGACAGGTGTTTATGTGGGATACGTAAGTGAGCTGTCACATGTTCTGTTAGAGCAAGTGACAAGCTGCTTTGATCTCCGAGCCGCTGACTGCTTTTCAATGCTAATATCTGAGTTTCCAGACTAACCACTTCAATATCGGATCACTGATGCAGCGAGGAATTCGTCTCATTGGCAATGGACAGGCGCCAGTGCATCTCTACTGGACTGATCTTTTGGAGCAAATCCGAGGGGGGCATCTTGACCCAACACAGATGCTGTCCCATCGTTACCGACTTGAAGACCTCGACAAAGTCTATCAGAAATTCGATGCGAAGGAGGACCTGATTCAAAAAGTATTTGTCGAGACACGGTTCTCCTTTCCACGTGCATCCGGGACACCAGGATTAATCGTTCTGTAAATCGCTCTTGATCCAGCTTGTGGTGGCACAGTGACGGAGGTGGTTTTGGTATGAGCGGGCTCCCAAGATGTCGGGTGTAAGGTTGCAAGGAGTGTGCTCTAGTGAGTGTATGATGTACTATAGCCATTCTTGCCATCATACAAGCTGCTGACGGATCGGTAAAATATCTGATGTATCTAAAGCACAACTTGTCTGATAAGACATAGTAACGCCTCTCGGAATTCTAGACTGTTGCAGTTCGTTCCCAAAAGATCAAACTCAGTTCTATTGTATTAGACTATAACAGAAAAAAAATAGATGAAATCATGACAAACCCTCGCAGATAGCGCCATCAGCATATACTAGCCAGTAGTTATGCCTGTGAAGTTTCCAGTCGTATGCATCCTGATGCTGCTAAGCAGCGAGCTCCCTTCGTTCTCACCCCCATTGGCACGCCCATCCACCGCTGGCACTTGTGTTCTTCACACAGCCTTTTCCTTCTGACCGGCAGCGCCTTCACCAATGGCCTTGATGGCGCCAAGAACTCGAAGGTGCTCCTTCTTCAGAGCTTCGAAGTCATCGTCGAGCTGCTTGTGCCAAGGGTACAGGACGCAGACTTGGAACGTCAGTGCCGACGTGGCAACAACGAAGTTGGTGACGGAAATGGCCCGGGTGAGGAACATCGTGGCTAAGTGTTTGGGAAGTCGCGGTTTTTTAAACTGGGAATGCCGGTTCGTCAGCGTGAGCGATTTAACAACTTGGGGGGCCTGATCGGGTAAACATACAGTTTGATCCACAATGTCCAAGCCAGCACAAACAGCAAGCACCCGGGCACCACCGAAGGCGAGCAGTGGATGGGCAAGATACGTTGGGTTGCAAGTCGAAAAGTTTGTGTCGGGAAAAGGGCGAAGGAGGGCGGTAAAGATTTAAGCTCGGCATTGCGCGCTTGCTGCTGCCGGGCCCCCCGGTAACTGACATCCTCGGCGAGAGCCGGATGTTGCCATAACCCCCGTAAAGCGCCACATGGACAGTGGAATCCAGGTGAACAGCATGTGCTTCAAGGGAACTATTTCTAAAAGTAGTTACTCCTGAGTCGCCGATGTGGGTTTTAAAGGAGACAATATTTGGCGACTCATCTTAGAATTTAGCTTTTGTTCATACGGTTATGGGCGGCAGCACCTAGTTACTTTCCTCATTACCACTCCTGTTAGCCTCATACCTTTTGCTTCCAAGCAGCTTGCGACATCTCAACCTTTTCGAGGAAGGTATCGCCAAAGTACATAGTCGCAATTAGTGCATTACAAGGTGTCGCTGACGGTCCAGGGATAAAAAAAACCCTTTCGTCTCCACAGCCACGAACTCTTCACGCCAAGTTGTTTTTGGTACAGTGCGTTCTAGAACGCTCGGGTCAACGGTCCAGCAAGCGCCGATGACGGCAATTCCGAGACGACCGTTGCCCCGCTCTGGCTCATGACTGCTGTAATTGACAGTTCTTCAAGTTTCAGTTCAGATGCATGTATAGGTAGTCCAGTGTTGACATGTGACTATTTTTTTCGAGTTTTATTCGCAGCACTTTTGCTTGCGGCTACCACGCAGATATTGTGTTGATGTTTATTTTCCCTCCCCAGGCAGGGAAAACTCAACTTTTACTCCTGTGAGCATGGACATGAAATAATGAGGCATCTCCTCTTCGCTTGGCATACGAGTTACAGTAACGTCAAACTCGCGTAACAAAGCCGGAATGACTTTAGCAATGATCAGCTCCGCAAGATGCCTGCCGGGACAGGACCGACCGCCTCCTCCCCAAATTAAGTTAAAACGCTCCATATTCCTCACTACACGAATGTCATCCTGCAGCCATCGCTCAGGGTTGTATCTTGATGCGTCCTTTCCAAAGATATCTGCGTTAAGGTGCAACCCGAGTGGGCTACACCCCACTGTAGTCCCTGGAGGAAAGAACCTGCCGTGCAGATAGAGTCCCGTATCGGGTACGGTTCTCGGGAGAGACATTCCAATGACAGGATAAAGCCTCTGCGCTTCCTTGATGCTAGCTTTGGTGTAACGGAGATGGACCAAATCGTCATAGGCTGTCGTCGCAGCGGCGTAACGAACCTCTCGGACAATTTTAGCATGAACATCCGGATGTGTACCAATCATGGCCATGGCAGCAGTGAGCGTAGAGGCCAAAGTCTCATGTCCAGCACCAAAATTGGTGATGGCAAGGCGGCGGAGATACGTGTCTGTAAACTGGGGTCGATCAAGATGGAGCTGGATGAGATCCGTGAGAAGATCAGGAGGGATATGTTGTGTCCTCCCCTTGAGATGTCGACTATGTAATACACGAGATATACGTTTCGACGTCTTTTGATACACAGCCTGCGGTGGTAGAGTTAGCAAGTGGAATGCTTTGGCACACTGGTTGCAACTTAATCTTGAAACTGAATGGTCATGGCCATTGATATGGCAATGGGATGGGAAACGAACAGTGAAAAACGGCTTGAACCCTTTAGGTGTCTTGAAGGTTACACCCCAAAGCACGGACCAGAGTCTGCTGACAATTTTGGAGCAATAAGCTACCTTTGTGACCGTCGGGAAGAGTCCAAACACGCTTTTTCTCTTCCAACCGAGGTAACTCTGCTTGCTTGTTCCACCGTCAGACCGATTCTTAATATAGCCGGGAGACCATGAAAGGACTATAGAGCCAAGGCATTCGACGGCGACTATGTGCATCCATTCCTTCAGATCAACTTCTTTCCCGTTTAAAGATTTAAGCTCGGTAATCAGTCGGGCGATGACTCGATCTATAGCATGCTCATGCCGTTTAAGGTTTGATGTCGAGTACACGGGACCGATCAGGCGCCGTTGTAGCCTGTACCGGGCAACATCAAATTCAGAGAGCAGGTCGAGTGTATCTGGGAATGACACATTTAAACGCCAATCGACCCTCGGCTTGTTCAACGCAGTAGCTACTGGTCAAGCTTTAGAAACAGCTGGCGAAGGAGCGGAGAGGGCAGACACGTACAATAAAACTCGGACTTTTCAAAGCCCCTCCCTGCAGCTGGTTTGCGAGAACATGTCAGTTAACATCAAGTTCATTAAATAAACGACAGTCGCAACGAAAAGAGGGAGTCCATACAGTATATTTTCCTAAAGGCTTCAGGTGAGTTGAACCAAACCTCGTTTGGCCCAACGCGAACAACAGGGCCATACTGCTCATGCAGTGTTTTCCCCAAAATGCGAGCACGACCGTTTCTCACATGAATACCTTGCCAAACATTAGATAGTGCTGCCCAGGGAGGACCAGGCACGCCTGCAAGAGGATGCCAATAGAGGCGGTAAAGAGCAATGCCTAATAACGCAGTTATGATGCTGGCAAGGAGGACCACTATAGACGCAGTGGCATAGAGAGTGAGGCATGGCTCCATCTGAGTAAGAGATAGAAGCTCCACGAGGTCAACGGCCCCCAAACGAAGACAACTCTTGCAAGATGCGTTGGTTGACCAAAACACTGTGAAACCCATAAGTTAATCGTTGGGGTCTAATGGTAGCTTTAAACATTTAAGCTAAGAAAAAGAAATCTTTCAGAGTTCCCAGACAATTTGCAAGCTATAAAGATTACCTCTTGAACGTCAGTCAGTCAGTACCAGCTACGCCGCTGTTAGCCTATTGATAACACAAGAGAACGTAAAAATGAGGAATGAACGTGTCCCCTCTCGAGTGGTGGCCCAAAGTCGAAAATTTGCCGCGCTGGCAAAGCCGTGTTCAAGGAGGGTTAGGGTTCGGTTGACCAGATCAAAAACCGAGCGAGATCTCAAATCACCATTTCTGCTTAAGTAAGCAGCGCCGCAAGGACGATTCACACAATCCTCCAAGCCAATGAGCTCGTGAGAGGAAGATTAGTGGATCGCCAGTCACTCTGGAGGACCAAGACTTAGCACATCAAGACCCCCGATGAGCTGCGTTTTTGTGGGCATCTTGTTCAGGGACATGAGCTGCGCACACTGAGCCATGACAGGATCCATGCCCATGCTGGCCATGGCAACAATGGTCTCTCCCTTGGCATAATATGCCACCCACTTGCCCTGGTCGGGGTCACCTTGAAGTATCAAATCGTCCCAGCCACTCGCCGTCGTGTTCCCCGCGTAGCGGAGCTGCGAACCAAGGGCACTCCAGAAGACGGGAGTGTAGAATCTGGGCTTGACAGTTGGGTCGACGATGTGCCTTGCTGCCGTGCGGCCTGCATTCTGGGCAACGTTCCAGTGCTCAATGCGCACCAACTTCCCGTCTCCTCCAGGTCCGTGATAAGGATGAGTTGCAATGTCGCCAATTGCATACACACCCTCCAGGCCAATGACCGAGAAAGACTCATCGACCTTGATGCTACCGTCCGCTTCCAGCTGGACCTGGCTGTTGCCTTTGAGGTACTCCGTCGCCGGTGTCACACCGACTCCAAGGATGACCATATCAGCGTCAAGTCTCGTGCCGTCCTTAAGGTAGACGGCACCAACCACCGACGGGTCCGAAGGCGAAGGCTCGGCTTTCTCGACAGAAGCCGAGAGGTAAAACTTAACGCCCTTTGCTTCAACGCCCTTTTGGATGATGGCCCCCACCTTCTCACCCAAAACGCGCTCGAGCGGCACCTTCTCGAGACCAACGACGGTAACTTGGTTGCCAGCCGCAGTGGCAACGGCCACTTCCATACCGATAAACGACGATCCAATAATGACAATCTTTTTGCCCTTCTCCCCGATGACACTGACAATCTTCTTGGTGTCGTGCACCGTGCGAAGCGTGAAAATGTTGCCCAGCTCCCTAAACCCAGGAAGAGGGAGGGCACGAGGTGTCCCACCGGTGGCAAGAACGAGCTTGGTGTAGGCAAACTTGCTCCCTGTCTTGGTGGTGACAGTCTTTGTCGCAAAGTCCACTGAAGTAACCTCGTCGTTGACAATGTCGACACTACCACTCTTGAACCAGCTCTCATCCCGCCACTGAAGTTTACCCAGATCTGTCATCAACGCCTTGCTCAGCTTGGGGCGGTCAATTGGAAGGTAACCCTCGTTTGTAATGAGGGTAATGGCCCCTCGAAACCCTTTCTCTCGCAAACCCTCGATCACTCCCAGCGCGCCAGAGCCGCCGCCCACAACCAACACCTTATCACCACCGCTCGCTGCGCACTGGAAATTTGGCTTGCGATAACCATTCTTGATCACTGCGGCGTCACCCGAAATGTACACAGCTCCGTCGCGCTCAATTGCTTTGAACACAGGTAAAGGGTCCAGTGCGGGTGCGTCTTCGACATCTCCTGTCTTGCCGTTGAAACATGCTATGTGTGTCCGAGTTGTCAGATATCTGGGCACAGTTGACAGGTGCTGGCAAAGCTTGGATAGTTTCAGTTAACTTGAATGTGGACAAGATCTTACCGCCGTGCCATGGACATGTAATTGTCCCATTTGCTCCAACGACGCCCTTGACAAGGGGGGCGCCGTAGTGGGTGCAACGGGAACCGACGGCTTGGACATTTCCTCCCGCATTTAGGAGGAGGACTTTTGTATCCAGTCCTTCGACCTCAGCCTCGAGCTTTTCGCCTGGCTTGAGCGCCAAGGACGTTATCCCCTTAAGTTTGTACTCCTGCGCCATCTTTCTGGAAAACGTGCTAAAGTGCTGTCTCGGGTGCGGATGCGCTAAAACTGATAGACGATGAAGCGAGGGACAGACCTTGCATAAAGTCTGGAGAAGCCTTCTCACCAAGAGCGGGGAGAAGAGGCAGGAGGGGAAGTGCAGAATCGAAGAGATAGTGGAGACGGATCCTGTTTTGTGTCGCCCAGCCCTGGAAACCGTCCAAGGACGACGGGCCATGCACTCCATGCAGGGCAGGGCTTCTATTGGAGATATCGAAGCACGCAATTAGCCATACTTTATGCGCCTGCAGCCAGGTCTTGGGCCAGAGCCCTGTAGCCCTCAATCATCCGCACAATGGCATTCACGGCATCTTGATCTCCGAAGTCGAATGAGACGTCTGGTTGGTGAGGGGTCCTTCTGCCGCCAAGCGGAGTGTCTGATTGGTCACGTTGTGACTCATCTCCACCGTTGCGTCAGCACAAACCGAAGCTACAAGACTTCACGTTGCGGAAATAACATGGTGATGCTGATCGTCTTAAAATTATACCCCCATGAACTTTATTTTGATTAGATAACTTTCCATCTACAGAGGAAAAATAAATTGACCCGTCCTTCACGCATTGACAAAGTTGGTAGTTACTGAACTATTCAAGAGTCGCCAGGTTCGCCCCAGCAGGGCCCGGCGGAATCTATCAAGACTTTATGAGTTGAGATGGCATTACGATCCACTTACCCGGCCGTCAGGGTGATGTCATCGACAAAGCAAGCTGTTTTTAGGTGTATAAGAAGGTTGGTAAGTATCAGGTTTTTTTTAGGGTCTTAGAACAACTTCTTGAATCTCAATTTTTAAGTTATCCAGGTGTTTTTACACAATGATTAACATTATGCCAATGCGGCGAGGAATGAGTTCGTCGACTAGGACTACGCTAAGGAGAGTTTGCCAGGTCAGACCTCGCTATCTCCAACCGCGTCGAGGTGTGGCCGGACAACCCGGGATTCGTAACAAGCCCGATTTGGATGATATGGGTGGTCCTGGAGGACAAGAATCTCTCCCAGCAAGTGAACCTATACGGCGGTGCGTTCTTCTACACCAGTTCTTTGTTCTTCCCATGGAGTCTCTGATATCTTCAATGCTATAACAGGCAAATTAAATTGAACACAATGTATGGGGTTCTCGCAGCTTGTTCAGTTATGCTTATGGCCAAAGCTGCACGATGGAGCAAGGACCCGAATGCGTCATATGTCCTTGTTCACGACGCTTCCAAGGGAGAGTTAGATGATGTCAAGTTTATTAAGACCACCGAGTTTCCAAAGTCATAGCATAGCGGATGTACTCAACAGATTCTAAGTACAGTGCCGCTGTGTAAAGGTTTTAGTGCCTCAACGGCGTAATGTCTCCAAGTAGCAAATGGGCCATGATGAACTCATCGACAACTAAAGCGCTTAGGTGAGGAACTTAAAATGGTTGCGTGTGTGTCAGGGTTCCGAGCAGTTCTGTATTCCATTGATGTTACTTGCAAGGTTGACAAAAAGGGCAATTCTTGTGCTGTTTGTTAGATGTAAAAGAAAAAGGTGATGGGGATGGGAGTATTTACTTGGGCATTCCTTGCAGGACACGCGGCCCTGAGGGAATTTGTCAAGCACAATTGGTGCTGCAGAATAACAACGCTTTACCTTCTGAACTACACACGCGTGAGGTTGGATGAGCATGGCTCTTACATAAGGTCAAGTGTGCACCTGACCTCAGTAGAGCCTGGGCTGACCGAGGTAGGTCGGCGGTAACCACACCTTGGTCACTTGCACAAACACTGTTGGTATTAGACTTAGATTCTGTTTACAAATGGCTCATGAGGGTCAAAACCTCCCATTATCAGGTTGAGCAAAGGAGGAAGAGAACAGAGTAACGGATGTAAAGAGTAAGAGGGGACGGAGAGCAGACGAATGAAAGTATGAAGAAAAGGAAAAGAGGTATAGAGGTCTGAAATAAATATGAGCTGGATGTCACAGCGGCCAATTCAGATACCACAAGAATCAGGACTTCTGCCACTAGAGGTTAGCCATCTAGGAGATTTCTGCGTTACTCGAAGCTCAAACTACGGCACCATCTGTACAGTCAATAATTGCGCGCCGGTGAGTGAATGTAACAGATATTAGTTTTGCATTACCTCGATGTGCGTGTCAATCCACCATCACCAGCATTTTCTTATACATCATCAGCAGTTTTCTCACCATCCTCCGAACAGCTGTCATCCTCTGACACCTGGCAAGTTCTAGTATGCCACGCATTAACGTGCCGGGCATCCTCAGCCTTTGAGAAGAAAGGGTACTTCTTATTTAATGGCTTCGTATGAGCCAAAAGCCTATTGGACTGTGCTTAATACCTTGTCCACGCCGTCTCAACATAAAAAAGTCTTGCAAGAGGCTAGTTGGCATGGGGAGAAAGCGGCGGTATTTTGCGTCCTCACAATTTCGACTACGGGGCCTGGTGCAGATCTCTATCTCTTTCTGTAACGGGTGACTTGGTCTGGTGTAGACAGGGATCATCATGAGTCAAATGGGTTAGATGATGGCCACTGACAATGTGAGGTGCACAGCGAAGTCAATTACTACCTGTAATAATCTTTCTTGGTCCTTAGTGTCCTTGTGTTAGGGAGAGGAAAGACCAAGAGAATTCCTTCATCGTGTCCAAGTAGCTCCCCTTATTAAATTCCTTTGCCCTTGTGAGTTCGCGGTCTCCTGCAATCTTCAGGGGTTCTCTTCAGCGTGGCAAGGTTATCTAACTCATTCTTGCCACCCCCTCATATTTTCCGAGCTCTACCAATCAGATATGCCTTTGCCCTTCTCAGCTCTTATGTCACTGGTGTTTATATGTCGACTGTCAAAGTTATTTCTTCTACTTGGACTGCTGTGTCCATGTGACACCGCTTGAGCACGTCGGCAATAGTTCAAGCCCTGGCCATAGTGCAAAGGTTACATGTTCTCGCTGTTCGCAAGTGTTGTGAAGCAGCCAGAAAACCACATCGTGAGAGTCAATTGCTACTTGGGGATTCTGGAGCCCGCCACAGTAAAACTGCAGGCAAGCGAGTAAAAATTGCCACATCAGGATATGCGAACTCGGATGCCTCGCTGGGAGTGCCCTTCGCCACATACGACACAGCGATAGGATTGGTTGATGAACGCATGTCATATGGACATTCTGCCGCTTCTTCAGGGCCGTAATGAGAATCCAGGACGCAAGTAAGCCGCGGAGGAGATAGATTTCTGACAGATATAATTGTCGAATCGGATGGCCTGAATCCTCTTGATCGTTCCCGACTTCAATCGGAGTGGTACAGGTTGAGGAAAGTCTCAGATGGCCTCGCGGTCACTGGAGTCTAAGAGCGCAACACGCAAAATTCCACCAATATCTGCGCAGATATCCTTCACTGATTGCTAGATCAGAGCATTTTCGACATCCTGTCGCAAAAATTATACGAAAGAAAAGCTGCCTGCTAGCCTCTCCGAATGACTTCAATCTAGTTGGGATATTTGCTCCCAATAAAACCAGAAAGATGCGAGTTGATAAGGTGAAGAATGCCTTGTGCTACGCTCCAACGTTGTGAAAGTTTGTCAAGTTGCAACTGGTTGCCTGAAGGATATATCAGTTGAGTTCTGACAGCTATGTAGCGTCACTCTCCTGCAAGACGTCCCTGCAAACCGCGATTCGAGGAGGCGACCTGCCTACTACGTACCCTCCTCCCCCTGGCCCTGGCCAGCTTCATCTCCCGTGAGGAGCTAGAACAGTTCGCTCGGGCAGTTTATGACGTCTTAGCTGGCGTGGCGGGGCGCTTCTCCATTCGGCCCGGCAAGCACACTAAGAGCGCCCCGTGGTGGTCGCAGGCACTTGCCACAGCCAGGGAGACCGACCCTATGGTATATCGAAAGCTCTGCAAGGAGGCTAGAGTCAACTTCTACAAGGAAAGGATTTCCGCTGCCACGTCCTCGGCAGAGTGGGGGAGGATACTGAGGTGGCGCAAAGATGCCCTTGACGACAGACCAACGGTTATTATCGTCGACTGTAGGGTAGTGTCGGACACGGAGCAGGTAGCAGCGTACGTAGCTACCCAGGCCTTTCGCCCTGCCAGAGCCCAGGAGGGCCCCCCGCCCGGCCTGGCTCGGCCCCCAGCTACCCCCCCAATGGTCGACGCGGCTGGCCGCCCCACCCAGCGATGAGCTCAAGGACACCCTCTCGGAGCCACATCTAGCACTCCCGGTCCGGACGGGGTGCCTTTAGCCTTCCTCAGAAACACTTGGGAGCTCGTCCGCCCGACGGCTCGAGCTACCACCGAAGGCTGCATGCCGCTAGGCATCTTCCCCAAAGCTTTCAAGCAGGCAATTGTCATTACCATATCGAAATCTGGCAGGGACCCTCGGTCGTACAAAGGCTGGCGGCCTATTACCCCTTGTCGACCTTCAGCAAGGGAGTGGAGAGGCTCCTGGCCCCCCGGATGACTGTGGCGGCGCTGTGCTCGAGTTTGCTTTCCCCAGACGTGGCCGGAGCCATCCCGTCCAGACCGGCACTGGACCTCGTCCAGTTGCTCGTCCACCATGCGGAGACCATGGCAAGACAAGGCTACCACGGGCTCCTCGTCACCCGAGGGCTTAGCCTCAGGGTCGACCCGAACAAGACAGAGGTCCCCTATATCCCCCCCCCCCCCCGCCGGCATCGGAGCGAGGCGTGGCAGGATCGACCCCACAACAATTTCGACCCAGGTGGAGAGGACGTCCTTCCTCCCCTGATAAGTCCGTCAAGTGGCTTGGAGTCTCCCTGGACCCCAAGCTCAGCCCTGTGACCCAAGCAGCCTCGAGGGCGGCGGCAACAGCATCGGTGGTGGGGTTGATCAAGCGCTTATCCAACACGAGGCTTCGGGGCTTTCCCCCTCGGCCGGCCCCAAGATCTTCGACACGGTTGTCATCCCTTCCCTCCTGTATGGCATGGTCCAACTCGATACCGGCCCAACTAGGGCCGCGGTTAACAGCCGCTTAGTCCCATTTAGACTTACGCCGGTGTGGTCGTCCCTCACCAAGGTCGCGAACGCGGCACTCAGATGATGTTCCCGGTTGGCGGACGATCCCGACCGCGTGGCTCTGGTGGCTAGCTAGCCTCTACCCAGAGTACCTGCTGGACAGAGAGTGAGCAAGGTGGAGAGCTCGCGCAGAGATGCTGCCGGCCAACCACTCTCTGTGGATCAGGCTTGCCCGACCCCCTTACCGGAGCTGGTCTCGCCTGCACTAAGCGGCCAGCAGGCTCAGGGCTAAGCCCTTATAGGAGCCAAAGTACCTAGGGATCAGGGCGTGGCTCAGCCTTCCCCCTGTCGCTCCCAAGAAACGACGAGTGCCTCCCTCGGCTATGCGTAGCTGGTGGCGCATTAACAAACCCCCCTTCGAACCCAAGGGCCGGACACAGCTCCCCTGAACTACTCTCCCTCCCCTCAATCATGTGACATGACAGCCCTTCAATACTTCACGTCGGTTTTTTCTCTCACGCGGGTTTTTTCCTCCGGCGTCACCTGTAATTAATATTTTTTAGATGGCTCTTGCCCGCCGGCGCCGTGGGCACGACTTAGCACCCCCAGTGGTGAAACTGTAGAAAAATAAAATCGAATAAATCAAGTCCCTGCAAACAGTTGTGAGCAACTTGTAGATCTTCAGCATTGTCTTGGCCTCTTCCGGCTTGTTGTCCAAACATCTTTACTGGCCAAGACGGTATATGCTCTGGCTGACACAAGAACGCCACCGGTCTTCAAGAGGCAGATGTAAATGTTGTTCTAGAGGCGGAGGTTGTTTAAAGTCGTTGGAGTCCGACGAGAAAATGGTATACGGTAGATGGTTCTTCCCAGTGGCATTCCCAAGCGTGACTGCAGTAGCTGTGCAGTTTGCAAGAAAAGGGCCCGGAGATCATTGATCTTGACGAGCATCTCCTTGTTGACCAAAGTAGCTGCTACCATGGGAATAATGCGTGGCGTTTTCCCTTTACTCATTCCCATCTTTAACAGCGAGTTTCGTTCAGAGGTAGAGGCTTGTTAGCGCGGAAATGGTTAAGAGTCTAGCACTGATTTTTTCAAGCAACTTTTCAACGAAACTTGCATCGCGAAATGCAGATTGTGCCAAGCGCAGTAGAGATCTCCATGTTCAGACGCGAGTTTGAGTTAGAAGCTAATGAAGTCAACAATGGCCCTAGTACACTCTGTTCCCCAATTGAGCTTTACTGAACCCAACTCAACAGATACTTGGGCCAACGAACGGCGTAGCTCGAGAGAAACATTTTGAAGGCTCAGCTTTCATATGGTGTAACCCCAGTTATATTACTCGCCTCGGTCGCCACAATCTCGTGAGATGTTGGGCTCAACATACATGTTCTAGGACTTCTTGACATCAATACCTGCGTGGCACGTCAACTGTCAACAAACTTCAATGTCGTTACCAACCCACTTGCCATTACAGCAGCTGGGAGCTAAGGTTTACCTAACCTAACAGTTGATGGTTGATGTGGGAAGCCATTCCTTGCGACCAAGCCATGCGAAACAAGCGATCCGAGCATCTTGCCGAGCCCCAATATCCATCCTCCGAGTCCAAGTGTCCTGGGTATCATACCTCGATCTGTGCTAACGACAGACCAAAGCCGTCCTCAACTCCGGTGAAACCGATAACCATTCCAGCACAAACGCCAATCCTATACCCGATTATTTCCTAGCCCAAATTTCAGTACCTTCATCGAATGAGCATCCCAGCAATATTATCTAGGTCGATGCCTCTGTTACCATTTCCCAAAAATGAACATTTTCAAAACCATAACTCAGCTGATATCCCTCTCGACAGCCAATATGCAGTCAAATGTACCATATTACGCCACACCCTTAAAGGAACACATCTCAGATCCCTCACTCCATCTGAAATCTTTTACCTGAACCTTAAGCTTCGAAATCCCCAAAAAGGATCCGACTCCCCCCGACTCTCTTTCATCGGTCCGTCCAGACCTTCCCAGTACACCGAGTTTGTTTGCCGACCGAGGATCTTCCCCGGCAAGTGCACGGGCACCACCCTGTCCGGATTCACTGGCAGAATCTCTTCCTTTTCCGTTTCTTTCTCCTTCCTTTTATCATGACACTCCTCCACCTCTTGCTGCTCAGTCTCCTCATCAATTCCCATCACCCCATCAACAAGCCACTCTCCAAAGTCAACCTCTTGCTCATCGTCAGAGCTATTTCCTCTCTTCCTTTTCTGTCCCCTCCTATCCTCCACAAAGAAGCCGACCTCTTCCTAAGAGGGCGCGCTCGCACCGACGACTTCGCGGAGGTTGTTCAGACGGGTGACAGTCGAGTCAAACAACTTGTTGTTGATCGACTGGCCGTAGAAGAGTGCTTGCATGTAGAAGGGGAGGGCTGAGTCTGCGTTGCATGGATGAGGCAGGGCGACGGCGCCAGTGGGGGCGCATCCTTGGCCTAGGACTGGCTGCGAGAGGTTAGCTTGCTGCCTGGGATCATGTGACGACGGACAAGATGAAGGATGAATGGCTGGTTGAAGGGACCCAGTTGAAGATGGAGCATCCGGGAAGTCACCAGGCACCAGTGAAACCTCAACACAACCCAACCAAAAACGGCAGCACTCACCGGCAACAAAGGATCCCAAGGCCACTTCCTCCACCCGGGCTCAGATCGTCCTTCCTTGTCCCGCGGCAACCACACGTATCCATGACCTTTTGCCGGGTCCATTATCACGGGATACTTGTTGCCCTGCACGGCCTCCTCGAGATCGATCATCGGCTGGTCTAAATTGTCAGGGCTGAGCAGGCTGAGCAAGTCGACATGGATTGGCTCCAGTTGGTCGAGGACAGATGGGTCGCCCAAGGTGAGACCTGCTTTTTGCGAGGCCTGGGCGGCGGGGAGATCGGGGAGGGGCAGCCCGATAGGGAGGGAGTTGAAGAAGTTTGGGTCGTTGAAGGTCTCAGGGCCCAAGTCAGCTAGGGGCAGCTGGTCCGGATGGACGGAGCGCTTGTTGAGAAGGTTTTGAGCGGCGATGAGGTGATTAGCATCGTCCAGATTGGGGTTGAAATCCAAAACTTGTGCCTCAGCATCAAGTTTGTCGGTACCATCTTTGAGGGGTGCAAGTTGCGCAGCAGCGGTCAAAATGGCCCTGGGAATTTTGTAGGCCTCGGAACACTGAAGATTGCGTATGTCTGCAAGAAGGATGTCAATTGCTGGGTTGTACTCCTCGTCCTCTTCAACTACATCGGCAGGCTCTTCGCCTGTGGTATTGTTGTCAAATTCTTTGTCAGTATCCTTGTTTTCAGAAGCTGACTGGGGATCTTGAACAGGTAGAGCCGCGGGTTGTGCTGCCTGCACAGTCTGGTCGTCGACTGCATGAATAGGCTGCTTGACCTGAGCAGCCACAGAGGGTGTCTGCGCCGGTTGGGTTTGAATATTGGCCCACTGTTGGTTGCTGGAAACAACAGCGAGCTGGGCAACCTGGTCCTGCGCCCGGGAAATCTGAGATTGCTCCGGTTGCGACAGCTGGACCGTAGCCACGCCACCAGTGAAGTGAATCCTCATGCCGGTGCTCACGTGGATTTCGTTAGCTCTATTGTCGGGGCCAGAACTCTCCTTGTTGACATCCATCTTGTCTGGATTCTCACGCAGATGAATACCACTCCGTCTGAACTCAGGCGGCGAAGACCCAGAAAATTCCTTTGCTGTGAATAGCCTGCGGCTGACGTTGTCGAAGCGTGGTGAAGACCAATGGACCGCAGACGAAATCGACATAGAAATGGGCAGAGAAGGTGACGAAGGGAAAAGAGGTTCCCTGGGCGTGAAGAGTGTTGCCTGGCCGTTGATCTCTGTCAGGGCGAGCGGGGGCAGGCCCTGGGATGGGTTACTCTTGTGTGAAGGAAGGGGGCTGCTTTGAACCAGATGAGTGAAGGCTTCAATCCCAGGATTGACAGGGCCGGGGGAGGGAGAAAAGCCAATGTTGCAGCGCTTGTTCTGTCTAATGGCGGCGATAAGAGCGAGGATGCTTTCATCGGAGCTGGAGTCGTCGTTGTCATCGTCCTGGTCGGCTTTGCGGGCAGCATGCACAGGGCAACAAGCCTGGTCGGCTTTTGTGACGGGGTAGGTGAAGAAGGGTTTCTGTGTTAAAGATGGTTAGGGAGCTGGATAAAAGAACATACAAGGGGCAAGAACAGAAGTGAGAGTTCACTATTCCGGGTGAGTGCACCTCAGCTGCTCCCGCTAGCCGTGACACTAGACGGCCTGAATATCGAGGGTGACCTGGGTGACTACACCTCACGATTTGTTTTGGCTGTGGAAACATCTCAAAAAGCAAAGCCAACATGCGACACTGGCCACTGATGCTGGGAGCTTCTCTTGCCATGGCATCCAGGACCCAAACTCCAAAGGTGACATGGACAAGGGGAATGAGATGGGAACACACGATGTGATCCTTACCTCGACCGAACCGGTTTTCAGGCGGCCAACAACAGCCACACGCTTAGCCGAACCGGTCGCAGCACCGGCCACACCGCAAGGACTGCCCACGCTAGGGCTGTTGCTCATCCGGCTCCGGTTGTTGGACAAGCTGGCACGGCGAATGGCTTGAATCTCTCGGCAAGCATCTCCCTCCGGGTGCTTAATCTCAAGGGCCCATGCGGGGAGACCGCCACGTTGCTGCTCGGGGGTTGTGGGTACAGTTGCGTCACGCGTGCGTAGGTCTGTGTCAGACTGTTTGGTTGCGTTGGGCAGCATTGTTGATCGTTTCGTTGAAAAAAGAGGGGAAAAAGTGAAAGAGGACAAAACTAAGGAAAGAAAGGCAAATAAGAGGATGAACGATCACAACTATGTAAAAGTGATGGTGTGGTGGTAAGGAAGAAAGAGTTGGTCGGACACCAGCTGACTGTGTGGAAAAATGCGAGAGGGAACAGAGATTATCACGGACAAGAAAAAGTTCTTTAAAGACACCATTGACGAGGGTGCTTGGTAATTTGGGATGAAAAGATGACTTGCAACACAGAGCGAACGAAGGGAAAGCACCACACAATAAAGAACAAGGTGAGTTCCTATTCAGGGTCCTGTCAACATGCAAAAATGTTTCCCAGTAGGAGGGCTGGTCGACCGACTTTCAGCAATCTAAACATTAGCCACAAGGTCTGGACCAATTGGCTATCAGACCCCAGATTAACTTCAAAAACTTGTCGCAGCAATGCATGTTCAACAGAACTAAAGTAGTTAAGGGAAAGAAAAGCAGACAACGAGTGTTCAACGAGCTACTCAAACTGCAGACAACTATACCAGAAACTTTCCCCTATATCTCTCCTGAGGTGATATCAGCATCCAACCCAAATGCCATAGATACCAATTAAGATGCAAGCTAAGTGAACCCCACTGTGCATGTGCATCTCATCATTAATCCTCAGCTTCCTCGGCATTGCCATTGAACGCAATCCCGTTGAAGGTTCCAGATGGCAGACCAGAGATAACACCCTTGGTTGCCGTATCACGAATGTACTGGCACAGCTCAAGAGTCTCCTTTGGCCTATCAAGGCCCATAAGGTACGCTGCAAGACCAGCAACATGCGGTGCAGCCATCGACGTGCCCGAGATGGTGGCCTATAGTTGTCGTTGTCGTTGCAAGTCAGCCAGAATGCCACTGATAAGATAAGCTCCGCCGAAAAAAGGGGGGCTGTGGGCAACGAGGGGAAAAGTAAACAAACTGGGAGCAACCCCACTTACCGTCGCATTAGGACTTCCAATCCACGAGCTCAAGATATCGACACCAGGCGCAAAAACATCCACTACAGTCCCATAATTTGAGAACCATGCCCGGTGATCCTCCACATCCGTTGCACCGACCGTGCACACCGTTTCCTCGCTCGCAGGAGAGTACCAGTACGCATCATCATTGCTATTCCCCGCCGCGACGCTCAAGAAAACCCCCTTCTCGACCGCAGCAGCAGCAGCCGCATTCACAGCTGTCGAGCGCCCACCGCCCAAGCTGAGGTTCGCGACAACTCCCTTAGGGCACTGTCCCGAAGCAGTACGGTTAACTGCGTCGTCAGCGACGAAGTTGATGCCTGCGATCACGCCTGAAAGCGTGCCAGAGCCGCCGTCGTTGAGGACCTTGACGCCGAAGAGGAGAGTCTTTTTAGCGACGCCGACGTCGCTGCCGCCAATGGTACCGGCTACGTGCGTGCCGTGGCCGTTCCCGTCGGTCGTGGTAGAGTCGATAAAGTTGGCGAGGAAGGTCGCGCGGCTGCCAAATTGCTGTGAGAGTTAGTGGCATGCAGGGAATGAGGAGAAATAGAAAAGGGGAAGCGGAATACCTCGTGCTCGACATAAATGCCTGTGTCAATGATGTACGCGCAGGTGCCTTCGCCGGCGGTCTCGTCGTAGACGTAGGTGGTGTGGCCCTTCTCACGGTGCGAGATGCGGGCAAGGCCCCAGGGTACATCTGACTGAGTGACGTACTCGGCGATAGTAACAATAGCGTCTTGCTCGATGTACTCGACCTGTTTCCAGTCAGTCACTGAACATCTTGAGAAACCGGAAGACTGCATGAGTCCTAAGTACTGACCTCAGGCAGAGATTTGACTTTCTCCAACACCTTAGGCGTCAGTCGTCCGGCAAACCCCTTAAACCGTTTGGCCCGGTAGACCTGCTGCGGAGGTCCGGCCGGCTCAGCTTCTTTAATTGCCTTCTCGAGCGCGGCTTCTGAGACACCATCGCGAAGCTTGACAATGTACCGCTCGGGGATGAGCTGCAGGTTGAAGCTGTGAGGCTGGATTACGGGTGCCGCGAGGGCAAGCGGAAGGAAGGCTGTCCAGGCCAGATGCATCTTGGTCTTTTTTAAGTATTGTTGAACTGTTGTTGTTGACAAGGCTGCCGATGACTACCCCTGTCTTGAGTCGAACGTCTAGAACTGACGGCGAGCAGGCGCTTATATCCCCATCAGCTCACTCTCTTACAGCCCCAAAGCCTCATCGACCTTCCCTTTCCAGCGTCCAGTAGTCCATCTCATCCGTCAATGCAATCGTGCCATGATATGCACACAACTGAACGGCGGTGCGCAGAAAAGGCGGACCGCCAAACGTGAGGCCATCCCTCCCTATAAGCCTTCAACCATCGTACCAAGCTTCTGAGCCCCAACCGGGGCTCACACCTACCGAGATAGGTCTGGCTCAGCATGTCAGCTATCTTGCGTGCTCAACGTCCTGCTTGTCTGGGTGAAGATAGCAGGGCCGGTGTGCAGGATGTGCTGTCTCATAGAAGAGTCATCTGCAATTCCTCTATCTCACTGGGAGGGCGTTGTGTGTGTGCATGTGCGGGATGACTTGGGCAAGCATGAACTGACTGATAGAGCACAGGTAATAAAAGTCTTACTGCAAGCCTCGTGTCGTTGCCCAGCCAAGCCGGCCGATGCAGCCAAAAGGATTATCAGATCCTGACATACGGACTCGCCAGCACACGCATGCACGCACAGGGCCGGGATTTCTCATTGTCGCGTTGACAACTTGGTTGGCATCCAAGAATCGGGAACAAGTCGCTCGCCTAACGGCCAAGATGCGCCGTTGTCATACGTTGCAGAAGCGAGACTGTCTTGCACCATACTCTCTGTAAAACTCTCCGATCCTCGGGACTCAATAGTTACGATGTTGGTGTGGTGTACCCCGCTATTAGCAGACAATGATGTCTGTAATGTCCAATCCCGTGCGCCATGACCTCATCCATCACACGTCACTGCAGCCACTGGCAGGTTGGACTCATAATCCATGCCCGGCGCTGCCGGCACCGCAGGCGGTTGGTGACAGGGTGCACATTCGTCTGTGATCAGTTGGAGTGACACAGCCAGGAACAGAAAGTGGTAATGCTCGTTTTGTATCGAGGTAATCCTTCTCGCCATGAAATGTCCCGTATACAGTAAGAGGAGAGAGGATTGCTGTCTGTGGTGGGCTGCATCATGGTCATGATGGTCGCCATCATCCCGCGCGCTGACAGCACTTCGATCCTGTGCCAAGCTGTGCGATTCTGGCCGCAGAGGCTTACTTTCGACACCTTCCCAGCTGGGAAGCCGGTAGTTGGGCGCCTGACAGGAGTGGGAGATGCCTAATAGATGCTAATTCTGAGGAAACTAGACGTCAGATAATAATTCTTGCGATTTTTCGACCAGAAAACCTCATATCCGTCCCCACTTCGTTTGATGTTCAACATCTACTATATATCTTGTGGGAACAGAAGCATCCATGCCCACGGGACAAGACTCGCTTGAGATCTCAGTTCAGCCTGAAAGCCAACTACCGGTAGTTGCTAAAACCTAAACCCGGGAAAGGATGCCTCATGGAGGGACAGCGTTCAGCGGCTTCCTAAATGAGGGGCTGTTTAATATATTGCCTGCATGAGCAGGGCAATATAGCTTGCAAATCACATTGTCACATGTGAGGTCTGATGAACTGGTCAATGGAACCGTGACAATGAGAGAGCAAGTGAGAAAGCTTCTTTGTTATAAGACCGATCTGACGCAAATGCTAAGGATGGGTTTGTGCTGTAGTTTGGTTATCGCACTTTATTTTCGGGGGCTGTGATGTCAAGAGCTTGTCGTCATGCAGCTCGTCGATGAGTTTATGTTGGTGAGGATGAGAGGTTCTGATAACGAATATTGGAACCACAGTAACTCGTTGGAATCATAGCTTTTAACGACATAGCTGTGTCAGAGACTGTAAATTTCCTCCAGGACCGCAAGTAAACCATCTGACCCTGACCAACGATCACGAAGTCAGCCTGCTGATCGCTTTTGCTGTTGAGTAAAGAAAACATTGATGGGATCTACCCAGAGACTGCTTGAGAGAAATATACTGAATACACTGGTTTCAGTTATGGGGTGCAGGACACTAGTCATGATCTGAAGCGTGACGGTATGTGAATGAATGATTAAGCTGGTTCTCATGTAACATCGGCTATGGACCTATAACAAAGCATGCCTTTTCATAAGCGTTCTGATAATGCAATTCTTCTACCAATTGTAGTATGAGATTCAAGGACTAACACCACGTGTCAAAGTGATTAGGGAGATAAATAGGTATCCCAGCCCCGAGGGAGAGTAAGGGTGATCATGTGACCTCAAGGGAGACCTGGTGGGCATTGGTGGACAAGGGTATAAGAACAAGAGCTCTACTCCCATTTATGAGTTGTTTTGATTTATTCCTTAACTCATGTTTGCTCAAATATGTTTCCTTCACTTTTCTCGATTATATCCTATACTCTTCTATTAATTCCACAATAGATCTATGCTTCTTACCTCCTTTCATTCCTTCATTCCTTCATTCCTTCATTCCTTCTTCCCTTCCCTTCTGTGTTGGATTGGTTATTTACTTACTGAGAGGCTAGATTGTAGTGTAACACCAAGCTATATGCCTGTATTCTGCATTTATTGGTTTGCGGCTGATGGTACGAAGAGACTGTCTTTTTTCCAACATCTCATGATATAGGATGAAATGCACGATCTTGGCATTAAAGAAGCAAGAAACTGGTAGCAGCGTTGAATCCAATCACCTTGTAGCCCTCGCAGCACCTGACGGCGTACCATCCATCTCGAACACTATCCCTTGGCCAGGCAATTCAACCACTCCCTGCGGATACCCTTCCTCAGCACCATGTTGCTCAGGCCCCGAATCAGAAGCCCCTGATGGAGGGAAATAGGCACGATATACCTTCTGCTGCTTTCTTGGCTGTCCCGGGAAAGCAGGCCCTGGACTCGGCGGCTGGTGAGGTAGATGAGGATATGCCGCATGGGCCCCAGATGAGGGAGTGCCAACGGGAGGGACCATGCTGTAGCGCGGATCGAATGTGTGAGGTGCTCCAGAGGAGATGTACTGTGGGGACGGAGAAAAGGGACGTTGAGAGGTCGCTGTGGTGGCGTTTAGGTTGGACGGAGAAGAGGACGAGGCGTCGGTTTTGGTGGACGGTGTGGACCTGTTCTTGCGGAGGAGAAAGATCGCGCCGAGAATGATTAGACCAAGGACAGCTGATGGACATGTCAGCGGTCTGTTGGGTTCGTTAGGAAGTTTAGAAGGAAGGGGAGCACTGACCTACACCGCCGACAACACCGCCAACAATGGAGCCGATGGGTATGTTCGAGCCATCATCATCATTATCACCAGCATGTGTGGGCCCAGGTGTTGAACTGAATGTGATCGGGCGTGTGAAGAAAGTAGAGTCGGGAATGGGTGTATGGTAGATATTATACGTCGTGGGTGTAATGTCACAGGTAGGGATAGTGTAGCCGGACCATTGCTCATCAACGTAGGACAGTATGGCGCAGTACGGAGCGCTGGCCTCTGAGCTGGAGAGCCTTTAGCTTCATTATCTTGCAAAGAGACCTTCGGGATCTATTCAAGCTCAGCAGACATACCAGTAGCGGGTTCGGTCCAGGTCTGCGGTGCTCAGGGCACGCGACGAAGCATATGGAAGGCAGGCTGTGTAGATATTGCATCCGGTAGTCAAGCAGCAGCCTACTGCACTAGCTTCGGAGTTGAACAGACATATGGCGTCACGAGCAATGCAAGTAAAGCTCAGAGCTTCCAAAGGTTAGCCTGTGATCTTTTTTCAGGCACACGTGGTTAACTAACCCGGATCGCCATTGACATAACCGCAAATCTTGTTGTCGGCTTGACGCTTCAATATCGCTGGCCGTAAAGCAGGACGCTCTGTGATCCGTGCAGGAGGCTCAACACGTCCCTCGGCCTCAATTTTTGGGCCTGAGGTCACCATGGGAACCAGTGAGCTAGGGACTTCACGGCGCAACTCTGCTGATGCGATAGCTAACCAAAGAGAGAGGACGATTATCCGACGGAAAGGCATCTTGCATTGAAGACAGGTAGACCGTTGAGGGTCTTTTGACTGGTGAGAACAGCTTGGGCGTCGAGACCCTACGTTGTTGGGCTGCTCTCATTCAACTTCTATCTCTCATCAGCAGGCAAGTTGCAACAAGTCGACTGTTGGTGGAAAACAGCGAAAAGATGTCAGCTATCAACCGACACCGTTTGCCATTTCCGCTCAACAAGCCGGCCTCAAGGGCCTCGATCAGCCACCGTCTGCGCATCGCCATCATCCGTGCACCATGCTCTTTTTGTGGTCTGTCACAAGGAGAGGCTTAGCGACGAATGAGAGTCAAGAACCACGCTCGCGGATCGGGTTGAGTGTCAGCCGCATGCCAAGACGGACGTCGCAGAGGCTAAGGAGCTTCGTGTGGTACAGACGAAGTCGATGGCGAGGACTTAAAGAGAGAGCAGCGAAGAATCGAGGCTCATGTTGGAGATGGTGAGCTGTTCATGTGGCTGAAGTATACGCTTCCACAGCACACCTGACGTCGGCTGAGTTCCATTTGGTCTCAAAAGTTTTGTCGGAATCTTGGTTTCATCGGCAGGTTGTATCGAACCATCGATCGAGGAGATGGCTCGCTGTCGGTGTGAGCTTGTCCCGTCGCGGTAGCCCGGATCTGCTGGTGGGGCTGATGTGCAGTGGAGCCACTTCAGCCCAACAAGTGGGTCTGTCAAACATCCAAGCCGATCTTCGTGAAGTAGAGCCCCACTACCATTGTTCCCACTGGCATTGACACCACACAGGCAACATTAACAAGTGCTGTGTAAAATCAGAAAAGGTATGTCAGTTTTGGCTGTTGAAGCTTTTCGCCTACTCACATCAAATGACAGTTACAGAGGCAATCAACGAACGAGGGAAAAGCCGAAGCATGTAATCCGAAGAAAGCAAACCAACAAGAGCTCTTTGACCAAGCTCTCCTCTACATCCACGGACCATGGCCTACCCCTTACCAGACTGTAATCGATGCCGACCCTGAACTCTGGTATCCCTCCGTCGCGACAATCTGGTAGTCATGGTTTCCCAGATTGAGCCCACGCTGCGCCCAAGCCTGGAAGTGCGCGCCAACGTTAACGCTGCCGCTGCTTCGCTTGTTTTGGCGTACCGACCAGTACTGGTCGAACGTGGCCGTGCCAACGATGGACGGCTGGTTATACCGCGTCGACTTGGCAATCTTGTAGTTGCTGCCGTCAACATAGAAGGTGCCCAGGTTTTGCGCCTGAGATGAAGGATCGTACGTGCCGAAGTTCTCAACAATGTAGTACTCCACTAGCGGGTTAGTTGTCCAACCGTAAATGGCGAGGTACCCGTTGCCCGAGGGATTGAAGGTGCCACTGTAGTTGATGATGCGCGCGGCTCCCGGTTTCCTGCTCGCGTATTTCTGTGAGCGATCATTCTTCCAGCTTTGGGCATATCAGTAGGATGGATAGGTTGCTTACCAGCCCTTGCCGCCAACAAAGTTGCCACAGTTGTACCAATTGACGCCGTAGTTACCGTTGTCGCCATTCCAGTAGTATACCTCGCCACCGCCGTCTGTCCAGAACGAGTAGAAGTATCCGCCGTGCCAGCCAGTCGAGCTCGGTGTGCCGCCACGAGCAAGCAGGAACTCTGTGACATTCTCTCCGCGTGCATGGCGAGCTGTCACCTCGGCTGGGTCAAATGGCAACGCGATGGGGCTGGCCGTGGCCGCTCCAACCACTGCCAAGAGGAGAGTCTCGAAGGAGACCATGGCTGTATTGAGCTCGAATCAGGGCCTTAGAACTAAACTGGAGGACTAGTCGATGGCTTTGGCGATGAAAGCTGCTCGCAGACTTAATAGCACGAAGGCACCCCTACTTATACATACACAACCACGAGAAAAAGCTCCAGTTCCGCGGCCTCCACAAACCTCCTTCGTCGATGTATCCTCTTCCTTTCGACCGTATTGATCCGACTTCAACTTAGCCGCCATCTTCTCGCCATGCCGCCCATCGTGGCTGTGGACTGGAGACTCTGAGTCCTCAATGTCTTTCGCAGAATGCACTATCTACAGCAATTTGGAGAGCTCTTTCCGCAGTGGGTAACATGCGATGTCTTGGGTAAATCTTAAACATATCAAGGAGACCGTGTTCTCACATCCACTTCCTCGTGGGCCCTATCTATGCGGCCCAATGGTGTTGAACAACACAAATCAGCAACCGCCCTTTTCCATTGCTTAACTTTCCTTGAAGTTGATGTCGCCCGAGACTAAGCTCGACGCTGGCATCATCGTAACCCCTGGATCCTGTAGCGTTGCGCGTTGCGCCCAATGAGAGGGTGGCGATCATTTTAGCCTGAATTTCTAACCCCAGTAACGGGATGCTCGGGGTACCGGAAACTCCCCCCTGCTCCGGGGCGAAACCGAGCTACATGCAGTGTTCATTATGCCGGATGCTTGACTAAAACTTCGGTCGGGTTATGTTCCCAGAAGAGCTTACCGGGGAAATAAGAGTGCTCGTTCTTCATCTCGGCCTTCTCACTGCACTTTCTTCACTTCGACTTGGGCTATGCCAAACTCTTGCAGGCAGTCATACCAGTGAACTTCATTTCTCGGCGTTTCAACTAGACAAGGGCATTGATCACCGCTTTATGGCTATACTCTGCTCCACATTGTTGCCTCCAGTTCCGGTTTGCTTCTGCCAGGCAATGTCTGCGTTTTATGACATCCATGTTGGCTGGAGAGCGAAGTTGGCTGCCCTACTGTGTTGTGTTCATGCCATTACAGGACACTCATCATCTTCATTCTTTGACCACCTTGCCTGCCTTAACATCTTACTTTCCGTTTCTGCCAAGAGAACCAAGATACGGCTCATATTGACTATTATGGTGGCGTCCGGTTCTAATCTCTTCAGCACTTTCTCTTCCCTACCGCATTTCGATGTAATTTTTTTCCAAGTGGGTATTTGGAAGATATTACACTTAGCTCTACCAGTTTGGGCATCTCTCAAGTACCAACTTTGGGTTGTTATGGCTTACTCTTCTCACTGGTGGTGTTCGGACTAAATCACCTAGTTTTGTAAGAGATCGTTGCTCTCTTCCCGGGAGCTTGATTGTCAAGCAGCTCTGTGAACTCAAGGCTCAAACAGAGACGTAACTTAAAATGACTTAGTTGAGTTTATTTATTTATTTATTCTACGTTTTTTTCGACTGGGTTCACTCTCGAGGGTGTTTGGTCGTGCCCACGACGCCGGCAGGCAAAGGTTACCTAAGTTGGACTAAATACAGGTAACGCAGGGAAAAAGACGCATCGGGTAAAACCGGCGTGGGTTAGAGGGAGTGTCGTGTACTATGAACAGTGGAAGATTCTTGAAACCGGCCAGCCCCAGGTATGTACCTCGTTGGGACCTACGCCGGGTCCTTAGGCTCGGGGTCTAGATGATCAGCACGCTGGGCTTGGGGCGGGCTTGCGAGGGGGGAGCGAGGGAGGCGTGGTAATGGGATAGGGTGCCCTGTGGCAGCGTCCCAGGCTTGCCCCCAGAGCTTGACCTTGGAGGTCCTGGAAACTTAGTTATCTCGGCGAAATCATGATACTCTTAGAGAGGGTATGGGACGCAATCTTTACCTTTTGCTTCCCACCACAGGCAAACTTTTTGATGGACTACCTCGAGCAAAACGCTACAAAGTCGGAACATCCTTGTTGATCCGATCCATTGTTGAGGTCTGGTATCATGTCACAGGAAAGTCATTCGAGCTGCCAATGAAGTTCAGCTCAAGCATCTCTCAACTCTACCCAAGCAATCAACTGACCAGATATCTTGTCAGTATTTGGTATGGAGCCCTTTCAATCTTCTGAGTCAACATAAATCTTCATTGAGCTTTTGACTCAGTTATGTTACATCAAGCTTAAGTCAGCTGATCGTACAGGCAAGTTGTTTAATTAACTCCTTGGTTGTCCATATTCAGATTACACATATATGTTCTCTTGATTTTGCCATTCTACCTAAGCAACCAATGCGCTGAGCTTCCTCCAGAATCGAGGCGCAGGGACCTGAGCAAGCCACATTCTTCACGGGTATGCACTTTTCCCATTATCCCTATCAAGCAGATCCCAATTTTCTTCGGAAGCCCTGTAGGGCGGTACAAGGTCACAAGCTCCCCTGGGTGTGATTGGTACGACAACATTGGCCTAGCCTTTCAATCCATATGAATTCCACACTAAGTTGGGAGTGAGGCAGTGCTTGGCCGTTTTAGAAGACAGTTTATCTAGCAGACGGCAGCTGCTGCACAATTCGGCGCTTTTATCCGCTGCTGCACATCGTCTTAGACATCAAGAGCCCTATCCCAACAGCAACTTCATATCAATAGCGCCACAAATTGTCATCAACACTCTGGCAGTTGACAATTTGCAAATCCTGACTCTAGCTTGTATTGAACTGCGAAGATTCCATCTCTGTCTCTCAGTGTCAAGGCTAATGTCAATTTGACTTTTGACGTACAATGAACAAGTGCAGGCTCAACTTTCAAGAATCGTCTAGTGGCTACAAAAGTGCAAGCAATTTGTCCTAAGTACAGCAGAGTGAAGATGATTCTCCAAACGCAGACCACCACGGTACTGTCCAGTACATTAAGCTTTCTGCGTTTTTACTCCAGGACCTGATTGTTTGGCGGGAATTTGGGACATGGGCTTGTGGCATTACAATTTTGGAAAACCTTGTAAATCTGATACATCCTGCTATCCGCAAGACAACTTTAGTTTTAATCTAAATCGCTACAAGGGGGAGAACCAACAAAAAGCAGCTAAATACCCTCTTTATTACACCGTCGCCCGTGCCAAAGATTGGACATCCCGTGACAATGGAGCCATTACTACCAGGACCTTAATTTGCTGTCCCGAGTAAGAACACTCTCAAAGCCTGTGCCCTTGGCATCCACAAAGCTCATTCTTTAAATTATCAGGGCTCATGGCTTTGCTTACTACGAGCATGTCTCGGACAATGGAGTCTTAATGTGGCTAATGGTATGCGTAGCAACACGCTTTTCCTTCAAGGGCAAATCAAAAAGGCCTTACCTATCACCGTGGCTGAGACTTCCCCTACGGCAAATCCAACAAATGAAGTCACATTTCACCCCCTCCATGACCACCTCATTGCCAGGACCGTATCCATCACGCACACCACTATCAGCAAGTCTACTTGTATCAGGAAGTGTCATCCTAATTCGACAACGAGCGAGTCCCCCTCGAGAGTATCAGCCTGGACGTACAATCTCCCACCATCTAACAGCGAAGACCCAGCCAAGCCCATTGCAACGATCTTGGGGCCAATTTTGGCAGCGGTAGTCCTGATAATACTGGCGACGACATGTTACATCAGGCAGAACCGGCGTAGCACTCAACAGGAGCCATTACAGACACAGACGGCTGTTGTTCAGGAGGCTGCCCAGGTTGTCCGAGTAGAGGCTCAGGTTCGGAGGGAAGAGGATCTTCCCCTTCCATATGAGGTTGGTGTCGGAGGGAGGACGGCGTAAACTAAGGCATAGGGTAGGAAGAATTGAGGAGATGAACGTACGTGGTATATACATGTATTCAGATAGAAGTCATGTTTATGTTTTTCCGTTCTGTAATGTCAAGTCTAATCCTGAGTAATCGAGGCAAAGCGATATTTACGCACATTACAATATCCCACTATTTACCCTTCAAGCAATTCAGAACACTTTTTCTTGGAAACTTCCTCTCTGTTGTCTGCTCATTATGAAGCTGCCAGTGGCTAACAATTGTCGTTAAGGACTTCGTTATTGCTCCCCAAAATAGGAACTTGAAGCATTCCAGTTTGTCTCTTGTCACCACCGAAAGTTGCAAATTGACGTCCATAAATGATAACATGAAGCCATTGTCTCTTGGTAAAGGGCCACCAGCTATAATATAATTTTCATCTGCATACCAAGGGCAAGTACATGATGAGAACAATAACAGTAAGGAGCAGCGGATTCAGTGCTATCACCGAGAACATAAACAAAATAATAAGCACCTGCCTATGATGTCCCGAACACTGAAATTATGAGCAAGAGCATGACAAGCATATGTCTCTGGCAACCAATGCATAGCAATCCAAGGAACTTGCCGACTGAGATCTTTCATTCTCATTCTCCCCAGATTTGCTACTTTGTCAATTAAAATGACTGATCTTGTGGGAAAAGTGCCGCATTTCTAAAGCCCTGGAGTCTTTGCAGCTCTAAACGCTACATGCCCACTTACCACCCCTAGATACAACCAGAGTTCTACTGCCCTCTGGTTGGATGTCTCCACTGCTTTCAACCAAGCGCTTTCGCCGTCCCCACTAACCCGGCCCCTCAGGCCCGCCCCGCCGCCCAGGTGGAGTCTGAGCAGGAGGAGCATACCGAGGACTGCACCGTCGTCAGAACTAGTCTAGACTCTGCCGATGACTCGGACCTGTAAGGTCATCTCAGCCAATGTACAAAGGTCCCTGGCCAACGTCGACGGTGTCCTCCAAAGGGCGGTGAGACACCGGTATCAGGTGGTGTGTATCCAGGAGCCTCCGGTCATCTTCGGCAGGGTTCGACGTCACCCAGGCTTCACCTTTACGCCATCGACGATTCAGCTACTAGAGCTGCGATTTACGTTGACCGCCGGCCCTCGGCCTCGGCCCCGACCGCCCCAGAGCACGGGGTAGCCACTATCTCCCTTCAAGCGGTCACTATAGTCAACGTTTATCTACATCCCAACTTTGACATCGCTATCAACTCTTAGTGCACTCTCTGCTCCCTCCAGGTTGATTCCAACTCCTTCATTATAGTGGGGAACTTCAATGCTCATCACCCGGACTGGGACCCCCGCGCACGCCCCAACCTCAAGGGAGATATGGTCAGGGAGTGGATCACCGCGAGGGAGCTACATATCTTCAAACCTGAGGGCCTAACACACCGTGATGGGGGGGTCATTGACCTCGCCCTCGGCCCGGCCCGAGCCTTTGCGGAGTTCGCCACTGGGCCTCCGATCACCGTGCGCTAGTCATCTCGGTGCCTAGCCGCCCCTCTAGCCTCCTGCCCCCACCCAAACGTCTCCCCAAGGCCCATTTCGAGGAGGCGGCCCACTTACTGAGGTCCTTCCTCCCCCCAGCCCGGCTAACTTCGACTCCCGGGAGGAGCTCGAGCAGTTCGCATGGGATGTGTTCGATACCCTCGCCAAAGTGGCAGGCCGTTTTTCGACCCGCCCCAACAGGCACACGAAGAGAACCCCCTGGTGGTCGGAGGTGCTGGCCACAGCTAGGGAGACTGACCCCATACTTTACCGCAAGCTCTGCAAGGAGGCCAGGGTGAACTTTTACAGGGAAAGGGTTACCTCAGCTTCGACCCCGGCGGAGTGGGGCAAGATACTTAGATGGCGCATCGGCCATTCGGACGACCGGCCCACTGTCATGGTCGGGAATGGAGGAGTGATCTCGGACACGGAGTAGGTGGCGGCTTACCTCGCTACTCAAGCCTTGGCCTGCAGGGGCCAAGAGGGTTCCCGCCCGGCTTGGCCCGGACCCCGTCTTCCCCCTTGAGTGGGCAGCCAGGCTCGCTGACCAACCCAGCGACAACGAACTCAGGGATGCCTTCTTCGGTACTACCTCGAACACACCCAGTCCCGACGGGGTGCCACTGGCATTCCTCAGACACACCTGGGAGCTCGTTCGTCCAGCTACCCGGGCTATCGCCGAAGGCTGCATAAAATGGGGGGCCTTCCCTAAGGCCTTCAAACAAGCGACAGTGGTCACCCTCTCGAAGCCCGGAGGGATCCACGACCTTACAAGGGCTGGCGGCCGATCACTCTGCTGTCGACTTTCGGCAAAGGTGTGGAGATGACGGCGGCAGCGCTAAACTCGGGGCTGCTCCCCCCAGACGTTGCAGGAGCCGTTCCATCTAGATCCGCGCTGGACCTCGTCCAGGCGCTCGTGCATAATGCGGAGACCATGTCGAGACAAGACTACCATGGGCTCCTGGTACCCTGGATGTGGACTCGGCCTATCCCTCGGTTCAGCCGCCGATGCTCCGCGAGGTTCTCGCGGACCAAGGCTGTCCACGCTGGCTCTGCAGGGCAACGGCCGACTTCTGTCAAAACCGCCGCTTCTCGTTCCGGTGGGCACAGTCAACTTTCCGCTCAGACACTGGTCTCCCACAAGGCTCTTCATGGTCCCCAATCCTCTTCGTTTTTTACTCCCTACCAATTGTCGCCCCCTCGCAACAGGGATCTTCGTTTATGTACATGGACGACCACGCACAACTCTCATGGAGCAAACACCCAGTGCAACTAGCCCACCACGCATCCCTCAGGGGCGGACAACTATGCACCAAGGCCCGGGAGCTCGGCCTTAGGATCGATCCTAACAAGACAGAGGCCCTGTATATTCCTCCCGGGGGGGCTGGGGCAAAGCGAGGCAGGTTTGATCCCGCAAACATTTCGACACAGGTGGAAGGGGCGTTCTTTTCCCCTGGCAAATCCATCAAGTGGCTGGGCGTCTTGCCGGACCCCAAGCTCAGCCCTGCGACGCAGGTGGCCGCGGGGGCGTCAGCGACGACTGCGGTGGTAGGGTTGATCAAGCGCCTATCTAACACGAGGGTCTTGGGGTTTCACCCCGCGGCTGGCCCCAACATCTTCAATGCAGTCGTCACCCCCTCTCTTATGTACGGCATGGTCCAACTTGATACTGGCCCGCACAGGGCGGGGGTCAACGGCCACTTGGTCCCATCCAGGCTCGCGTCGGTGTGGTCATCTCTCACCAAGGTTGCAAATACAGCATTGAGGGTGATATTTCCGGTGTGGAGGACAATACCGACCCCATGGCTCTGGTGGCTTGCTGGCCTCTATCCTGAGTACTTGCTAGACAGAGAACAGGTACGGTGGAGGAACCGAATTGTGATGTTACCGGCCAGCCACCCTCTGTGGATTAGGCTCTCCCGGACCCCCTACCGCGGGTGGTCCCGCTTGCACCAAGCAGCCTCTGGTCTAAGGGCTAGGCCCCAGTGAGAGCCCAAACGTGCGAGCATCAGGGCATGGCTTGGTCTCCCCTCCTCTCCTCCCAGGAAACGTCGCGTCCCTCCCCCGGACATACACAGATGAAGGCAGGCCAACAGACCCCCCTCGGCTCGATGAAGCGGGCATTCGGCCAAACCCTTCCTCGAGAAGTTTTCCCGGTAGTGCCTCTCCCGGTGGCTGGCAGAGGCCTCGGGCCACGGCGACTTCCTGGAGTACCACACTCGATTCAACCACCCCCGGAGGCTATTAAAGAGTGCCCCTGCGGCGGTGTGGTGTCCAGAGGCCACTTCTTTTCCTGCCCTCTCACCTCTTTCAACAACCCACTTGCTCGCAGGCTAGACCCAAGGGCTTTTTGGTCTTCCTTCCAGCTGTTCAAGTCCAGGGCCTCCCAGGTCAAATTCTGGGGGCAAGCCTGGGACGCTGCCACAGGGCACCCTATCCCCTTACCACGCCTCCCTCGCTCCCCCCTCGCAATCCCGACCCAAGCTCCGCGTGCTGATCATCTAGATTCCGAGCCTAACAACCCGGAGTAGGTCCCAACGAGGTACATACCTGGGGCTGGCCGGTTTCAAGAATCTTCCCCTGTACATAGTACACGACACTCCCTCTAACCCACGCCTGTTTTACCCGATGCGTCTTTTTCCCGGCGTTACCTGTATTTAGTTCAACTCAGGTAGCTTTTGCCCGCCGGCGTCGTAAGCACGACCCAGCACCCTCGGCGGTGAACCCGGTCAAAAAATAGAATAAATAGATAAATAAATAAATTAATTGATAAATAGATAGATAGATAGATAGATAGATAGATAGATAGATAGATAGATAGATAGATAGATAGATAGATAGATAAATAAATAAATAAATAAATAAATAAATAAATAAATAAATAAATAAATAAATAAATAAATAAATAAATAAATAAATAAATAAATAAATAAATAAATAAATAAATTAAATAAATAAATAAATAAAAGCAAGCGCTTTTTGCCATCAATCCCTAGCTGCACAAACAGCCGCAATAGTACCTCGTGCATAAGCTCATTCAAGCAACAGGATAACCCAGTATGGGTCTGAAACCATACAGAGTGCTCATTGTAACGTCTTCCGATCTACACCCTCAAAGCTCCTAGAGCCACTCATGCTCTCATTCTCCTCCACCTTAGCCAGAGCTCTTTCATTGTCAAACCCCACCTGGAGCAATAAGTTCAGCATATGCACGTCCTTCTTTGTGAAGATCCGTTGTAGAATCTTATTCTCATCTTGCAAAGTTACTACCCCTTATTAAATGTCGCCAGAGAGAAGCTCCCGTGCGAGCATGAAGTTTTGCTCCATGATGTCGGAGAATCTGCATTCACGACTGCCCAACACTATAAAGATCGCTTCCAAATAACGATTGATTAGCAGACGGTTGGTGGAAGAGGCTAAGTCATCTTCATCAGGAAAACATACCACCTCTTTGTCACACGGACATAGCAGTCCAAGGAAAGGATATCCCGACTGTCAAGGAGAGAGAATGATTGTGAATGAGCCAAATGGCCGAGGCAGAAGGGCGAGATCCCTGAAAAGCCTAGAAGGCTGAGGGATTCGCAAAGGGCAAGAGGAATCCATGAAGCTGCCCAGACACAATGAAGGACTTCTCGTGGTTCTTCCTCTCCTTAACACAAGGGCTCTTACGACCAAAAAAGATTATTGCATGTATCAATTGACTTCGACGTGCACCCTACATCGTCAGTGGCTCTCATCTAACCCATTTGACCCATTGTCGATTCCTGCCTACACCAGACTAAGTCCTCCGTTACACCTTTTGTCGCTATTCCATTCGACATACTCCCAGCGGATGGAGAACCCGATATCTGCCAACTTGGTGATCATGTTATTTGTGGAAGATATGACCACCAGCCTGAGGGGCTCCACCTAACGAGCGGCTAGATAGGTCCTATATACATGAGGGCCTCCTCCAGTATCACTCCTATCATCACGAGTATTACCACTGATACTGGAGTATCACGCCGCGATAATTTGGTCTCGGCAATGATAGTCTCAACTAGTCTGTCCTTTCGGCACCTCCCGTCCTGTTTCTTGGAAGGCCTACCTCATTCCATTGGCCGTGACACCCCATCCGGTAATGCAAGCAAAAAGCCCGGATTAAAGAGCGCTCTACTATATAACAGCCACGACTTTAGGTCGGAAAGATAGGTAGCTTCGCAGATCCAAGAGACTAGATTTTCAACATACCTTTAATCTTACTGGAAGCGGAAGCCATAGCCCTCCAGGACTTTTGTAACGGGTGACTTGGTCTGGCGCAGGCAGGGATCGAAAATAGGTCAAATGGGTTAGATGATGGCCACTGACGATGTGGGGTGCACAGCGAAGTCAATTACTACGTGTAATAATCTTTCTTGGTCCTCAGTGTCCTTGTGTTAGGGAGAGGAGGAACCAAGGGAAATCTATCATGACCGAGCAGCTTCCTTTATAGAATCCTCATTATGCCTCGGCCATATGGCTCATTCTCTTCGGTCAACCGGCTCTAGACATCTTCCGGGATCAACCACGTATTTGTGCCGCTCACAATCATCCTGCCTCTGGTGTCCCTTGTGATGGCAGTCGGGGACATCCCTTTCCTTGGACTGCCGTGCCCATGTGACAATTTTCGCTTTGCAGGTGTCGAGGTTTCCAATCAGCCACTTCCACCGTAGGTTTATTTGATCCAGAAGACTGAAAACGGGGCTTTAGCGTTATGGGCCAGGTCGCGCTCCGGTCCTCGGCATGCTCATGCCTTCTGCAGCCCGATAAGGGATAACCGATATCAGGCGCTCCAAGTGGACAATCCTCGCGGTCGCACTCTCCTAACAAAACAACTGACCGGTCTACCAGTCATGTTGAATTCCCAGGGAATAAGGCATTCTTGAAATCAATGGTGGAGTATACTTCCAACTGTTTCCTTATACCCAGCGCAGCAGTGCCCGGAAAGAGACATGGAAACGAGGATTTACCTCGTCGAACATCACCATCCTCAAGAGACCGCGATCATCCGACGGTGAAGCATTTACTCTGTTCTCACCACTATCAGAGAGTAAGTATCAACTCGATGGAACAGGGGCTCCAACATGTGCGGTGCTCGATATAGGCTGAGATGCAAGTCTAATGGATGTAGATGAGAGCATCAGTGTTGCTGAATCTAGCAATGAGGCGTACACGTCTTCTTGGATTACCCTAAGTTGTGCGTGCACAGCTAAGACCTCGACGATCTAGTTTGTTTTTGGCGCGGTAAAATATCATAACTTTATGTTCTTTACGTACACTATGATGGCAGGCCACGCTGATCTTGAATATAGATCTGTGAAGTGAAGGCTTAGTTCGAGGATGTACAGCCCATTTCCTCTATTCTTCCGTGTCATCCCTCCTATTTCTTGCTTAATATCGTTCAACATGGCCAACTCTCTGTTCTATCAAGCCCCTACAACACCACAATAATTGGCCACTTGGGCTCAAAGCATGTCTCACTCTCCAGGAATTGGCCAAGTTAACGGCTATAAAAATTGTCGCTGTTGTAGCCACAATAGAAGTTGGACGTTTTAAAAGGGTTCAAAACATGAAAGCAGATCGTGGACTTGTCTGTGAATGTGTATGGACCATTGTCAAGAGCATATGAAGCTGGGGTCATTCTATTGGAACTTGAGCAGCCAGTCTACCTTCAGCATCCATTATTTTTGGAGCCTGCTTGTCAGGGGTTATTCCAATCCAAAACTCTTCCGTGGTGGAAGCGAAATGCAGAACCTAATACACCTTGTGAAATTAACTGAAGAAGAGTTAAGGTCTATGTTCCTCGCTGAAGTAGTTGGTGTGCTTAGTTTGCTGTATGGCAGCCATCTTGAAGCTAACAATGAAGTCTGGCAACGATATGACGGAGATTCAGCCAGTGCTATCATTACTCCGCTTCAACGGTAGGCAGGCATTAACTCCATTCAGTGCCACTTTTCTGACAAGAGTAACACATCTTACATGTAAGCACCAACTTACAGGTCTGAAATGCCTATTGCAACGAGAAGATCGCCAGATATGTCGAACTACACATGCACGACTGAGAGAATTGGCTGTAATACCGTGAGTCGGTTACCAACCTCCTGGGTTGTTACTATTCAAGACACTTACACAAACCTCGTAGAGCGGAGTACAACAGTCCCATCGATACAAATAGTGGCATACTTGCTGCAGTAATGAAATTAGGGGAAAAGCTGACAGTGATTACTTCCATCGTGGCTACACTAGATGACTCCGGACACCATATATCTAAACTGAAACTATACCAGACCTGTATCCATGAGTGCCACGCTTTTTGTGGTCAGTTCAGTGCGTAAGTGTATCAGGGCTCTCGTTGCTTAGACCTCGAACGGTGTAACGGGCGACTTAGCCTGGTGCAGGCAGGGATCGACAATGGGTCAAATGGGTTAGATGATGGCCACTGACGATATGGGGTGCGCAACGACGTCAATTGCTACGCGTAATAATCTTTCTTAGTCCTCAGTGTCCTGTGTTGGGGAGAGGAAAACCAAAAGAAATCCTTCATCGTATCTAAGTAGCTCCTTTTATAAAATCCATTTGCCCTTGTGAGTACCTCGCGGTCTCCTGGGATTTTCAGGGGTTTTCTCATCGTGGTAGAGTTATCTAGCTCATTCTTAGCACCCCCTTATATTTCCCGGGCTCTACCAATAAATTATGCCCTTCTCAGCTCTTGTATCACCGGTGTTCTATATGTTGGTTGTCAGGGATATTTCTTCTCTTTGGACTGCCCCGTCCATGTGACAGACGGGTTGAACCAACATCGTCGTTACCTTGGAATGCCGACAGGGGTTTTGGAGGTGTGGAAGCGGATATTAAAAAGCACGTAACTTTAAGCCATGAGAAACTAAGCCCGGAACGAGCAATCTCATTGTTGTATTTGTTCTTGGCTAACCTGTCCCCAGGCATGTCAGACCAGAAACACTTAAGGTTTGTTGGTCTCATGGGCCTGGACGCCCTACGCGCCTCTTCGACTTAGCTCAATTTGATGTTGTGTTAACTACATACGTAGTAATGGTGTCAGAGTATAAAGTAAATGGACTACTCTTCCATGTAGACTGGTACGGAGTTGCTCTTGATGAGGGTGAGTTTACAGTTAATTTGAAAAAAAACCATTATAGCTAACTGGAGTGGGGACCTCCGATAACTGACCACCATTCTGCAGCTCCATTGGATTCAAAATGAGAGCTCTCTTCAGTTCAAAGCGGCAGTTGGTTAATGTCAATATGGCGATGGCATCTGAGTGGAACATCTATTCAAAATGGCTTAGACGACCTTCTCTCTCTATTGCGGATTTTACAGTCCGAACCGTTCAGCATATCTCATGTCTTCCGATAGAATGATGTGGAACCTTTATTAAGGAACGGTGGAAGAAACACTATGACGTTGCAAACACTTCTGATGTCACTGTGTCTTCATCGTGGGAAAGATTTCTGAACGTTCCCTTAACTGAAAGTCGAATAATGCGTGGTGGTTTTTTCTCAATGCTAGCCTAAGTTTAATGAAGCTGTAAGCTCTCGGAATTCGATAGCTCTAAGAGCTATGCGGCATTACTTGAAGCGATCTCAAAGATTTGGAGAATATGCAACCATGGAAAGCGTGGAGGTGACTTAAGGAACCTGGGAGTTCAGCCAAATTACCACACTCCCTTGGGGATGAGGAACGTGGAGCATGCAATGGTGAGGACAGAGACCTCATTGAGCTTTTGCAAGACCGTGACCTCTACCCAGAGCGCGGTAGGTTTTTGCCTTCGACTCAACACTCCCGAAAAACAGCTTTCTCCTTGTCCTCAACTCCCAGAAAGCACCAAGAGAGTATATCTCTACGAGAAGCCAGAAAGTGGTACATCGCATTGAAGAACCGAGCGGGGATTAAAAGGTGTGTTTCATTCTGTTATTCAAACATGACGGCATTTGCAGCTAACTGTTGGTCGATGTTCAGTACAGCCTTGTCTTTTCGTCTTGGACGAAAATCCTGGATCTGATCCAACAGTGTCTCTCAACAAAAGGCATTTCTTGTTTGCGGATCGATGGAAATGTAGCTTTTTCCGACAGCATGAACATTATCAAAACCTTTGGAGCGTCAGATTTTCAAGTCTTGCTGATTGCAGTGCAAACTGGTGTAGTTGGGTAAGATTTGTCCCGGATAATCAAAGATGAAAATACCCCCGCTGACACAAATCTTACTCTCGCCACGGCAAACTACATCTATATCCTTGAACCCCAATGGAATCTTCCTATAGAAGCCAAGCAGTTGCAAAGGCAATATAGATTGGACAAAGTCAAACAGTGACGGTGTTGCGATATGTTGTTAAAATTCTGCTGAAGAGGTTCAAGAATCCTGGTACTGGCCTATGACCATATTCTGTCAAACTGACCCTTCAACAAAACAATGTCAGTCTACATAAGAGAAAGCGTCACCTTGCCAAGTTTGCACTGGATAGTCCTTCCCAGAATCAGGGACGAGCCGGGTTGGATATAAGCTGCGGTTGATTGGTCTTTAATGAAAGTTAACCTTTAACTGAAAAGATAGGATCTCCAATTTGTACTTAACCTGGGCCTTTTCCGATAGAAAACGTGAGGCTCCTTGGCGTGCAGGTGCCAGCTGGAGGATAAGTCTCTCCATCTAGTCTATACATTGATCGTTCAACTGTGGGTTGTGTTGCAGATCATACTCTAGATCTGATGCTTATTATCCAAGATGGGTCAACAGTCCAATCGAATGCAGTTCCATCCAGAAACTGTTCCATACCTAGCTTTGAGCCGCACTCCGCAGCTTCCTCATCACTTCAGTAAGCGCGTGTCACATTGTCACGTCGTTCCTGTGCCCGGCTCCTGAGTGGAAGTCCCAGATCGAGCTCTGAGGCCAGGCCTGGGATGCCGCCACGAGGCGCCTTATCCCAACGGTGAGGCCCCTCCACTTCCCCCTCCGTACGCGACCCCAGTCCCACAGGGGCGTCGACCCAACACCGATTCCTCAGATTCGGAGTCGGAATTGGAAATCCACATCCCCGGGTTCGTACAAGTGTGAACATCCCATTCAACCCAGGACACACAACCCCCCTTGGCTTACACCGGTTTTGCCTCAGTGCAGGCTTTTCCTCAGGCGTTACTTGTATATATGTTAGTTCAGTAGCTATTGCTCGCCGTCGTCGTGGGCACAATCTCGCACCCTCAGGAGTGGACTCGGTCGAAAAAGAGAACAATAATATAAATAAGAATCCTGAGTGGAAGAGCATCGAGCCTTAGGGATCAAGTTGTACGAAGCTCCTCTCTATACCAGATTCCAAAATACTTCAAACTTTATCATGTTCTGTTTGCTACCCCTCGGCAGCTAACGGCTCCTTGACTCATAAGTTGACTCACACACTGTTGCATAGCGAAATAGGACATTAAGCTTGCCTATGATCCCTTATCTAGCTTGAAGGTTGGAACATGTCAAATAAAGTTTTTTCTTACATACTTCACCGTCAGTTATAAAATCGATCATGTTACCAACAGACGGCGTAGGAGACAAATACAAATGCTCCAAATGGGGTCAAAAGGCGGACCAATCAGATGAAGAAGCGCAATTATCGCACTGCGATACACAGCGATAACTGCAAGAAACTCCTCAACAATACCACAGGTAATGGAAGTAGATAGGCAGACTGACAGCTTCGAATATGAATATGTATATACGATCACCCATTCCAGAGCCATGACGAGGACTCTCCAGTCAGTAACAGAAACAGCTGTCAACCAACAACTGGTGACCGCAGTGAATCCCATACTCTACTGTGTGCGGACCCCAGTCACTCAGGTTCTACAACCTGGCCACTACCTTTGAACCCATCTCAGGAGGTTGTGGAATCGTCATAGGTCACAACATACAGCTCCTTGTACTACGACTTCGCCTTATCAGCATAAACGGTGACAAATGGACACTCTTAAGATAGTGATGATAGGACTTGGGCTGATCAACTTCCAATCAATAACATCCCTAGAAACTAATGGAGGGTAAAAGATGAAGTAGTGAGGTAAAGAATGAATAGAGATTAAAATGAAGAGAAATGGAACTAGTAAGGAGAGAAAATCGTGGTATATTGATCACGTCAGGTACCTTAAAATACGCCAAGTAGTATCACGTTTTCACAGCCCAAGGGATCCATCGCAGATCTCAATTAGGCTTAGGGTTTATCCATCAAACTCGGCACAAACCAGCTGCCAAGCCCCCGGATTTGCTACATCCCTAAACACCGGACAAAACATCTTGAGGTGCCTCAGCGGGTAGCAGCTCGATAATCCGCCGAAATTAATTTATGTATATTAGAGGTATGCTAAGCATACCGTGAATGTAGTTTAATCCCATGCTTCCCTAGTGTGCTTGATGCTGAAGCCTTTTATGAATCGCACAGATTCTCGTTTTGTCGCAACACGCATGGGAATCCAAACAATGTTAAAAATGGCCATCTGGAAACCGATCAACCCCACCACCAGCGACGTTGACGAACTTGTTCGCGTTGGCCAAACTGTCCACGATCCCAGCCTAGACGAAGGTGCGGATGTCTTCCTTGAGCGCGTACAGCTGTTTCCGCAAGGATGCATGGTACTCGTTGAAGACGGGCACATCGTCGGTTATGCTATATCCCACCCAATCCTGCGTGACTGCCCGCCTGCCCTGAACACCAAACTTGGAGCGGTTCCGACGAATGCCGATGAGTACTACATCCACGACATCGCTATACTGCCAGAGTTTCGCGGAAAGGGCCATGCAGCGGAGTGCATCGACAAAATCCTCCGAGTCGCCGATCAATATCCTACCACAAGCTTGATTTCTGTATACGGCACGGCGTCTTTCTGGGGTCGTTATGGGTTTGCTCCTGTCCCCCTGTTGGAGGGTCACCTTGCCAAGAAACTTGCGAGTTATGGGGAGGATGCGCAATACCTTCGCCGACAGAACAAAGAGTGTTCTAGATGAGAGATGAGATCCTGTAGTTAGATTCCGACGTGTTAACTAAGCAGTTTCCACATGTTTTCGTGCAGTCAGCTTAAACTAAGGCAGAAGACGAATGTCGATGCTTGGTTGGCTGTGTGTTTGGCTACCCAGGAACCGGTAGGTATGTATGGTTTTCGACCACTATCTAGGTATTCGGGTTATGCCCACGGCGGCGGCAGGCAATAGGTTGCCAAGCACATTGTGCGGGGGAAAACCCCCGCAGAGCTTGTGCCCATTGGTTCCCCAGAGAGGGGTGCCTGAAAAGTGCCGGACATCTCCAGTCCGAGAAACACGTGACTACCAGCTCCCAGACACGCAACATCCAGACCTTCTCCTGAAGGTTGCCAGGAAAATGCCTCCTCGACGTTTCTTGAGCTTTCCCTGTATCTGGACATTGTTGTAGCATCGCTGAGAAGCCCAAACTTCTGGATGAACTGGTGTCTAAAGCACCCACTAATAACAACAGGGGCTGTTGTTGACCCCACAGCACAGCCAAAACAAGTCGGGGAGTGACACAGTCGATTCAATTCGGGCAAAGATTACGCAATTTGATATCGTTGTCAATTAAGCAGCATGAGGTTCGATATTTATATCATTCGGTATTGGGGAACTGTAAAACTTTGAACCAGAATGCTACACAAAATGGTGGAGCGAGCATCTGTTTAACTGTACCTCCAAGTACAGAGAGGACTCGAGAACCCTGACATCAGGTTCATGAGCAACCGTGACATACTGTTGTTTACAGCATAAGCCTCAATGGGTTTCTTGATCATACTCGATACAGCCTTCTCAAGCTGATGTAGCCATTAGTCGGGTCGGCTCTTTCTAACTTCTTCTACTCAATCAATCTCATTTGACTTTATCTGAGCTCATATCTCTGATACCAATTGCTTTTGCTATCCTGGTCCTGTTTGATGCAAGTCACCCTTGGAGGCAGGAACAGCCTGCAAAACCAATGACATCTACCCCTGAGTCAAGGTGACCAGACATGCAGGCCATATTTACCGCGCTTTCTCACAGATGATGCCAACATTCATCTTACAGCGTTATGCCTGCTCCGGATCAATGACTGTTTGGAAATACAGTGCGAAGCCTAATATATGGCTAGGAAGAATTCTCTCCGACTGCAAAAGTCGATAGCCTAACTCTTGCTTTTTGAACATAAACTATTGCCTAAATGCAACCACCCTCGATTCTTTGATATTTCTCCTTTCCCCTTTCTTCCCATCTTGGTTCCTGCGTTTCGTTCGAGGATTAATCGTCTCCCAACGGCAGCCTAGCATCCTTTACTCCATATTCCACATTCGGCACCACCCATATCATCCACCATGTCTCCCTACCCCAACCGCCGCTTGCAGCAACCCCTCCTGCCCACGAACCTCAACTAGCAACAACAACCCCTTTCTCCACTGCTCCCACTGCTTCAACGTCCGCTACTGCTCCAAATCCTGCTAGACAACCCGCTGACGAACCACAAAGGCAACTGCCGCCGACAAAACTACACCATCTGCGTGCGCCGCGCCGCAGCATGTCAGCAACCCCTCGGTGGTACGCACGCTGCTCCGCCCAGCAATGCAACCTTCTATGAGTTTCACTGCGCGCTGCAGCTGGCGTTTGGGTGAGCCTCGACGCACACATATAACTTATACGGTGAAGAATCCGGCGTATCGCGAGCTGGAGAGTGCGGAGGGGTTTGAGATTGTCATGAAGCAAAATTTGCTTATTTTGGGAACAAGGCTGGGTCGATGGGGAATTCGTCGGGTGTGTCGAGGAAGTATTACTGTGGATCGTTGATCCTGCTAAGGTGCTTGATTCCTGGAGGAGTAGTTCTGTTGTTGATAAGATGCACGACGGTCGGAGGAGACCGGCTCATGATGGAGAAGAAAGCCATTAAGTAGCATTTGTGGCAGCCGTTTGATAATCCGGAGTATAACGGTAAATCTCTGTCTGCATGAAGCAGAAGATAGACGGTGATGAGAGGATTAGACAAGGAGATCCTCTATGTCTACAAAATCGGCAACTAAGAGCATGCCCTGACCGTCAAAGGGCGCGCAGCACCCACCAATCGCTTCATCCATCTTTCAAAAACGGGCCATCATCCGATAGCTGAGGATTGTGGTGGTGTCAAGGGCTAAGAGGAGCTCAAGCAGGCGTACTGTACTTCTGGCCCAACCAAGGACCAGGAGCAGAAACGCGAGTGGTGCGAAAAACGGTGCAAGCAATGGCGATCCTCGTGACCTTTGGGGCGATCTGACCAACAAGTGGGATATTAACTTGGTCAATCAGACTTTGCTCGTAATTAGCACTGTTACTGTTGCCCTGTCAAGTTAGTCAGCTGGTATGCTCTTAGGGTATAGGGAAGATCTCAACGACCTGCAAGTGTTGCGGAGGGAAGAAGGGTTTAGAACAATACCTGTTCCAAGCACAGTTCGTGTCTGATGAAGGCTGGGCAGATCAGATCAACGTAGAAGATCGAGACACAGCCAAAAGTTGTCCATTCTGACCCGAGCTTTTAGCTCTTTACAGACTGACAGTTGCAGACGGTGCAACATACACTCATAAACATAATGTAAAATATAACTGACATGTCAGACTGTGCTCCTGGAATTTGTGCAACCTTCTCCAAACGCGAATATGCCAGCATCATCTGAACTCCAGCCCCCAACAATGCAACTTCACTAAAAGCTCGTCACAACCGTCACCGACGTGGTGTACATCATGCAAATCATGCCCAACACCATCATCACCACATCCCCAAACCGCACCCACTTCTTCGTCGCCACGCCACGATAATGCAAATAGGCAGGATAAACATACACCAATGGCACACACGCGGTCGACCCAATGAGCGCGACAAACCGATCCAAATTCCCCGTCCCAATGACCGCAACGATGCCACACAGCACCACCACACAAAACCGAAACATATTCTTCGTCCACTTCGTCTTCAGACTCCTCTTCCCCGAGCGATGTGCGCCAAAGATGACACTCTCAAGGATGCGCTGCGCAGGGAAGAGCTGCACCGGCGTGCCGACCAGGACAGCAATGGCATACAGCAGCTGGACGACATTCACCAAGCGATTATCTTGCGGCAGGTTGTTGATAATCTCGATCTGGGTCGCATCGCCGAAGGCAATATAACACAGAGCGCCGATAGACGTGAAAACGACAGTTATGATGCCCATGACAAGGGCCAACAGGGACTCAAAGTGCGATGGCTTGGCCATGGACGCCTCGATGGGTAGGATGAGCCCAATACCTTCGAAGGTGAAGATCGCGGAGCCGATAGTCAGAGTGTAAGCTGAGGGATTGAACAGCGTGACACCGTGGTGAGAGCCATCGTGAGAGATGGTCTTGATGGTGTAGGTATAGATGTAGCTGATGCCGATGAGGATGCAGACGTCGGCGAGCAGGGCAGCGGGGCCCAGTTTGGAGATGTTTCGGATCCATGAGAGCGGAGTGAGGATGAGGAGCTGCAGGATAATGAGGGCAGTCGTTGACAACGGCGGGGTTGGTATGGAAGGCGTGACTGCGTCTAGAAAGGCAGAAAGGTTCTCAGCTACAAAGACTATACCCGCGCAGACGAAGCCGAGCTGCGACAAGGCAATAGAAAATAGAATTATCGAGCGCATCCTGTAGCCCGCAATAGCCTGGCCAATCTCGCCATAACCGCCGCTGTAGTGGTGCTTACACTGCAGCAGGAGATGGAAGGCGATCATGGTGATGACCGCCAGGGCAAGCATAACCAGACATGAGAAGAGCAAGCCACCGTTGCTGAAAGCTTTCGGTAGGAACATGATGCCAGTCCCCACAAAAGCTTTGATCAGAGTAAAGAACGTCTTGACAGTACCCGCATTGGCAGATTTGGGCGCAGGCAGACGCGAAATGACGCGCTCTCGCAGCAGCGGCTGTCTTTCCGGGGGCAGTCCTTCATCCTCTTCTTCCTCAGCCCGTACTGTAGCCTCAGCCTCGGAGTCAAGCAGATCTTCCCCAGCAAAGTGCCCATAAAGGTCGAGGAACTCGACAAAGTCGCGGGTGAGCGGCACCCGCGAGTCAGGGCCGTGATAAAGGCGCAAAAAGGCCCGACGAAAGCCGCCTGGAACGAGCTGATCGCCAACTGTAAAGCCCGGACGCGGAATGATCTCGCGATGGCTAGATACTTGAGGCTGTTCGTATACTCGAGGTGGGGGAAAACTATTGGTGCGGCGACGCCCTTGCGATGGTGAAGCGGCAGAATGTATCTTGAACAGGTCGCGGTGAATGTCGCCGCCCTGGAGACATAGAGAGGACTCCTGAAACGACGAAGGGAGCTCAGCGCCGGAAGTCGAAGAAATAGATCCATTGTCACGACAGCTATTTTTTAGAGGGTGGAACTCGGCCGTATAACCGGGAGGAAGATGCTCCGAAACGATCCTGGCGTCGGTTCCTCTCTGATCGTGGGAGATGGACGAGTGATAAGACATGGCGGAGAGGTCGTTTAGCAAGGAGTCTTGGATGGATTGACTCGATACCTTGATATGAATCGAAGCTTTGCAATTAGTGGAAGAAATAAAAGCTAGATAAAAATGGGACGAAGGTAAAGAAGTAGTGGCAATGCACGTGGCTTTTGGTGCAGATCGTGACGGATGATGTCACTAACTACACAAGTAGCGGGCTCGTGGAGCCGGACACAAAGGATCAACAACATGACTCTGCTCATCCGGTGAGCTGCGGTACTGCAGTACTGCGGCACTGTGTATGTATTGATGACCCTTAGGTTGAAACGCGTACATGTGTATTGGACACGCTAACTATGATCAGGCCAGGCTACGCGTCCTGCATATGGTCCCAATTTTACATATGCATCAAGCTTGAACCAGCGCTTGATTATTTTTCTACACACCTCCCACATTACTAAATCAACGCCGACACATTACTGCTGCTGACCTGAGACGAAGGCTTCGAGCGCAGCGATTTGGGCCAGCACGGAGCTGCTGCTGGTGCCACCAGGCGTACACCTCTTCTCCACGCTCTTCTCGAAGTCAAAGACTTCAGAAATGTCCTCCTCGAACAGGGGAGATATCTCCTTGAAAGTCTCGAGCGGCAGAGCCGAAATCGAGACGCCAACCTCCTCGGCCTTGCGGACAATGGCACCAGCAATGTGGTGAGTTTGCCGGAAGGGAACGCCCTTACGCACGAGGTAGTCAGCCACATCAGTGGCTAGCATGTCGTCGGTCAACGCCGCCCTCATCTTATCGCCGTTGATTTTGAGCGTAGCGAGGACGCCCTGAGTGATCCGAAGGCATGTTGAGACGGAGTTGATGGTGTCGATCATGGGCTCAACAGACTCCTGGAGGTCCTTGTTATACGAAGTCGGGAGGGATTTGAGCGAGGCAAGGAAGCCAGAGGCCTAGGGGACATTAGCAAATGTCGAACGCGTAGCAAGGAAGGTACTCACATGGCCCATGACGCGGCCAGCCTTGCCGCGAATCAGCTCCAAACTGTCCGGGTTTTTCTTCTGCGGCATCAGGCTGCTTCCGGTGCTGTAAGCATCGGCAACCTGCACAAAACCGAATTCGGCGCTGGAGAAGAGGATCAGATCCTCGGCTAGACGGCTTAGGTGAGCCATGGTAAGGCTGGCCCACTGGAGGATCTCAACCACGAAGTCACGGTCAGCCACGGCGCACAGGCTGTTGGGATGGACCGAGCGAAACCCGAGGTCTTTGGCCATGAATTCGCGATCAATGCCGAAAGGGTTGCCCGCGAGAGCGCCGACGCCCAGGGGGCAGGCTGACATGCGCTCTTGGACGCCCTCTAGGCGCTGGAGATCGCCCTTGAGAAAAGTGGCGTGCGACAGCAACCAATGAGAGAAGCGTACGGGCTGAGCGCGCTGCAGATGGGTGTAGCCAGGCATCAGGACAGGAAGAGCCTCCTTGGCGCGCTCGGCGAAGACACGGAGGACGTCCTTGAGGATAACAGAGAGCTGGTCGAGCTGCTCGCCAGCCCACAGGCGCATGTCGACGCCGACCTGCTCGTTGCGAGAGCGGCCGGTGTGCAGCTTGCCGGCAGTAGCGCCGATAAGTTCTCCCAGCCGGCGCTCATTGGCAGTGTGAATGTCCTCATCCGACGAAGTGTGGATGACAAACTTGCCCTCCTCCCACTCCTTCTCGACGGCCTGCAGTCCCGTCACAATCGTGTCGAGCTCCTCGTCGGTCAGAATGTCGAGCTTTCGCAGGGCCTTGGCCCATGTGATGGACCCACGTATGTCGGCCTTATAGAGCACCTTGTCGAAGGACAGCGATTCGTTGAACTGGAACATGAGCTCGTCGATGGCACCTGCGATGGCCCCTCTGCGGGGCGTTTGGTCAGCTAAGCTCAGAGTCCGCGCTTCAGCGAAACTCGTCGCGCTTTTCTTTTGATCATGCTTGGGACAGGAACAATCGGCCAATTGCCCATACCGCTGAACCGGCCGCCCCAGAGGAGCGGTTTCGCGTTGTTTGAAGCCATGGTTTCTGTGTTCGTGCACCTTCAATGGCCGACTCCGTGGTATGCTGGACGAGGTTGGAGCTGTTAAACTATGATTCACACAAAATGCGACCGTCCTTTTGTTATCCTCACGTGAGGTAGCATCGTTCCCATTGATGTGCTTATCAGTCGCCGACCCCACACTAACCCCGCACCCCGGTCAAGGTGGAACGAGTCCATTTGTCCCGCTTCCCCGGGCTCGTGGGTCTGCAGAAGTTCAGGTCGCCTCCAAAAGCTGAGTCCTTTGAGCTCTTGGGAGTGTCGTTGAAGTCTTATTGTTTTCGCTATTGTGACATTTAGGCAACGGTAAGACCAATACGTTCTGGCATAGTTCTAAGTCCCAAGTCGGCTAGTACTATCTGTTATGTCTAGACGCGCTGTACCTACAGTCACCGCATAGTCCACTGATGCATGGCTTATACAGTGCATTTCTCGATATCTTCAGTTGATTTGTTGCTCGGCGTCAAGCAGGTGATGCAGAAAAAGTAAACCTGCCCGAGAACAGAGTTGTCGACTTCCGGCAAGTGTGATACGCAATCCGGATCAGAAAGTTGCCTGACGGGACATAGAAACCATGTTATCGGGCGATCATATTTACATAGAATGCCACGCCCTGTCCACCAGGCTGCAGTTCTAATCCATGCGAGACCAGAGCAAGTTTGGACACGCGCCGAGTCACTGAGCCTCTTATTGGACACAAGACCAACGCACCTCAATGCCCAGCACCCATTCCTGTCAGATGGAAAGTGCCCATCCCAGACTGCTGAACAGGTGGGCGATGCTTGTGTAACTTTCGAACCACCGACTTTGTCAGAAGGACGACCGGCCCGCATCTGCTCGAACTTCCCCGCTTTCGCACAGCGTTGCAAGTCTTCAGTGTTTCGCGGCTCACCTCAACATCATCCTTTCGCATTCACCAGGCATTTAAACCCCAAGGCAGCGCTCCTTGATTTTTTTTGTACACCTCAAAAGCGATATCCGCGACTACATAGTGGGTTTTAATAGTTAATGGGCGCTTGGCGGCGATTAAACACCACCAATGGACCCGGTAAGTTTCCTCAGGAAACACTGGAACAGCTCTAAACACAGAACGTTCGGCCGCGCTGTCGTCATAGCGTTTCCGGCTTTTCCGTTCTCCCTTGTGTCCACTGCCTTCATTTCCCTCTCTCACGGCCTACTGGTTTCCAGTTGTACCATGAGAGTCTTTAAAACCACAACGATCCTTCTGTTAGGTAACGGTTTCCGACACTGACTAGACATCCTCAACGCCAGCCAAAGAAGCGCCTAACGTTTCTGCATAGATCAACAACGTTAGGAGGCAGGTCCCTACAAGATGAAGCCGGCTTCAGCCGGACGGACTCGATCCCATCATCGCTTACGCACTTCTCCCGCCGCGGACCTGACGAAGACGAAAAGGGGCGACTAGGCCTAACAACCCTCTACCATCCAGTATCTCCCGTCAACCCTGTGGTTGACATTGTTTTCATTCATGGATTAGGAGGAGGAAGCCGGAAAACCTGGTCCTATTCATCCGACCCGGATCATTTCTGGCCAAGCTGGCTTGTTACTGATAGCGAGTTTGTGGATGTCCGTCTTCACACCTTTGGCTACAATGCGGATTGGAGCGAGCGCGGGCAGAATGTCTTCGACATCCATTCTTTTGGTCAACTATTACTTAGTTCCTTGCGAAATCACCCGGACATCCGCCGCTCAGCCACCCGCATCATTCTCGTTGGACACAGCATGGGTGGTTGTGTAGCCAAGCAAGCCTACCTCCTAGCAAGACATGATCCATCAGCGAAAGACATAGCCGACCGCATACACTCCTTTTTCTTCTTGGCAACACCGCACCAGGGTTCCGACATGGCCACTATGCTGGAAAACATGCTATCGATTACTATCGGCAAAAAACCGTATGTGACAGACCTTGCTCCTAATTCAGTTGCCCTCAAGACAATAAACGATGAGTTTCGCCTCGTTGTAGGTGGCCTTCGACTCGTATCTTTCTATGAAACCCGACCCATGCGTGTTGCAGGTCTAAACCGTTTTGTTGTCGATACCACTTCTGCCCAGCTGGGCCTTCCAAACGAGGAAATAATACCTTTAAATGCTGATCATCGTCACGTTTGCAAATTTGCCAATCGAGAAGACCCGAACTTCCAATTAATCCGAAATTCGCTTATTACCGCTGTCGACAGTATCAAGGATGCAGTTCCAGGCACTCTCAATCATTATGTTGACACTAGGATCTTCAAACAGCAATCCAGTGGCGTTTCTTTCTCACCCAAGGAACAACATCTTACCCCTTCCGAGGCCCTGATTTTACGGTCGTTTCTCAATGTCGCCGGCCCTATCGATAGCGAGTTCGAAACGCTACGACTGCTGAGGCAGCCAAATTCTTGCGAATGGTTTACTTACAGGAATACTTTCCAGTCATGGATATCAGGTAGATCAACAGCTGGTGTCCTGTGGCTGGTTGGGAAGCCTGCTGCCGGCAAGTCGATCATGTCAACTCACGTTATCGAATACCTCCAACAGTCAAATCTAAACTGCAGCTTTTTCTTCTGCAAACACTCGGAAACTGGAGGGTCCATGCTAAGCAGCATATTCCTCTCGCTCGCATACCAGATGGCATTACAGGACCGTTTGGTGAGAGACTCTATCCTACAGCTCGCTCAGTCCGACCTTATCTGGGATAAAACGGAAGAGATGAGTGTCTGGAAGCAGCTTTTCGTCAACTGCATCTTCAAACTACAATCACTAGACCAACATTTTTGGGTCATTGACGCTATTGACGAGTGTCCGAACTTCAACGTATTATTTACTAAGAAGTTACTGGCCACTCTCCCCAGCTCACTAAGACTGTTTGCCACAAGCCGCAAAATGGACGAAATTGAACGAGGGCTACAGGGATCTCTTGGCCCTTCTCGTGTCGAGATCTACGAGTTACAAGATACTGACACCTGGGACGATATTCGACTCTTCGTGAACACACGCCTGACTGACTTGGGGCTATCAGAGAATGATGAAGACAGAGAACGTATGTGCGAGAAAATCCTCAAAAAGTCTTTTGGCTCCTTCCTTTGGGCACGACTTGTCCTTGAAGAACTGGAGACTATATGGACCGAAGAAGATATAGATACTGTTCTGGACAACATACCCGGGAACTTGTTCGAGTATTACGCTCGAATGGTCAGGTCCATTGTGGAAGACAAGAGGAAAATAGGTCTCGCAAGCACTATCCTGACTTGGGTCGTTCTTGCACGGCGCCCATTGACAATTGAGGAACTTACCTGCGCAGTCAAGCTGGATTTAGGCCAAACGCCGTTGCTAGCAAGGGCCAAGACGGCGCTCCCGAGCTTGTGCGGACAGCTTGTGTTTGTTGATAAGTACAACAAAGTTCATCTCATACACGAGACGGTGCGGGAATTTCTCACAAAACACGATATGCTGGCCCAGGAGCTGTTCATGCGCCAGAAAAATGGCCACACCAGGCTGGGTCTTCTTCTCATTCAATACCTCTCTGGCCCTGTCCTTAAACTGAATCCCCTCAGCCATTTGGCACCGTTCAAGGTCCAGCTACACGGCAGCAGCACGAGTGGAAGAGCGCTGCCCAAACAGCAGTCGTCTGGGGTATCTGCTGACTCAGCCCTGCTCGACTACGCAAGCGTCTTCTTCTCCGACCATCTACTCCATGCTATGTCAGAAGACCATGAGTTGATGCAGGCACTCTTTAATTTTCTCCAGTCTAGCAACGTGCTCTCTTGGATTGAGCATGTTGCGAAGCTCAAAGATTTGAAACCTCTGACGCAAACGGCAATGAACCTGCGCAACTATCTCACCAGAAGAGTCAAATATGTCGCTCCCACTGATCGAGCTATCCAGTTTGCGGATGATTGGGTAACGGACCTCATCCGCGTCCCTGCCAAGTTCTGCGACCAGCTGCTTGCATGCCCATCGGCCATTCAAACGCTAATCCCGCCTCTTTGCCCACCACACTCTGCAATCTCCCGGACCTTTGGCAGTGATGCCCGAAACCTGGTTGTCAGGGGTCTTCGTCCTGGGTCGTGGGACGATTGCCTAACCTATTTAGACTTTGTGAAAGGGCGGCCGACATCTGTAAGTCACGGGGATCATATCTTTGCTGTCGGATTATCTACAGGCGAGATTTGGCTCTATGACTACAACACCATGCAGTGCCTTCGCACAATGAAGCACCCTGAGCGCGTCAAAATTCTTGAGTTCAGCACTGAAAGCACTCTGTTGGCATCGGCTGGACCAAAGCAGCTGTCGATATGGGACCCCAAGTCCGGAGCCCTACTTCAGTTGTTTGACTTTCCACCACGATGCTCGCCGTTAGCCGTTGTATTTCTAGGGACGCAAGAGATCCTCGCAGCCTTTGAATCAAAAGTGTTGATTAAATGGTACGTAGACATCTGTTAATCACAACCATGGATCATGGTTTTGCCCCGTGCATCTTCGCCCTCAGTCTTGCAGAATGCTAATAGCCCCAATTCCTACTGCAGGGATCTCGAGACTGGAGACCAAGACATGTATCGTTGGGTTAGCACTGATTTGGACGGCTCGACCATTGCCATACCCCAGTTGCCGGCAACCAAAGCTGCTTTCCTGGTGTTGGATGAAGTCGTTTTGCTTGCTCTTGGTTATCGGTTCCACCATGTTGTCATATTGCACGCACTCACGGCAGAACCACTTGGGGTGTGCGGTGCTAACCTCTCAAACAATGGAATCGATTGTATGGCATTCAACCCGAATCCCGAGATACCAGTCCTGATCGTCGGCTACATCAATGGGACTTTGCGGATTTTTGACTATGGAACCATGGAGCTACAAGTCGAACGCAACGACGTTTACGCTCAATGCTTGGCCTGCTCTCCTGATGGCCGCAGTGTTATCGTTGGGACTAAGGAAGGGGTCATTGAAGTCTTCGATCTCGATTGTACCCCTTATCGCGGTGGGCTTACTCTGACATTGATATACCGAACTAGTCGAATGGATAAGACCATCATTGGAGTTGCAATGAGCTCTGATGGCCATCGCTTTGTCGACATTCGCGGTCAACAAGCCCGAGTTTGGGCACCTGCCTCCCTAGTCAGACGGAATACCAGCGAAGTAGATAGTTCAGCAGGAGGATCAGAAATCGATCCAGCTGTTTCACTTCCTCCACGACCTCCGGCTTTTTTCAGCAGCAATAAGGAGAGCGAGATTACAAGTCTTGTTGCAACTAGTGATGGCCAGTTCATAATTGCTGGAAAGAGCAATGGAGATGTCGTGCTCTTTGAGACAAGTGAGGCAAAGCAGTTAGGTCGTCTTTATCATCATGATCACCGTGCCTCCGTTACTCGCCTGGTGTTTGCCGAGCCGAATAACATGGTCTTATCTGCAGATCATATTGGTTGCATTAAGGTTGTTGTGTTTCAAACGCCGTTATCGGGGATCAAAACTACATCATCTACACCTCCTGTTCATGTCATCCTTAACCGTCACATCAAATCGACCGTGAGATGTTTGCTTGTCAACTCTGCAGGGGACCGCGTTTTGGTCCAGGGCCGGGAGACGCTGGAACTCTGGGAGATCCCTTCCGGCAACATATACGCTCCTCACCAGGATCCTGAGTCAAGTGAATGCAGCCCTCCGCAACACTTAGCAGGAGAACGGCCCCCCGGGATTTCTGGAGCATCGCTTATAGAGGGTGATGACCAACGATCGACAATGACTCGTAGCATTTTCCAACACCCAACCGAGAGCAAGTGGTTTGTTTGTGTCACAGGCAATGTTGCCAGAATATACGCGTGGGCCAACTTTGCTGAACTTACAACAGCCGAGGGCATCCTCCTCAAAAGACGGGAAGACAACGCTACAACCGAGCAGCGGCAATGGTCAGAAGTATCGTACCACGTTAGCCCTACATTTGTTGTAGAGTTCTCCCCACGAACTCGTCTCTCCTCCCCATGCATTACAGTGTGGCCAGCAGCACAATTTACCCGAGAAGCAACTTCAGCGGAGCCTGTTCTAGAACCAAAACTTGACGCTATTGCCCCTGTCATATCTTCCATCCTTCGCATCATCAACTCCTCGACAATTTTGTTTGTGGATTCCAATCTTTGGATATGCAGTGCCGAAGTGCAATCGTTTTCTAGCACACCGGGACGGTCAGCCGTTACACGCGCTTTAGGACTCGGGAGACCTTCTCAGTACACTGCCGTTTCTAAGCCGACACTGGCATCCAGAACATCATCCCTGCCGGTGAGATCACAGCTGCCAGCAGCTTCCTCGAATAAGGATGATGGCGCACAGGCTCAGCGCCACTTCTTTGCTCTGAGCGAATGGAGAACTCCAGGCGGGGACTTACTGTGCGCAGCGGTAGTTCCTGAGAGGGGTCATGGAGGTCTCGGCGGGAATAGTAGCCGGGATATGATAGCCTTTGCTGCTGGTTCTCGGTTGGTTGTTATACATGGGGGATTGGGCTTCTCGGAGCGAGTCTCGATCGCTGGTAACGTGAACTTTCCTGGACCTGGTGCATCAAACACCAACATACCGAGTGGTTTTGTCGCTGGCGGAGCAGTTCAGACATGGAATGTTATATCCGGGAGCATGCATCGTCGGAACTCAAACTGGTGATCTAGAGTGTCTGTAGCTTTCAATTATTGGCACACCATGAGTCCAGGCTTTTCTTATGTATCTGTTCCTAGGCGAGTTGATGAAGGCTTGTGGATGATACCCCATCAGTATCCTTTTGGAAGGATATAGATAACGATGCAAATAGTCATTGATCCTTGTTGTCAACCGACAATAGGTACATTCAGATACATGGTGACCTTTAGTCTAAGGTCTCGCTACTCACAACCCAAATACCCTTTCTTGAACTTTTCATTCAAGCGACGGATCTCGTTGATGGCCCTATAGTTCTCAGTACACAAGCCGAAGATTTGCAACATGTCAGATATCCCTTACATTTCCAGGTAAGAAGGGTCATTTGGGAAGAGTGCAGCAGCATGCAAATTGAAACGACTGAATTCATTGCAGTCAGCAGTTGCTGGCCCTGACTTGGCGCGAACCCTCCCCTCCTAGCAGGCACTTACAGTGCATACAAAGCATTTCGATCATCGTAGTCAGCAACCGGCTCTGAGCGGGGGATAAAGTCGTGATAGGCGTTGAAAAATTCTTCGTCGAAGCCGTTGCGTTTCGGCCTCCAGTTTCCCAACTCATCTGACAACGCCATGTTAATTTCATACACAACACCGGAGCCGATGTTACTTACACTCATTGTGGGCCCAAAAGCTCGAAGGATCAAAAACAATAGCCTGGCCTGTATCACCATCGATAACACCTACGTTTCCACACCAAAGATCTCCGTGTACCAAAGAGGGCTTGAGTTTTCGCCCATTTGTCTCCAGCGGGCGTAGCAGCCGTGGAATCACTTTGTCAAACAGGTCGGGCAGCAACTCATTCAACTCCACACATGGTCCCGCTCTCTCTTCCCTAACCTTCAACACATGGCGAAGGCCTTTTGAGAAGAATTCCTCCCAGCTATCACACCAACTATTATCCTGAGGAAGGTTACCATTGTACGTGGTGCAATGAAACCCGAATTTTCCTTGAGGCGATGTATCACTTTGGTGAAGCTTTGCCAGCTGTTCGACAAACGACTGACGGTCTATTACATCGGGCTCATCCTTGACAAACTCGTAGAATCGACACAGATAAAAGTGAGAATCTTCCTGCAGTTCCAGAGTCCCCCAGGCAATGGGCTTTGGGCAGAAAGTTGGGTTGATCGTGTGGATTGCTGATGTTGCCTCAAATTCTCCCTTAAGGGCTTCTCTGCCATGGAAACCAATGGAGACCTGTGAACGGGCTTCAGCGTGACATGAATATCAAAGTGAGAAAGAGGGGTACCAAACCTTCATGAAGTAGCTTTCTTCGTCGCCATCCACAGTTCGTACATCGATGCGTTTTGCCTTGGCCCAAGCGGATTCTGCAACATCTGTGACACTCAAGACAGCTGCTACGCTGGGCAGGACTATACAAGATGTATTAGCTTAGAACATATCGCCTACGCTGAGAGACGGTTCATGGCACTTGAATTATTAATAAGTCGGCGGTACTGACCATCAAGAACTGCAGGGTCAATGAGTTCATAACCTTCCACCACTACCTGCTTCTTCACTTGAGAGTCGCACGACATCTCGTAGACCGCGTTGCGAGACTGCGTTACTGAATCCAATAGAGTTGACATGTATTCAAAAATTAATTCCGTAATGTTATCGGGATTGGACCATCCGATTTCTCGATCCACCGGAACTTTTTAATGCCAACTGCAAATTGACGTATTTCGAGAAGCGGGGCAGTTGACAGAATGGTGAACGGAGTACTGACTGTATTGCTGGTTGTAAGTTGTAGGCCCAAGTGGTTTACAATTTCCCGCTAAATGTGAGGAACTTTATGTAGGGAATGATTTAAAAAGGATGAAGACTTGGAAACTGATAGAGGAGGAAATGTGTGAGTACAGAAATACTTTTCAAGCGTATGTCCGATGTAGCCGTCGTTTAGGCACACCAAACTTGCATCCTCTTACAATGCGGGGTTAACTGCTCATCATCCCAAAGATGCCTTCAAACTGCCCCACCTTCCAAATTATGTACAGTGATCAAGTCGTAAATACAGCGTATGAGGTTGAGGGGCTTCTGTTGGCCAGTTGTTGCGGCCCAGACCTTGCTGGTCACCCAAGGAAGCGACCTTCCATACGCCAATCGCGGTTCCCATTTCGTGCTATTGAGCCTACTGATGCAGGTTGGTGGTACAGGATGTGGCACAGCGAAACACCTGTTGAAGAGATACCGGAAGGCTGACATGCTACGTAAACTTGCTACCAGTAACCGAGCAGTCAGCAGAAGCCTCAAACCCCTCTTTTCTTGGGTCCCTAGCTTCTATCAAGGTTTCCATGATGGAACCAGCCCCTCATTTTACAACTTCCAACTTCTCTTCCACTGATAAATCCCACTAAAATAGACAAAACTTTCAGTGCTTGTCTGCCAACCTCTGGACAGCTCTTTCTTTACCATGGATCTTCCAAGTTACTTCACATTGAACAATGGCCACAAAGTTCCTGCATTGGGTCTTGGCACTTTCCAAGGGACCAGCGGTAACTCCAAGGTAAAGGAGGCAGTGAAACTGGCCCTCAAGTTAGGCTACAGGCACATTGATGGGGCAAATGCCTATGGCAATGAGAAAGAAATCGGGGAAGCCATCAAAGAGAGCGGTATTCCTCGGGAAGAGATATTCGTCACCTCAAAGCTGTGAGTCGAGACCTTTTGGATCCTTAGTAGAATAGCAAGCACGATCATTGACCCATTGACAGAGCCCAGACCTGGCATCATCCCGACGACGTTGAGCGAGCTCTTGAAGTCACCTTGAGAGACCTCCAACTGGACTACGGTATGCCAAATAACCTTGAAAGCCCTAACCGAGGTAGCTTCTTGCTGATGTGTTCAATTAATCCAGTGGACTTGTATCTGATGCATTGTAAATCGTTCTGAAACACTAGACATGTCCCCTGAGCCGCGTTAACCTTAGGTAACCAGTTCCACATGCCTACAAGGCAGGTCCGAACAACACAACAGTCCGGCACCCAAGCGGTAATGGCAAGGTACGGCGTCAAGGCTTGGTCTCCTCCTTTAACCATGAAACTTGCGAGCTGAACTTCCTATGATGCTGTAGCCTGTGATCGACTATGACCTTTCCAGAAGGTATCCAGAAACGTGGAAGGCAATGGAGAAACTTGTGGACTCAGGCAAAGTTCGGTCAATTGGTGCGTATTGTTGTCTCACTTATAACGCTCGCAGGCCGTGGTAGCTTTAAGCTGACCCGCCCCTTAGGCCTCTCCAACTTCAACATTCTCAAAACAAAAAGGTTCGGTAATTACCTCCTGATTTCGTATAGATACTTACACACATATCCTCCTAGGATCCTAGAAGTTGCCCGGATCATACCTGCAGTGAACCAGGTGGAACTCCATCCATTTCTTCCCCAACATGAGCTGTTTGAGTTTTCAACGAACCACGGCATTTTGTTAATGGCTCACCAGCCACTCGGCGGCAGGCCAGTACCAGTCGTCCGGGCTCACCCCGACGTTCCTTTTCCGACAGAAGATTCGACGGTACGTCGTCATCAGGATGACAAACTAACTCCAGTTACTCAACCAACCGTAATTAGATCGTCGACATTGCAAAGAAATGCAAAATGTCGCCCGCGCAGGTGAGCCTCAATGTAGTAGTTCTAAGGATGTGTCAAAGCGAGACACTTATTTGAAGTTTTCCTCTTCCTAGGTTTGCTTATCGTGGCTCGTTCAGCGCGGTATCCCAGCAGTTCCAAAATCGGTGCAGGAGGTCCACATGAGAGAAAATCTTCAGCTGAAAAGGCTGCCTGACGAGGATTTCGAAACCCTGCAGAAGTTGTGGTTGAAGCGTGGCCCAATTCGGTTCCTAGACCCAAGCCGCCATATTGGATTCGACATCTTCGACGAGGAAAAGGACGAGCCGCTGGCGGACAAGGCGCCATGGGATTGAGCAAACGGCAATTCTGGCCAGGAGACTTTGATTTGCTCAATTCAACCCAACAGAAAGAGGCGCCAGGAAGGAGAGTAGATGGAGATACACCACTCAAACTCGGAATTCAGGTCCTTTTGGTATTATAGATCAGATGCTAGGCCAACCCGCTGAGAAGGGGAGGGCTCCTTTTGGTGCCTGTATCTAGTCGAGAGTGAGAAAGTTTTATAAACCGCTAAACCACAACTCCGCCATACTCCCAATGGTAAAACAAACCGTCACCCAAGTCCAGTCCAAAAGAGGAACGCACCGCCGGAACCAGGTTTCCACAGTACTAACCCATCCAACCAGGTATGTGAATCTGACTAGCAGAGAAAAAGAGAAAAATGCATCAACACCTATCTTTACCGCAAGCCATTGCCTTATTGCGTAGACTGCGAAGCTGTCTCAAGCTTATTGTTGCCGCGACCAGCGAGGTTGGTCGGCCGGGCCTCAGGGTTTTTCTTGTAATAGTTGTTGATGGCTGACTTGATGGCATCCTCCGCAAGCATGCTGCAGTGCAGCTTGACGGGGGGCAGGCACTGGGAGATTGGGTTAGTAGTGCAGACAAAGCAGAGGTCACCAGTCACAACATACAAGCTCCTTAGCAATTTGTGTATTCTTGACCTGAGCGGCTTGCTCGAGGGTCATACCGCGGACAAGCTCAGTTAGATAGCTGGATGAAGCACTGCATTAAGTTAGCATGCAGATTAGCACAGCCTAGCCTAGAGAATGCAGCATCATTGTTGCGACAGATCTGTTGGTGGAGGGCTGGGAAAATATAGGGTCAAAGCGGTATGGCGGGGCTTTCCGCTCCCAGCTACGGATCCGCATCAAGTGCAATCGCGTGTCCCGCAAGCGTTTCGAATTCTTATCACATGTCCACCATCTTCGCCAAACCTAAATGCAGTGACTTCGTGAATAAGGATGGAGCCTTACATGGCAGAACCACAGCCGAATGTCTTGAATCTAACGTCGCTAATGACTTTGGTCTCGGGATCGACCTTGATATGAAGCCGCATCACATCGCCACACTTCCAAGGAGAAAAGTTAGCCGATGTCGAAGCGTTTGCAGATGTCAGCGAGAGGGAAACATACAGCCGGAGCTCCCACCAGACCTTCACCCACAGACTTATCTGTCTTATCGAGCGAGCCAACATTCCGAGGGCGCGAGTAGTCTGAAAATAAAGCAATATATGGTCAGCCATACTGCCAACACCGAGGGCATAGCATCCAAGCATGCTGATAGCAACCGATCAGTGACATACGGTCAAGAACCTTCTCGTGATACTGCCTGGTTTGCGGCCAGGCCAACTGGCAGGAAAGCGGACGGGTGACCGGAATTGCAGTCGACCACAGCGGCGATGCGAGGGCGCGAGAAGAAACAGCGCGGGCTGTCTTGGAGAACATTTTGGTGTATGTGAATTTTGGAGAGGATGCTGGACAGGAATAAATGAAAATCGTGGTCTCGACGTGAAGTTTGATGGTCAATATCAAGTTGAGTAAGAGGATAATGAGAAAGAACGAAAGCACAAAGGCTTCACCAAAAGTGCTTGGGGATGCGGGACTTGTCCTTGATGAACCGAAGAGGCGATTTCCGAAGGCGCGCTTGGCCCGAGCTTCCACTAACAGTTGCCGGGGCCTCTCACAGATGAAATGAGTACCCCACTGTTAGCGTTTGATGGCGATGGGCAATTGGCAAAAGGCCGCTTGGCACAGGGCGTCATGCCGACGTCGGCTACAGTGGTGTGGGTGGAGCACGCGGCGAGGACAAAATTCCCCACATGAGCGGAGATAAGATTGATCTGATACGGAGACCGAGCGCTTGTAGTCATCCCTGGAGTGCGTTTCCCTTCAGTTGCCGGTGGCGAATGTAATGGGATTTCTAATACAATCCACACGGACGTTGCTGGTGTACGACCTTGGACACGGTGACATTGCCATCCCGCAAGGCAGCATTTGGGCAGCAGGCCCTCCGTGATGCGTCACCAAAACTGGCTCTAACACACATATCGGCGCCTTCTGTGTTAAAAAGGAAAGAACGATCCATTGCGTCCACTAACTTTAGGGAACGGGGTTTCTATCAGCAGCTGTTACCAGCTGTCGAACAGCTGTGCTGATGGCCAGCGCTTCCACTTCCAGGATGATTCTTGGCAGACAAGCTGCATCACCGCGGGGCTGTTGCCTGCCAATACACTTGTTGCCCCGCGCTCAGCTGTGAACTCCCAGGCTCCTGATCCCCCCACACTGTTGGCCGTACCCTAACAGTGCATCGTGGGAAGCTGTCGCAGCGTATCAAAACACCAAACTCCAGTAGGCGACTTTCACAGTTCCCGACCCGAAAGGCAGCCATTCAAGATGGCGTGCCCTCACATTGCACCGGCTTGTATTGTCCCCAGGTCTTGTTCTTGAAGACGAGACCACTTGCTGACTGACGTTTCCCCCAGACATCTCCAAGCCATCTATTTCCGACTCTGTGTACCGTGAAGACTGCACGCTATGCTTCGACTCCATTGTTAGTTTGATGTTCCATCCTAAGCTGTGTATTCTTTGTCTCGTCTGGCTGACGCAAGCTGACTTCTCATCTGCTGCAGGACGATCCGGCTGGGCTTGATGTCTGTCTCAAGTGCTTCAATGGCGGCTGCGCCGGCGACCGCCAACATGCGAAGCTGCACAGCGTTGCCAGACAACACCCTCTCGTTCTCAACATTCGGCGTAGCCGTAAGAGGATCGAAAGGGATGAGCCGCCGCTGAAGAAGTTAGCCATTGCTGCCGAGACCGAAGCCGACCGCTATGAGACCACCCTCACTGTCAAGTGTCTTGAGTGCGGTATCGCTAATCTCGACAAATCAAATCCCACAATCGCTGAGGCAGTGGACGGCGTCATGGCTGCCAACACATTTTCGAGGAAGGAGGAGATTAAGGCTTGGGAGCTGGAGCTTACGACTTGCGAACACATTATCACCCTCCAGCAGGGCGAGCCTCGTCAGATCGAGTCGCAGGACCTTGGCCACTGCTCCAAGTGTGACCTGAAGGAGAACTTGTGGCTTTGCCTGGAATGCGGGAATCTTGGCTGCGGTCGGGCACAGTTCGGTGGTGTTGGCGGCAATTCCCATGCGCTGGCGCACTCCGAAGAGTTTGGTCATGGTGTGGCTGTTAAACTCGGTTCTATCACTCCTGAAGGCAGCGCCGATGTGTACTGCTACAAGTGCGATGAAGAGAGAATCGACAATGATCTAGCTACACACCTTGCCAACTGGGGAATCGTCTTGTCGGAGAGGAAAAAGACTGAGAAGAGCTTGACGGAGCTACAGATCGAGCAAAACCTTCGCTGGGAGTTTTCCATGACAACCGAGGACGGCAAGGAACTCTCCCCGCTCTTCGGCCCCGGACTGACCGGCCTCAAGAATCTCGGCAATAGCTGCTATCTTGCCAGTATTCTACAATGTCTGTTTGACATGCCTTCTTTCCAAGCACGTTATGGTACTGGCGTCGAGTCTCTTCCGGATGTGCCTGATCCCGCCCAAGACCTCGAAACGCAGCTTCGAAAGATTGCAGATGGCCTCCTATCCGGCCGCTACTCGAAGCCTGATTCAGATGTCATCGTATCGGAACACAGTCCCGAGGTTCCGTACCAGAAAGGCTTGCAACCGTCCATGCTCAAGCACCTCATTGGCCGCGGCCATCCTGAATTCTCGACAATGCGCCAACAAGACGCCTTCGAGTTGTTGCAGCATCTCATCAAGCTTATTACCAGATCAAAGCACCCTTCAGGTCATACCGACCCAACACAAGCTATGCGCTTTGTCACAGAACAGCGTTTGCAGTGCCTTGGATGCAAGAAGGTTCGCTACAGCACGACAGAGCAGGACAGCATATTGATCGACGTTCCGCTCAAGTTATCCGCCGCGGATGGCGAGGTACCCAAATACAAGCCCGTCACGTTCAAGCAGTGTCTTGACAATTTCACTGCACCAGAGGTGGTTGAATTGACATGCACAACGTGTGGGAGTAAGGACGGGTTCACAAAGCGACAACTGTTCAAGACCTTCCCCGAGACACTGGTGGTCAATACTCGCAAGATGGCTGTGATCAACTGGGTACCCATCAAGGTGGATGTCCCCGTGATTGTGGATGACGAGCCGTTCACGCTGGACGAGTACCTCTCCCCTGGTCAACAGCCGGGCGAGGAGCTTCTCCCAGAGGAAGCTGCTCCTGCGAGCAATGTCCCCGCGTTTGTCCCAAACCAGGAGGCTTTGGCCATGCTTGAAGGCATGGGCTTCCCCAGAGTGCGTTGTGAGAAGGCCCTGCATGCCACAGGAAATGGTGACCCCAACGCGGCGATGGAGTGGCTGTTCCAGCACATGGATGATCCTGATCTCGATGTTCCTGCTGACTTCGGCAATGCAGCTCCCGCCACAGTTGATCCAGAAAACCTTGCCATTCTCGAGTCCATGGGCTTCGGCGGTCCTCGCGCCGCGAGAGCTTTGAAGGAAACTGGTGGCAACGTTGAGCGGGCTATTGACTGGCTGTTCAACCATCCTGACGATCAGGGTGATGCCGAAGAGAACGCAGGCGCAAGTGGTAGCGACAAGCAAGGCCCGCTCGCGGGAAGCGCTCACCTTCCCGCACGGTTCCAGTTGCAGTCAATTGTTTGTCACAAGGGTACGAGCATTCATACGGGGTAAGTTTAACCCGACTTTCTGGGTGAGGCGCAAAGCTAACAACTTTAAAGCCATTACGTTGCCTTCATCCGCAAAAAGCTGAACGACGAGACCGCGTGGGTACTGTTCAATGACGAAAAGGTGGTCAAGGCTACAGATATGGATGAGATGAAACAATCCGCCTACATATACTTCTTCCGACGCGTCTAGGCTTGGGAAAGTTGCGGATTGTTCGAGGTAGAGGGAATAAGCGGACATCATGACATTTCAAACGACAGCACCACAGATGCATTTCATGGGCAAGTGAACTGCGTATGATACCACACAAGTCTGCTTGCACGTTTTACTTGGTTGAGAGTCTCGTAATGTTCTATGATTGTGTCCATGATAGAAAGCACGTGCCAAAACAATCCAGGATACATGCCTATCTTTTATAATCCCATTCTAAAACGCCGTCCATTCCATATTAAGTCCCATTCATCATTCAACCCAGCTAAACGCCATGTACAGCAGCCCGACGCATGCCATAGAATTACGTGTTGTTTCCCGGATAGGTAAACATAGGATGGTTCACTCTAACAGCCGGTAACTAACTAAGGTATCGACGCGATGGTTCGAGGTGCTGAAGCTGCGAAGCTGCACGCGCTCGCCATTTTCGATCTCCTTGGGGTCGCTGTCGCCCCACTCGACGGGCACCTCGCTCGACGCGTCGGCGTACACCAGCACGTTGAAGGTGCAGTCGCCCTGCAGCTGAGGAAGGAATGTTACAGACGCGGTGATCTGCCGAAACAGCGCTGCGATCTCGGCTTGGATCTCGGCTTCGGTTTTCTCGGGGGGGGAGGACGCAGCGGCGGTGGAAGAGCTGCCTGCTTCGTTTTCGTCGGCAGAAGGGGTAGCGCTGGATTTGGATGAGGGTTTGGATCTCTTGGAGGTCTTTTGCAAGATTTGAACCTAGATCGTTGATGGATGCTGTCAGCATGCGTTCATGCCTGGGAAGATGGGAAGCGGAACGTACGTCGAACTGCCACCGTTCAACATGCTCGCCTGTGTCCTTATCGGTGATAACAATGACGAGCTTCTGCACCTTGCCGGCAAGCATCCATTTATCCAGCTGCAACATAATCTTCTTGATGTAGGCGCGGACCTGGTCGTCTGACGACACCAGCATGTTCAATCCATATTTCTTTACGGCCGTGAAGTCCTCGGCGGGGTAGACTCCTCGCTGGAAGCTGCGTGCTGTTAGCCTCGCATCAAGCTGCGTTAAAAGCATAAAACTTACAGAATTGTATGGATAGAATATTGGAACTGCAGGCACGAGAGCTCCTCATCAGTACTATGCCTCTCTCCAGAAGACGGTTGCAGAATAACTCACAAACTCGGCAACAAGCTTTGCGCTGCCCTTGAGAGACAGCTTGTGTACTTTGGACTTATCCTTCTCCTTTTCCGGAGCAGTTGAGGTCATTTTTCCGCACTGTTTAAATGCTTAGGACGAGAGTGCAATCGACTAGGCTGTCCGGTGTGCGAATTCGGTTTTCGAGTCGTTTTGTTTACTTCGAGCGTTGGTAGTCGGGTGCCGTACGGTTGTCAGGGGCTGCAGTCGTTTGGGCGGGCATTTAAAGTCCGTGCATCAGGTTCAACGGAAAGCCACATATCAGCCACGCAACGCCGCCACATCTCTGGAATGACAAAAGTGTCACTTAAGACGTTCTGGACTTAAACCAGGAATTTTGAAGACCGGACCATGAGAAACTTCGAAGACTTAGCGTGCGTTGTTTATTTATCATTAACCCATTAGATATTTTTGGGAAAAGTATCTTAAATTGCGATACCAAGAATGCCAGAATCCAAGCACATTTCCAACGCCCATAATCAAACGTCCTGCTATCACTGTCCCACTCAGGATGAAAAAAAAAATGAAGTTCAAAAGAGAAGCAGGCAATGGACCATTTCCGGTAACTGTTCCAAAATCCACACATTTAGTAGACATATACAGAAAATAAAGGACATTGAATACATCGCACATCAGTAACCCGGCCTGTGACCACATGGCGGAAGATTAATGCGAACAACAGTCCTCCCTGTCTGCTCAAAGTCGATATACTGAGGCCCACCTGGATGTCGAATTGCAGGCGGGGTGCCTGGAGGCATGGGCCACGCCATCTGGCCCGGCGAGAGCGCAGCAGTAACACAGCTGCTGGTGCTTACACTGCTCATGCTGTCGACACTGAAACGGGCGTTGGCGGATCTCCCAACAGGCGGATCTGGTGGTGCTTGCTGCGGCTTGGCTGTGCGAGCCATACCAGGTACTGGAAGCATGTTGAAGTTTGTCGAGTTCGGTGAGACGGAAGACGGTGTGAATGCGCTGCCTGTCATGCCGGTGTCGCTGGTGAAGACAGAAATTCGGCGGTTATCCGGCCTTGTTGGCACGATTGGCACTACCAGAGGGCGTGATACAGGAGCTTGTTGCATTGGCTGGACAGGCGAAGGAGACGGCAGGTCGCGATGATAGGCAGATGAGGCGACAGCAGCGCCTGCAGCACTGGCGGCAACACCCGCAGCAGTCCCTGAAGCGCCGTCGATAGCAGCGCTTCCACCCAGGAGGTTGTGGTCCATCCCATCAGGCATGGACACGTAAGGATGAGAGCTCTTTCCTCTAACGGAGGAAAGAACCCTTTGCACTTGAGGCGACTTTCGGAACTTGTAGAGAAGGATGGCTAATACAAGAAGGAAAAGTAAAAGCAACCCGACTTCGCCGTGCAGGTCAGTAAGCGCTCACGTACCAACACACCATGGACCGGAGTCGTACTGGAACAACTCACCTACGATGCCAGCGACCGCCTTTGCCCCCAATCCTCCGCTAGACGACGTCCCGTTATTTGCCCCGATGCTAATTGTCGGCACTCCAGGCTTCCCCCCATTGGTTCCTGTTCCCTGAGTTGCCGACGGGTCTGAGGACGACGGACTATCTGGTTTGGGGGAAGAGTTCCAACTTTGCCCATTGCTATTGCCGTACCCATAATAACCAGATCCGACGTTTTGAGTCCCGCTCGGGCTATTTACCCCATCACCGCCGGAACCCGATTCGCTGTCTGATACCTGACCAGGGATCGGTACGGGTACTGGAGCCCCCGTCTGCTGTCCTGCACCCCTATCTTTGGTTGTAGAAGCCTCGTCTATTGCGGAAGGGACTGTCGCTTTTGGTGAGGAAGGGTTTTGATGTGACGGGGAAGCTGGTGTTGGAGTGGCTGCTGGGGATTTATTTGGAGGTGAAGGGGTGGTCCGAATAGGCGATGCTGCCTTGGTCGTCGGCGAAGCAACTACCTTCGTGGTCGTTGGTGCGGCTGTCTTGGTCGACGTTATCTTCCGCGTGCTTGTGGGTCGAGTTGAAGTCTGAGAAGTAGTTGTTGGCCTGCTTCCCCCAGGGCCGTTGTTCCCATTAATGCATCCAGGCACCCCCCAGAAACACCATCCACCATTGCCAGAAACCCCCCCTCCTCTATTGCCACCACCACCTCCTCCTCCCTCGCCTCCAGTATTTCCCCCAGGGCCGCTCGGTCCCCAGCCCCAACCCCAACCAAATTGCCTGCTTTTGAGAAAGGATATAGTCTCAAAACGCATTTCTTGATCTCGTTATGTAGGTCCCAACAAGTTGTCGAGAGTCATGCTTATGAGGCCATATCCACCATCAACAGTTGCCTCGCTCAGCACACTCGAGTTGAGCGCCGTAGAGCCTGATTACAGTCGATGCTTAATGGTCTGATAGGTTTCCACAATGAACGGTCGATCAAGAATAGGTGTCGAAACTGAATGGATTAGAATTAAAAAGCTAAACGAGAGACTATTGCTGTTGCTGCTGCATAAACTGGAAATGAGGGAAGGTGCATAAAAGGAAGAGACAAAGAACTTCAGATCGGGCTAGCTGGGTGATTAACTACTCTACTGCCTAGGAGCCCAGCTAGCTGTTTGCCAATGCGATATTGATGAGCTTGGGGTGTATGCTAGGGCAGAGAAAGGGGGCCACTCCGGTCGGTCCCTGCGCCGAGCAGGGTCACATCCTGGAGAATTGCAGCCTTGAATGTGCTGAAGAAGGGGACCGGGTGCTTGGCTTGCATGGTGCGAGAGATTTCACAACAGAGTCAACCCTTGGCAGGCCGGCGTAGCGCTTGACCCAGGATGGGTTGGTATGGCAGGATGGAGCTGCACAGACATCAGCTTGACATTGCTGTCCCAAAAGGGAGAGGCCAGGTAAACCTGGTTTCTCTGTAGGGGTGGTGGTGCTGGCCGATGAAACAAAACAGAAAGAAAAGCGCGATCCACGAACGCGGAGCAGTGGATGAGGATCGGGATCGGCGACAATGAAACCGTGGGTCATGACTTCAAGTGTCCGGCAGAGAAAGTGAAGCTGTCCAGATGATAAGCTTTTTACCTGTATGGCTTGCGTCCCCGTTCCAGCTGATGATATGGGAAACTGTCGATGCTACCTCAGCTTGTGCCTCACCAATAATCTGAGAGCATACTAGCAGAACAGAAGGATTGTGCAGCCGGCTAAGGGATACGCTCTCTCTGGGGCACCAAGCACGTGCATTCGGCTGTGCAGCCGTCCATTCATCGGCTTGATAGATGGTCAATGCGGCAGCCCTAGGGTCTTGTTGGCGAGGAAGGTCTTCGATCCATCGCACTGCATGACGCGCTGGTGGGTTGGCGGACAGGAGCAATTAAGAAGCCCTAGCCTGACCAAAGAACTTGTGTAATCTTACTCTCCCTAATCCATGCGGCACACGTAAGAGAGCGAATATCTACCCAAAGTGGATTCGGACTCGGGAGCACCACGTGATTGCTGATCGATGTCCATGAAAGCAGATTTTCTCAGGTATGCAGCTGTGGTGTGAGAGGTCTGGAATGCCTGGGTTTGGAAGCGAGACGGCCGCGGGCCTCCACGTGTACCGGAAACTGATTGATTGCTCGGCCCAAATGGCCCACAACCACCCCCCTTGGCAGCTTTGGCGTGTTATCTTGGCACGACTCCATGGGCTGTGATTCCCTGTCTTGGCGGTTCTTCCTGCGGCGGGCCACGGCTGAGGTTGAGATTGATATATACAAGCATGGAAAGATCCGTTATGAAATACTTTGAAAGTTGAATGATATTCCATACTCTTTCCTTGATTACCTAAAGATCCGACTTAGATAGTAGTGACAAAAGAGCAAGGTTGTCGAACAGCAAGTCGAACACCGGCTGGAGGAACAAGATCGTAATGAAAACGCTGAATCGCAATGCGCCCTTTGTCTATGAAACCGTATTTAACACCACAAAAGTCAACCACGGGAAGAGTGCATCAAGCGAACCTGTTCGGACTGACAAGTGCCCGCCTTTTTGCAATCCGATGCCGAATACCAACGTGCAAAGGAACCAACCCAAAAGCCCAACGACGCTTATATACTAGGGAAATGACAGGACCGTGGCATACATCGCCAGGAATTGAGCTAAAAGCAAAGTTACATAGCCAAACCCGCTGTAACTAAACGATAATCGACTAAAAAATAGAATAGGAAAACGAAACGCTACTCGTAACCGGCACCGCGTTGCCATGGGCTGTTACGAAACTTGTCAGCACAATACATGAGAACTCACAATGGCTAATAACCATTGGAAAGCTCACCTCGGGCCTTGCGTTCTGTGCGGCACTACCCCATATTGCTGTGGATGGCCGGGCAAGTTTGACGAGCTCCCAGATGTGGCCAACGGGCTAGGAGCCCTAATACTGCCGCTCTGGCGATTTCGCAAGTGAGGTCCCGCTTGTGCTGCCTCGATTGCTGCCATTGCTGGAGCAGGGTCAGGCGGGATCTTGAACGAGCTGCGGACCGAATTTCGGGCCGAGTCACGGACTGAGCGCATTGATTCTCTCATCGAAACTTGGTGGCTAGAGTTTGCAGTCGATGGACGGATCACGACGGAATTCGAAACAGCAGACTCATCGTCGTCGAGGTCGGTGCTCCGCTTCACCGGGCCATTGCCACGAGCTGTGGCCGCCAAGGCGTCAAGCTCGCTCGTCGTGCCGATCTGCGTCTGCGACTTCATGAAAGATGTCCGGTCATCGTTCATAAACTGGTACCGCGTATCGGGGTTGTTGTGGAAAAGCACCAGGCCAGTCGTGACAATGAGCATGAGGAGGAGAATGAGGGTAAACGCAGCGTTGGTGATCCAGAGAACCACGCCGACCACACCGATGACCAGCCGTGGCAGCCCGAACACGTCGGTGAAGACGAATAAAAAGATGGAGTTGATGAAGTTCATGACGCAAATGGCAATGTTGAACGAGTTAGTGCTCTTATCCATCCAGGGGCGTAGCACGGATGCAGTGATGAGTGCCGCTGCTTCAATAATAATGAGAGCAACCGCTTGGACAGTACCCGCTCCCTGAGCAAGGGCAATGAACATGCCCTTGATAAGGGTGTATACGAGAATGGGCACGATGAAATAATAAGCCGACGCACGGAATTGCACATAGAGGAAGCCCCATTTGTTTAAAGCCTGGGTATCAGAAAAGAGAATGTACGCGGGGTTGCGGTGAAGAGCAACCGACCGCCGTGCCATCCGGATGACTCTGTATGCGGCGTAGCTGAGCGTAATAAGTATGCCAAAGAAAAAGAATACTGCCAAAACCATCGCGGCCGGTGAATCATTTTGCGTGAATTCCCAAAGGCAGAGAATCGTCATCTGGGGGAACCCGATGAGTAGCAGGCGATACATGATCCCTAGCAAATGTTAGCACTAACGATGCACGCGCCTCAGTGACGAATAAAATGGTCCAAGCTGATACCTTTGAGAACGGTCAACCATCCCACACGGAAATCGCAGAAGGTATCCTTTTTCATGACCCCTGCCTTGACAGCAAGCTCGCAAATAATCTTCCAGGCAACCACGCCAAGCACAGTTATTACGAGAAAGATGTAAAAGAAGGTGAGCCCGGTGAGGAAAAGATTGGTGGTTTCAATGCCAGCACGGAAAGCGACTCGCTGGATGCCATATACGATGTAGCTGCCAAAAGAAGTCTGGATGTATGCCCTCTTGGCAAGGCTGTGTCCATGCTCGGCTACGGCCGACACTGCAGGAAATGCGGCAGGAAGGGCACGCTTGAATTTTTTGAGCTTTTCAACCTGCACAGAGACCATATTAAGGGTTGAAAGAATGTTGGTTGCTGTTCCACCCGTTGCCCGCTGGTACCAAGTCACAATATCCTGGATGAAACCGACTCTGATAATGCCCATGCTCCACTGGAAATCCTGAGTCCATGACTTGACAACCGGGGGGAGAGGGACACTGGTGAGACCGAGCATAGCCTGGGCTTGGAAGTACCCAAACAATGAGAGGGTATTGGCTGCGACATGGGAGGCTGCGTTAGAGAAACCCAGACCGTTCACGATGGCGGAAGCAATGAGGGCCAGGCCGATAACAGCCGCTGCAGCCCATTTGACACCCACAAGGTCGACTGTTCACACATCAGCTGAATTCTCACCTACATAAACGCACCAACGTCATTTCTGGAAGGCTTTCAAGACATACCCGTCTTTCCATTTGAGACCTCAGCCCGAAGACAGGCGATGCTCTGTCCGGCCTGGTCTCCGGTTGTCATGTTGATATACACCTTAACGGTCGCATCGAGATCGGGAAAGGTATACGCGATTCCCGGGATTTGGGAAATGGCATCCTCTGGCACAGGAATGTTGAATGGGTTGTTCATCTTGCCAGACAGCATGGGGCACAGGCCAGGAAGGTTGGAATTGCAGGGATCGACCTGGGTGCGTAGGACCTTGTAGCCGTAGGCGAGGATGGTGATGTCAAACACGACATAGCCCTCAATGGAGGATGTAGCCAGCATGTTCACGGCCGCTGAGAGGTTATTTGGTGTGAAAACGACATCGAAAAGACTCGCCGTGAACAGCGAGTTTTCCTGGCATGCTGCCAGCGAGCTTGATCGGAGCACATGTTCGGCGCTGGCAGGAGCGAAAAAAGCGGCCAGGCTAGAGAGAAGTAACGGGTTAATCGACGGGAGTCGCATCTTGGACCAGCGAGGCCAGAGGGCCGCGGCAACCGTTGAGATGTCGCGGTCAGATTTCAATTGAGGGATGCCTTATGGTGGGGAGAGCGAGGGGAGATGTAGGTTCGATGGTCACACTGGCATCCTCGGACCGTCGGCGACGTTGAGATTAGCCAGGATGTGCGTTTGGGGAGAGGGATGGACGGATAACGAGTCAGTTGTGGTAACAGTTGGACGGTGTGGACGGGCGATAAACTGCGCCGCGGTTTCGATGGATTTCCGGAGCCTGGAAAGCTGAGGGTACGTCAAGGCCCCGATCGAACGAGCGACAAAACACCACAGGATTGTCTGCCGGGAAACCGGTGGATCACAGCCGGAAAATGAGAAGCAGAGGGTAGAACGAGAGAAAATATGACGACGGTGATGAATTGGGGTACCTTTCGGGAACGAATGTACGCTGTGTGTTGCGAGCAGGAAAGCTCAAGAGTGAGCGGGGGGAACAAGCATGACAGCGCGGCGCTTCTACAGAGGAGCAGAGATCGGTCAACAAGGGATATGGTATTGTCAAGAGAGCCAACCTGAGCCAGAAGACAGGGATTCGACTTCTGGGAACGGGCCGGATTTGTCCAACACGAGACGGCGTGGCTGTGCAAAAAAGCGGAAACCGAAAGGAAATGCGGCGCGGAAACAGCGCGCCAAGACAGAACAGCCAACGGCTGGCTTTAGTGTAACAGTATATTATTTCGTACGGATTCGTACTTCTGTTCGCATTTGTTGTAACTTACACAAGTTGCAGGATGCCTCAACACCGAGGGATTCGTCTTTCATTAACTGCTTTGAAACGAGGAGATGCCGAAAGTGCAAGTTATTTATGGCCGAACTGAAGCAATCTTTTCTCATTAAGCTGCCAGAATCATATATAAAAGCTCTTTTCATTGCGACTACCCTTGCATACAGTACGGATTTTCCGATAGCTTACTTTGTAGATGGGGCGCATGTACGTATGTGCGTTGAGCAGCAATCCCAGGTCCGACACTAAGAAACCGTGACGTAATCTGGCAGCGGCGCCCATGACAATTGAAGCTCTTCATGTCAGTACGATCATTGTAACCGTGATGTATGATCCGTTTATCTTGTTGTCTCGAGGCATGCCACAGTTGTAGGCTCTCAACTTCTCACATATCTGCATTCTATCCAGTGTTACTCTTCTCAGGTACATTGTCGAGTGCAACTTTGATGATGGGTCTGTGGCTGCATGCCCTCCCAGTCAGTTGAAAAGCGATGTTTTAACACACCTCTGACTAAAGAGCAGCAGCTTGTACCGCCTAACTCCCTAGTATTCGTATCGGTATTATGTACGAGACACCCGTCTCCGAAGTATTATCCGACTTTGATCAAGCGGCTTGTCGGATGTGGTGAGTTTTGCCATTGCGCATGCCAAGAGGTTTCTGGTGGACGCAGCAACAAATTAAGGGTTAGGGTTATTATCATGAGGGTAACAGCCCATTATCTTATCTGCTTCTGTAGTTTCACCACCTCTTCGCCATTTCGCCATGATCGATTACCTGGTGAGTTTGGAACCCGTCTTGAGTTCACAACTCTTTCTTTATCAGGATTCGTCAGATGGACATGTCGAAACTTTAACAGTGCTCCGAGTCCATTTTATACCCCGAGCAATAGCAAGGCGAACAAGTCGCTCGTTCAGTTCTTTCGTTCCTCGAAAATGTGGTTAGGTTGACTGCCCAGTCCGGCACCTACCCCTCCCTCCAGCCCCTGCCTCTAGCTCCAGCTTCCTCACCAATCGAGCCCAGCGACGCATAATTGTTCTGTCATCAGCGGCCGACGCATCCGCCAACGCCTGCTTTTGGGAAACGTCGCAAACCTGTGTGCGCTCCCGGCGGCTGACAGCAGCCAAGATCGGAAAAGTTGATCGGATTTATCTCTCGTCTTGTGGCTCGTTTGGGACTTTCCAAGCCCAACATGTCCACCATCAACAGGAAAGTCCCGGCCAAGCCGTCGCCGGCACAGCCTGCTCTGCCACAAGCGTCTATTAGCAGCCCAAGTCAGCCGACCTCAAAAAAACGAAAGATAGACACGAGCGAGCAGAAATACTACGCTGTGCGAGCTGGATACAAGCCTGGCGTTTATACCAGTTGGGCCATATGCCAGCAACAGATCTCCGGCTTCAAAGGGGCACAATGTAAGTTGTGCCCGCGCATGTCCTCCTGAAACTTGCCAAAACCGATCTGCCGTCAGTGACACTGACCTACTGTCCCTACGTAGTCAAATCATTTCTCAACTACGAGGATGCCTCAGCGTACGTAGCTGGCCGTGACCCTCCATCGCAAGCAAAGGAGACACCCACTCGCTTCTACGGAGTCGCCATCGGGAGGAAGCCTGGAGTATACACGGATTGGGCGAAGGCGCAAGAGGCAATCATCGGCTGGAAAGGCCCGAAATACAAGAAGTTCGACACTCTCAGCGAGGCCGAAGCCTTTGTACGACAATACTCCGTCAGCGTGTCAGCCTCTGAGAGCATCGGAGCAGAAGTTGCCGACCCGCAGGAGCCTCCAGCCAAAAAGGCGAAAACGGACATCAAGCAGCTCATATCACGAAGCAAAGTCTTAGTTGTTTACACTGACGGGAGCAGCTTAGGCAACGGCCGAAACGGAGCGAGCGCTGGCGTTGGTGTTTATTTCGGCCCATCCGATCCTCGGTGCGTTTCCGCCTTGCTGTTGCGAACCTTGGCAACAAGGCAGAGATGACTGACCAATTGGCGCATTCCAGAAACATCTCCGAGCGATTAGAGGGTGAGGTCCAAACAAACCAACGGGCAGAACTTACTGCAATTCTACGTGCTCTGCAATCTATCGATGACACCCAAGACGTTGAAATCCGCAGCGACAGCAAGTACGCGATCAAGTGCGTTACCGAATGGTACATCAATTGGGAACGTAACGGATGGAAGACGCGGAACGGCCAGGTCATGAACAAGGACCTTGTGCAAGCAATCCGCGGCAAGCTGGAAGAAAGGGAACGCAAAGGCGGACGCGCTCAGTTCATTTGGGTCAAAGGCCATTCCACAGATCCGGGAAATATTGCAGCTGATACTTTGGCTGTTGAAGGCGCTCGTCGACTATGATACCCCCCTCTGCCAACTTACAACCCTATACTCTCGTCATCATTCTGAATTATTTGTAGTTCCTTCGATGCTTCTTGCTCCGTTTTCTTTCCTCCACGGCGGCCAATTGTCGACCGAACTTTATGACTCAGTGTGCTTAGTCCTTGGGAACCGTACTTTTTGATGCGTCTGGCATATTCTCTAGGGAAATGACTCACACAACCAGAGCGTTTCTGGGGTGCTTAAGATTCAATGAAGATATCTATAAACATGCAATGGGCAAATTGTCAGTCTCGCCTGAAATTAAGCTTTGCCGGAGTCCACGCAATGCCACAACTCCTTGTCCACAACTGCTGCTGAACTTGAAATGCCTAACGTGACACTACAAGCCGTTGCTAAGCACCCGTTGACTTGGCCATCCTTGGGTAGTTGACCATGTTGGACAAACCTCTTGGCTCCTCTCCTATCCCTCTTCCTCATGTCCACATGTACTGGCGAACAACCCCACACGGGCTCGGTCGCCGCGCCACTACGGCCGTGGTCAGCGCTACGTCATATAGGTGAATGCTCTCCGCGGGGAAGATGCCAAAGCGCATCTAGGCATATTTCATGGCACTTTACTCGCGTCCTTCATCTCCGTCCCACATCCGAGCCTAAGTTCTAACTTATGAGCACTTAGAGCAGTTGCATGATCCATTCCTCGTCCACAAGGCATCATTATACGCGATGTTTTCTAGAAAGATGCTGGTTCTCCGCGCCGTACCTCGGGATATTTCGACAAGAGCATTGTCGACATCCACGGCACGGTTGTTGGCAACGCCAACGGATCATCACCCACGGAAGGAGACGCGTCAGGTTCCTGTAGATGATATCGACGTTGTTTTTGATTACCCATCGGAGACCCAAACTGCTCATCAGAAAATCCCACTCGAGGACGCCGGCCTAGATTTGCATTCGGCAATACCTCACGGCCCAAAAGCTGGCACGCCTGGGGCCGGAAAGATGAAGGGAGTGGGAACCTCCGAGAGTCATTTTATGTATGGGCAATGGTTGAACCGAACTTGTTGCTTTCGGACCTTACTCACAAGCTGAACACAGGTACTACGGGCTCGGTGCTCTGGGATTGGGTGCTCTGTACATGATGATGCGCCGAAAAGGAGACGCTAACCAAATGAGCACCAACCCACCCATGAAAGGTGCTGATGCCAAGATAATGGAAAGCCGGCGATAATCATGAGAAGGTCATCGAAAACGTTGGAAATATTTATTGTACAATATACTGAATAGTCAGACTGCAGTAGTGTGTGCGAAGTTTAAATAGTCATTGCTGTACGTTTCTATCAAATTATCTTCTTGCTGTGTTACCCATAGCAACATCTTGCCTCAATCCATAACTGTTGATTTACAGTGGTTATCTTCTTGGACCCCGATTTAGTACCATCCTCTTTTAAGCTGAGGAACATGCAGCTCTCGGTTATGGGGAGACAAGGCGCTTCTTCTCACTGAAAGCCGAAGGCCGAAATTGCTAGGTCCAGTGACGTCACCACAGCGAAGCTCCAACCAGAACTTAAGTCAAGATTGACTTGAACCAAGAGGTAGCTCAACAATGTTATCTATTCATGAAGACGGCCTGAGTACCGATGATCTAGCAGTTAACACACCATGTACTCCGACGATACCGTCCATACGCTCTCAAACTATATCACAGCATTGCACATACTGCACTCCCAACATGTCTTGGATGGCTATGGTCATCTCTCAATTCGGAACTCTGAGAACCCGCATACTTTTTTCCTTTTTCATACCGTACCTTCAGCTCTTGTCTCCAGTTTGAATGACATTGGGGAATATTACATTGCAGATGCGACACCAGCAAATTCTAGTACGCCAGAAGGCTTCAAAGAGAGATTCATTCATAGTGAAATCCTAAAACGATACAAAAGCGTCAATGTAGTCCTTCATGGGCATTCTGAGGAGCTTCTCATTTATAGCCTCGGTGGTGAACGTCTTCAGCCAGTCATTCACATGGCTGGGTTCCTTGGTATTTCCAGATGCCAAAGCCCTTGATGACTCGATTCCTCTAACAATGGTCTACAGGGCAGAGTGTTCCTATATTTGACATTAACAAATATTACCATTCATATGATACACAAGACTTCCTTGTCTCGACTGAATACCTCGGGTCTGCATTGGCTTGGTCATTTTCTGCGGACAAAAAGGAAAAGGGTGATGAAAAGGTTCTTACATAGGATTTGCGGGAGACTAACGCAGCATCAGATAAACCCGACTACAACTTGGTACTTATGAAATGTCATGGGTTCACAACAGTAGCTGTGGACTTGGAGACTGCAACTTACCAGGGGATTTATGCCCAGGCAAATGCCAGGGTCCAGGCCAAGGCTGATGTCATCCGGAAAGCTTCCTTTGGGATGATTGCAGAAGCTGCATGCCTACCCACAGCTGAGGAAGAAAGGCAGGAAAGTATCTTCCTCCGGCCACGGCAGGTTGAGGAGTCGTGGTCATCAGTTCTGGGAACTATTAGAAGGCCGTGGATGTTGTGGGAGAGAGAAGTATGGGCCAATCCGCTATATGTGAACAATCTTAGACTTCCTCGAATATAGATGGACGAGCCTGTGGCATTTTGAGCAATAGGATCAAATGCCTAGCATGATGTTCTGTCTTGGGAAGAGCATCTCAAATGCAACTGCACCAAACTGGGAAATTGCCCAAGCCTTTTAGGTAGTGTTGTGGCCTTGCAATCACATAGAACTCCCCCTAAGTGAAGTGATATGTGGAGAAACAGAACAGATACAAGCAGGCTGGATGGCCCGAGCCAGCTGGGAGTCTTTGTTGGAGAGGGAAGACTTGATTGACGTGTTCAAGTAAATTGATAGAACTTCCGCAGAGATCCACCCCACAGGATCCTGGGGGTGGTGGGTCAATACAAAATACTGGTTCGTGCGTATGGTTAGAACCCGCAGCGTTCCTGTTGTGGCTCCTGCGGGCAAAATTGCTTATCGATAAGAAATCCCAGAAAAGAGTCGGGAAAATGTTGAAGGGCCGAACTGCTTCACGACACCAGCGCACTTCTGCCCTCCCATTGACCTGACGCCGCCTTTAACCCTGTCAAAGATGTCTGTGGGAAAGAAACACGCGTTGAACGACGAAGAGGCTACGCACTTCGTCAAGAAAGTCAAGACCGAGACTCCAATCGAGAGTGCTGATAACAACGCTTCTGAGCCGATCAAGGACAAGAAGCAGAAGAAGGACAAGAAAGAAAAGAAAGAGAGAAAGGACAAGAAGGACAAAAAGGACAAAAAGGACAAGAAAAACAAGAAGAAGAAGAACAAGGTGGGATCCAAAGACGTGGAGGTCTCGGACACCGATGCGCCATCCGCTGAGACCTCGTCGTCGGCTGCGTCATTAGCTGATGTCTCTATGTCCAATGGCGTCGCTGTTGTCGATTCATCCAGCAGCCCAGCCACATCCAACACAGCTGACGGCCAGCAACCTGCTAATTCGTACGTTTATCGTCAGACTGCCGCTCTGGAAGCGGTTCCTGAAGACGAGATCCAGCAATTCCTTAAAAAAAAGGGATCATAATTTCCGACCCCCTGAATATGCGACTGCGACCCATCATGCAGTTTTCCCACCTCCCGAAGACAGACTTGCTCTCCAAGAATCCTTTTGCTAGCTTCTCAGCCCCAACGCCCATCCAAGCCGCTTCTTGGCCGTTCTCTCTTTCCGGCCGCGATGTCATCGGTATCGCTGAGACTGGTTCTGGCAAGACGATAGCCTTTTCATTGCCATGCGTTGAGTCGCTCTCTTCAAGCCCCCGCCCGAAGTATTTTAAGAAGGATAAGACACCTCACCCCCGTGCTGTCGTTGTGTCGCCGACCCGAGAACTAGCTATGCAGACCCATGCAGCCATGTCGTCACTTGCGTCCTTCGTGGGCTTATCTACTGTCTGCCTTTATGGTGGCGCCAGTAAGGACGAGCAGCGTGGGCTGCTGCGGAAAAACAATGGAGCCGACATCATTGTAGCCACGCCGGGCCGCCTGAAGGATTTCCTTGCGGAAGGCTGCGTGTCACTGTCCGAGGTCTCGTTTGCGGTGCTCGACGAAGCTGACAGAATGCTCGATAAGGGCTTCGAGGAAGACATCAAGCTTATCCTTGGCAGCTGCCCACCCCGGGAGAAGAGACAGACCTTGATGTTCACTGCAACTTGGCCGACGAGTGTTCGCGGGCTTGCCGAGGGTTTTATGGTCAATCCGGTCAAGGTTACTATCGGTAACCGTACTCGAGCTGGCGGTGATGAGAACGGCGCTGGCAATGGGACGGTAGAGCTTCAGGCCAACAGCCGTATCGAACAGAAGATCGAGGTAGTCGATCCCCGTGCCAAAGAGCAGCGTCTGCTGGAATTGCTACGCGAGGCACAGAAAGGGAGCGGCAAGAACGACAGAATCTTAGTGTTTTGTCTATACAAGAAGGAGGCAATTCGTGTTGAGCAATTCCTTCAAAAGAGGGGAATGCGTGTGGCCAGCATTCACGGCGATTTACGGCAGGACCAGCGGACTCGAAGCTTGGAGTCTTTCAAAGCTGGCACAACAACTGTCTTGGTTGCCACTGATGTCGCTGCTCGTGGTTTGGACATCCCGGAAGTGAAGCTTGTCATTAATGTTACTGTAAGTTGCACACATCATTGACCCATCGCATCACCAAAGGCTTATCTAACCTGTTGCAGTTCCCACTAACTATTGAAGATTATGTGCATCGTATTGGCCGGACCGGTCGGGCTGGCAAAGAGGGAAAGGCGATTACACTCTTTACCGAGCACGACAAAGCACATTCTGGATCGTGTGTTATGCTCCTGTTCCTTCAAGACGAATCCTCGCTCCGAATGGTGCTGACCCTTCCTGTCCTTAGGCTCATCAATATTCTGCGCGCAGCGAACCAACCTGTGCCGGAGGCGCTGCTCAAGTTCGGCACGACAGTCAAGAAAAAGACACACGACTCGTATGGTGCCTTCTACAAGGACGTGGATATGAGCAAGAAAGGCACCAAGATTACATTTGACTAAGTAGCGATGGGTGAGCAAGTGTCGGGGGTTCATTTTGTCTCTTTGTTCACATTCGGTAGCAACGGCTCTATGAGCGGTACAGCTGGCCTCCGTGAAAGGCCTTAATCGCGGTGTATAGATACTTTCGTTCTGACAGACCCCTTTTATTTCCGCGACAAGTTAGCACAGCGGGTACTGAGAATAATAGAACTGGGAGCGACATACACTACTGCCATAAAAGGAAGGGCGATTGATGCTACCAAGGCAAGCTGAACTATTGCCTGTTTGGAAACACCTAAGATTAAGGCTGAGGCAAGCGGCTGTGCAGAAACAGCACGCTTGACAACGGGGTATGTCACCGTCCCGGCAAGCAATGCCCATGGCGAAGGCATTACTTCGAAAATATCGAATCTTATCCCTCTCTTGCTGAAGTATCGTGAGATAAAGACCCCGCACCACACAATTCGGCACAGCATGTTGATTGCGTTTGCTACAACCAGGCCAATTGCGTCCCAATGAAGCACCCTCAGACAGACGAACCCAACAATGGCGAAGACCGCCGAAAACACGCCCATCCATGCAGATTGCTGATGCACCTCTCGTTCAGTTGCGACGGATGCGACAAAGGCCTCAACCACTCCGTTGACACCCAGAAATGGAATGTACCACATGTACGCTGCTAGACAATCGCCTGCGCCAGAGCCTGCCCAGCGCGGGCCGGTGATAAGCGCAAGGATTGAAGGCGCAGCTGCTGGGCCCAGGGTAGTAATGACAAGAGAGAGGAGCAGGTAGAACTTGAGGAGAGACTGCAAGTGGGAAGCCGCTTTGTGATGCCGATCATCACTCGTTCTTCCCTTCAGTTGATCTGCACTTTCTTTCTGCGAAGATAATGTCACGGAAGCTGTCAAAGGGGACAGCATCCGACTAAAGTAACTGCGACTGCTTTCCTCGATTGGCTGGAAGACAAGACGAGCGAGCAGACCGCCATAATTGTTTGCAAGGGCATACACGCCTTGAGCTGTGGGAGTGGAAAAGATGCTTACCAAGAACATGTCGCCTTGGGTTAGGATGTGTTTGACTACACTCTGGGCCATCATGCTTGAAGCAAGCTGCAAGGTCGGTCGATAGAAGCACGACAGCACAAAAGGAGATGGGGGTGCATCTGATTGGCCTATCTCCGGCTTGCTTTCTGTCGGCTTATCGTTGCTGGATACTTGAGGAATACGTCTCGGAAGAAGGGAGAAACCCTCGGACTTTGCGAGCGAGTTAGCACGCCAGGAGTAAACGACCAGAAGGCCAAAGCCGTAGCTTAACTGGCCAAGGGCAAATGGCAGGACACCCAGTCCCCGACCGGCACCCCATGCCGCTGAGGCTAGAGTAACTAGACAACGGATGAAGGTGGCAAAGGATTCAGCTGTTGCTCTGGTGCCAAATTGTAGGCGAGTCTGCATGACCACAAAGGCAGGTTCCGATGCAAGCTCGAGGACGGCAGCGAAGCCGTAGATGTAGAGGGACACCACAAGGTTTGGTGCTGATTGCAACGTTGTCGCGCTGAGTGATTGCAAATAAAGTGACCCTAGGATGACGGCAAGAGGGATACCCAAGGCGAAAGACAGATAGCCGAGGTTGACTACCGCTTGGGCTCCCGTCGAGTTGCTCGTAGATTTTTCTTGCTCACAACCATTCTGAGCGAATGAGTTCTGACGCTGAATAGCGACACGCAGGCTTTCCCGGGCAAAGAATATGACCGACAAGTAGTAGACTTCAAGCTGCGTTGACACGCCAAGCAATGGTGCAGTGAGGAAGCGCAGCAGCAGTTGGTTCGCCACAAAGGTGATGGCTCGTGACGCGACTTGCAGCAGTATCAGCACCGACGCTCCGCGTAGGGCGTGCCGGCCAGCTTCTGCTGGTTGGGCTGCAGACTGCATTGATTTGAGGTTGTGTTATCTGCTTTGTGTGAAGGAACTTCTTATCATTGTCTCTGAGAGTCGAACGAGGGTCCGCATCCGACAAGTGGACGGTGGGCTGGATGTCTTGGAATTTGTGGATTCCATATACTGTGCGGCTGACATTGAGAGGGATGTGGAGCTATCAACTTGTCATCCGATTGGCTTATCTTGGTTTCCTCGCGAACTTCACGGGAAATTCCGATTCTTACGAACGTCACGACAACAGCAGCCCAACTAGCTTTTGGGAATGATTGCTAAGATACACTGACAGTCAGGCCTGCATGGTGCTTCTGCGGTGCAGTAGAGCTTGAAGATGTTTGTGAACCCGTTTTGTATGCCGTCAAAAAGCGGCACAGAATGGTTCTCAGTCGGGCTTGCCTCTTCATATCCTGACGTTGCCCTCGACGACAATGAGCCCAGAATCTGCGGAAAGCATGGTTCCAAGGACCAACCAGGATGTAAAGTCTTTCACGTCCCTAGAAATGATGCTTCTCAAGCAAAGGAGGTTGAGGTTGTACCCGACAATGTTGTGCAGGATTTGACAGATCAGGTGTTGGTCTTCAACTACCGCGGGACCATCCATGCTATTGACCATGTGTGACGCGATCCTCTACAATCCTCAACCAGTAATGTCAGCTTGCTAACTTGCTATTTGCCGCTAGCAATGTCCTCACTCCTCATATCCTCTCTCGCAAGGCGTCCCGTTCGACATCGAGGATTTTGGCATCGTCCTCAGCGCAGGCCTGACTTGTCCCAAGCACAACTGGTCATTTGACTTATTTACCGGAATATCTGATCATGGGAGCTATAAGCTAAACGTTTGGGAAGTCCAACTACGTGACCCGAATGGCGCGGATGCCGATAGCGGCGACAAAGAGGTCTGGGTAAGGCGCAAGCCCAGGATAGGTTAGATGTCATGTAGAATGCTGTTCTAGCAATCTGGACAAATGAGTTAGAGCCTACATTAAGGCTGAGACTTGTCGACAATGACCTATGATAAGATGGGTAAGAGAAGACCCAAGAAATCTGTCGAACCTAGCTTTTAAGGCAGTTTCATTCTTCTTCTATGCTTGCTTTCGTTTACATTTATCTTTTATCCCTCCTTCCCTTCTTTTCTCCAACTACTGTAAACAGGCGGGTCTCCATACTTGGTAATGCCCAACCCACCACTAAGTATACCTGACACCAAAACCGGATTAAAACAAACGGCATTCCTCGCCATGATCAGCTGCACCGCATTCAATAAACGGGGACGCGTTTTTCCTCCCCCAAAACCGACCCGATCCAATTATTCTTTTGAAAGAGGGCGCTCACTTTTCCAATATCCTCTCCGTAATCCGCCAAGTCAAGTAGACACCCACCGTTCTCCTCTTTCCCTCATTTAGTACCACTTTGCCTTGCGATTTGGTGGCAGGCTATGGCGGTAATCATGAGTGACCTTGACAACTTGGTTTACAATCACTTGTACCTACCAAATCGCATACTTGCAACTGAGAACGAGAGCCTTGACCTCGTTGAGGCAAACTTTGTCAATACGCTGCGAATGCAGTTCGAATCATGGAGGATGCCCATGGGTATTCACCGTCTCCAAGCCTGGATGCCTGGAGAGTAATTCGTCGTTCTCTGATCAGTTCTCGCTCATAAGTCATTCTGGCAAAATCAACAAGGGAATTCTCATCCATAAACTGCGTTCAATGTTGCCCACCGACGCTCTCTTGCTTCACATTCGAGCCCAGAATGCAGGCCTGTTCATCCATCGTCATACTGAGTATGCTTGATGAGAAGGATACTGTCTGCCTTCAGCTGCTAACCAGTGAGTAAGCACGGAGATGAAGTTCGAAGTTTTGAAGCTCAGCGATAAACCAAGATATCCTTGCAGGAAACGACGGCCTCCGCTAAGACTTATTGGAAGTCGCGTGCAGCATCAAGGACGAAGCATTCAACGACACAGGCTTCATGTCAGCCTTGACCAGGTTTCTTAAGAAAGCATCGATCGGATCTAAATTTGCGACTCAGGTTTTCAAGGCTGGAGTCAGCAGCCATGAGCTCAGAGATCACTGTGTGCTGACCATCTTGAGCTCCAAGATGGTGGCAGTTATAGGGGCAAATGATTGCCGAGTTTCCGTTCACTTTTCCTTAAGCGAGTAAGAGATGACGTTTCCTGCTCCAAGGGTCAGTCCTGGATACACTCACCTTTTTGGCTCTTCTTGAGAGTTGGGATTACACATTTTCTCTCCTTCGAAGTTGGCCGTGAGGTCGGCCAATTTGAGTATGAGCTCCTCGTTTGCGTGGTTTTAGCTCTCCTCCTCTAGTGGGCCCAATACCTTACACCAAAGGACATGCACGTTCTCAGCGCCAATATTTGCCGTCAGATGGTGAAGCTAGAGCAGCTTCGAGAGGATATAAAACATCCCGAAACTGTCGAAAATCTATTTCTGTCCTGTCTCCTCGTATGGAGTCTATCGTGAGCCATACTCGCCGTCATATTGAGTCGCTCTGAAAGCAGTTCAAGCGCCGAACTACAAAACAGATCCACTATTTGAAGAATGCCTCGCTTGACCAGCAGCGGCTGACACTAAAGCTTTCCGGGTGGCTTTTGAGGGACATACGAGGGCAGACTCAACGAATGCTTTCTGATCGTCGTCCCTGCTGGAAGCTCTGCACGATTTCAACCATTCCTCCTCTCTGAACCAAAAGTTCATTGAATTCGCAAGACCAATCCTTTGGACGGCTGAGGAAGAGGACAAAGTCATGGTAACACTGATGGAGATCTCTCACTTCGTATGCGACGACTGCTTGACATTGTGTTTCAGTTTGTCAAGGCCATGCAAGAGAAATGAGCCTGGTCTTCTCGAGTTGCTAGAACTCGGGATGGCTCTCGATGGGGAGACCTGCCGAAAATACCCTCTTCTCCTTGAATATCATCCGCTGTTTAGCCCTGAGCTGCTTGAATATCACCAGCTGACGACATATAGAGACATGCTGAGAGCGCAACAAATAGTGAATATCTGATCAAGAGATTTAAGTGATGCAACGGAACGACAAGGACAGTCTTTGACGATCCCAGTTTTTCCTGTTTTGCATGCCGGTTCTACGACGAACATCCGTCTGCTGCGGCTGCAATGCATGCTTTACATAGCTCAATCAAGGTGAACGCTTTCCACAAGATGAAAAACAAACGCAAGGAATGACAGGAACTGGGCGACGAATACCAAATGCTGTGCAAGTTTGTTAAAAGCAGCACCTGGATCTCGTCGACGAAAATGATCCGCACGGCAGGGTAGAACACAACGCCTTTCGTGGCCCAAGATGCCGTTCAGAAGATAACTCTCTCGACTCTAAATCCAGTCTTGTAAGATCCACTCCCCAAGGAAGACTACATGGCTAAAGTTGTTGTTTTCGAGCGAATGTGCTTAGAGGACTTTGCCAAATACAGAGACAACACTCGGTACATCTCAGCAGCACGCACTCATGACGGACAGGCGGATGGTATGGACCCAAAGTGTCTTCTCCGTGACTATCACCAGCTCGCGACCTTTGCCGTGCTATGCTTTCGTTCACATTGGCAACGTTTACTAAATCAAGTAAGTGATATGCGCACGCGTGCAACCTATCACCTATTGCTTTCCAGCTTCCCGTTTTCTCTTTCTTTACACCTTTTTAAGTTCAGCGGATGCTAACCTCTCTTTCACAGTCCTGAGAACCAAGTATGGCATAAACCCATTCTCATGTGCCTGGGATGAGGTTTGTAAGCCAGATGGCCTCGAGCTTGCTTACTACGACCGTCACGGTGGCGTATGGATTGGGCAATATCGAGTGCAGCCCAAGTTCACTTATTTGGTTAAGCTTCAGCTGCGCACAAATTCGTCGTAACCCCTCATTTTCAATAAGATCAGTAATAGGCTTGACCGCAGCGGCCATAATAATTCCCCTGTCCAATAGAACAAAAAATATGGAACACCAATGATGCGCAGGAGGAAAGCATCCGAAGATGTTAATCCACCTTTTGACAGAATCAAATGTTGATGCCGAGAAAAGACAGGACGAAATGCTCCGTCCATAGCCTAACGACAAGGATACGGAAGGAGGTATTGAAGACTGAGACTACATCGGAAAGCATGCTGTCCACGGTGGAGGTACGCCTCGGCAAATGATGTCCTGTAGGATTCGGAAGCTTGAGCTGTCAAGCATTGAGCTCAACGAGATGCCCCTCATGCTGAAGACGTCAACGGCTGTGACTCTGGACATTTTCCCCGGCCAACCCCATCGTGGGATTGGTCAACCTCAATCTTCCAATCAATCGGAGAAAAGCACCGTCCACGGAGCAAACCGTGTTTGTTTGCGCGGGAGGCTTCATGAAAGCTCGACTTCGTGGCCCAGGCCAATGGCATCATGCAGAATCCCATCGCGGCGCGAGTGCCGTCACTTTTCCATGGTGCACTGCTGTCGTAGCTCACCATCCAACCGCGCCCCTGCCAAGCCATCAGGCAAAGGGTATGGACTCCACTCGGTGCAGGTATCGATACCAGTACCAGAGACAACCCCTGGCAAAAGATTGTCATCGGGTTGGTCCAACTCGCCACCACACTGGATTCTGGAAGGAGATCGTGAACACGGATTGAATACTCCGTGGTTTTACTTACGGAAAATATTTCCATTAGGACTCTTGACTCGGCAAATCTGGACGATGCAGGTTGTTGTCAACGTTGAGGGTGCTCTAAGCGCCCCTCCACTCCAACGCCAACGCTGATCCCACCGTGGCGCCAAGATACCCAGTACCTGCACATGTATCCCAGTGGCGCAGGTTGGTGGGTGGATCTCCCCGTGTTTCATGTTTTTGAGACGGCGAAGTAACGAGCGCATGAAGACGATGGTGGGGCTTTCATTTCCTCCATGATCGAGGATTGAAGCTGGCAACGTTCGTGGTGAGGATGGATGGAGGGCAACTGATGAGAGGATTGAGCTGCTGTTGACGGTTTGGTAAGGAAGATGAGTTGGTTGATGTCGTGCCAGACAAACTGACGACGTCAACGGCAGCGCTGTTCATCAATGATCCACCAAACCCCCTCCCTCCTGAAACCGCTTTTCATCCAAAGCAGCCACCATCAGGCATGCTCTCCCACAGCTGGCTACCCTGGGCAAAATAAACTCCATCCACTGCTGGCATGTTGTTTCGACCACTGCAACCCCTTCACAGCTCAGCCCCTCCCCTCCAAATCAGCGCCGTCCGCCTGGGGGCTTCGAGCGCCAGTGACTCGCCGCTGGATGGTCTGCCGAGCTTACCCCCTGAAGTTCCCGGGGGCGGCATGTCAAGATGGCCGGCATATATCTGCATATACGCCTGTCATGGGCAATATGTACCTGCTTTCCAATTCCGCCTCTCTTTTTCTTCCACACCCACGCATACGGCCACCGTCGTGTCTTTTCCGTTGCTGTACACTCCCGTTCTTTTCGGTGAGCTAGCATTGCTGCTCAACAGACTCCATTCTTTACTCCAGACGCCAGGTGTTCGCGTAACCTATTCGCTCTTTTTCATCTTGTTACATTTCCATTCCCAGTAATTCCTGACCGCAGGCCGTTCTCTTTTCATCTACATCAATATTGCCCTCTGAGTTTTTGGTGGCAGTTGGTCTAGACTTACCGGTTATATCACCTAGGTAGTAAAAGTATATTTGCCTTGTCTTCAAGCCAGAACTGCAGCTCCTGCTTCCCATTCTTTTAGTCTCTGGACAACGACATTCTTTCAGGGTTCAGATTTACCGGACGAGACACACAAACTGTGCTGATAACCATGCGCTCTGCCGCGACCCTGCTGCTCTCCCTTTTCTCTCTAGCCCAGGCCCGGCCCTTCGCCAACGTCCCGGGCTTCCAGCTCATCTGGGGTGACGAGTTTGACGGTCCAGCTGGCGCCCTTCCAGACCGGGACAAGTGGAAGATCATCACTGAGTAAGTCCTTTCCCTTCTACTAGCCCAGACAGACGAAGGTACTAACATGTATAAGTCTGCACCACAACAACGAAGTCCAAACATACACGACTTCCAACCGCAATCTCCAAATTTCCGGCGGCTCAACCGTCCAACTTGTGCCCCTCAAGTCCAACGGCAAATGGACCTCCTCCCGCATCGAGTCCCTCCAAGCCTTCACCCCTGCCCCTGGCAAGATCACGCTCTTCACAGCTGACATCCGCTTCGGCAACAACGTCCAAGCCAACAAGCAAGGCCTGTGGCCTGCCTTCTGGATGCTGGGCGAGTCCGTCCGTCACGGCACACCCTGGCCGCAGTGCGGTGAGCTGGATATCATGGAGACGGTGAACGGCTTGCCGACGGCGTATGGCACGGTGCATTGTGGGCCGGATGGGAACGCGTCTGGTGGACCGTGCAATGAGCCTATTGGCAGGGGAGGAACTGTGTCGTTGGAGGATTATGGTTGGCATAACTGGGCTTTACAGGTCGATAGGACGAATGGCGGAGACTGGAGGGGGGAGGTTATTAGGTGGTTAAAGGATGGGGCGGTTTTTCATGAGATTAGTGGGGCGGCGATTGGAGATGAGAAGGTGTGGAAGAGCTTAGCGAGGAGCCCGATGTTCTTTGTGTTGAACGTCGCTGTCGGGGGTAATTGGTGAGTTCTTTACCCAAGGGACGAGGGATTTAAGGGACTGGTGGCTAACAAACCACAGGCCTGGTGACCCGAACGACGCGACGCTTGACAGCTGGGGCAGCATGATGGAGGTTGACCGCGTTGCTGTTTACCAGTCGACCTAGGCAGTTGGCGGGCGATCAGTCTCCTTGGATATTTTGGGCACCCGACATTCTGAAAGAGTTCGTCAGTCGGATTCAGGGGTAATTCCAGCTTAAGGGATGGCCTCACTCAAAAGACTGCATCATGTCAATGGTCAGCAAAGAAGTTTTGGATACCCATCCTCTCGTTACTGGGCGTTCAGGATTAGGGTTACATGATATTTCTTCTGCTTGGCAAGTTTGATTCTTCTCCGGCAACATCCCCGCCCTTTTGTACATCACTTTGAGGTCATAGACCCAGCACATACGAGATGACATACAGTCAATTCACTGTGTAACATTTGTCTCCCTGGCTCCCGTCAGGGGCTCGATCCGCATGACAAATATGGAATAGAAGCTAGCTCTATCCAATTCTCACCTCTAAAGACACATGCATCTATTGGTATCTCTAACCCCCTAACCTCTACTCAAAAATGCTCTGCTTGTACACCGAGGGATCAATATAGGGCGACCCGCCTCTCCCCCCAAAGCCCCACCTAATCTGTGAAGCCATTGCAATCTCCGTCCCCAAATGCTGCGCAAATGTCCACGCCAGCCCAGGATCCTTCTGGAAACCCCTTCCAACAAGCACCACATCCAGCCCCTCCTCTTCCAGCAACCGATTCGCCTGCCGACCATCTGTGATCGCACCGACGGTCGCAACAACTAGTTTATCCCCCACAGCCTTCTTAACCGCCACCGCGAACGGCGCCTGGAACGCAGGCCCGCTTTTAACTTTCTGTTGGGAGTGCACGCCGCCAGAGGAGATGTCGATTAGATCAATGGCGCCCTGCTCTGCGAGCTTCTGAGCAAAAACTACGGTGTCGCTCAGCTTCCAGCTCTCTTCGGGCAGGGTCTCCTCAACCCAGTCGGTTGCGCTGACGCGCAGGAAGACGGGGATATGAGGGCCGACCGCGTCGCGAGTAAGCTGGGCGATTTCCAGAGGAAGGCGCATCCGGTTCTCGAGCGAGGGACCTCCGTACTCGTCGGTGCGGGTGTTTGCTTGGGGAGAAAGGAAGGAGGACAGGAGGTACCCATGAGCGTTGTGGATTTCGACAAAATCCACACCCGCAGCGACGGCCCTCTTCACAGCGGCAACCCAGTCTCGCTTGAACTGCTCAATATCCTCCCTGCTCATGGCTTTTGGGCTGGGGAAAGCCGCAGAGAAAGGCACTTCACTCGGTCCAACGACTCTATCCGGCCACCCGCCGACCTTCTCGGTGGCGATAATCGCTTCGTTCATCTTCCACGGCGCAACTGTGCTCGCTTTGCGGCCCGCATGAGCAATTTGCACGCCAATTTTCTGGCCCTGGCTGTGCACGAAGTCGATTACCCTCTTCAACGGGGCAATATGCGAGTCATCCCAAAGGCCAACGTCTTGGGGGGTAATGCGGCCCTCGGGGGTCACGGCCGTGGCCTCGATGATGATCATGCCTGGGCCCCGCTGAGACAGAGCGCCATAGTGCATGAGGTGGTAGTCTGTCATGTGGCCATTTTGGGCGGAGTACTGGCACATAGGGGCGACCTTGACAAAGTCAGTCTACCTGCACTGCTTATGAGTGAGTGTGGGGGCATTACACCCAAGCGATTCTGGAAGGTCACACCGCGGATAGTCAACGGCTGGAAGAGCTTTGGTACAGGCTTCCCACTGGTTTGTGGATTTGCTGCCGTACCAGCCGGCGGGTTCTGCGCTGGCGTGAAGTAGGAGAGGTTCGGGGCTGGCTCGATGTCGACGTCGGGAAGGGACCCCATTATGTTTGACTCAGTGAGTGTGGGGATATGGTTCTTAAAAGGTGAGATAAGCTCTCTAGTAAGGGGATGAGATCACGCTCGATGAGAGGAATCGATGGCTTTAAAATGCCCATATGAAGAAGGCTTTAAAGTTCTTCCAGAAAGTTGTCGATGTTTTAAGGGGCCCACTTTGCTTAGAAATCGCGCCATTGTGCCGGAACATCTTTGCAATGGCCATGAAACGGGGATGTCCAGGCAAGATGCGCTATGAATTCTTATGTTTCTGGAACTGAGGCGCCCAAAAGGGATAAGCGTCAACGGCTAAAAATGGATCCCTTTGTTCCCACTGTTAGCGATACCGTTTCCGTTATCCTATTTTTCGACCGGGTTCACCACCGAGGGTGCTGGGTCGTGCTTACGACGCTGGCGGGCAAAAGCTACCTAAGTTGGACTAAATACAGGTAACGCCGGGAAAAAGACGCATAGGATAAACCGGAGTGGGTTAGAGGGAGTGTGGTGTACTATGCACAGGGGAAGGTTCTTGAAACCGGCCGGCCCCAGGTATGTGCCTCGTCGGGACCTACTCCGGGTCGTTAGGCTCGGAAGCTAGGTGATCAGCACGTTGGGCTTGGGGCGGGCTTGCGAGGGGGGAGCGAGGGAGGAGTGGTAATGAGATAGGATGCCCTGTGGCAGCGTCCCAGGCTTGCCCCCAGAATTCGACCTGGGAGGCCCTGGACGAACAGCTGGAAGGATGACCAAAAAGCCCTTGGGTCTAGCCTGCGGGCAAGTGGGTTGTTGAAGGAGGTGAGAGGGCAGGAAAAGAAGTGGCCTCTGGAAACTACACCGCCGCAGGGGCACTCTTTAATAGCCTTTGGGGAGTGATTGAACCGCGCGTGGTACTCCAGGAAGTCGCCGTGACCCGAGGCCTCTGCCAGCCACCGGGAGATGCACTTCCGGGAAAACTTCTCGAGGAAGGGTTGGCTGAATGCCCGCTCCATTGAGACGAGGGGGGTCTGTTGGCCTGCCTCCATCTGTGCATGTCCGGGGAAGGGACGCGACGTTTTTTGGGAGGAGAGGAAGGGAAGTAAAGCTACGCCCTGATGTCCGCGTGTTTGGGCTCCCACTGGCGCCTAGCCCTCAGGCCAGAGGCTGCTTGGTGCAAGCGGGACCAGCCGCGGTAAGGGGTTCGGGCGAACCTAATCCACAGAGGGTGGCTGGCCGGTAACATCACAATTCGGTTCCTCCATCGTACCCGTTCTCTGTCCAGATGTACTCAGGGCAGAGGCCGGCAAGCCACCAGAGTCACGGGGTGGGTATTGTCCTCCACACTGGGAATATCACCCTCAGTGCTGCGTTTACAACCTTAGTAAGAGATGATCACACCGATGCGAGTCTGTATGGGACCAAGCGGCCGTTGATCCCAGCATGCACGAGCGCCTGGACGAGGTCCAGCGCGGATCTAGATGAGACGGCTCCTGCAACGTCTGGGGGGAGCAGCCCCGAGTTTAGCGCTGCCGCCGTCATCTCCACACCTTTGCCGAAAGTCGAAAGTCGAAGCAAAGTGATCGGCCGCCAGCCCTTGTATGATGGCGGATCCCTCCCGGGCTTCGAGAGGGTGACCACTGTCGCTTGTTTGAAGGCCTTAGGGAAGGCCCCCCATTTTATGCAGCCTTCGGCGATAGCCCGGGTAGCTGGACGAACGAGCTCCCAGGTGTGTCTGAGGAATGTCAGTGGCACCCCGTCGGGACTGGGTGTGTTCGAGGTAGTACCGAAGAAGGCATCCCTGAGTTCGTTGTCGCTGGGTGGGTCAGCGAGCCTCACTGCCCACTCAGGGGGAAGACGGGGTCCGGGCCAAGCCGGGCGGGAACCCTCTTGGCCCCTGCAGGCCAAGGCTTGAGTAGCGAGGTAAGCCGCCATCCGCTCCGTGTCCGAGATCACTCTTCCATTCCCGACCATGACGGTGGGCCGGCCGTCCGAATGGCCGATGCGTCATCTAAGTATCTTGCCCCACTCCGCCGGGGTCCAGGCTGCGGCAACCCTTTCCCTGTAAAAGTTCGCCCTGGCTTCTTTGCAGAGCTTGCGGTAAAGTATGGGGTCAGTCTCCCTAGCTGTGGCCAGCACCTCCGACCACCAGGGGGCTCGTTTCGTGTGCCTGTTGGGGCGGGTCGAAAAACGGCCTGCCACTTTGGCGAGGGTATCGAACACGTCTCATGCAAATTGCTCGAGCTCCTCCCGGGAGTCAAAGTTAGCCGGGGCTGGGGGGGAAGGACCTTAGTAAATGGGCCGCCTCCTCGAAACGGGCCTCGGGGAGACGTTTGGGAGGGGGCAGGCAGCTAGAGGGGCGGCTAGGCACCGAGATGACTAGCGCACGGTGATCGGAAGTCCAGTGGGCGAACTCCGCAAAGGCTCGGGCTGGGCCGAGGGCGAGGTCAATGACCCCGCCATCGCGGTGTGTTAGGCCCTCCGGGTTGAGGATATGTAGCCCCCTCTCGGCAATCCACGCCCTGACCATATCTCCCTTGAGGTTGAGGCGTGCGCAGGGGGTCCCAGTCCGGGTGATAAGCATTGAAGTTCCCCACTATAATGAAGGAGTAGAGAGTGCACTAAGAGTTGATAGCGATTTCAAAGTTGGGATGTAGATAAACGTTGACTACAGTGACCGCTTGAAGGGAGATAGTGACTACCCCGTGCTCTGAGGCGGTCGGGGCCGAGGCCGAGAGCCGGTGGTCAACGTAAATCGCAGCTCTAGTAGCTGAATCGTCGATGGCGTAAAGGTGAAGCCCGGGTGACATCGAACCCTGCCGAAGATGACCGGAGGCTCCTGGATACACACCACCTGATACCGGTGTCTCACCGCCCTTTGGAGGACACCGTCGACGTTGGCCAGGGACCTTTGTACATTGGCTGAGATGATCTTACAGGTCCGACTCATCGGCAGAGTCTAGACTAGTTCTGACGATGATGCAGTCCTCGATATGCTCCTCCTGCTCAGGCTCCACCCGGGCGGCGGGGTGGGCTTGAGGGGCCGGGTTAGTGGGGACTCCGGTACTCAAGCCGCCGATCGGACCTCTGATCCTGGCCCTAGCCATTTTGGCGAGCTCTGCGGGCTGCCGGGGGGGCTCGGTGCGAGCCCGGAGAAGTGAAGCGGCAGTGGGAGTGGAGCTCTGAGGTTGGGGGGCTCCGACGCCCTGTCCGCCGGAGGGCTTGTGGGGCATCGGGGAGGACCTCCTCGTCGCCCATTATTTGTTGGGGTAGGGCCTTCGGAGCTGCCGGGGGAGCATTCTTGATTAGGGGTGTTCTGTGGGGGCGGGGGAAGGTTGCGGCGTCTAGCAGCTCGGTAAGCCGCCTGGCCGGCCTTCCTGACGGCCTTCCTTTGGGAGTCCGTCAATCTCATGACCTTGCCCTGTCAGACCTTCGGCTTGACCGGGCAGTCTACGTGACCTGGTTTTGCTGGGCCCAGTTTGGGCATTGGGGAGGGGAAGGTGTTGGTTGTGGTTATGTGCCGGGGCGCCGCACTCGCCGCACCTAGGGGCCGAGCGGCACTTGTCTTTATGGTGGAAGCCGAAGCATCGCTCACACGTGTAGAATCTGCCCTTGCGCTTCAGGAGAATCGAAGGATCCGAGTCGAATATTCTGAACGGCGTCACCTTTCTGGTGAGGATAACCAGGTAAGCTCCAGGGGTGCCCTTGACAGTGTGGACGCTGAAATCTTTCTCCTTGGTGACTGCAGCTGTCACATGGACACGGCAGTCCAAGGAAAGGGATGACCGGGCAGCTTCCTTTATATAATCCTCATGATGCCTCAGCCATATGGCTCATTTTCGTCGGTCATCCGGCTATAGACATCTTCCGGGATCAACTACGTATTTGTGCCGCTCACAACCATCCTGTCTCTGGTGTCCCTTGTGTTGGCAGTCGGTGACATGATAGACTTCTCTTGGTTCCTCCTCTCCCTAACACAAGGACACTTAGGACCAAGAAAGATTATTACACGTAGTACTTGACTTCGCTGTGCACCCCACATCGTCAGTGGCCATCATCTAACCCATTTGACCCATTGTCGATCCCTGCCTGCACAGACCACGTCACCCGTTACAGCAGCAACCGCCTCTACAATCAGAGGGTCGGTGTGTCTGCGGGAGCCGTCGTGTGCTAAGATGTACTTCGGGACGTTCTTGACTAGGTAGGCGAAAGTGAGCACCTCCGGGTCGATACGATAGTAGTGCACCTTGGCTTTTGCTGCCAAGGAGGAGCGGAATTCGGGGCGGAAGACCTCGATTGCAAAGCCGGAGTTAACTGGGTAAACCTTGACGATGTCTCTTCTAGGAAAGCCTAACTTCTCAACTAGGAAGGTGATGATGCTTGTTGGTTTGGCATTGCGCCTATCTGGGTGGTTCCTATCGACACGGAGGAAAACGCGACGGCTGAGCCCCTCCGAGACCGCTCCGTATCGCGCCGGGGTGGAGGTGTGGTTGCCCTGAGTCGTGGGGCCTGAATGTTTGGGGGGTGGGTGAGACGGGTCGAGATACAATTTAATTCAATTCTGTTTGGGGGGTTGGCCCCCGTTGGTTACTGCCTGAGCGTAAGTGCGTGGTCTGCCCTGGTAGGTCGGGTTGGTGTGGTTTTGGGTCGATATTAGAGGAGAAGGGGTTCGAGAAGGTTCTGGAGGATTCGATTGCGCTCCGATAGTCTCCGGGGGAGGGGAGGGAGGGGGGTTGGCTCCTCCTGAGCCATCGTAGACTGGATGAGAAAGGAGTGAAGCCTGGCGATGATAAGCTTCCCAACCTTCTTTTCCAGAGTGCCATCGAGCTTTCTCTCGACGTCCTCGATGGCGCGCAGCAGCTTTTCAGCAACGGATATGAAGGCGTTGAACTCCTTGACCTTCTCGCGGACCCTCTTAAGAGCGGCTAGAACGCCGGCGCTTGAGGGGCTATCTCGACGAGGGTGCTCGGTGGTCGTGGTGTTGCGAGTCGAAGTGCTCAGGTTAACCATTCCTGATTGGTTTATCCCCGCAGTACCCCCTATGATTGGCTGGATCCAGGAATCAGGGGAATTGGAATTGGAATTGGATTATAATTTTCGACCGGCTTCACCCCTGGGGGCGCTGGGTCGTGCTCAAGACGACGGCAAGCATAGCTACACTACTATATACCCTATATACATGCCACACTGGGAAAGACCTTGAGATGGGAAAAACCTGTGAGGAAGAAGGTAGCCGGGTGGGGGGAGGGGGGAAAATGGATACCCGGGAGGGGCAAAGACCTACTTCTGCAGAGCAAGTGGGATTTGGATCTCCAACTCCGATACTGACTCCTCCAAGTCGGTGTCGGGCTCCCTGTTTTCACGGCGCTTGACCCGCACGCGAAAGGAGAAACGAGGGGGCCGTAACGTCGGAATGGGTAGTCCTGTGGCCGCGTCGAACGCTTGACCCAGGAACTCGATCTGGGAGGATCAAGATTGGAACAGTTGAAAAGAGAACCGGAAAGCCCTAGGATCGAGTCTCCCTGCTAGCGGGTTGTTAAACGTGGTGAGTGGATAAGAAAAGAAGTGGCCTTTAGACACTAGTTGGCCGCATGCGCACTCCTTGAACGCCCTCGGAGGGTATTTAAACCGCACGTGGTACTCCACGAAGTCACTGTGGCCTGAGGCCTCTGCAAGCCATCGCGCGAGGCATTGCCGGGGAAAGCTCTCTAAAAACGGCTTCGCTGTGTGCCCGTCCCAACGGGCCGACGGGGGCTTGTTGGCGCGCCACCAGCTCCTCATAGCTGGGAGGGGTACCCGGCACCTTTTCGGGGGGTTTGGAGGGAGACCAAGCCACGCCCTAGGCCCCAAGCGACGCGGTTCCCATCGGGGCTGGGCCCCGAAGCCCGCTGCCGCCTGATGTAGGCGAGACCAGTCTTGGTAGGGGTGTCGGCGAAGTCGGACCTGAAGGGGTGGTCAGCTGGCAGCCTCTCGACACGGCTCCTCCGCCGAGCTTTCTCTCTATCCATTAGGAAGTCCGGGTACAGGCCCACCAGCTCCCACAGCCACTAGAATGGAATCGTCCACCACACCAGGAAATTCGCCCTAAGCGCTTCGTTCGCTGTTTTGGTCAGGGGAGACTAGGCGGCCCCGGATGCCGGCCCTCGTTGGGCCTGTGTCGAGTTGGACCATTCCATAGAGAAGAGAGGGGGCGACGACAGTGTTGAAGATAGCAGAGCCCGCCACCGGCTGAAAGCCCCGTACCCTCGTGTTAGATAGTCGCTTTATCAATCCCACTATCGAAGTTGCCGCTGACGCCTGGCGGCAGCCTGGGTCGCAGGGTTCAGCTTGGAGTCGAGTGTGACCCCCAGCCATTTGACCAATTTACCAGGGGAGAACGACACCCTTTCCACTTTAGTTGAGATCCTCGCTGGGTTGATTCTATTGCGCTTGGCCCCGAAGCCACGGGGGGAATGTGGAGGACCTCCGTTTTAGTCGTATCGACAGAGAGATACGTCGAGTCCACATCGACTGTCACCAGGAGTTCGTGGTAGCTCTGTCTTACCATCGGCTCCGCGTCATGTACCAAAGACTGCACCAGGTCGAGGGCCGACCTGGATGGCACGGCTCCCGCCACATCTAAGGGAAAGAGCCCCGAAGCTAGCGCGGCCGTTGTCATGCGCCTGGCCAGCAGTCTTTCAATGCCTTTGCCGAAAGTCGAGAGTAAGGTAATGGGGGGCCAGCCTTTATAGGCGCGGGTCTTGCCCTGGCTTGGACAGAGTTAACACCGTTGCTTGTTTGAACGCCTTGGGGAACGCCCCGAGAGCGATGCAGCCTTCAGTAAGAGCCCGGGCCGCTGGTCATATCTCGTCCCACGCGGCTTTCAAGAAAGCTAAGGGACTCCGTCCGGACCTGGCGTACTGGACGTGGCTTCTAGAATGGCGTCCTTGAGCTCGTCATCGTTGGAAACCGCCGCTAACTTAGCGGCCCAGTCGGGGGGTGCCGGGAGTCGAGCAGGCAGGCCTGTGCCCTCTTGCGCCCCGGCTGGGCGAAAGACCTGGGTGACCAGATACGCCGCCATCTCTTCTGTGTCTGATATCGTGTGCCCACCGACTACCATCACCATTGGTCGGTCGTCTACAGGGCTTGAGCGCCACCTGAGTATCCTGCCCCAATCGCTAGGGGAGGTCGCGGAGGCTACCTTGTTTCCATATAATTGGTTCGGGCCTCCTTGCATAGCTTACGGTATATCACTGGTTCGACCTCCCTGGCCGTCGCAAGCACCTCCGTCCACCACCGGGCGCTCCTCGTATGTTTGCCGGGACGGATCGCGAAGCGGCCCACCACACCTGCCAAAACGTCGTACACAGCCCATGCATACTCCTCTAGCGCCTGTCTGGTCTCGAAGGCCGCGGGAGGGGGGAAAGGAGAGTTCGGAGTAGTCGTGTGGCCTCCTGGAACTTGCCCTTGGGGAGTCGTTTGGAGGGCAGCAGTTGCTGCGGCGGTCTGTGGGGAACAGAGACAACGAGAGCTCTGTGGTCCGAAACCCAATGTGTGAACTCCGCGTAGCATCTCGAGGGGCCCGGAGCAAGGTCGATAACCCCGCCGGCTTTGTGTGTAGGGCCTGGGAATTCAGTATGTGCAAGCCCTGAGAGGCGATCCACGCTCTAACCATGTCCTCCTTAGGTTGGCTCGGGCCCTTGGGTCCCAGTCAGGGTGGTGGGTATTGAAGTCCCCGACTACCAAGGTCAGTCCCTATGGGGGGAGGGAGCGAAGCTGGAGCCAAGTGTCGGTAGCTAAGTCGAAATTCGGGTGTAAGTAGACATTGGTAATCGTTAGGCCGTTCATGGTCGCTGAGACCAGAGCGGGCTTGGGAGCGTTTGTGGCCGATGCTGTCAGCCGGCGGTCAATGTAGATTACCGCCCTGGTTGAGTTGTCGTCGAGGGCGTATAAGGTGAAGCCGGGGTGCTGTTTGACCTTGCCAAGAGGACCGGCGACTCTTGGATGCATACCACCTGGTAACGGTGTTGGACCGCCCGTTGAAGCACACCGTTCAGTTTGGCAATGGAGCGTTGGGCATTAGCTGACATAATTCTAATGGTGCGTGCCATGGTCGTTACACACCACTATGCAATCTTGGATCGGTTCATCCAGGCCGACAAGGCGCTCCTCTGGGTGGGAAGTGGGGCCTGCCGGGCTGGGCTGAATGCGCCTCGGATCGTGGGAGTGCGGAGCCGCAGGAATCCCGTGTCTCTATCTTGGGACACGGTGACCGGGGGGCAGAGTATGTGGGGGGTGTTGTCCATTTGGGGTGCTCTCGTGTCCCGGGTTGGGGCCGTCGGCCGGGGATCCGGTAGCGCGGTGTCCCTGGGGGAGCCGAAACCTGCGGGGCAGCGGGATGCACCGGTGGGGCGTCCGGGATGACCGTGTCCTCAGCTTCCGGCCTGGCTGGTTCGGGTGTAGCCGAGGGGTTGAGGGGAGGGTTAGGAGACCACTTTGGTGATCGGTAAAATGGGACGCCACCCCGGCTTCACTATCTTTACAGTTGACAGCCGCTACACCAGGTCGGCGGTCCACATACACCGCCGGTTTTCCGCTTCTGTTACCCACAACCCGTCACCCTTTTCAGTTACCTTATTTTGTCTGTCTATATGCGCTCCGACGACGCGACAGTGCTTTAAGCCTGGCGTTTATTACGACATCTCTCCTGTTCCCCCTCCCACCTGGTGGTAGGCGACCTTAACACCCACCATCCAGACTAAGACCTTCGCATCTTCCTCAACACGCGAGGCAAGTTGCTCGCTGAGTGGATTGCTGCTAGGAACTTCACTATCCTCGACCTTCAGGGCCAATGAATAGCCGCGGTAGCGTCTTGAACCTCGCGCTTGGGCCGCCAAGGGTCTTCTCAGAGTTCACACATTGGGCCTCTGACCATAGGGCTATGGTGGTCTCCCTGCCCTGCCGCTCCCTCCCCAACCCCCAACCCTCCCCCAACGTCTCTCCCTCCCGATAAGTTCGACGCAGCGGCCGTTGAACTCGCCCTCCTCCATCCTCCTCTTGTCCTGATTTCCTCCCGCAGGGATCTGGGGGATTATGTTTGGATCGTCTTGAATGTCCGGGCGGGAGTTATACGAGGCCACACCCGCCCCGGTGCCCGCACTAAGAGTGCCCCATGGTGATCTGAAACCTTGCCTGGTGTACCGCAAGCTTTACAAGGAGTTCTGGATGAGATATTACCAGAAGAAGGTCTCCTCCGCCACATCTCCCGCCGACCGGGCCTGCATACTCCGCTGGAGGACCAGCCTGGTCGACAACCGGTCTACGGCGATGCTGGTAAACCGTTCGCTCATCACAGACACAAGATTCCAGGACATCTGGTGTCCGAAGCCTTGAACCTCGTCTCCCTGAGGGAGCTGGCCACCCGCCTTATTCCCTACCCTTCAGACACCGAGCTCAAGGACGCTTTTCTGGGCGCTACCTCGAACACACCCGGCCCAGACGGTATAAACCTTAAGGTTTCCTACGGCACGTCTGGTACTTGCTCCTCCCAGCGGCCAAGACATCTGGCCCAGCATTGCATCGTCTTGACGGCCTCTCCCGGAACGTTGAAGCAGACAACGATGGTCGCGTTGTCAAAACCCGGCTGCAACCCCCGCAGGTATAGAGCCTGACGCCCGATCAGGCTCCTCTCTGTCTTTGGCAAGGGCATCGAGCACTTGGCCGCCCGCAGGATGGTGAAGCAAGGGTCACTCTAGATATCGACTTCGCCTACCCGTCGGCTCAATTCATACGTTTGAGAGAGGTCCTTTCGAGTTAGGGTGGACGCCCCCCCCCAAAAAAAAAAGGAAAAAAAACCTGTGGCGGCGCCATGGGCACGGCTTAGTACTTAGTCTAGATAGAACGTTTGCCAAAGAATACAGTTTATTTATCGCCACAACTGAAATAATCCCTCCTTTGCGCTCACCTTCACCGACAACCCTTCCAAACATCTGTTTCTAATTCCCTTCCCCCCCCCCAAAAAAAATATCTAACTCCCAACGGTGACTGAACCAATGATACTTCAACGCCTAAGGATCCTCGGCCATTATAGATCACTTTTTTTCGTTTCTCTTCCCAACCGTGGCTCCCTCCGCTTCATGGTCGTTCCCTGGCTGGATTCATTACCATTTCCTCCATCCCCCAAAGGCCATAAGAAGCAAATTTACCCTTTGAAGAATTCCCATCTGACTGGGCCCCCGAAAAGAAGCCCGAGCCGGCCCTTTTGGTAACGATTTTTGGCTACAATTCGTACGAATGCTTCTGCGGTATTGACAGCAATTTCGATGAATCCAAACCCACCGTGAATGTCCCCCTTTTGGGAAATCCTCGGTTGAAGGGCTCGCATCAAGGGTGATTATGTGTATCTTGGGGCATCTTACCGACGATCTGCGAAGTTTGAAGGCGCTGATCGGGCTTTTGCCTGCTACGTGGAGGGTATACGTTGAGAGCAAGTTGATTTTTCGTGCAAGAATACTCCTACAAAGGCTAGTAAGCATTCTCTTTTATTCGCGGTTGTGAAGGCGCAGTATCTGGGGAGGAAGGCTGCGTAGCGACAGCAACTAACATATGAAGACTTGCAGAAGTGTTCGCGCAGGTGTGCCGGTTTGGTCAGTTGTCGTTTTCGACTCCTTTGCATCAGCATAGACGAATTGATACGGGACAAGTACGACGATATTCTTGACACCTACCCTTTGGGTCTATTTGAGCCTACCAATATCTCATTTCCAGTCCCAAAGATCGACATCTCTGCTTACAAGATCCTAGGGGGCCTAAATCGCAAGCGTAAGCTCTCTGATACATGGATAATAACCCAAAGCTAACCAACACAGCAAAAAGCCGGCCCTCTTCTCCTTCGAGGATGCCCAAGGACTTTCTCTTTTTCTTTAAATCTTCTCCTAAAAGCCCCAGAAGATAAGCCGAGCTGCTGCGCATGTCCCTCAAATTTGACCCTTGCCGATGCCAACTTCCTAACAACAATGACTTCGAACGCTCAGCATTACCTCTCCCCCCAGCTCAAGAGCTATCGTAGCTTCTGGCGCATGTGCCGCGATCGCTGGCACAAGAGTGGAGAGAAGTTGGAGTTTTGGGGTGATGATCATGAATGAGGTCCCCCGTTGGGGTGGGTAACACTTTGGAATGGCACATGTAAAAACCTTGTGAGGAAATGTATCCCTTGGGAGGTTGAAGAAATGTGGGGTTTGTGTTTTGGGATCGGGAGAGAATTGAAGGAACTAAAGGAATGGAAAATGTAATAAGGGCGAGGGGAAGAAGAGTTGAAGACGCGGAATTTTTAGCTGGTACCTATGATATGCGCACCAGAGTTTGGGCTCCTTTTTTCTGGTTGCTGTGCAAAATCACAACCCAGCAAAAACATTGCTACACAGTCAGCGGAGTTAACGACCAAAAGGTCGAAAAAGGTGGCAATTTCCATGCGACGTGGGCCCGATTCGAACGGACGCTCCCGAAGGAACAAGATTTCTAGTCTTGCGCATTAGACCACTCTGCCACCACGCCGTGCTGATTTGCGGAGTCGTGAGCCTTCCACATGATCCCAGTGTGATGCAGCAGTACACTGTGGAGGGCAACAAACTGAAGAATAAATTGATCAGTAAAGCTTGCAATAGTGAGAGAAGCGTATGAGAAATTTGAGAGGCAAAGATTTTATGATCTTGAATTAGTTTGAGGTCATTAAGTCGCAGTGTTGACTACGGCCTTGTCCAACATGTTCTACCCCTTAACCCCTGAAAACCCTGATTCTCCACAATCGCCCGTGATTCTCAGCCTCATCTCTCTTCAATATTCACTCCACCCTTTGCACCTCTACACACTCTTGATTCCCCTGATCAAATCTGCTGCCTTCTCTGCAACAGCATACACCGTCGCTTGCAGCCCTCCGGCCACAATAATCGGCATGATGCTCGCGTCTACAACCCTCACCCCCTTGACCCCATAAACCTTCAGATCCGGTCCCACACATCCCCCTAGAACCTCTGGCATCATCGCGCACGTTCCCACGGGATGTGCCAGGCTAGGCCAAAAAATCCCCGGATTCGATCGGAGATATGCCATGATATCCTCGTCAGACTGACTGTCGACCCCGGGCACAAGCTCCCTTGGTTGGAGAGTCTGCATCGCGGGAGTCTCCCAAAACCGCCGCGCGTTGCGGACGATGTATGTGATGATCTTGCCGTCGATTGGGTTTTGTAGTGTGTTGTACTGCACGATTGGGAGATGGCCTCCTTCTGGGTCGAGTGTGACTGTGCCACGGGAAAGGGGTTTCAAAAATGGAGCTGGGTGTGCGCCGCTTCCGACAAGGGGAGATGAAGATACGCGGGAGTGGGGTGAGGCATATTGTGCTGCAAGGAGGGTTCTCTGCGCAAGGTATCCGGCTAGGAGTTCGGGCGAGGAGTGGTAGATGAAGGGGAGGTAGGAAAGAGGGTTTTGGGTCAGGACTTCCGCAGCAATTTGTGCGGCTTTTACGGTTGACTGAGTCAGATCTGCCAGGGAGAAAAAGGCTACGGTGTTTGTGTTGGCTGTTGAGACGGGGCCAGTCTTGTTGACAAGGTACTCGTTCCAGACAGTCTCGTTATAGGTTGCGTTGGTGAAGATGGTGTTTGGGCTGGGAAATGTCTCGTTCGCAAGGAGGTAGAGGAGTAATGTGGTTGGATGGTCTTGCAGGTTGGCGCCGACGCTGGGCAAGTTCTTTCGGACTGGGATACCGGCGGCTGTGAGGACGTCTGCTGGGCCGATGCCGCTTGCTTGGAGGAGCTGTGGTGTTTGGATTGCGCCAGCGGCAAGGATAACCTCTTTGCTGGAGAAGACAACTCTCTCAATTCCGTCTTCCCTTGAAACAATCTTCACTCCCTTAGCCTTTGGGAGCGCGCTGGTCATATGGAACAGTATTTCCTGTGCAATTTGTCCTGTAGCCAATCTCAAATTCCCCCTTGTCCCCTGCACCGGATCATAGTACGCCGACCGCGCCGTCTCTCTGGTCTGGGTGCGAGCATCAATCGTCTGCCCAGTCCAAAAAGCCCCCCTCCCTTGACCCCCATCAGCCGTATTCGGCTTCGGGAACCCAATCATCCCCCTCAACGCATCCCAAATCGTCCCAATCACAGTGTACTGCCAATCCGACACATGGACATGCACCGGCCCGGTGCCGTAAGCCCCCTCATCCCACACAACCCCAAAGGTTTCCGTCGTTTCTTCACTGGGCGGCTGGAAGGTCGTGCTCTTCTTGAAGTACGGCAGAAGATCATCCCATCCCCATCCAGGATTTCCCAGGGCTTTCCAAGAATCATAATCGCTCTTCGATCCTCGGACGTAGCCCATGCCGTTGACGACGGAGCCGCCGCCTACTACGGCAGGTACGGTTACGCGGAAGGTGTTATTGTTGAGACCGGGAACGGGGGCTGATTGGGGACTCCAGAGCATGGACTCGTCAACTAGGTTGGCATACCAGGGGACAAAGGCTTCGGGTTTGTTAGAGAAGGAGCCGCGCTCGAGGATCAGGACGGTGGCTATGTGCCAATGTGAATAATTTGTTCAAGAGGGTTAGGGGAGCAGGAGACTTTACTTTGGGGGTCCTCTGTCAGTCTGTTGGCGACCACCAAACCCGAGACACCTCCACCAATAATGATGTAGTCATATGTTGTGTCATTGAGGGTTTCTGTCTGCTGAACAGTAGCTGTAGCAACTGTGAGGGTAAGTGTGGCCGCCAAGAGGTGAGGAAACAGGCCAATTGGCGTTCGTCTTCTTGCCATCGCGGTTCTCTCAACCTTCAGGAGCTGTACGTCATTGAGAAGGTGAAGTTCTCAGGCTTAGAACCCTGAACTTGAGCTGTCCCCTTTCTTATAAACCTTTTGATGTCCCTACCACTCATGTTTCAAAGCTGAGTAGACCCATAATGTTTGGTTACATCCCCCATCTGCAAGCCAAGCCTTACCACCGTGGTACTGATGACGGGGTGCTGACGTGAGCGTGCTTCTCTCCCATAGTTGGAAAATGCCTCTATTGGCCTCGCTCGCGTATATCCCGGCTCAAACTCCGGTAGCGGCGTGGCCAGCAGCATAAACATTGACAGACTAAGCGCAAATTATCACACGCCATTGCAGCATTGTGAACCAAGCAAAAGTAATGTTCCGCAAGTTCCGATGGGTTCCTGCCAGAAGATCTGATACCAGGTACGTAGATCAGGTCAGCTCCTCAGCTTTCGTGAGGCCACACAAAGACTAGAACTTGAGATAGTGCCTGTCCGATGGTGACAGTATGAAGACTTGAGTTGACTATGTCTCTGAATAAGAACTGCTATCAGAAGTCGCGAGACCATACATGACTGGACGATGCATCCTACACAGGCAATGCTTGCGAGTATCGAAGAATATACCTGTCATGGGGCCAATAAGTCCCTATCAATCACCCCATCTAATCACTGACTTCGTCACCAAATCTATTCACACCCTCAACCTGATCTGATCACTGGAAGCAGCAACGGTTAGGTTAGGAGATTAAGCCTGCCACTCGACTCTCTGCTCTTTTCAGCGGTATGTCCTACAGCCTATTAACTCTTCTTGATCTCTTGTCTCCCAAAAAGACGATATGGCCAGAGACAGGACTTTGAGACACCCCTGTATATCGACCAATCCAAGAGGCCCGAATTTCTCCACCTTTGGGCAGGAGTTGTTTTTTAACGCCTCAATCCACCGGTAAACAGTTTCTGCATCCAGTCCAAACTTGACCAAACTGTGCAACATTGAAGTGTCTCGCGTGTTCTATGTCTCATCCATTAGCTCAAAAGTGACCTGCGCTATGGCTGCTGTTGCTTCGGGAGTGGAAATATCAGCGGCTAGTTCCAATGCCTTTCGTTTTCTGACGCCGAGTACAAATAAGCTCTGCAACATAATACCCGAACTTTGCTCAAACGCCATACGAGCCAATTCCTCCGTTACTTCTAAATTGGGTTTTATCTTTCATAACTTTGGGATGTCGATTCGCTTCATTTCCTTGCTAATGCTGTCGAGAGACTTTACCGGTGGTAAGCCATGCTGTGCCCACAGTCGAAGCATTGATGGAAAGCTTGCCTCGATAATTCTTTTCAGGATCCTGATTTGATCAACTACGTCACAGCGATGTATATCAATCTGCTTAGGGTACATTGAGGGTGAAGGTAAGATGGCCTCTGCAATGGGGACGTTCGCAAACGCTATATAAACAACATAAGTTTACAACTTTGGAATATGCCTACGTAGATCCTGATTCAAGACCTAGGATGATCTTCAATCATCAGCTTTCCAGAAATTGAGTCCCATCGAACTCTTCTCCACGACAAGATAAAGCCAGCATCAGCAAGGCGGGAAATCATTTTGCTTGAGAAGCATTTATCCACAAGTGTAAGTTCAGCCAAAGATTGAACAACTGCCCCATATAGCGCATCCAAATGACTTGACAGAATTACCTCAAAGATGTCTACAAACTTAAGGCCTTCGTGTGCTGATGATGGTGATTCTGGATTTTTCAGATCTTAGTTGTGCAATTCAACTTAGTAGGCAGCATTCATTGTCAAAAGGAGCGGTGTGGAGATATGTAACAGGGAACTTGGTACAGGCAGGGGCCGACAATGGGTCAATGGGTTAGTTGATAGCCATTGATCATGTGGGGTGCACAACGAAGTCGATTAATACGTGTAATAATATTTCTTTGTCCTCGATGTCCTTGTGTTAGGGAGAGGAAAAACCAAGAGAAGTCCCTTATCGTGTCCGGGAAGCTTCCTTTATGGAATCCTATTGGCCTTGTGAGTCCCTCAGCCTTCCAGGCTTTTCAGGGGTCTCCTCCTCCTTCCTCGGCCATCTGGCTCATTCAGTCATGTGGCTCCATGTATCTTCACGTATTTGTGCCATTCGCAATCATTCTATCTCTGATGTTCCTTGTGTTGGCAGTCGGGGATACCCTTAAACTGCCATGTCCGTGTGACAAGATATGGAAACTGAACCTTGGCCATGTTGTCAACTGGTAGCTGCGCCAAAGGAGAATCTTCCCAAAGCGCAAGCCTCAATCTCCAAGGCTGAGGCAATTTGCTCCTTGAGTCCCATAAGTTTGGAGCGAGATATTTCTTGTATAATGTGCCCGTCTTGACCAGCAGCTCTTATAACCTCTACCAGATGGCCTTGCAAGATGACACGAGACGTGATTTGGGATTAGACGTGCCAGTAGCTACATCAATGCAGAAGTAGCTTAGGATTTCTTTCCAAAAGAGAGGGAGATCTGCAGACAGAACAAGTTTCAATATTGCTCTCCCAGCTTTTCAGCGATTCTCCTGTCGTTCTGAAACATTTATTGTGTTTCGTTCGGACTTATCCTGGTCAGCAATAGCCCCATAAAACTTTCATAAACTTGACGCACACCTAGTCAGCCCTTTTGGGAAATTTTCTTCCCTTCGCTCTTGTTCAAGGTCTTCTAATGATAATTGTTTAAGAAGATGATTGAGGAGAACTTTAGTGTAGAGGAACATCCCTGATAACCTGCCAAGTTAGAAGGAATATCACTTTGGCATACGTGGATACAGCATAACTTCACCTTTTGTATTATCAAGCACATTCACGCAGATATCATTGCGAATACCGTTGGTACTTCAAACTTTTCTTGAACCTCAAGGCTTCCTTGTTCGCCAAAGCCTTTAATTTCTTGAAATGCCCCCGCTGGGGATCTAGTGGAATTGTAAGACAATCTGGGCAGATCTCTTCTACATTCCACTCCTCTGACTCATGATAGAAATGCGTATAGTTTGTTCATTTTTTTCAGCCGAAAAGCCTTGGTGCGTATTATGATGTTGAGTGAGAGATTCCAGCCATTAGAGAACGGCTTGTTGAGCAGTTTAACAGCTCACGGACACTTCTCCGAGACACTCATACAGCATACCAATTGCGATAAAACAGAGCCGCTGTGAGAGTAAGGTCCGTTTTAGAATACTACAGGGGCACAAGCTACTCAACTGGTCTTCGACCAGCTCAACCACCTCCCCGCTCGGACAAGCTGGAACAGTGGGCACAAGCTCCGCGAGGGGTTTTCCCAAAAAGAAGAGGTGTTTTTCTCTGCGCAATGTACTTAACAACCTATTGTCTGCTATCGCCGTGGACACGACCCGAGGACCTAGATAGCGTAGTAGTGGCCGAAAAATATACATACATATATACATACACACACGCTAACTTTTTGCTATCAGGATTCTCGATTATTTGTCAAAAGCTCTTGTTATTATTTTCCCCAAGTACAACGCTAATGAATAAGCATAACTGTTAAAAGGCGCACGGCCTTGCCATATGGTGCAGCTGCCCCAGCCCCCCCCCGTACACTATTGGGCAAACCAAGTTGCAATATGTAACAATCTAGACAGACCTCCTGAGATGAGTTCAATGGTTTCCAGGCTGCTGGAATGAGAGACAGGAGTTCTCCCACAGCCAAAGTGGCCGTTGTGGTCACCAGTTGGTAAGCAACTGTTTGTATTGCTGACTAGAAAGTTTCTTGGGCCAGATGGCCCTACTTGGAACCTATATACATCTCATGCACTCTTGTTGCTTCCCTTCTTTCTTCCTCAACAGCACAGACTGTTGAGAGTCAACATCCTTGGGTGTTGAGGAACACTTTCCCAATGTTCGGTCGTTGGGGGTGGATATTCGAGTTTGATGTGTCAGAACTCCCTTCTACTCCGATCAGTGAGTTGCACGGAAGCTACTCTCCCAGATAGAGTTATTGTTGGTCGTGACACAATAGAGGTGTGCGCCTTATAGCTCTTACTCAACTGGTCAGACTTCTCTATTTTGAACTTCATTTTCTAAGAACATCACCCAGAAGCATTAATGTTCAACGCAAACAAAATAATGAATCGATGATAAAAATAAGGCTTTAACAACTTTCTTAGGATTTATAAGTGCATAACTAATCCAAAGCGGCATGGAGACGGTGAACTAGAGCGTCGAGCTTCGATATCTCCAAGTAACACTCTCCTCCACCCACTACAGGTGTTTCCAACAAGTCAATTTTCAATAACAAGTCTCAAAATCCATGCTTATTCCACCCAAAACCCACCCCAGCTTGAGTGAAATGATATTGGATCCAGTTCCAGCCATGCTCTTGCAGGAACAAAATACAATTGGAACCCTAACAGCAATGCGATGTCAATGACGAAACATGGTTATTTTGACAGTTTCCCATTTGTGTGCCTTGGTTCTGTAGGACTACTACTTCAGTTGCTATTCACTGTGATCACAACAACACTGTGCCCAACTAACAATATCTTGATAGATCTGCGGGGTCAAGGCCTTGTTAAAAAATATGAGATTGACATCTGCTTTTCTTGCCGCTGATGCTCGTTGTGTTGTCTTCGATGTTGTTCAATACGCCCAACACTACAGGATCAAAAGCAATGTGAATCCAGAATTGATTGGTTATCTGGAGCAGGAAGCATGTCAAGCGCTGCTCAGCCTCGGGTCAATAGCAGAGCTCAGGTTCCAAGGTGTTCTGGCTTCAGATAAAGGAAAACAGCCTCAACGCAGTCCAGGTCGCGGCACAGAAATTCTGACTCTGTCAATTAACACCTATGGCTCCCTAGCTGTGACAGATAAGGTTGGAGTTATCCTCACAAAGAGGAAGACCGTCCTGCAGCATCCATACCTTGTGCATGCCGACTGTAAAGGCTACTTCAACCCTCAACTGCTTGGCCATGGCGGTTAGTTGCGCAACCCGATAGATCTAGTTTGAGTGATGGAAGATGAAGGGTCAGCCCGAGTAGTTCCTGAAAAGACTGAAAGTACTCTCGAACCACTTCACAGAGTTGAGATGATTCCTGGGTGCGATACATCGCGCGATATATACAAGGAGCACTATCAACCTGAGACAACTATAGCACCACTGAAAGAGTGTATATCATTGATTTAGCTGTAACAGAAACTTACTAATTACTCTCAGACATCAGCACAGCGCCCTTTGCTTTATACTATTGAAGGAAGACCGCGCTATCTTAAAGCTAGGCAAAGAACTTTACTGGGGTCACCAAGCTTCGGTATGTACTAAACTACTGCCACATATGTACAATTGAATCTTCGCTGTCCTTTTACATGTTAGATGTGCGCAGATTGATGAATTGTCTAGCTCTCAATATTATGCCCCATGCACAGCAACAGGAAGACTTGCTGATGTTATGGGGCTTGGAAAAACATTGTTAAGACAATCAATGCTCCAGGGATGTTACAAAGTGGTGTTCATCAGACAGATATCATACCAATCAAAACAACGCTTGTAGTTGCGAACTCAGTCCATATATGCTTGGTCTGTCTGCAGATTATTTGATAAGAAATGACCTCTGTCCATTCAATAGAGGTCATGGATTGTCACATAAACACGGCAGTCCAAGGAAAGGGATATCTCCGACTGCCAACACAAGGGACACCAGAGACAGGATGCTGTGAGCGGCACAAATACGTAGTTGACCCCGGAAGATGTCTAGAGCCGGATGACCGCAAATAATGAGCCATATGGCCGAGGCATGATGAGGATTTTATAAAGGAAGCTGCCCGGAAATGAAACTTGGTTCTTCCTCTCCCTAACACAAGGACACTGAGGACAAAGAAAGATCATTACACATAGTAATTGACTTCGCTGTGCACCCCACATCGTCAGTGGCCATCATCTAACCCATTTGACCCATTGTCGATCCCTGCCTGCACCAGACCAGGTCACCTGTTACATGGATGTTTGGTACACCGAGATAATCAAGTACTTTCCTTTTCCCATGTGCTCGTTTAGAGTTGAGAAAAGACACAGTCCAGAACTTGTATGTTTACTTAGGCATGTTAAACCTGGAAGCGTTCAAATTTACAGATTTCATGGTTCTCGGCGTCCAGAGTCCAGTGCTGATCTCTCAATTTGCGATATTGTGTTGACAGCATATGGTGTATTAACTTCCCAGTACAAAAACAGAGGGTGTTATACCACATAGAGTGGCACAGAGTTGTCGGTGAAGGTCAGTGCTAAGCATAAAATGAGTAGATGCACGGATATAAACCATTAACTGAATAGCCCATTGGATTCGGAATTGAAGCACCCTTCAGTTCAAGGCAGCTGTGGATTTAATCTCAGCTTGTCGTTAAGTACTTATAAGAATACCCATACAAAACAGTCTCGATGACCTTGTCTTACTTTTTATTTTTTTTGTCACTTCCTGCCTTTCGCATCATTAGCCATTTTCCGTAACTGTATCAAGAACCTTCTTGAGAAAACTTTCGATAGCAGTATGCTCCAACAGCTTTTGGCAACTATCTGTCTGCTCAGGGATGTGACTTATTTGAATCTTCCAAAGCTAGAACAACAGTTTGTTGATCTTCACCTGCAAGCAAGCTTTATATAACGAGGTTATGAAACAATGCCGGCGTGTCATTGACGATACAGTCAATTTCAATGTTTCGGGCAAAAAGAAGGGAGGACAGGATAGATACTTTTTGCCACAATAATGAGCCTTCGAAGACTCTGAAACAACGGAACGTCGAGAGTCTTTTATCAGGAAAAGCATCTCCTAGATCTGAGTCACTATCGATGAGCACCGAAGGCTGTGATATGTGCAATGGTGCAGATAATAGAGAACATGGATCTCTTATCTCAGACCAATGTTTGTCCACAATATTTCAGGCCTCTCATAAAAACCCAGGAATGTTGCCGCCACAGGAAAGATTGAACTCAGGTTCTCTGCCAACTTGGTCACGTCCCGCACCAGGAATCCCAAAAAAAAAAAAAAAAAAAAGTTAAGAAAATCTAGGTCGCCCCGAGAATGTCGAGCCTAGATCCAAAAGGTAAGTCACGACCATTACAAACACTGAGAAAGCAACTAATTCACATGACTGATATTTTCCACTGCTAATACAGTCTTTTCATCCTGGACGGCAACACTGGACCTGTCAGGGCATCAATCATCAGCAAAAGGGATCCTATACCTGCGCATATATGGAAATGTCTCTCTCACCCAAGAATTCCAAATTGTTGAAAATTTCAAAGGGTGATGTGCACGTACTGCTCATGACAGTACAGAGTGGTGCTGTTGGGTGAGTACTCAGCCCGGAGATATGATGATATCCTCACCGATTTTATTGACTCCAGCTTCTCAGCCTTACCCTCACGATGGTAAACTATGTCCTATCGTTGAACCACAGTGGAATCCAGCTGTTGAAGAGCAGGCCATTGCAAGAGCGGCGCGTATGGGTCAGACTCGATCTGTGACGGTGGTCCGTTACAATGTCCAGGACTCCGTGGAAGAGGTCAGTCACTGTCACCTTTCTCTGTCGATTTCATCCTTATTTCAACTGTTCGGGAGAATTAACATTCAAAAATTATGCAGAACATTGTCAATTTGCAGAAGAAAAGCAGGTTCGCCAAGTACACCTCAGACAGTTCATCGCAGTCTTAAGGGCCAGAACAACGCGAATGTACATTTCTGACCATCCAACATGTTAACCAAAAGGGAGTTGGGTGACTAAACTCTCTGCGCAGAGTCTTCAAGTTCTCCTCGGCCACCAGACTATGCTGACGTAGACGGAAGACTTGCACATGAAGGAGCTGAATTTGGTCCATTGATGAATTGTAGATGGCCCTACGATTCGAGACATATTACATGCTTGCTGTGGACAAGGTAACTCTTCTGGGTCTATTAGGAGCAAACATAACGTGCCTGCATATCACTCCCCAAGACCAAGCACAGTTCAAAATGCTAAAACGGTAAATACCTTTGCCTCGGCAATAACACGTAAACACATAAACCCAAGACCATAGCGACTTGACAACATAAAAATATCAATTATGATAATGATGATGACGATGACCATGACCACCAACAAACAATAACATCAAAGCGAGGTATAACCAGAGAAAAACAGGACCGGAGTGAAACAGAGTACACTGCACATGACGATAGACCTTCCTACCCTATCCTACTAAATCATACCTACCTATTCCCTCCCGTACCCCAACTTTTCTTCATTCTCCTCATTCTTCATCAGCATCACCCTTTATCTAAGACGGCTATTCATGCTATATGCGGTATCCCCGCATCCACATCCCCAGGCCGACCATCCGTAATAACCAGGCAGTCATTACCACCCAAACATCGAGTCCAGGTAACACTCCAGCTTCTTAGAGCGTCCGATGGTCCCTTCATCCGGTGCAGTCAAATCGGTTGCACGCGCGGGCAGGTTAGCAGCCAAGTCATTTCCCCAAAGGTCGATCCGTCCTTCTATTGGGGCTTGCCTCCCATCCACCGTGATCACCTCCAACTTTCACATTCTAATACTCCGTCGTCACCCCCATTATGTAACAGAGAGTTCTCAGCACGAAAGAAAAAAAGTATCCAACGAGAGACATCCCATCAGGGATAAGTAACGAGATGAGGTTTAATACGAGAGAAAGGTACCTGAACGGGGTGCCAATCAGTAAGGTACAGATGACAATAACTGAACAAAACATCGTTGTAGTATTAGAGATAGATAAGAACGAGGTAGATAGGTAAATAGTGAGATAATTTCTCCTGGCCACGAGCAGACTTCCGTTTTAGACATTCCACACAGGGATTCACACCTCCGCTCCGCTCCGCTCAGCTTAGCCTAGCGCATTGCGGTCTTTCAATACGTAGTCCAATTCACTTTACCTCAGCTTCAACTTCAGCCAAAACCAAAAAAATAACATTGCAACATATCAGGAGACACAAAACAGCGGAGACAAGCAATCAAGGACAATTCGAGGACTTTAAACTGACAACTATCCAAATATTTCAGCCAAACCAGACACCAGCCAGTGTTTCACACATCCAGCTCCAACCTATCCCGCCTCAAATTTGGTTCGATATTAAGAGAGATGAAAAAGGCACAAGGAAGTTAGGAGACATAAAGGAAAATGAGAAGGCAAACAGAGTGAAGGGAATAATGTAATAAAAAACCCCGAGGGTGGTGGTATGAGATTGACGAAAAACAAAAAGGAATTGGTGCATGTAGCGTTTGTCGGACATGACAGACGATAGCAACGGCTGCCACGGGATGTCGAAAGAGAAACTAGAACGAGGAGAATATGGCAAATAAAGAGTAACGGTAATCCGTACTCTCCTCATAAAAAAGTACAAAGAAAAAAAAGATCCCGGGCAGAATGAGCCCGAACCTTGCCCAAAACGGAGGTGGGTCCTTAAGGAGAAAGTGGTATTCAAGAGGAAGTAAAAAAGAGAAAAAGTTAATGCCCAGCGCGGTGCTCGGACAGGACGAGACACAGCGAGATGCCTCAAAGAGAGTATTCCAATGAGGTGGGAAGGAGGGGGTGGGAAGGAGCATAGCCGCAACAGAGATACAAAACCCAGGGAATAATGTGCGCGCCCATTGTAGTAGCAGAGTCAACCAAAAGAAAAACCCGACCAAGAACGCCACCAGTATATGATGCCCGAATCCCAGGAATGAGCCGTTGCTAAACGCCGTCGCCAATCGGGGTCTCGTCGGGGAAGGAGGGGGAGGGGCCACGATCATGGGAGGTACGACACCTAGTCCGTTCCGGCACCAATCGTGGTATCCGGATCCATCGAGAAGCCTGAGCCAAAGTCGAACGTGCCATCATCGCCACCGTTGCCGTCATGAATGAACGATTCGAAATCGAAGCCGTCTATCACGTTTTCGGACTGCATAGGATTGGCAAAGTCAATATGGAAATTCTGCTATACCGTCAGTAAGTAATATGGGCTCACAATAGGAGGGGCTAACAAGGGTTTGCCCGGGGATGATGCTTACCATCGTCTCAGCGTCGACAAAATTAGTCTGGTTGGGATCGGGGTTGTGAGCTTGAGACGCTTGCACAGGAGCTGCTTGAGGAGGGGCTTGTGCTTGCTGTTGCTGCTGGGGAGCAGGCGGCTGTCCGTTCGGCACGACCTGACCGGCGGGGTTGGGGTTCTGCGGCTGGTTCTTAACGAAGTTGCCTGGGTTGACCGGCGTAATCGGCGTCGCAGGGGTCGGGGCCTCCTGGGGAGCGTCAGGCTCTGGGGCAGGGGTAGCGCCAGCGTTGTTGAGGTTCGGGTTGCTCTTCTTTTGCGCAGCAGCCTTGAGCGTCGCGTCAGTCTTTACAAAAAGACTTAGACGATGTCCTTGAACATTGTCTTTGCGAGGGCGAGGGACACTCACCTTGCTCTTAGCCGTCTTGGTTTCTTTCTTTTTCGGTGGCGGCTTGGCTGCCGGCTGGGGCGTGGGGGGGGCTGCATTGCTGACCTGAGGAGATGCGGTTGCCCTGGCGTTTGCCTGATTAGGGGCAGTCGTAGCGGTAGTGTTATTGGCGGCCGGGGCGGCCGGCGGGGGCATGGCACGTTGAGCGGGCGTCGGCGTTCCCTGAACCTGCTGTGGCTGCGGCGGCTGCCCCGTCATCTGCCCGTTCGGGCCTCCCTGTTGCGGCCACTGCATACCGGGCGCGCCCTGGGCACCGGGCTGTTGCGCCTGACGCTGCGTAGCAATCATCTGAGGGTTCATCTGACCGTTAAACTGGGGATGAGAACTGGGAGGGCGCATGCTTCCATTTATTTGGGCCATGTTCATGTTCATGCCAAAATGCGGCCCAGCGTTCGGGTCCATGTTTGCGGTGCCCATAAAGTTCATGGCGTTAGGTGAACTCCGCTGCTGGCCAGCACCGTCGGGAAGGGGCGATCCCATGTTGGCAGGGTTGTTCAGCTGCTGTCCGGGACGCTTCATCTGGTCAGCAGGGTTCGGAGAGGCGCCGGTCCGGCCTCCAGGAGGGGATGTGCCCTGAAAAGCTGGGGCATTGGGGCCTCCGGGCGCGGCACCAGGGCCACCGGGAGCACCAGGACCGCCTGGGCCGCCGGGACCATCGGTGCGCGGCATGCTGCCCGTGTTCATATCCTGCTCCTGGCGTGCCATCATCAGGCGCTTCTTGTTCTGCTGCTCAAGCAACATTAACTGCATCTGGTAATCCTGCAGGGCATGATTGCTGCCGCCAGTCTGGCCGTTGGCACCAGCGGGCCGCATGCCGCCAGGGCCCATCTCACCCGGGTTGTAGTACTGGCTCAGCGAGTTACCGTCGGGTCCGGGTCCCACCATTGGCGAGCCCTGAGCTTGGGGACCGGTGACGTTGCCCATGGGCTTGTTAGGCATCTGGTTACCATGGTGCTGTGACATGTTAGTCGCATACGCCGCAAGAGTCTTGGCTTGTACGTGGGGTACTGCGGAGGCAAAGGCCTGAAGCTGCTGAGGATTCAGCGACGTTGGGTTGATGCCATGCTGAAGGAGCAGTGCGCGTGCTGTGTCAGGGCCGTTCCCTACCTGCTGCTGTCCAGGCATGCCTTGCCCCGGCCGACCGGTCGGCATCATAACGGCCTGATTCGGGTTGAACGGACCAGGGCCGCTATCAAGTCGCGGCCGTTTTGAGGGCGAAGGAGCGTTCTCAGCCGTGCTAGGCGAAGCGGGTCTCTGATTACCATCCATTCCAGAGGGATCGCGCTGCATCTGGGCAGCTTTCTGCTGGAGCATCTGCATCGCTTGGGGGCTGGGACTCTGTTAGCTCAGATCCCTTTCCAAGGATGTTTTTGCTTCATGACTCACTTTTGGCTGTTAGCCATGGCAGCCCTCTGCAGACTACCCGGCTTCATTGCCATATTCATCGCGCCGTTCGGCATACCCCGCATAAGGTGCTGCTGGAACGATTGCTGGGCGGCCATGTCGGGGCGCATTTGCCGAAGCATGTCTCGTTGTTGTTCCTGCCGAAGACGCGACTGTTGCTGTTAGGCCGTCAGAGAACGGATTCAAGATGCGATAAAAACACAACACATACCTGTGTGTGTTGAACGTATTGGTTCACCTGGCCATTCGACCCCTTGCCCTTCTGCGAATTGAACATATCCCAGAAGAGACAGAACCACTCAAGCAAGAAGCAGCTGTCGGGTACCGGCGTCGGGACGTTCGGAGCGGGAAGATCGCTCGGGCGCTTCGGGTCGATGCCGTCCTTGGAATCTGTATCCATGGGATCGTCGCCCATGCCGTTACCGATGATATTCCCGTTCTCGTCGCGCATCTTCCCCGGGCTGTCCTTCTTGACATTGATGTGGGGATCTTCCTGGTAGACGGCGCGAGCGCAGTCAAACATGCCATAGCGGATGAAATACTCATAGATATAGGTATTGAGAAGAGTGCGACCAGCCTCCAGGGTATGGGTATGTGGAGGAGGATTTTGACGCGGAGGGACTGTTGTGGGCTGTGGCGCGGCCATGGCACCGCCAGCGTGGTTCATCATGTTCATCGGCGCGTTCACCGGCCCGCCCATGGCGTTCATGGTGGGCATAGAAGCCATCGTGTTCATCGCTTACGGATTGGTGCAGACAACTGTCTGCGCGACAATCGGTAGTGGACTGTCGCTCAAAGAGGAACGAGTAGGCAGATGGGTCGCAAGGGGATGGGGAAGGATGAGCGTGCTGCGTGTGGCAGCCTGCGATCGGCTCGGCGAGAGGCTCAGGCGGCCGTGGCAAGTAGACGTAGGCTGGATGTATGTGCAACCGACGGATAATTATGACGGCCAAATCTCCTCACGATGCACAATGCAGACGATGTGCTGTGGCAGGCGTGCTGCTGAGATGAACTCCACACACTGTGGCACACGGTGCGACGAAGGCTAGGTGTGTGCGAGGTGTGAGCAGTGTGAGGAGGTGGTGGCAGATAAGGGAGGCGTGTCGGAGCCTGTTGGATGGTTGTGCGATCTCTACGAGAGGCGGGACGCACACAGGCAAACGTTTTTTGGCGACAGGCGATGGGCGCCGGTCCAAAGACGTGCGACACGATCGCGATCAGGCGCTAGATGCAGGCGGTCGGCCGAATGCGATGGCCAAAGCGCAGCAAGGGGGTTGGAATGGCTGGATGATGCCGATGCCGATACGATAGCGATAGAATTGGGGATGGTGAGGATGGATCGAGATCGATCGGATGCGAAGAGGTAGGTTGTGGAGAAAATGTGACAAGAAAATGCCAGCAAGACCCAAGCTTCAACCGATCGAGGGTCAGGTCGAGGGGGGCTGGGCGTGCGCGTGCTGGGTGCTAGGTGCTCTGTGCTGAACGTGCTGAGCGCTGTGTGCTGAGTGTTTGATGCTGAGAGTGCTGCTGCTGGCCGGTGCTTCTGGCGCTGGTGCTGTTGCTGAGGGAAGGATCGAAAAAGGGTGCTGCTCACTCGGTTACGAAGCGTGGATAACGCTCACGGACGCCTGGATGACGCTGGTGGGATGATAAAGCCCAGGGCAGCCAGCCAGTGGGACAGCAGACGCAGCAGACTAGACAGTCGAGTTGAAGGATAGTCGACAGTCGACGAAAGAGACAGGCCGCCACTGAACCAAAAAACGGTTCGGTGCCTTGGCCGCCACGCTCTTCTCTGCTCTCGATGCGGCTCCGCAGATGGGATATGAGCTTGTTACTTTTCCTCTCGCCCTCTCTCTCTCTGTGTGTGTGTCTCTATTCACGATACGATCCCTTATGCTTCTCGTGGTCGCCGCAGTGCCTGGACGTCACCGGCGGCGGTGCAGGGCCAATCCGGCAGTATCGGTGCTGGTCGACAGGTCGACGCTGGGAACATCAATAAGCTGGCATGGCTCGGCGGGGCGCGGTCTTAGAGTGTGCAGGCGATCCCAGAGCTGGTGCCAGACGCTAGCAGCAGGACAGGTAGAGGAACAAGAAGGGGTGATGTTGGGAGTTGGTGGTGGAATTGGGAAATTTCGGCGATGCTTGAGCGCAATGGGGGGGCGAGGACGGGCAAGAACAAGGCGAGCGATTGGGGATGATCTGCCAGGCTCTCGCGGGACACCAAGCGGCGGGCCTGCGCAGTTTTTGGAACGGCTTGGGCAGGCCTCCTGCGTACATCTGAGACTCCTAACCTTGATGCCTAACGATTCAGGTATATGAGGCAAACATGCAGCAGAATCAGGCACTCTTGCGCTTGACGGGGTCTTGGCCTACCGATAACCGGTGCATCAGGTTCCAGCTACAGCCTTCGATTTACAGGGGCTATCGCTCTGTAAGCAGGCGAGATGATGAGCCGCCAAATTATCAGATCCGATCTGCTTAATGCGCTTCCTTTTGCAATTCAGGCCGCGAGTTGAGGACAGACAAGACTGATGCTTTTCCAAAATTTTAGTTCATTCTCATGTTCCTATCAAAGTAACCACGACATCTACTCATGGCTGCCCTCACCAGATTGATGCCGGGGGTATCAATGCCACAGAAAGAGTGCCCAATGACTCGATTCCTTTCCATTCAATCAACTTAAACAAAATCCAGACTCTATGTTAAGCTCATGAGCTTGAACGGGACGTCTGCTGCGGTGCTCTGGGGCACACAGCAGCAGTCAGGTGCCACGTTTTCGCCGGCATCTGGCACGCTCTGGTTGGCGCAGTGCGGCCGCTCGTTTGCCATTGAGTTGGACGCTCGCTTGTTGAGCCGCCTGGCACGATGGCAAAGCCCGATGCGTTGGTTACTGTCCTTCTACCTGCTTCTGCGCCATCTCATCTTGTCCTGATGTTATTATCCTGCACGATGTGCTACGGAGGACTCTGTTCTAAATGCGGCCGCTGGCGAGCGAGGACGGGCCGGCCGATCACCCTGTAGTGGTGCGGAAAATGGATAAGTTCCCACTTGCCGGGACGGTGGGTGGCCCGAGATTGCATCCGAGACACGCTGCGCCCATACTGGATGAACTGGCACCAAACGCCTTCTGGCGGACGCACCCAGGACAATGCCATGTCGCCACTAATGCCAGTGTTGCCAGCGACGAGAAATGCTGGCGGCGATAGCTTAAACTCTGACTCTAGTTGTACAGACACTTATCGTCAGCACCAACACCAAACGTCACTCCCCCCGCCAAGAGATCACCGACAGATCGGATCGATGCAGCCATCCTCCACATCCCACATCGCCCATCTTGGGGCTGTGAGCCGGGATCCGACGGGCTCAAGCCCAGCTGGGTTACTGGGTTGCTGTAGGCTTGTGGCTGCTGCAGAGCCCCAAAGCTGAGCCTCAATCTGGGGTGGCGAGACCCTGAACTTTGGCTTTCCTTCTTTTTATTGAGCGCCTGTCCACGCCCCAGTTTCTTGGGAATCTTAGTGGTTATATGGTCCCTTGCTGTCCTCTGCAACGCTTGCCTGTTGTGGGCTGCATTGTGGGTTTCTGCCGGTTTTTGACAACTTCATTATCAAGAGTTGCTTCCCCCGACTTTGGACAGCGATGGTTGTTATGTGCTGGCAATTTGCACCTTTTTGTTGACCCCTTCAAGTCCCTTCTTTTTCCTTTTCGACTACCATCTACAATTGTGAAAGTCTTGCTCCTTATTTTCCCCTGAATGTGATCATCCATTAGATTGTCTAGTTAAATGGTAAGATATCCCAATACCAAATCTCCACAAAATTACACCCGGAAGTTGTAGCCCGGGAAACTACTACTCTAAGACATCGCTGCCCAAATCACACCACTTCATGAACATCGACTGGATAGCTTCGGAAGCAACCGGATATAAAGGTAATGCGGTCAGCCGCGCCCTCGTTTCTGCATCGTCCACACTGATAGCAGCATGTCGATTGCACTGATCTCGATAAGTTTCTAGGCCCCCAACCATCATCGTCATCCAAAGTGATCAAGGTGATGATAACACTTTGCTAGGTGGTCAACGAGGAAATAGTGACTCATATTAGCATAGCCCGAACAGTCACCGCTTTGCAGCTAGCCCGTCGGCCGCTTTTAAGTATTCCAATTGACGATGGCCAACAAAACTTCCTTTAGTACCTGCATCCACTAACTATTGCAATGTTTTAGCACTACAAGCTCCCACAGAGCTATGAACTCTAAAGCAAGGCACCCCCATGACTAATTTTTGCCAGTCCTGCCCATCATCTGACTGGTTGCCAGCCTGAGTGGCAACAGTGATGAGTTGTCTCACCACTTCCCACGGAATTTTCGGCTGCCCAGGTAGAAAAATGTGCACGATTAGGCAGGACCGAAGGTGATACGCTGCCAGCCCAAAGTAAGCTTACAAAAAACTGTGTGTGCTCAAAACTCACTAGATTTCTTGGTTTGGCAGCGTGATTTGATGATCAACTTGGGCTGAGCCAGTCTTTGGGATCCAATTCAGGAAGGAAGGAGAGTTGTCACACAAGGTGTAGACTGCCCAGCTATCTGTGAAGTTACGCAAAGATGAGGGCTGATAACGGAAATGGAACCTAGGCCGAAGTCCAGGATGCTTATCACCATGAATGAAATTGCGTTCTTCAGGCTGTTGATGGGCAAACCTTCCAGGAAGAAACTGATGCTGCCAAGGGAGTCGGCATCAGAAAATGCAAACAGTAGCTGACCCAATCGTCGAACAGACTAAAAATGACAGATCTCTCAGGCACTAGTCCTTTCGAGGTCATCCTCCTAAAACACCTCTGATGCGTCAGGATTTTTCGAACACTTCGACTGATCTACGGGTATAAACTGTGTTAAAACATCCTCATCTTCTTGTCTCAAGAGTCAAAAGCAGTTATACGCCTGCAAGGGATGAACTTGGCTGAGACGCAAGGGACCCATGGGCTCCTGCAGGTTTTCAACATGTAGTTTCCTCTGACTTATGAAAGGCCTGAAAGCGACTAGGTAACCTTCATAGGAGCCAAGTTTCAGATTGCACGCAATTCAGTACCTGTTATGAGTTGACGATAGGGTAGTTGATAACCTGTTGAGAGGTAAAAGACAGAGAGTCTTGAGGAGCATCAGATGATAAAGAGCCAATCGTGTGTGAAAACAGTCATGTCAACACTCAGGTTCTGGGTTTATTGTCCAACATGCTAGCAGCAAATATAGGAATATCTTCAGCAGAGCGACCTGTAAGTCAACTCACTTAACACCAAAGTCCTCACAATTAAAGAGTTCCATCATATCCATGGAGGTCTTGTATTAAATCAGTACATCATGGCGTAATATCGCCTATTGAAACACATTTTTACATCCCAAAACCAGTAAGCCCACTCACAAACACCATAGTACCTTGACAAATTGCCTGCCAGTCCCAACCGATAACCCATACCCAAACCCAGAACCCAAACGCCATCTAGAACCGTCAAGGTTCTGATCCTCCAAATACCCCTTTGCCTCTAATTCTCGTCCTCCCTCCAAACACAATCATACGGATCCTCCTTCCTGAAAACCGCCTTCATCGCCCCACTCACATCAACCTCGCTCAACTCAGCCAGAACCTTCTCCGCAGCCACATACGCCTCACCCTCATCCTCTTTATTACCCCCCCTCATCATAACTGCTAACATCTCCTTCTTCTTCAACCCCTTACTCTCACCGCGTACATCGCCCGACCTATCAACCGCATGCGCACGTTTCAACACTTCACCTACCCTCTCCCCCACACCAAGTAAAAAATTCAGCGACCCGGGCCGTCCACAAAAATCGATCTTAATAAGCAAAGTCCCCGGAGAGAAGGGGGTCGTCCCCGGCTGGATGGGCGCATCATCCGATGATGATGGGGACTCCCATCTCGACGAGCGGAAAGGGGACCTGGATTTCTTGGTTCTCCCCCCACCGCTGGACCCAGGACGGGACTGTGGAGAGGGTAGGGAGGTGATGGGGATGGGATCGTGTTCTTGACGGGTAACGACGAGGGGAAAGTTGGCGTTGAATTCGTCTGCGAATTTGCAGGGGCCGTCTTGGCAGGCTGAGCAGTAGAACTTGAGTTGGTAGTAGCGTGTTACTGGGATCGTTGATGTCGTTGTCGTGATGGTTGGGATTGTCGACGCCGTCGGGCTGGAGATCGACCGGTTATGGCCGGGTGTGTACCCATGGTATTGTTCCGCGTCCGACTCCTGGGAGAGATGACGTCGTTGTTGCTGCTGCTGAGCGAGCCATACCCGCTGTGGGGGCATGGACCGGGGTCGGGGCCGGGATTGGTAGCCGTGCTGAGGATGGGAGGTGTCGGCCGAGGTGGGGATGACCAGCCGCGGCGGGGCTTGCTGCATGAGAGGGGTAGAGGGGGAGGAAAGACTGAAGTTTGCCGGACGAGCCGGGAGTAGCTGCTCAGTCCAGTCATTCCCAGGGCGGGGGTCTCGCGCAGAAGCATCGTTGGAACAGCTATTCCCCATGACTCGGGTATCGTTCGCAGGGAACAAAGGGCTGATGTAATCCAAGCTTTGGTCAGGACAGCTTTTGGGAGAAAGCGGTTCACCGACCGAATAATCTGACGGAGCTGGTGATGGTGATCTCGCTCTGCTTCGTGGACCATGGAAACCGGGGAAAAGCAAAAGGCCGTTCCGCAGGCCGGCCGCCATGGTAGATTTTATGGTCCGCTCTGGACGTGCTGCCGATGGTTGAAACATGGCTGGTTGCTGTTGTGATGGAGCTGGTTGGTGCAACAGGAGCATCTTTCAGGGTTGGTTGAATAAGGTCAAAGTGATGGCCCGTGTTGTTCGCCGGTGGACATGGTATGGCCGTTTGCACAATGACCGTTTGAGGACAACAGCAAAAGCTGGCCAGGTCCCTTAACTTGTCGGTTTGCTCGCTGCGATTTGGTGTTGATATAAGACGGAAGTTGAGACAAGAGGCCGAAAGGCCGGGCCGGGCCGGATGCCAGGGAGGGGGGGAGGGGCAAGTGATGATGATATAAGTGTGCGAGCGTACTGTGGCAGTATAAGCCCAAGCCATGTGCAAGCCCATGGCGATGATGCGCAGACGCAGACACATGCATGAACAACTGGATAGCGTTGCAGCGCTGGAGATCTGGCGTGGCACAGTGGCAGTGGCAAGCCCACAGTAGTCATATGGGCACACATGCACACGACGAACCAAAAAAGAACTTGTTCACAAGCAGTTGGTAGGCGCTTGTCAGCGACTCGCCTTGCTAGTGAGCTGGTCTAACTGGATTCGCTGGCGGAGATGCCGCCGTCGGGGATGAGGCGCAGCACCACGGTCTGCTGCAGCCGGTTATGCAAGAGCGTGGCTCATTGATGACAAGAACAACAAGCGCCCCATGGCCGCGTGTATACATACAACTTTCCATGGCGCTCCCTCCCTATGCCATGGGCAGTGCCAGTTGTCATCGTCGGTGCCCGTCTGACACAAGATCCAGTGCAAAAAAAAAGGGAACGGCCGAAGTAACAGGCGGCAGCGCACATTAAATGACTGGCTGGAAAGAAGCTGTTGGAGATCAGTGAGGTGACACAGAGCCCCTCGGATTTGCTTGCGGCCCGGTGCAAGCAGTGTGATACCGAAACATGTTTGCCTCTACCGCACACCACACATTTGTTCGGGGCTGGTCGTCGGTCAAACGGTTTGTGGTAATTCCGCAATTGGTGTGTTCCAGCCTTATGACCATGATGGCCAGAGGAGCAGCCTGATGATGCTAAGTTCAAGATTATGTGTCGTCTCGCATCACCAAATCTTGTGCAGCCGTCGGGCCGCTCAAAAGATCCGGCATGAGGAAGGATTGGGGCATGCTCCATGATTAGTCGATATCCCTAACGCGTGAATTGTGTCTCAGCGGCGCAGTCCCCATGAGATTTTGGACTGTCAGGTGTGGACACCAGTTCTGTCGAACCACCGACTGCATCACAGCATTAGTACTGAAAGCCACGATGATCCAGCTTGGTTGTTCCCATCGAGTTAAATTGTAAAAGAGTTTCTATCCAGTCGGCCTGACACAAAACATGACCGGACATGTCGGCACGACCTTGCTGGACCGAGATGCGGCGCGGCCGTAACAGCAGCCCCGAAAAAGGGGGAGAACGACGACGGAATGGTGGGTATATACAACGCTATGCCATAGGGCGCTATACCCGAATATAGTAGGCAAGCATCATTAAAATAGAATAGCAAATCTTAGCGGGTATCATCCTGATCATAAGATCCTGAATTCCGATATTGATTCCTCGCCCCGACTCGTTTATTCCTGCGTTGGCGGCAGGGCTTGAAGTTTGACATATCTGAGTTCTTGTAAACCCCCTGAATCTTAAACTCAGTCGTCCTCTGGCGGCAGTTCGTCGTCGATGTAGCGTATTAGCGAGATTCGCATCTCCGTTGTATCGTTTCCTCGGAGCACGTCGCTGACAAAGTGCGCCTCTACCTGCATCTGCACCATTTCCAAGGCGCCCCTTATGACGCCGCACAGGATGTTGGAGTACCACAGCTCGTCTTGGGCGCGGCCGTCGTCGGGCAGCTCGACAAAGTCGGCCAAGGGGTTTTCGTCAAACACTAGCGAGAATTGCTTGCCGTCGCTCGTCCAATTTGTGATAGTCGGGGTGATATTGAGAAAAATCTTGAAGCCAACCTGCACATCCATCAAGTCAGCCCCTGTTCCTAGGCACGGATATGAACCCAAAACGCACCTTGGCTATCATCTCGGCCGTCTCGCGGAAGTTAGCGCATCGCCTGACGGTGTTGGATTTAGCGAGGTAGTCTTCGATCAGACGCAGGCCAATGTTGTAGCCCATCTTGTCAAGCTGCTTGTTGACTTCAATGTAGTCGTAGTCATAGTCCTTGCATAGCTGGGCGACGATAGTGCCGTAAGTCAGGACGACGAGCTCGGCGTTGACCTTGTCCATCCGCGTCCTGAATGGTTAGCGCTGGATGAGAGCGGGCACCGGGTACCATACTTCCAAACCCTGGAGTATGCTGTTAGCTAAAGTCAATAGAGCTACATCGGAGACTCGATAATCTCCTTGAAAGGACTGTAGGACATACTCCTCCCCTAAACGCGATGCTTTACTTGACGACATCGTGGCTGATAGGGCTGTCCAATACTCGCTTCGGGCTGATACAGGACAAGGAGCTTCAAATTATTCTTACTATCGCTCGCCTGGTTCACGGTAGGCGGCTCGCAAGACGTTAAGGAGATGGGTGGGTTTCATCCAAAGTATCAATGTCGATGTTGAAGCGACCGCCCAAACTTCCAGCAACAACAGCGTCCACCCGACCACAGCTCCATGGTGCACAGGTGGGATGTGGGGGCCCCAGGTGTTCTGCCCCAACCTTGGCATGCCAGCGATCCACTCAGAGCGAGGCTCCGGTGGAGAGCGGGCCGATCAAAAATTCAGCCTGCCGCTTGTAGCAGCGTAGCCTGGCCTGCCAGCTGCCCCGTCAGCGTGTCTGTCTTGGCGTGTGTTTTGCTGCATCGCGTCGCCGTCATCGTCCATCATTCCAGGTGTCCTCGCAGAAGACACACCAATTGCCGGCGTACCACATCCAGTCGTCCAGATCCGACATGTCAGAAAAACGGCCGGCTTCCGACGATCCTGGCGAGGGCCAGCTCGTCGTCAAGCGTCAGAATGTTGGCTCTAGTCGAGCCCTCACTCGCACTGGCGACAGCGCCGGCGCATTGATTCAAACGGTGTGTACCGGTTCGGTTCTTTGGAATACAAAATGAGTAGTATCAACTAACTTGTGCAGACCCCACGGACTAGCAACCTCAAGGCTCCTTTGATGGAGCTGTCAGGGCATACGGGGGAGATCTTTACCGCCAAATTTGACCCTACGGGAACCCTTATAGCTTCGGGATCGATGGACAGGACAATAAGTGTGTCTTAGAACTTCTTTTACTACCAGTTGCACAGCTAACAAGTATGGCAGTGCTCTGGAGGGTATATGGCGATTGCGAGAACTACGGTGTCCTGAACGGCCACAAAGCAGCCATTCTTGACTTGCAATGGTCGCGCGACGGCGATATCCTCTTCTCCGCCTCGGCCGACATGCACCTCGCCAGCTGGGACCTGACAACAGGACAAAGGATACGACGCTACATCGGACATGAAGAAATCATCAACGCGATGGATGTTACCCAACGTGGCGAGGAGCTGCTCATCAGCGGCAGCGACGACGGGACAATTGGCATCTGGGATCCGCGCACGAAGAACGCGGTCGACTACATCGAGACGGACTTTCCCATCACGGCGGTTGCGGTGTCAGAGGCCGGTAACGAGATCTACTCGGGCGGTATTGATAACGATATCAAAGTCTGGGATATCCGCAAAAAGGCGGTTGTGCACACCATGCTGGGTCATAACGACACCATAACCACACTGCGTGTGTCACCCGATGGCCAACAGCTTTTGTCATACGCCATGGACTCAACTGCAAGGACGTGGGATATTCGGCCATTTGCGCCGACCGACCGGCACATCCGCACCTTTGATGGCGCCCCGCTTGGGCTGGAAAAGAATTTGATCCGGGGCAGCTGGAGCAAGGATGGGAAGAAGATTGCTGTTGGTGCTGGCGACGGGACAGTGGTCATTTGGGGAAGTGATACTGGCAAGCTGCTCTACAAGCTGCCAGGCCACAAGGGGACAGTCAATTGTGCCGAATTTGCGCCGGACGGTGCTCCGATCAGTGAGTCTCCCTCATCTCCATTAAGCTGGCTTGCTTGTGCCTCAGTGAGCCTACTGGTGCTAACTTTACTCTAGTCCTCTCGGCATCGTCAGACCGGACGATGCTGCTTGGTGAGCTGATCTGAGACAGCTGACGGCACGACTCAATCAACAAGTATAACAAAGATCAAAACCAGCCCAACATCTAAGGCAAAAGCCCCCGCGTGCACCGCCATCCATTTTATCATCGTGTCAGACTTTGCGAGGTAACAAATGTGGCGGGTGCAGCCGAGAGGACACGCTTGGGCCATGCTCACACGACAGCAAAGACGACGCAACATCGCCTACGGATAGGCATTCCAAAGTTCAGGCGAAGGAAAGAAGGTACGCTGATCTCCCTCGCTTTCAGTTAGGGGTCGCATAGTTCCGTGGCTGTGCAAGGACCCAGGAAGATGGGGAAAGCGAAGGTGGAGGGTGACCCGGGAGATGTGTTGCTCGGGCCGCGGAATAGCAGATTTACTCCCATGCGCGAAGAAAGAGGGAAAAAATGATACCCGCAGAGAACAGAGCAAATACCAAGCTTCTTAGTATTGTCATCCTTCGTCCCAATCCACTCCTAATGTTCCCCCAATCTAACCCTAATGCCACTTCCACACAATCGCGAAACACGAAAGCGCAAACCATTTTCTCAGCGATCATTCTGAGCAAAAAAAGTCAGGGACCGCCAACAATGATCCGAAACGTCTTGGCTGCTTCTTGCGCAAACGACGCTGTGGGCCAATCAGGGGCGCGCTGTCGCCGCAATTTGTTGCGTCAGGGGCTCTGCTGTTGCAGCTCGCATGCGCGGGCAGCCAAGCAGCAAGTGCGCTTTTGGGCGATTAACAGCGAATCGTGGGGCTGGAGGGGGACTGCGAATGACGCTGTGCGTGTGCACTGGCATGCTTTTTCTGTGTGGGATTACGGGGATGTTTGTGATTCTGCGGGTTGGTGTTGCTTGAGTTGAACTTGATGTAGAATGGATAGTTCTGAGAGCTTGTAATTGCTTGCTTTATTTTATTCTCACCGTTGGTTTATTCTGCTGGTCGATGTGTGTAAGTGCAGGCGGCGTAGCATCACCATTAAACGTCAACTCTCCCAACGATACCATCAGGATGAAATTGAGACAGGCACCGCACCCCCTTCCTGCGAATTCTGGACAGAGGCTTCCCGACACAACGCCAAACCTCCCTCTTCTCTCCCTCTTAGTCCCTCAGTCCATCCCTCCAAAAGTTTGTGAAAACTTGTGGTTTGTATATCCGACGGGCTAGTATAGTCTGGCTGCCTCTCCCTCTGCCATCGTCCAATCTAAACAATACCATCACTGCTCCACCCCTGCATCCCTGGTCTCATGTCAAGCCAGTCCACAGCCTACCACGAACTCTCATTAACATCGGTTCATTCATTCGCCTTCACCTCACCTCCATCAACCATCACTCCCACCTGAACCTCACCAGGGGCCAAGGTCTGTCCCACATGTCAGGGACGCCCCATCCCGGTCTAGACATCTGCATCCAGCAAAGCACAGCCATCCAACGGAGGGCTCGACCTTACCTGTCTGTTGAAACAAAACATTGGCCTCGCCCTGCCTACCATGGTTGCACGGCGTGGGGTTTGAGGTCTAGAGTTATTGATCTCGAGTGTTTCTTTGGTTGTCGTACACTCTTTTCTCTCTTTCACTTGCAGCTCATCACATTGGTGACACCTTATCGTTCGTTGTCTTGGAAGGAGGGAGTTGGTTAAGATCGCTCGTTTCGTCTGACAATTTGAAGAGGAACTACATTGAGTCACTTTGTTGTTTTTAATATTCGTTTATCGTGGATGTGGAAGTTCAAGTCGAGGACTAAGCATAAGGAGCTGATAACACCCACGCGACTGGACCTGACGGGTGACAAGATGTTTCTTTAGTTGTCGTTGCTGTCTCACAAGGCCATTGAAAGACGACGGACAGGAGACAAACATACGACTTGCTGGGGCTGATCTCAGTATCAAGACAGAACGACTTTGGATATTCACCTTCAAATCGAGCTGGACCACACCAACACTTGACGGCCGTCAGAGACGACGCCTGCTACAGCAGCTCTCGACATCTACAACTTTATACAACTTCACTTATATCAGCCCGTCATGGACCGCTTCAACCTCTTCTCGCGCGTGCGTGAGCAGCTCACCAGCAACTTAAACAACAACAACAACACCACTACTGCTGACAACGGTACCGCCATCCCCCAAATAAGTATCATCCCCGACTCCTCCGACCTCCAAGCCCAGCGCTCTACCTCCAACAATCCGGCCCCGGAAATGATGGAACGCCCTCGTACCGGGCTCGGCGCAAGCCCATCCTCTGGTTTCCGGTCCCGCTTCCGGCCTCCGGTGTTTCCCAGCCTTCTTAGTCATCACCATAACCATCACAATGGACCAACTACGCCAACCGGTCCTGTCGGCGCGGGAAGCATGGCCCATCTTTGGCCTCAGCCTAGGCCAACGTCAAGTCATTATGCCTCGGAGTTTGATGAGACCGGCGGCGGTGTGCTCCCCGGAACAGAAGTGGACTACTACACCGGCTCATCCTCCTCCTCATCAGATTCAGAGGACGAGTACGAAGATGACATCGTAGAAAGCCCCAAGAGCCCTGATTTCAGGATCGCGTCGCCTGTGTTGCCTGGGATCAGGATTGACTTGCCTAATTTAGCCAGGACGTGGTCGAATGAGAACCGGAGGGCTGAGTCTGCCGGTATTGATCAGGTATCTGTCTCAAGGCCGGGAACGGCAAGGACGATTTCGGAGGGGAATGGAACAGTTGAGGGGGGGTGCGTTGTGATTAGAGAACCGCCTGCTGCTTTGCAGGCTGAGCATGTTGCTCGTAGAACCAGGACACATAGGTCTGGTGCAGCATCAGGGCCAAGGGAGGAGATTCATCGTGAGAGGAGGAGACGCAGACGGGAAAGGAATGAGGGCGAGGGCGAGGGGAGAAGTCGGTCCTGCTCTGTGTGGGATAGAAGCCATCAACACCGGCATCACAGGGATCGTCAACATCGCTCACGAAGGGAAAGGAGAGATGAGACGCCCGAGGAGAGGGAACGCCGCCGGAGACGGAGAAGAGAACGTCGCGAAGGAGAGGGCAGTGAACGCAGTGAGCACAGTGAAAGACGGCACAGGGATCAGGAACACCGACACAGACATCGCCACCACCGGCATCACAGCCATCAGGACCGCGATCGGGGAGGGAGCGAAAGATCATCGGAGGGAAGCTCAGGGAGGAGCAGTGCCTCAAGGAGGACCCAATCACACCCGGAGAGATTCCTGTTCTGTATTCCTTGGATCCGGTCAGCCCGGATCAGGGCTCAGATACTGAGGGTCTTTGTATCGGGACTATGTTTGAGTACGGTCACGGCAGTTTGTAAGTCCTTGCCCTCCCCTCAGCTTACAGGCTTACAGTGAAGACTAACACGCGCAGTCCTGGCCCTCATGCTCACGCATAACATCCACTCCCGCGAAGTCGTCATCCTTCTGGTGCTCTTCATCCTATTCGTCGCCATCGTCTTCTCCCACTCCGTCATCCGTCTCTGCGTGCTCCTTCTCAAACGTCGCAAAGTCGAAGAGGGAGCCATGCGCGAGCAATACCAAAACGGCCTCTCAACCTCTCCCTACGCTGAGGTCATTATCCCTCCCGGAGGGTACGCTGTCCCACGCGAACCGATCCCCGTCGTTCTGGCTCGTGATGAAGAAGCGGCGGGAATTGAAAGCGAAGAGACGAAGTTAGGGCCGCCGGCGTATGGGCAGTGGAGGAATAGCGTGGTATGTACCCCTCTTACAAGTCATCATGTTGCCGTTTGTGACAGTTACTGACACGACTTCCAGCGCGTCGACCCAAACCGACTCTTCTGGGCACGCGTTCCCAACGCGCCTGCGACTGAGGCAAGCAACTCGGGACGGAACTCTCCTCGCCCTCCGTCCTATTCGTCTGAAGACGGCGTAAGTTACGTGGTTGAGGCCCGGCCGCGCTCCATTGCTCCTCCGTCTTCAACAACCGGGTCGGCTACGAACAGGGCACCGAGCCCGCCGAGTCCGTTCCCTGGGGCGTTTGGGATGAGAGGAGCGAGGCCGGGATGGGATTAGGAAGACTAAAAGCTTTGTGATATTTTGTGGAATAGATGTTAATCATTGTTGGGCTTCTGGAGAGCTCGCTGCTGTGTATAGCATCATCATTGAGATACCACCAGCTGGAGGTAGGCAATTCCCAATAGGGATAGAATGATGTTATAGGCGTTAGGGTTAGGTTACATCAGTGTGTTTCTTGGGGGGGGTACTCATAATTGATTATGTTAAGCGTTGTGGGTTGAAGGAATGAAGCTGTTCCTGGGCTTTCCGAGTGTTCTTGGCGGGGCACAGTAGTTATGTATCGATGTCATCCTATGTGAGGCTTCGGCGTCTACAAACACTTATACATATATGACTGTATGCTAATAACGATCCTCAGATCGCCATCTGCATCTATCTGCCTGTGATTACAACGACGCATGTTGGCGATGGTGATGAGTGATGTGCCGCTTGCTGCTCTCGGAGACTGACGAACCCCGCCCCCGCCAAGCTGAGCCGGAACATTACGGCGTGCTTCCCATCGCCCACAGTCCGAGGCCCGGGAGTCTGCTTTTGGCAGCCCATCCATTCAGGGACAATGGACCTTGGGCCATTGCCAGCCGTCAGCCTGGACCATCCTGTTTTGGTTTTCCGGGACACCCCACTCTGCTGTACCATCGGCTGTTTTGGGATTGAGGGGGAAGTGTACACCAGAAGCCAAAGACGTTCTACTAGATGCTGAGAGGTCACATTCTGTTGTGAAGGAGCCTGATCAGTTTGATAGTTTCGGGTGAAAGCGTGACGTTTGCCGGATGATGATGTTGGTTGTTCTGCCCAGATGGCAAACATCCGCAAGTGGCAGAGCAAAGACCAGTTCCATAGACTGGGTCATTTAGATTCAAACGCTTGGTGCAACTCCAGCACATGTGCTTCGGGCACGCGACCCGAAGTTATCAAACAGTGCAACAACGAAAAGAAGCCTGGGACGAGCAGACGATCGCAAGAACACGCGAAGATGAAGCGTGGCATCTCGAAACGCCGCACTTGGCGCGAGTCAGATGTGGGGAATTACACGGACCACATGTGGATTTGACCAATCTCAGTTTGTAAATTGGAACATCAGAATGTGTGGTGGGGTGTTAACGGTGGGCCGGTGGGTGCCAACCAAGAATTTTTTTTCCTAGCGTGCCCTCACGGGGACGCTGAGGAGGGAAGGCTGAGATGTGAGAAAACACACAGAGAGGAAGACGCGGAAATTTTGAAAATATCCAAGATTCAATGAACATCAGTTTCTATCCTGTGAGTGTCTTTGGGTTGTCCGGCATAGGGACAAAGCGCCAACTGGCCGAAAAAGTGGTAAGACAAGTAAAACAATGAAACCGCGCGGGGTACAACCACGGTACTTGCAGGGATACGTGGAGCGCGTGCTCGACATATGTCACCAGCGAGTCACCCTTTGCCCGTTGTGCCCGTCACCCCGCTCTCCGTTTTCAGCAGCTTAGCACGAGATGTTTTTATTGGGCCTGCCCGTGCGCCCATTCCTCTCTGCGCGTCATCTGCGGCCTAGCCGCTTTATCAGCAAGTCAGTAGAATCAGGTATTAATGATCAGGTAATGCAGAGTGCAATGGATGAGTGTTGGGAGGATGTGATGTGCTTTTTAATGTTGGATGATGTTTTTGATGCCGACTTACTGAGTGGACGTGATGTGGATGGATGTGGACTCTGCTCTTGCCTGCCCACTCGCTGCTGATTAATGGTGCCCGTGGTGACTGCCCACCCAGACTTTCCACTGCCTACCCACTGGCCGCTGCGTTGCCCGTGCCTTACCAGTTGCCTCAGCCTGGGTCCGGATGCGGCCCATGCCCTATCTCCCTTTCCCCTTCCAGGTTCCCTAATCCCTAGCCCTCGCCCTCCTCGTTCCTGTCCCGTGGGTTCCGCTCTCTCCCTCTTGACCCTCTTCTGCTTCCACTTCTAGCCCACGGTTCTCTCTCCTCGCACCCTGTGACTCTTGTACCTCTGTGAAAGGTCCTGGTCTGACACCATTCTCTACGCACGCCGCTCGGCACTCCTCTCGGGTTGTTTGGTGAGAACGTTGACGTTGGTCTGAAATTCGGAGAGCGCTGCAGCAGCTGAAGTTTTTTTTCCCTTTTTAAAAAAAAAACCCTTTGCCCGTGATCCAGAAATTCTCCGTTTATAATTTTCCGGGCCCCGTCTGCTTTTTCCTCTCTTCACACTTTGCTCTTTATTCAACCGTCAATCCCCATTAGCATCTTACCCCTCCGCAAGGTTAGTCGACTTCCCCGCCATCGCCAGCATCACCGGCGACCCCTCATCCCCCCTTTATACACTGCTCGTTTCCACGCGCACCTCGATGGACACGGCAGACAGGACAGGGCAATTACTGGCGACGATACCAGCATGGTGTCGGCGAGAATTGCACCTTGATGGCACGCCCCGGCAGGGCCCAAGCAAATGGCAGCAAATGGCAGCGGCAGGAACGGCAGCATCGAGCGGCTCTGGCAAGGAAGATTCACACAACCGCGAGGCGTAACGGAACGCCAGCCGATGTGCGCATTTATTGGACAATCGCTTGCTCGCTGCGTATGCGTTCTGCGTCGATGTTCCTCTGCGCCTTCGCAGCACACAATATTTCCCTCGGTCTGGACCTCTGACCTCCGTGGCCGTCTGCCAACTGAGGCAAGGCTGGCCCAGAAGCACCGCAGTCATGCTATCTCTTGTCAGGCCCTGTGGTTACACGACCGACGCCGACCCTTCCCCCGGATTGCTGCCAAGTCGTACAAAGACGATCTCTCCAACCGGCGTCACAAGCCCCGTGGACGACATCAGCCCTCCAACAGCCATGATGCGCCATTTGCGGGGGCCTTGTCACAAGCCGGCCTCAGACAATCTACCGGAGGCAAACGTCATAGTGCAAACATTACGGGACAAGGAAGAAACAGCTAGTTTTAAATAGGGTACTAATAAGTGGCTGCAGTCTCGTTGACAATTGGAACTTTCCCAATAACTACAGCAGAACTTCGACTCAAAATGTCTGCTGTTTCACGTCGTGCATGCTATAAGTGTGGCGAGCTCGGCCATCATGCCGATGCTTGCGCCTCCCCTCATCGTCTTTGCTACAACTGTGGGTATTCTTCCGGCTATGAAGTGGCGTGATCGGTGCTGACTGTTTCGCAGGCAAGCAACCGAGTATGTCTTAACTCATGATAATGCGCGATATAGATCGAATCTGACAATCGTAGATCATGAGTCATCCCAATGCCCGATGCCTCGTACTACAAAGGCAAAGCAGTGCTACCACTGCCAGGGCCTTGGCCACGTCCAAGCTGAATGCCCAACTCTCCGCCTTGGCGGTGCCGCAGCCGCCAACCGCTGCTACAACTGCGATCAGCCCGGGCATCTTGCTGTAAGTGCTCCGCGAACTTATAGATGTGAATGTTTTACTGACCTGCCAGCGCAATTGTCCCAACCCGCCCATCAACCGGGGTCCCGTTGCTGGCCGGCCGGGCTTCGCTCCTGGCCGCTTTGCCAATGGTGGCCGTCCCGCAACCTGCTATAAGTGCGGTGGCCCCAACCACTTCGCCCGTGATTGCCAAGCACAGGCGATGAAGTGCTACGCCTGCGGCAAGTTGGGCCATATCTCGCGGGATTGCACTGCCCCTAACGGTGGTCCCCTCAATACGGTTGGCAAGACTTGCTACCAGTGTGGCGAGCCGGGTCACATTTCTCGCGATTGCACCAAAAAAATCAGCCCAACGGGGAGGGCCAGAACGAGCAAGCCGATGTGAACGGCAATGCTCAGCCTGCTCCGCAGCAGACGCCTGTCGCTCCGGTGGCTTAGGGAGCGACCGTTGTTCCCGGGAGGTTTGCAATTTTTAGCGGCGGTTTAGGTCCAACGGGATCAAAGCTTTCTTAACCGAGATATCCTCTTCCTTCCCCGTTCGGATGCACTCTTCTTTCTCTTACTTACAAAGAAAAAAATCACAGCAAAAAAACATGGACAACGCGACACGACTTGGGTTTTCCACGGCGTTCTCGGTTTTTTCTGGGTCGTTGGTCGTCACATAGGCAACTTGGGCTGACACACAATACATGTCTGGACAACGAGTTAAATGGAAAAAGAAGTCGTGTCTCTTGTTTGGGCAAGCATCTTTTTGTCTCCCTTGTCTTCTGTCTTCCTTTTCTTCCCGGAAGCCATACACACATACACACATGCACACACATATGCACACAGTCATCAGTCACTGGCATCATGTCTATCTTGTTCTCTTGTGGGACCCTCTTGCATGGCGTTCTGGTCGTCGGGCGAAGGTGACAAAATCCTAAGAACTACGGTATCTCTTACTCGCGCTAGTAAAACAAGAACTTTGCCGGGCCTGGATGGTATTGCCTCTGGGTTGTTTTCACCTTTTCTTTTGAGTTCTCCATCACATTGCTCGGGCTACCTAGACGCACGACGAATTTGGAAAAAAAAATGCAAATGATACCCCCAGCTGTACGAGGAAACTGTTCGGAACGGACGGACGGACGGTCGGTCGGTCGGGCTTTGCGACGTGCGGAGGCAATATTGATTTATAACAACGACACATGGGCGGCAGACAGGCATCAGCATGGCATCGGCATGGCAATTGGCATTGGTATCGGCACGGTACGGCATTGGTACACGGCACGGCACGGACATGGTATAATTGGCAAGGTTTGTTTCGACCATGGATGCAAGCAAAGCATGTGTAGAAGGTGCACGGTACTAGGTCCAGCTAGGTACGGGCGGTGATGCGATCGAATCGATGGGTCCAGTCATACAAGGCAAGGCAAGGTCAAGTTGCGGCGGCGGCTGTGGTGGGGCTTCGTTCTTGTGCAATGGAGAGGACGTCTGGTGTTGCGCTGTGTGACCGGGCAGTGTAGTGGTGAATGGATACTTTTTGACATACGTGTTGTGTAAGTGATTTGGTTGAGGTGAGCTATCTTGGACCTTGTCAGGGGACTCGACTTGGAGGTGAGTTGTTGACATCTTGCATGCCTACGGACATTGATCGGTGCTGTGAATATAGAACGTCATCCCACCTTTCATGCCACTCGAAGCGGGATGAGAGACTCGGAGCCCCTAATTCCTAAACAGCTGTGACCTGCCGTTAGAGCAGTGCAAGAGGATCATGTAGAGAGCTGGGATTCTAGCCAATCAAAGGGTTTGAATTGAGTCTCACCTTGGGGATGCAAAGCCCAGATACATGGGCTTAACGCCCAGATGCACTCTATGATGACTCTAGGTCACGAGATGCTGTATTAGATCTGCTCTATAAAACGTCTGTACAAGCGCCGTGTCCTAAGTTATTTCGTTGATTTTGAGATGCCGATATCCATTGTCGTCGGGGAGATTCGTTTCATAAGTTCAAAGATCTCCTGGCTGAGTCTTGTGCAACAACGCCACGGATCGGCATGTTCGATATGCGGGTTGTTGGCTGGGATTGGGGACTAGTTACAGATAGTGATTGGCTTGCTTGCTTACTTGGGGATTTATGCGTTAGCATTCCAGTTTACCATTAGGGAGGTTGTCGGCTTGAGTTAGTCTGACAGCTTGGTATATGGAATTTGGGATTTTGTGGAGAGTCTGTACTTACGAAGAAATCTTTGTAGAGGAAAGCACCTACTCAGCAGAGGCACGTAACTGGAGTTTGCCATTAAGGTCTGCCTTGATTTCGGGGCTCCAGGCAAAGGCAAATAACCCGATTCGGAATTAAAAAGGTAAATATTAGAAGTCATCGTATTGGTACATCTCCTCCTGCGTAAACTCTCCAAACACTCCTTCCCCAGCAACGGTCCGGCAAGAATTATTAACCTTCTTTTACTCCAAATAAGAACTTGCGATCCGCTGTGCTTGCTGCTCGGGTATGAGTACTGATGCATGACAGTATGGTACAAACTTGCAAAATCCTTGACCCTTGCTCATGGGTCACGTCAGTCCTGTCCCCAGCCTTGTTTGTGTTACTGCTGATCCCAATTGCCTTGTGTGTGTTTGCCAGCTTATTGAGTGGAACAGGAAACTGCACGGGCTCTGATAGAATTGGGAAGGTTATAGATATAAGACATGGGAAGTACGCTGGAATGGGATCTACTTCTTGATCAATCATTTGACCAGTCCCTGAGGACAGTGGACCTGGCTTCAGCCTAACCTCGACTGGACTCGGTCACATAATCACAAACCCTCAGCCAGTCGACGTCAACAGCCAAAATGAAGCTGCCAGTTCTCCTCCTTTTCACCCCCATCATCTCAGCTCAACTCCCCTTATGCCCCAACTACGCCGACTACTCCAAGACCCGCCACCCCCCCTTCACCTCGGGCATTCACTCGCTCCCCTTCCAACGCCCACCCCCCCACTGCCGCACCTTCAATTCCTCCGCAGTCGAGTCACACATTGTCCAACTCAAATCCGAGATCGCCGACCCAGACCTAGCCCAGCTGTTCGAAAATGCCTGGCCCAACACCCTTGACACAGCCGTCCGTTGGTTTGGCCGGGGCGCCGAGGATGACGAGGAACTGGCGTTCATTGTGACAGGGGATATCAATGCCATGTGGTTGAGGGATAGTGCGGCGCAGGTGAGGGCTTATTTAAGGGTTTTGGAGCCGGATCATGAGGGAGAGGAGCCGAGCGTTGGGTACAAGGTTGGCAAGGCAGAGGGGGATACTGCGAGTCTGGCGGCGCTGTTTAGGGGGGTAATTAACCTGCAGGCGAGGTACATCTTGTCATCACCGTTTTGTAATGCCTTTCAGCCGCCGGCTGAGGCGGGGATTCCGAGGGGCGTGAATGAGTTTGCTATGGCGGATGCGGTTGCACCCCCGCCGAATGGGGAGACGGTGTTTGAGTGCAAGTTTGAGATTGACTCGCTGGCGGCGTTTCTCCATCTTTCGGCGGATTATCATGATGCAACGCACCACACGGCTTTCTTCTCCTCGGCCAAGAACTGGTTGCCTGCTATCAGAACGATTCTCTCAACCCTCAGGACGATGCAATCCCCAACCTACGACCCCCAGAACGGGACTGTCTTGCCGGCAGGATATACCTTCCAGCGGCAAACCACTCGCGCGACCGAGACAACGGACAACGATGGGCGAGGACACCCTGCCCGGCGCACGGGCATGGTGAGGACAGCCTTCCGGCCGAGCGATGACGCCGCCGCATTGCCGTACAATATTCCCGGAAATATGATGATTGTTACAGGTTTAGCAAGGGCAGCTACAATCGCCGATGCTGTTGGAGACAAGAGCCTTGCCGACAAGATGAGGGCTTTGCAGGGGGAGATTGATGAGGCGGTCAAGAAATTCGGTATTGTACCCATTTTGACGGAGTCAGGGGACATAGAGAGGGTATATGCCTATGAGGTTGACGGGTTTGGATCGGCGCTGCACATGGATGACGCCAATGTCCCTTCGTTGTTGTCGATCCCCTTGTTGGGATATTCTTCATCCACAGATGAGGTTTATCTTCGCACCAGGGCGAGGGTCCTTTCACCTGAGGGGAATGGGTATTTGATGCGTGGACCAGCGCTGAGTGCTGTGGGAGGGCCACATGTTGGACCAGGATGGGCGTGGCCTATGGCGAGTATTGTGAGGGTTTTGACTGCAGAGATGGATGATGAAATTCGGGGGGAGTTGAAAGCACTTGTGGGAAGTACGAGCGGGTTGGGGCTGGTCCATGAGAGTGTGAATACACAGGATGGGGGACAGTGGACTAGGCAACGGTGAGTCCTTCTGACTCGTTCGAGTGCGGCCGTGTGTTGAGCAAGACTGACATTGACAGGTTCTCGTGGGCGAATGGACTATTTGGAGAGATGATTCTTGATCTAAAGTGGAGGAAGCCGAATTTGCTGAAGGAGAGTTACCAATAGGTGCGTGCCAGGGTTGTAGGGTAAGGGGTCATAAAGGGTAAGCACTTATACGATGAAATTAAACATCCAGGTGTGTTCATTATGCTGTTATGGCTGTCTTAACGGTCCTATTCTAGAACATCAGCCAGGTTGGGCCATCATGGGAGTACTCAGGGTTTAGATATGTGCTTCGCAAAAGGCAAGCTGTGTTTAGTCATCTTAGCAGAACATATCAGGAAAAATATGATGCCCTATATCAGCTTCCCTGTCTCCCTAATGCTTGTTATAGCTTTCATCAGTGTAATTATCTACCTCAATCATTCTTCTCCTGTCTTTGTTAGTCAAAGAGCAGACCAACTGGTCCTTCTTCCATCTCCTTATCTAGCTATATGCTCCAAATTCCAACCTCACAAGCAGAATGTGATGCCGTTCACACAAAGATAATTCACAAACTCATCATCAACCCCTCCCCCAAAGGTAAACCTTCCCCATGCCGAACTCACTACCCACGCAGCCCTCTCAACCTCCCCCTGCCTGATTTCCCTCTTCTCCATCGCTTCCTCAACACTCATACCCCCGAAACTCAGCACATTGGCGTCAGCCCTGTCGACACGTAACCAACCTCTCCTGCCTGCCGTGACTGTTGCGGTCGCTTGGGAACTCATTGACAGGGTCGACATCGAGGAAGAGGTGCTTGGAAGGTCTCCGAGAATGATGGTCCCCCACCATTGTCGGCAGTGGGATTTGTGATGAGGGGAGTAGAGCATGTAGTTTTCTATGCTTATGAGGCATTCAGTCAAGGAGAAGTGTGACTGGGATTTGGTGAGAGGAGGGCGGAGGATGTGGACGTGACTTAAATCCTCCTTTGTTATCCTCACTTTGGCTCGTTCGGTCTCGCTATCATGGCAAGCCCAATTCCCATCCCCGGCCCCCGAAGACTCTCCTGCAGACCCTTCCCCCGCCCATCCTTGCGACAAAGGTTTAGTTGCTAGTAATCGGAGAACATCAAACGTCCCATCCAAATCCACCACCGCCACAGCCATGCAATTTGGCTCCATAATGAGTGTCGCAATCAAAGGGTACACCAGTTCCTTATAGCGACCAGAAACTGCCAGCCGGGGAGGGGACTGGGTTGCGCGGGAGTGCTGCGTTAGGAGTTCTGCCAAGGGGGAGAACGGGTCTGGGAAAGAAGGAATGCGGAGGGGTTGTCGAGGGTTTGGAGGATTGATGCCGGGTACTGGGTCGAGGTTAGGGTTGTTGGGGTTGCTGTGGGAGGTAGTGGTAGTGGGGGTTGTGAAGGCTGCTTGGAAGTAGATGAGAACCTGGATGTGTGTCAGTATGTATGGTGATGATGTCCTTCAACCTTTCAACTTCTGAGAAGAAAACACCTCACAAAAGAGTCTTTGACTTTAGCGAAGCAGAGTTCAAGAAAACTCCCTCAAAGTGACATACCTCCTCCAAATTAACAACTTCCACCTCCCCCAAAACCCTCGCCCCCAAGCTCTTCGCAGACGCAGCCATCAAGTTCGCCACTCTTCACCTTACCCTCCTCCAACTCAACCCACTCTAGACAGCGAAATGGCACCCCCCTGCGAAGCCTTCCCTTCCCGGCAACTGCCCCTCCGCGTGCAAGTCAACGTAGAAGGCAAAGCGCGCAAGACCGAGTCGGGCGCACAAATCGACCTGGCACGCGATTGTGAGCTTTTCACGCTGCTGCAGTACGAATGCGTGGTGCCGCGGCCCGATGTTCCCGAGAGCCCCGTGACGTGTTGGCCTGTGCGGAGGTGGTTGCGGAGGTGAGTCCTCTTTCCCGCTATTTCGAAGAAGAATTGGATAGTTTGGAGGGGGCTGGAGTCTGATTGAAGTTAAAGGTGTCAAGATAAAAAAGGCAGCTTTACGGTGGAAACGACGGCGTGGGAGGGTATTGCGGGAGTGGGAGCCAGTTCTGCAAGGGAGGGTAAAGCGATACAGTAGGAGGAAGAAACAGTAGCAGTAACAACAGCTGCGAGGAGCAAGTAGACAGAGTAAAGCAATACACAGCCATTCTTCCTGGGCAGCAGCAATGTTTGTATCACTCAATTCACGCGCACTCAACCCAGTCTAAGATCTGTCAGCGACGACTCAATTCGTCTACCACAATCCCTATTCTACACCCCCTAGCTATGCACCCCAGTCAAGTTTAGAATAACTCATTCCGAGCCAGTAAACCCTCTCAATCAATTAATCAATCGAGCTGTCGGGTCGGGTCGTTCATTGATAGGCGGCCGCCCGCGCAGCGCGCTCCGCCTCGAGCTTGCGGTAGTACTCATCGCGCGCCTTGGTTCGCGGCACATGGAAGCCGTACCTGTACACACACATCGGTCAGGTCCAATTCTCTGTCTTCCGCACGCGTGTCCGGTCGTCGGGTAGGTTGGTTGGGGTTGGTTCGGCAACGTAGGCCTATTCGGTATACAAGGGATGTAGGGAATGGGGTAGAGAAAGATCGAGCATACCAGAAAGCGGAGGCCATGGTGAAGCCAAGACCTGTTGCCTCAGTCAGTCTCCCACAACTCCGGCAAAGAGCTTTGGAGTCAAATACTTACCAAGTGCGACGCTCAGGTCCGTGATGAGGGCCCGGCGGAGCATCTGTATCGATTCACCAACGCATCAGCACTTGTCTCAATCCTCATGCCCATGCTTCTTCCCCCAACGCCAAATCCTCCTCTTCCTTAGTTTTCTTCTCGGCAAACCGGATCTGATTTCGTCATGCACCCCACGTCCTTCTTTCCCTCCTCCCCCTCTTCCAAAACACCAGGGCGAACACATACACCAGTGATGGGAGCGATAGCCATTCTGTCGATTTGTGTTTCCTGTCGAGGACTGCTTCGCGTAGGCTTTTCTCACGAACGGGTTGCTTGGGTGTAGCTGCGGTGGAGGGGAGCTTTGGAATCCGCCGATGAGTGGTTTGACTGCGCTTCACTTTGCTACTAATTGGAGCTCCAGCATGGGCTGATCCATCGGAGCTTAGCTGCCAGAGGAACACGTGATTTGCGGATGGATTCCGGCAAATTTCGTTGCTTGTGGCTTGCGTAAGCCGATCGACCGGTTGGGTGGTGGATCGCATTATCGGGGTTTAGGAGCGGCAGCATCGATAAGGGTGTACAGGTCAATGGACATAACGAGTAGGACTTCAAAAGATATGGGAAAGAAGAGCAGTTAAAGAACACAGGTTCGCATTAAACTGATTGACATATTCTCCATTTTAGAATTTGTAGCGTTGTTGCAAAGTGTGATGGTTCTTATATTTGGAGCTGTTCAACTCTTTGACCCTGAACTTTGGGATATCGAGTTCAGAACTGTTCAGCTTCTTTAAAGCCCTTAAACTACAACCTTGACAGAGAAAGTACGGTACTACCTAATCAAGGCTTGAGTCACCAGGTGTAAGTCAAAAATGGAAAATTAACTAATGTCTTCAAAATGTTTTAGCATGTATGGTCGCTCTAAGAAAAAAAAACCCTGATCATAAACTCTTGCTCAAGTTTTGGTCAGTTGAGAAAAGCCAACTTTCAATTACGAGAGGTCATGAACAAAAAAAAAAAAAAAACAAGCTCCTGTACTTAAGCAGTATATTCGCTTTTTTAACCAGACACAGATTATACACGCTGCACTCTGTGCCGCATGTCATCAACGGGTATATACAAATCCGACACTCAAAACAAACCAAGTGACTGGATCCCAACCCATCGCAGTATAAACAAAATCCAATTCCTCTTAATATCCCAACAATTTTGAGAATCCCAGCTCACACAATCCACCACCCATTGGTTGGTGTTTGTCCCAAATTCCCAACCCATATTCCATCCAGTAATCCCATTCCTAGCCAAAAGACCAACCAAACGGACAGCATGAAGAACATATCCAACTGTGAAAATTAAATCAAACACAAACCACAAACCAAAATTCAAATACAAAATGCCGCTCAACTCATCACTCCTTCCACAACTCCAGCGCCTTTGCCGCTGATCCACGCCCACGGAACGCAACATAATACTTTCTCAAGAAACCGCTCTCCCCACCCAACAGCCCCTCGTCGCCCCCACAAGCGCGCACCATGTCATGCAGCACAGGCCACAGCCCAAAGTCCGCCGGCGAGGCCTGCACGCCGCCACAAATGTATAACCCTTCACCAAACTCAGAAGAAACCGCCTCGCCCGCGACGCCCTCCCACTCCTCCAGCTCCTTCTTCATCAAAGCCCTCACTACGTCCTTGCTAACGCCTCCCTTCCCCAACATGGAGCCAACCTCCTTCCACCTGACAGCCAAACCCTCTGCCTTAGCCAGCAGAGTAAAACGCTTGGCAACCTCCCCCGGCAAGAGCTGATCATATCTCCTACCCTTCCCATACACCGCATCCAAATATCTCAACACCGTCCCGACCCCCTCCACAACCGCCCTACTAACATCATTCTCCTCGAACCTACACACGCCCTCCACACTCCCCTTGGCACACGAAACCCCTAGCTCCCCCAAAGCCAACAGAACACTAGCGTTGCCAACTGCCCCATCTTTAGCCCCCACACAAAACCTCTTTGGCACACCCATATGCAACACATCAAACCCCTTTCCATACCATTCCTGCCAATCAAACTCACTAGAATGATTCTCCGTCCCAAAAACCTTCAACATGGCCACCGCCTCGTCCGTCAACCCGTTCTTAACAGGCTTGGCCTCCTCACGCGTCTTACCCGTCGCGCCCTGGCCCCAAATCAGTGTCTGGCTGGCGTCGATGTACGTGCCGATGTGGCGGAAGGTCAGGCTGATGCGGGCGCCACTGTAGGCCAGTTCGGCGGGGGACTTGTCGCGGTCGGCACGCTTGTCTTGTCGGATGGCGTGCAGCCAGCGCTCGTTGGTTTTGAGGCCCATGCGCATGAGAGAGTTATGGGGCAGCGGGGCGCGCTGGATCTGGCGTTTGGAACCGGCAGGGGCCTTCTTTTCGTCGTTGCTGTTGTTGTCATGGTCGTCGTCAGGCTTACCGTCTTTGTCCTTGTCCTTGAGGGGCCGCTTCGTTCTGAAGACCATGGTTCTCTGCGCTCCCAGGCTCACATTCGTGACATATGTGCCCTGGACGATATCCAACGTCTTGTCACTATGCTCGCTGATGTAGTCGTTGCCGTTACGATAGTGCTGGATCAAGACGTGGTTCAATGGGTGGCCGACGATCTTCTCGGCAACCTCCTTAATCTTGCGAACGGTTGGCGTGAAGGGAAGCAATGGGGGAGACTCGTCGTTCGGATGACGGTACACTGGCATGCTGCCATCGGGAGCGACCTCTCCCTGGACGGCCACACGGCGTGGGACCTCGCCGCCCATGTGTGACATGCCGGCCCAGCTGACCTCTTCCAGCAATTTACCGAAGGCAATGTCGGCAAGTTCGGAAGGCAGGACGTTGTAGAAGATGGTCGTGTCGCCCTCGCAGAGGGGCTCAGAGGAGGTGACGGTCGGTTGGTCAGCCATGGTGGGTGAAGGTTGTTGCGAGTGAGTCGGTGTAGTCTTGGACGAAGGAGTAGATGTGATCTCAGGAGGAAGGGTGGTCAAGTCGCTCAACTTCAGCTCGGCGGTAGCCCGGGTCACTGATTCGATGCTGCTGGGGTCGAGGCTCTTCGAGCTGCTTTCTTGGTCGATGCGGTCCGCGTGGACGGTCGTGGATGCGTCTGTGTCTGGCTTCGATGCGGACGGGGTAGACGAGGTCTTTTTATCGTCGTCGACGTCGAACTTCTGGCAGATGACGATACGTGTCTTCTCGCCGCGCTGCTGGAGTCTTACCCTGGGCTTCTCAGTTTTAGTGTTCGCAGCCCCCGGGGCTTGGGTCGGACCTTTTGGGCTCTCTGACTCTGGATGCCTCCTCGCCGTTGCATCACCATTCTGGAGATGATTCTCTGTACTTCTCGCACTTTCTGCAAGCTTCTGCCGCGGGCTGTCGCGTGGTGACGTTGACTCATCATCGCACGTTACGCGGTTCGCATCGGCAGGTCTCGCAGAGCTAGTGTCCTTGATGACGGCACCCTGGTCATCAAGAGGGCGCAATGCCACTCTGTCTTCCAATAGGTTTGGCTGCGGGGAGCGGGACGCAGGTTGCGGCCAGGGCTGATCATCCGATTGCTTGCGCTCGTCCCGGTCCTCTTCGGGTGCGTGTGGTGGCGAAGCAGCTTGGGGCTCGAGCTCTCCGGGTCTAAGCTTGGGCGGAGGCAGCTGGCCCTTAGGGCGCAGCTCCGACGACTCCGCTTCCGAGCTGGAGACCTTGGGAATGGCATCGGCAGGCACACCACTCAATGCTGCACTGCTGCTGCCAATCTCGATGTTTGAAATGGACGGCGACAGACCAGACGAGAGCGTTGGTGGTGCCGGCGGCCGAAACTGCTCGATCAATTCAGCATATGTGACCACATCGCTCCCGGTCACTTGCACCAGCTTATTCACAGCAGCACGATGACGGCCTGCGTCACGATAGCCACAGCAGTCATCGACAATGGTCATCTGAAAGCCGTGCTGCGCTGCATCCAATGCTGTGGCATAAATGCTAACGTTGGTGAGCGCTCCGCAGACGTAGAAGGTTGTGACGAAGCGACGGCGGAGGGTCTGCAGTAACGGCCCCTCGGCGAAGGCACTGTAGTGTGTTTTGGTGAAGATGATATCTCTGCGGTCAATCGTTGCTTGCACTTCAGGCGCAAACTGCGCACCCTCGGTTCCTGGCACCACGACGGGAGTCTTCGGCTCTTCCCCCTCAGGGATTTCAACTTCGGGTGTCAAGAAAGCCTCCTTGTCTTTCTCTGTGATAGCAATATCGTGCACCACAGAGACAGGCGACCTGCCGCGGGATGTCTCCGCTGCCTCATGCAGAGCCTCTAGTGAGGTAATGATCTGGATCACCCGATCGCCATCAACCAGCGGCCGGTTTTTGCGGAACTCGGATCTCACCCAGATCACATCGCCGGACTGCGTGTCCCTGAAGGCCTTGACCAGGTCCAGCACACGGTTAACCCAGCCTTCTGGTTGCTGGGTGTAAAGAGGGCCGTCTGGTGAGATGAAGTCATTCTGCAGATCTATAATCAATAACCCCTTGCGCGTCGGCACGATTGGGATCATGGACGCGGGGAATGGAAAGCTTGGCCCCATTGTTACAACTTATTGAGCGTCGACTAGAGACTAAGCAGGTTGAAACTGCAAGAGCCCTGGCCGCGGACTCAGCAGCACGCAATAGTTAGCAGCGTTATCATTACAGGATCAAGGAATCAGCTTGCCACGTTGGGCACTCGAGTCGCGTAGGGGCGATGAGGTCGACTCGAGAACAGCAAGGTCGTTTTTTGTAGCTCGGGCCGAGCGAGTCGCGACTTGTTCGTCCGTCTGCAGCTGCTAGCCAAGGCACGGAGCTTACACGAGTATCGAAGTTTGTCAAGCTCTGAGGACAGTTCACACCACCTTGCTGGTCGCGGGTATCAAACACCTGAGCGGTTGTCAAGACTGGGAACAGGCTCCGGTCGTAGTCAAAGAATCACGTCTTCGAGGTTGATTGAGGGTCACACACTTGCTCAAGCGGTCGACAAACAATCTGCGCGGCACGTGAAAGGACTTCTTCGTTCGTATGGGCGGGATATGGATGAGGAGCGGCTCGAAGACACTGAATCTTGGGACAAGCGGCGTCTAAGCGGTTTGTCGTAGGCATGTACAGGTGACGAAGCGGCAGGACAAGGGTGTTTGGCCAGAGCAAACACAGCGATTGTGATGCGACACGGGGGATTGATGAGCCACTACACCCCACAGCAGCCCCGAGCCAGCAGCCAAACAGGCACGGAAGAACTCTGTAAGAATGGTCGTGTATGGTAAGAAAGTTGTAAGAGACAGTAAGGAAAAGAGCAGTGTATGTAATCTATAAGTAAGCAATGGCGAAAACAACCGAGAACGCGAGCCGCGTGGGGTAAAATCCGAAAGCTGCGGCGGCGAGCGCCAGTATGAATGTTGAAGGCGTCTGCAAGGCCACTGTGATCGTTGGGTCGCCGTGATGTTGCAGATCGACCAGTTCTTGCGCTAGGGGACGACAAACAAGAGATGAGACGAGTGAAAGGGAACGATGTGAATTGGAAGTGAATGTCACCGAGACGCCAACGTAGGCGAGGACCTGAAGGAGTCCAAAGGTCGAGAACGCGGAGAGACAGCCCACACCTGGTCCGAGCCTGGGCAAGCCCTGAATGGACTCCTGGCCCACCGATCAGTGCGGGTTGTGGGACCCCGGAGCCCTGAGCTGTCTAGCCGGCAGCCCTCTGCCCTCTCCCGTTCCTTGCCCTGCTTGGCCTTGGCGTAGGCTTGATCTGGTTGGCCAGCCACTCAGCATCCGGTGACAGCAAAGGATTCAGCCAGCCAAAATGCCCTTCTTTGCACTAGCAATTTTCTTCCAGGCGCTGCTTCCGAGGAGGATCGAGGATGAGGAAGGACGGAATCAACCTTCATACTCCCACGAGATATCGAGCCTGCCCTGAACCTGTGTTCTGCTCTGATGGAGCTGCCCTGTGCCTCGTGCGCTTCTGTCAGCTGTGGGAATCCACTCTCCCGCTGACGGATGGATCCGCTGCGGAAGCTAAGAAAACGTTGTGGGACACGGGCTTGCTTGTGGGACGAACGCAAAATTACAGTCAGCGACGAAGCTCTCATCGTATCACTCACAGAATCGTCAGCGAGATGCCCTGCTTGAACTCCTCGTACGCACATCAAATCTCGATCCTCCACACCGGGTGCTGATTCATAGACGACGGCATTACACTCCTCGCACTGCTGCCCCTTTGACTGACTTACCTAGGGAGAGTCAGTGTTGACTACACAGTACGGCTGTGCAGCATACTGAGCACGCTGCAGCTCACACTGGAAGCAGAAAGGCTGGGGAAACTCAAGAAAAATGCACATTAGGACAAGACGGAGCAAACCGCAGGACGTGGACGGAACAGTTTGCATTCTGTAGTTGTGGTGCAAAAACTGTATGCGTGTAAACCGTATTTGGCCGTCCACTAACGGTTAACGGTGCTCCTGGCCTCCTGCGTGTCTCGCTTCGTGGCTTGCCGGCTTCCTTTCGCACCTCCATCCGTCGTCCGAACGTGCAACGGTCTGTTGGGACCGAGGCATCGTCTCGGTGAAGAAAACAATTTTCAAAGCATCGCTCTGGACAGATGGATGCTCACACGACACGTTGACAGCGACTCTGCGTCGCATCGGATCATGAGGGTCGTAAATGAGCGCGCTGAGCGCGGATCGGCGCTCGGTTGATGCAAGAAATGATGCAGTCCTTCTCGCGCCAGCTCGTGTAGGTGGGGGCTGGATGGGAGGACGAAATTTTGAACGACGCCAGCTGTTGGGGCGGTTGACGGGCGGCCGAACTTGTGCTCGTGGCTGAATGCCCCATGCCTTCAATCCCACGCTGGCTTATGCGCGCAACAGCAGCATTCAGGAGCGAACACTGGCATTGGCCCGCTGCTGACCGGTGGGGGGTCTGTGATGGAGATGAGGCGCGGTTTTTTTTGGAGAAAAACTGTCCGATGAAACGTAGAATCTGTGAGCTGGAATCTGACAAACGATCACTTGAGCGTTGAGAAAGAGTCCCAAGTCCAAGCCCCCATAACGTAAGCTCCACTTGCCTGTGCGGCAGGGGCGGTACAGTTTGTTTTGTAAGCGTCTTGGCTAGCTCTGCGGCGCTAACTTTGCGAGGAAAATCCTGCCAATTAGCCAACAAATCGTGGCACATCCAGTGATGGTTATAGCACTACACAAGCCTATACCTAATTGTCCAGCCAGAAGAACTTTGAAAGCTTCCCTCTCTCGTCGAAGTGAGTGGCTTTTGTGCAAAAGGACTTGTCTTGTAAGAAACGAAAAAGTTTCGCTGTTACAGTCGTTTCTGCGCAGAGATGACTCCCATGAGGCATCCCACACCCTCCATCGCTAACAATTATCCCATATTATGATCCGGATGATTTACTAACGTTACAACAAGTACGGGAGTCCAGCTCAGACATCGGTATCGTCCCAGTGGACAATCTCAACCGCCAGTTAGCAAAGAATGCGACGGTCTTCTCCAAGTAGTCTGCTATAAATGTATCACGTCTTGCCTGCACATTGCAATTAACCTTTTGTTTATGAGAAACCTGAGACAGGGGTCCTGGTCAGCCCTATATTCTAAACTGCCGTCTTCTTGCTCAAAAACAGTTTTGGGTAGAAAATGAGTTGGTATAATCAAGCGATGAGTCTTCTATTTACTGATTCCGCTTTTTTGCTTGGAAAATGGTTGTTTTGTGGTTGAGTTGTGATGTCGTTAGGTATTCCCTGATCCCGAAGTCTTGGGCTAACAAACCAGGGGGTATTATACTGTGTGAAGTCCTATGAGTTTGTGATGTATCTAACTGTATCGGCAGGTTGGTAACAAACCCTCATCGCAAGAACCTGGAAACAGTCCATAAGTTGGTAAACTCTAACTGAGTGGCACATCGCCGTCCCGATGCTCTCACGGCATGGAAAGACAAGATTCAGGTCTACTTATAGATCAGTATTGATATAGATTTCCAATTCCAATCCTGATAGAAATGAACATTTGTTGTCGGGAAGCGAACACAGAGATGAATCAAGACTGACAAAAGCAAGATTTCTCGCTGGTTAAGCAGATTCTATCTTCTCACTCCCCAGTGACCGCCATGGCACTGACCCCGACCTCCAATCCTACTTAAGCCCCTTATCCCTTCAACCATTTGTGTGTTTACCTACCGAGCAGATCGATAGGACATGGTGACTGCAACACAAGACCCGAGACATCCACGCACGTGCGGAGTGGCCGAAGATATGCCGGATCAGGTGTCCCGGTTTCTTAGGGCTGGGATCGGGGGCCTGAAATCTCTAATCCCAGTCTCGTCACTTTGTTTTGGGTGCCAGCTACAGTCTTGGCCGGCAAGTTCCTGGGAATGGGAATAAGATCCTTGAAAGATAGGGGTAGGCTTTATGATGAGATTGTGCAACCCGGAATCTGTGAAGTGTGTGTTATCCAACTGTTCAATGCGCTTCCGAGGTCTGGTTTCATAGATGGTTGTCAAAATCATTAAGTCGTCAGAACGATGTGTTGGTATCTCGAAGATTCCAGCATTTCATAAGTTCTCGTCTCGTCAAACCGCGGACATCACATCGACATTCCCGTCATCCTACCCCGGAATCCTCATCATCCTCCTCCACCCCACCATCTCTTCCAACGCCTCCCTAATCTCCTCAAATGCCGGTCTCTCCTCTACCCCTGGGGCGCTACACCTGGCCCTTAACTCCTCCAAGCCCCTCCTTACCAACCTCTCCCTCTCTTCATCCCCCTCAGATCCAGGCTTCACCAGCCCCAGTACATGCTCCAACACCTTTGCAAACGCTAGTACCTCGATCTTTTCGACCCCGGACCTCTCGCTGAGATTGCCATGTCTGTAAATAGTTGCTTCCCCGAAGCCAACAAGCAAAGCATGTTCGAGTTCTGTGCTGGCAAGGATGTTGGAGGGATGAAGATTCCCATGAGCGATACCCTGCTCGTGGAGATGGGAGAGGGCGCCAGCAATGGAGGCTAACATCGCTAGCGCGGAGGAGTGGCTCAGTTCGAGAGGTTGGGAGTCTTCCTCCGTCGTACTGCTGATGCCCAAGTCGAGAGCAGATGGGGGTTTAGCAAGGGGGTAATACCCCTCGGGCACGAGCTGCGCAACGATAGCTCCCTTAAAACCCTCCTCTTCGTCGGTATCTTCCCCTGGATGCCCAGTTACCCGTCCCCAAACAGATAGCAAACTCTCGTGAGCCCCAGCCTCAATCCACACATCCATCTCCTGCTCCCCCTTCTTCCCCCAAAAGGTCAGAACAGCCACCTCCTCAGCATACTCCTCGCTCTGCTTCCATTGCCCCTTGCAAACAGTCGCTGTGGTAAACCCCAAGCTCGGCACTGGCTCCTCAGACTGCTGCTCAAGCTCCTTGAACGGGATATCAGCTAGCGCACAACACCCCCGGTGAACGCCGTTTGGGACTTGGCAAGCTGTGCAGCAGGGGTTGGCCGCGAAGGAGAGTTGTGAAAGGGAAGGGAGAGAGGTGAAGAGCCATCGTGGTAGAGAAGTGAGGGAGTTATGGGATAGACGGAGTATAGATAGGTTCTTGCAGGGGACAAAAGGCACTTTAGGAAGGGAGGTGAGTCGGTTGTTGGTGACGATGAGGGTTTCTAGCGCGGAAGGGAGTGGGATGTCCTCTGGGATGGAGGAGATTTGGTTATTCGCGAGGGAGACGATTGTGAGGTTCGGACAGGAGGAGACAGCTTCAGAGGGAAAGATAGCGAAGCTGCAGTTGTCTAGAAGGATAGTTTTGAGATTTGGCAGGGCAGCGCCCAGATTGGATGGGAGAGAAGAGAGGCCTGTCCCTGAGAGGTCGAGGGTTGTGAGGGACAGGCCAAGAGAGAGAATCTCCTCAGGAAAGGAGGTTAAAGGGGAGGCAAGCTTAAGATGTGTTAGGTTGGCGTCACGGTATCCGCCTTGTTGGAGGGTTATGAGATCATGAATTGCGATTGTGGCCATTGAATAAAGCTATTGTAAGTTTAATGGTCGGTGATGGAAAGTTGTGGGTTTGTATTACAAAAAGGGCACATAATTGGAGGAGATGGATGCGTTCTTGACATTTATTACCGACGGCGGGTCTGCCACAAGACATTCGTCTCCACTTGAAACCTCCAGCACAGTTCAGTTTCTATGTTTCCGTCAGGTTCTCTTGGAATAGGACAGGACGAGACAATAGGAGTACTGGTTGAGATAAATTTGGACTTTTCAATTGATCATTATCATGGGCGTTGTGGGAGTTGACGGCGAGCCTCTACGCCGCTATTATGCGTTGATCAGCCCAATATCACTTCAAAATGGCCTACCGATTTTACTTTTTCGGTTTTTAATGATATTTAGTTATTTAGTACCTATTTTCGGGTCAGTTGAGCACGACAATAGCAATTCCGTTGTCGGCAAACGGATGTGTGATTAAGCGCAGGGCTTCCTCTGTGATGTAATCTGTGGCCCGCCCAACCCTTGCCGAATCAGTGATCCGTGCGCAAGGTTCATGGCCTGTGCTCCTTACAGATGCCAAGCGTTCCGCCGCGCGCCAGCTCTGAGCCTTCACGTCTCCAGTTCGCAGCAACGCGATTCGAGTTGAATCGAGCACTCTCACCCGCCTGGCCAACTCATTCATCGCGGCCTCGAGTCGACAAGCCCCAAAGAGGTCGAGTTTATTCCGTTTGGAGATACCAATCGTCAAGTACCGAGCGCCCAATATGGCTACAGCGTTTTTCGAAGCTAAAGCTAAAGGCATGCCGACCGAGTCGCGGAAGCGGCCGCTTGAGGCCGACCAACAAACTGCGAGCGCGAGCACAAAGCGTCCGAAGTTGATGTCGCCCTACACTATTCTGTTCGCTGAGAGACCTGGGTCCTCACCACACCATTCATTCATGGAGACCACCGATGCTTTGGCCAAGGCGGGCTTGCGCCGAAGCATCGCTCTGGTCCTGCAGAAAGTCGGTTTCGACACTGCTACGCCCGAGGCCTTTGAGAGCTTTGTATTGATGGCAGAAGAATGTATGATGCACCGGGGTACTCTTTTTGGATTGTTCCATGCTTATGCCGTTGTGCAGATTTGACTTCTATGATTGAAGACGTCAAGCACTTCACCAACGCAGCACGCCGCTCCTATCCTATCCCGACCGACTTTGAGCAGACCCTGAAGCGCTTCAACTTGACTACATCGGCGCTAAAGCCACACAAGAAACCACCCATTCCGAGATCCAAGAGGATACCTGTTTACGAGTCGTTACCGGGAGAAGATGGCATCGTTCCTGACTTACCCATCCTTGGCCCAGAGCTGGATGGCGCGAAGGATAAAGCTTCAAAACCGTACATCCCCGCCTCTTTCCCCGCATTCCCGAGTATACACACATACAAGTACACCCCCGAAAGCGTCGACGCCGTTACCGTGTCTGACGACTGGGGAATATTCGATCCAGACGCGCCGTTGGAGCCCATCGAAGGCTCACCGGTACCGCAACCACAGAGACCGCTTGCGGCTGAAGAAATTCCGCATGGCGACCCCAAGAAGATTCGGGAGGCAGCAGCAAAGGAGGCTAAAGCAGGTGAAGAGGCACTTAGAAGACTTATGCGTGCTTCAAAAGTCGCAAAACAGAAAGAGATTCGATCGGCTGCGCAGAGGCAGGCTGCGCGCCGGGACCGCTACAACTTGTGGGAGATGGCAATGAAAGAAATGTTAGAGGATGGAACCAAGGGGAAGCGTCGTGAAGGGGGCATGATCTGTAGCCTTGTCAACGGCGACAAGAATAGGGTCGAGATCGCCGACCACAGCATGATTGTCTCTACGGAGAAAGCATACTGCCGCAAAGAGGTGCCTCGCCCCGGTGTTAGAAAGGCTGTGGGCAACGCAGCTGGGAAGCATTGATTTCTATAACTGGAGGATTTCCGAAATACTGAGTACACTGACTAATATGTACATTTGGGTTAGGCTCGGCTGGTTTGGGACACGGGACATGGGAAACGGATGGTGCTTGGAGTTTGGGATCTAGACGGGCATCACGATACCCTACAAGTGTATTCAACAATATCGAACATGGAATGTTGTGTCTTTTGGGTTCAGCTTATTTATTCTGAACCTGGGACTTTAAGTGAGGACAAGATCGCGATGGCAGGGATGGATGCCTGGATGTTCTGGGGCAGGAAACTGATCAGTGCAGCTTCAGTGCTGCTTCTCTCCAATAGAAGCAGCGCTATCGATAAGGCCTATGCTGACTAAGCATCTGGGCCTGCCAGCTGGTGGGGCTGCCACAGACTGGCGCGGCCTGCCCCACGATCGGGCCCTATTTCCGCCGCACAAAAATTTCGGAAATCCTCAGCTCCCGCAGTGCCCCGATTTCTGTTGACCCCCGACGAAACGCGGCTCCTTTCAGCTCACCATTCTTCCACCGATCTTTGAATCCCAGGAAGGACCGTCAAGATGGCTGAGCAACTCATCCTCAAGGGCACCCTGGAGGGCCACGTAAGTCGCCTTTTTCACTGCCAATTCGTTGCGATTGTAGCTCGATCGACGACGAGGACGACGCCAGCAGCTGTCATCGCAAAGCTCGCGGCGTAGTCTCGTCGATTGCAACGGGCTGGGAGCTTTTGTCTGGAACTCGGAGACTAACAATTGCGCACAGAATGGCTGGGTCACCAGCTTGGCCACGTCGATGGAGAAGTACGAACCGAATCCGTGTGAGAATAGCTTTGACGTCAAGGAACCTGCGCTCACCGTGAAAACCACAGCCCCAACATGCTTCTCTCCGGCAGCCGAGACAAGACCCTGATCATTTGGAACCTTACCCGCGACGAGACCCAGTACGGCTACCCCAAGCGCCGTCTGCACGGCCACTCCCACATCGTCTCCGACTGCGTACGTTCTCGAGCAAAAGAAATCATGAAGAATTCTCTTGGAGGAATGGTGTTGTGCTGATAGGCCGCCAGGTGATCTCGTCGGACGGTGCTTATGCCCTTTCCGCCTCCTGGGACAAGACCCTGCGCCTGTGGGAGCTGTCCACCGGCACCACCACTCGCCGCTTCGTCGGCCACACTGGCGACGTTCTGTCGGTCTCCTTCTCGGCCGACAACCGCCAGATCGTTTCGGGCTCGCGCGACAAGACCATCAAGCTGTGGAATACCCTTGGCGACTGCAAGTACACCATTACCGATAAGGGCCACACTGAGTGGGTTTCCTGCGTCCGCTTCTCGCCCAACCCCCAGAATCCCGTGATTGTCTCTTGTGGCTGGGACAAGCTTGTCAAGGTATGTTTCTGCAAAAACTTGCCATTTTTGCTCGCTATGATGCTTTGCATATCTCTAGTATTTGCTACTTCAGAGCCTGTTTCGCCGCAGGCCGTGAGACCAACATTCACCATGCACTGAGCGACTTGTTTCTACGCTTAATTTTGCAAGCTTTTGAGCCGAGAGATATTCATGGCTAACAAGACGTAGGTCTGGGATCTCCAATCCTGCAAGCTGCAGACCGACCACATCGGCCACACCGGCTACATCAACACCGTCACCATCTCCCCCGACGGTTCTCTGTGCGCCTCAGGTGGCAAGGACGGCACCACCATGCTCTGGGATCTTAATGAGAGCAAGCACCTCTACTCGCTCAACGCCAACGACGAGATCCACGCTCTCGTCTTCTCTCCCAACCGCTACTGGCTGTGCGCTGCCACTGCCAGCAGCATCATCATCTTTGACCTCGAGAAGAAGAGCAAGGTCGACGAGCTTAAGCCCGAGTTCCAGAATGTCGGCAAGAAGAGCCGCGAGCCCGAGTGCGTCTCCCTTGCGTGGAGCGCCGATGGCCAGACCCTCTTCGCCGGCTACACGGACGGCATCATCCGCGCCTGGGGCGTCATGTCGAGGGCGTAAGGAACGGGTGCGCGTTTGTGGGCGTCGGCGTCGGGGCCGGGGGAGAGAAGGAGTGTGGGGAGGATGGGGTTTGCATCGTCGTTTTCGCTGCGGGGAGGGGCTTTCGAGGGAATCCATGGTGGGGGCGTACTTCGGACTTCTTGTCTCGCGTTTGGTCTCTTTCATGGAATGGAAATGAAAGGGGGGCTGGGAAAAATGCATCATGTTGTCATGGCACCCTTGCAGCGGACGTCATCTCGAGATGGCAGATCGGACAAATGAGCAACCCCATGAACCAACGAGGTGTGTTCCTGCTTGTGATGTGATGATGTTTTTGTTATTTGAAAAGCGAGGTAAGTGTGTGTCAGTAGAGAAGTGTGTACTGTGCTGCCCGTATGACTTTGAGAACACGGTACTCCAGAAGGAGATGGACCCTAAGTAGCCATAAAGCTCAAGTTCAACCAGAGCCAATGACCCGGCATTCGTCTTGAGGAACGTGTAAGCCTCTGACATAGCCGGGAGGTAAGCAGTAAGATGAAGAGAATTGTCGGCGGCTTGAAGGCTTTCCAAGCTTCAAAGGGTTGAGAGCTTGTTTAAATGCAGTCAGGTTCAACGCCGTTGAACTTACAGCAAGTCTCATTCATGCCTTATTCATCTGGTGAATTTAAACTTGTGCCTGACGGATAGGGTAAACCCATGGAGGTTGTAAAAATTCCAGCTCGGTTTGATAAACGTTGACTTAGTGAGGGCCATGTAGCTGTTGCGTTACCGTCGCATAAATAATGTCTTGGTTCCACAAGGTAGTGATTGATGTTTCAAGAGTAGCTAGGTAGGAATGGAAGGGTTCCAGACATGAACCGACTTTCGCGATTTCATTGGATACTTGTTGCGAGAGTGAAGTTGAGAGGGCATTAAGCGTGAGGTGCTTAGGCTCGATGGTAAACGGTTGAAGAGGATGGAGTTGGCGTCTTTTGCAGAACGCTAACCTATAGCTAAAGGGAACGTGTCTGACAACCTTACGGTACTTGTGGTAATAGGAGGCACAAAACGCACTTAACAATGGTGCTGCGAATGCTATGTTTCGTTCAGGTTTAAAAGTGAGATCAACTGTTTGAGGAAGCCTTTTGAGATAATCTCTCCAAAAAACAGAAAGCAGCCATGTCACCTACCGTGGTGAAGGTCCTCGTACTTGATGTGATATGGCAGGAGCCAGAGCATGTCTTAATGCAAACCAATGGTTTGGTTAAAAATCTCTTCCTGACATCCAGGCAGTCAATCCACCTTTTGTGTCCACTTCAACGCAGTAATTCTCAATAAGATGGAGCACAGACAGATGAAAACAGATCGGGGTATATTTGCTATCAAGAGAATGAAACTCTATCGTCTACAGAAACGTTGCATGGATGTGATGTCTAACACGAGTTTTCAGAACTCCCAACGCCACAGCTACACCATGCAGCTTGCGTGCATCATTACTGGCATTCCAACATCCAGAGCCCACCACCTAAAAACTCATGATCTTAAACAGCTTGGGCATCACTCTTCCCTCCATTCTCCTTCTCTCTCGTACTAGTAGCGCCCGAATTACCCGACTTCCCACCCTCCTCCAACACCTCGTCCTCCTGGTCGCAATCATCCGCAGCAACGACACCCCTCGAGAAATCGCCGGGCTTCGAGCTCTTGTCGGGCACCCAGAACAGCTTATCGAACCTGAACAGAGCGTACATATATACAACGGGCAGCTCCAGCGCAAAGCTGAAGCAGTAGAAAGCGGCCTTGTGATGCCACCAAGCAGGGTTGAAAGCCGGGCGAGTAGCAAAGTTGACGCCAACGCGGAATCCAGCGCCGATAGTAAGTAAGACAGAGGCAACGAAGAGCAAGGTAATTTTGGTGCGAATACGGCCGGCAACGTCGGGTGTACCAAAGTCCTCGCGCTCGCCGAGGTCGATATTCTTTTTTGCGATCGTCTTGAGTAAGAGGAGAATCGGGATGACCAGCATAGGAAGAAATGCAATAACGCTCATGTAGACGCCGGCAAACAGCAGAACCTTTCTCTCCTTCTGGCGCGTCTCCATGTTGAGCGTAAACATGCTATGCACGCTGCAGGTAACCACCATAACGAGCATAGCGATGATAGACACGACCAGCGCGCGCAACGCCACCCACACAGGGCGACTCCACCCCACCTTTGGCGCCTCTCCTCTGACAATTCTGACTAGCAAAAATACATTCACAATAAACAGCACCAGCACACCCGCATTGGTGAACACCTGCGCAGCAATGGCGAGATCGATATTCGTCGGGTTGCATGCCCAGGCGATGCGCATGACCAGGCCCATGATGCGGGCCATGCAGAATCCGAAGACTAGAACGGAGAAGATGAAGAAGTGGCCGCGGCGGCGGTTCACTTGGAAGACGGTCATGTGGGTGGCGGCGCCGGCGAAGAAGAGGGCGAGGAGCACGGCCGAGGTGGGCACGTCGACTTTTTTCGTGGGGATGCCACCTAGTTGGGCGCCGGAGGGCGGGTAGGGGCCGCCTCGGGGGAGGAGGGGCTGGAATTGGTATTAGTGAGTGTTGGTTTGAGGGTTGTCTGTTGGTAGGGCGATACTTACCATGAGCCCTTGGGTGATGGAGGCCATTGGATTGTGTGTATAGGTAAGAGACGGAGTCTAGGATGGTTGATTTGGCGGTTTAGGGGCGTTGCAGTCGAGGGTTTGATGGAACAAGAGTTTCTCAGATAAGAAGCACCTTTGATCATCAACCAGGCGCAGCAACTGCCAACTGTCCTGGCTCTAGAGAATTTGATATCAACTTATCGCATTCGTAAACAGCAGCAGAAAACGAACCAGATGCAGCTGGGTAAGCTACTTGTGTGCACGATTCGATCAACAAAGAAATGGATCGCGTCACACAGCTGATGGCAACGGCGGCGCCTCAAGAAAATCTCCAGGGTGTTATATCCGACCCGAGGACTGCCTTGACTGTTGAGCAACCGGTAATACAAGGTCAAGTTTGGTCGGGCAAGGTGAACATAACAGCATGCGATTAACTGACGCGGCGGACGGCGTCCCCTTTTCATACCATCTGAGTATTTCCTTTAATCCTTTTCCCGCTTTCCGCAACGCTAGCGCCAGACACGAATATTACCCCATGTTGAAGAAGACCTTAGACTCATTCCTAACAAAATCGGGACCAAGCCGCGCCGACGGAACCTGAGCCTGGTTGACAGTGACCGATGAACAAGGCTGGAAACCCAAAGCGAATCTGCTCTTCCCTCCATCTATGTGGACCCCCTCCCCTCCCCTCCCATCTCCAGGTTTTGCTTTGTTTTGGGCCCTCCTTCATCCAACAAATTCACAGAATCCTGCAGACGTGCCAGTTCCATCGGCTGGGTTATCTCCGACGCCAGTCTCGGAGTGGCCTCATTTTAGGGGTTTGGGTTGGTGCATCGGTGATTGTAAGTTCCGATGCCGCGCTCAGCTGCTGTGGAAACCCCTTGCTCTGGGTGGGGCTGCTCTCGGACAAGATGATGCCAAGAATGCCGGGCGGTGGGTTAAGCTTACCCAGGCCGCGGTTGATCGTAGGTTCGCGAGGGCTCGGGGATTGACATCTCCTGGCCGATATGTCCGAAGGTCTTGGACCAGAAGGTAAGATGGCTGGGCGTAGCCCGGGGGCTTTGAGGGTTGCATAGGTTGTTGGTGTTGACACCACCATCACCCTGACATGTTAAGGCTACGCGGTCAAAGGTAAACTACCTAGCCCGCAATGAGCTTTGGACTGAGGTAAGCTCTCTACGCACTTGGATATGAAAGAGTCCCTATGTTCTCGGTGTAGTACCATCGACCATCCATCCATCCATTTCCATTCCATATTCCATTTCTTTCAATTCCGTTACCAGTCATTCCTAGATTATTCCGTTTCCTTGAGATCATTATGATCCCACGATCCTTCCCTTCGTGAGTGAAGTTAAAATTATATCATCCTTCCATTTAACCCGGATAACAAATCCGAGAAAACTCTTTCATGCCTTATCGCAAGCCTCACATAAAAGATGTCTCATGCGGATATAGGACAAGGTACTAGCCTTAAGCCAGAGGCCAGCCAGTACCATCATGATCATTATGGTGACCATGACCACGATCACAGACAGGACCACTCTCACTTGGGGCATAACCCTGACCTTGATGATGATCCGGATGAGGATGCTCCCTATGGTGACCGTCCTGAGCCTGGCCCTGCATCGCATTGGCGTTGGCATTGCCACCGCGTTGAGCCTGGTCCCGAACATATGCTCTAGCGCCCTCTTGCAGACGAATAGGATTAAACACGACGCCAGCTACAGGGCTCAACGTGTGCATGCGACCCTCTTGGGCATGAATGGTCTCTGGGCTGGTAGGGTGCGAGTTGTTTTTGGGACCAACGGAACCAGGGTCGCGAACAGCGCCATGAGAGAAAGAGACATGAACCGAACCAAGACCAACAGGGCCGGGACCATGACTGGGAGCTGGACGACGAGTCGGAAGACGTTGAGAAGGGCTATGGTTCTGTCCAGGACCGCCATTGTAAGAAGCCTGACGAGGCACAGGACCCTGAGAACGGTGATTGCCTTGATAGCCAGGACCCGAAGAAGCAAGAGGGCCAGGACGAGGACCAGCTGGACGAGAAGGGCCGGGACCAGGCGTCGGAACCGGACAGACAACAGGATACCCGGCGCCAGAGCTATGGTGAGGAGGGCCGGGTCGAGGACCAGCGGGGGGTGGGCCGCGAGACTGAGGCACGTAACCATTCAAAGCTGAGCCAGGACCATGGGGAGCTGAACCAGGACGATTACTTTGAGCATTCGCGTGCTGCGCTCTTTCAACCGCCTGTTGTATACCCGGGGGATCACGACTCCTCAGATTATCCATCTCATGTTCCTCATAGCCAATGCCAACTCTAAACCCGGCCCTGGCCAAAGCAAGAGACTTCTCTGCAATCCGTTTATGCTTATCTCGCTCCTCGCGACATCCAAATCCATCGGTCGTAGGCGTGCCATTCCTTAAGCCCGTGGTACGCGTGCTCTCGGACAACGGAGGAGGGGACTCAGCGGCGGGGACGCCCCAGAGGCCGAGACGCTTGAGTTTGCGACGACGACGGAGGTAGATTGTAAGAGCGATGACCCCGATACAGAGGAGAGTGGCGACGATGCCGACGCCAAGGCCGATGCCGACACCTGTGGTGAGGGTATTGGGGGTTGATGTGGGACGCGCAAGTTCCGTGAAGGTTGACGTCTCAGCAGGAATTTCAGACGTGTGAGAAGCTGTGTCAGACTCTGCTGGGTTAGGGATCAGAGTCGTGATCGGGGGAACCGGAACGAAACTGGTACTGCCATGGTCCTCAGGGTTAGTGTCAGTTGGCTTGGCCGGAAGAGCCTCGGTCGAAGGAGAGGGTGCCAGATGAGAAGATTCATTGGGAGGGACAGGCTTGGACAGCGTAGGTGCCGGGACAGACACAGTCGAAGAGCCAACCAGGGGCACAGGGGCAGCCGTCGACACAGGAGGTTCGTTGGGTCCAACGGTGTGTATCGGATGATCAGTGTGCGCTGGCTGAGTGGTCGCCATAGGTGGCACCGGCTGAGGGGGCGGGGGAGGGACCTCGCTGTGATCGCCGTCGCTGTCACTAGATTTGAGTAACTCCTTTGCCGTGGCGTAGACGGTGAGGTTATCTGCCAGACGAGTCAGCACCAATTCATTGGTCTCACTCTTGGAGAACTAAGATAAACTCACCCGAAAGAGCGAAGTGACCATTAGTCAAGAGACAGTTGCTGCTGGGCTTGAACCCATCACAAAACCAATGAGTCCTGCTAGGACCCTGGCCACAGAGATGAGCCATAATGAAATGAGACTTCTCATTGTCGGCCAAACCAGTACAGAAGCCAGGGCAGCCTGGATTCTTCCACTCGGGATCGGTACAGGCTCCGCGGTAGAAGCTGTTCTTGCCGTTGTCGTTACCATTACCGTTATCGATGTTGCTCTTGGAAGTGCCGAGGCCGCCCTTGACCATGCAGAGAGAGTTGTTCAGACAATGATGACCATAGGCACAGCACAAACCGGTCGGATTACCGAAGCCATCGAGGCAGGGCCGAGCAACGGGGGCAGGCTCGCCATTGGGCCAGAAGCAGGTCACATTGCCGCCAGTGATCGACGCGGTGGGGACGAAACGAGGGTGAACCTGCTCCAGGGACGAAGGAGCCGGCTCGGTAGGGCCCCCAAAGCTGCCCAACGCAACGGCCAGGAGCGTGATTAGGCCAAGAAAGGTGTTGAACTTAGCTGCCATCATTGAAATAGTCTCGAGAGAACAACTAGCGACTTGACGTGTATCAGCAAGACCCTTGATGGACTGGCCGGGTCGACTCTCCTCGAGCTGGTCGGTCGAGGAGAGTCCTTAGGCCTGCGCAGCAAAGACTTGACTCGAGGAATGAATTCTGATATTAGCTGATATTTCTCCAGAAAGGAGATTATATAAGAGGCTATCTTCAAGTCCCGCGGCTACCGGAAAGCGCCTCGGGGACTGATTATGCTGGGCTCAGGTCGGGTTGCGAAATTAACTGTGTGACTTGTGTTCCCTAGCCTTGAGATATGCAGCTGCAGAGGGGGGAAAGAAAGGGGAACAATTTGAATTCCCTCTTTGCAAAATGAAAACAAATATATTATGTAAATTTTCCCGCACAGGGCGCATCGCAGCCTTGAGATGAGGGCAGAGGCGAGGGTTATGCCCTCGCCAGACCTGCGTGTTGACAAGGGTGACAGGCGGCCTGCGCTTTTCAGGGCCCCGCTTGGGATGGTGTTGTGTGTGATAGTGACATTTTGGATAGAGCAAAGAGCCTGAAAGAGCTTGTGATTGCCGCAGAACACAATGGCTGTGAAGATATGCACTGCTGTCATTGAGAGTGACACACACCAGTTGGCAAGGTGCATGATAGTTACACCCACTTACATGTAACATAATACATGTAACTTACAAAGTCATAGACAACCTTAACCCTGACAATGTATCGATTGACGCCAAGCGCCAAGGCCAGCAGACCAGCGCGGAATTTGCCGGCCGAGATTTTTGCTGCCCTGACCTCGAGCGACTCCATCACCATTGCTGCCGTTGCTGCTGCTGCGAAACGCCCGCCACATCGCTCGTAAATGCCATTCCAGCTGCCGCCATGAGCCTAACATTACCGTCGCGGGTGCTTCTCCAGGGTGGTAAGCCTTGACTCTCTTCCATCCTCACAGACAACGGCTAACGTCTCCCCCAGCTAAGCCCTTCACATCAACCGCCACCCCGACGACGACCCTCCTCCTTCCGATCCGCACTCTCCACGCAACCCCAGCAAATCACTGGTTCTGGCGGAAGAAGAAGACCGAATCGACCACTCCGCTCGAAGAAAAACTCGCCGGCCCGTCCGACCTCCGTAAGAAGATCATCTCCAAGCTGACCCAGCGCGTCGAAGGGCCTGCCATCTTCGAAGATGAAGTCCCCAAGCCCACGTCTCCCGCCGCCCTGCCCCCTGGCGCTCCCGGCGCTCCCGAAGCCCCCTCCACATCACGCACCAAAGCCGGCGCCTCTTTAGTCCGCGAGCACCTCGCTCGCGCAGTCGACCCAAACCCCCGGGCGCGCGCTCGCTGGGAGAGGAAGATGCTCATCCGGGCCGTCCACCGCGGTCTGAACCCGTACAGCGCAGAATCCCGCGAAGCACGGATCATGCGCACAGAGAGACAACACACTTCCCGGTCGCCCTGGCTGCCGACATCCGTCAAGAAGCTTGTGAAATTAGCGCACCAAATCACTGGCAAGACGGTGCAGGAAGCGATCGTGCAGATGCGCTTCAGCCCGAAGCGCATGGCGCAGGAGGTCAAGATCCAGCTGGAGCAGGCACGGAACGAGGCGATTGCACAGCACGGTATGGGGCTGGGCGAGGCAAGGAGGGCAGCGGCCATCGCGAGAGGCGAGCAAATACCTGAGCCCAAAGTCATTGAGATCCAGACGAAGGACGGGAAGTGGATTAAGGTGGATGATCCGACGCGGTTGTATGTGGCAGAAGCCTTTGTCAACCGCGGTCCGTGGCGTGCCCTGGAGCCCGAGTATCGTGCTCGCGGTCGGATGAACATTCTGCGCAGGCCGCAAGCTCGTACGTACACTGTACTTCCCGGTTTTGTTTTGTTGAGTTGCTGACTTGGACAGGCATTACCATCGTCCTTAAGGAGGAAAAGACTCGCATCCGCGAGTACCAGGAGCGTCTGGCAAAGGAGCGGCGCCAGGGCCCCTGGATCCCTCTGCCCGACCGCCCCATCTCTGCCCAACATCAGCACTACTGCTGGTAGACGGCGTGCCGTCAGTGTCAAGAGAGTTGGCGTTGCTTCGGAGCCTTGTATTTATGTATCTATCACCGGGCTGTTTGGGCAGGGAGATACTGCCTGTTGCCCAGTCTTCATCCCCTGTACCACTAGCGATATATGAGTCATGGTTGGTCAATTTACATCGGGTCACGGCCTTACACGGAGAAGCAGGGTAGCATCATGATATGATGAAGCAAAGCCTATTAACCAGCCATGCTAGCTAGCTGTTAGACATGAAAACCTACCGATGCCCGTTCCCTGCCGGTAATGCCAACTAAAATGAACGAGCAACCATATCACAGCTCGAAGAAATGCAACCATCTCAAGCAACCTGACCCCAGCCGAATCATAAATCAGGGTATCAAAACAAACCAGCCCGGCCGTCTGAACTTCCTTGTCACATCCCATCCGGGCACAAATTGTACGTCCATCACATCCGTTTTCATTTCCACACCAGCAACGCTGAGACTCCCTAAACCATCTCACGAGGCTTCTCGCGCGGCAGCATATCCTCGTAGCGGCGGCTGTTGGCCTCGAGCTCATTGCCGATGTCGTATTCCGAGTTGCGGATGTTATATGTTTGCTGATGCTCCGCATTGGGCATCGGGCCTGAGATCTTGTAGCGGAGGTTAGTTGCAGGTTCCTCGGGCGCACGGCGGCTGCGGAAGTAGAAGAAGCCAGCCAAGCCCAGGAAGGCCAGGAAAGCAGCGCAAGCGCCGACGCCAATGCCAACCTTAGCGGCACGAGTGAGACCGGCGGTGCTGGAAGATTTATTGTCATCGTCATCTGGGGTTTCCGAGCCATCGGCTGTGGCAGTGGGGACAGCGTTCGAGGTTGTTTCAGTCGCCTTCTGGGTAGCAACGGCCACATTCACAGAGGTCGAAGTCACAAACTGCTTGGCATTAGCTTCAGCATGATCTCATAGGGCGATATCTCTTGAAATACTAACCGTCGTGCTGGAAGCGTTCGATGTGGCCTGCTCAGAAGTCGAGGTCAACTCAGCAGCTTCAGTAGGCGTGGGCTCAGGAGTGGGTTCAACCGCTTCAGTCGCCTCAGTTGTGGTAGGAGCAGGGGAGGGAGCCGCAGTGAAGGCTATCGTTGAGTTAGCAAGCGATTTACACTACGATTCAATCAATCCAGGGACATACCGGCGCAGAAGTTATTGGCAGCGGCCACTACGTTAGGGCCGTAACCTGGGGGGCAGACGCCGCTGGCACAAGAGTCAATGGCATTGTGGAAGTCGACATTGCTGCAAAGGCAAGCAGTGTCGTCGGCTGAGGTGCAGCCAAAATGACCCCACTGGGCCACGGCGTTCTGGTAGCACTCCCTCTGTGATGTGTCAGTAATGTTTGTGAATTACCATACCTGGAAAACTTACACCGCAGGGGTCAAGGGTGTCAATAGACTGGGCGCTGACATAAGCTGCCAGCGCCAGAAACGGCAGAGAGCGAATGGCCACCATCTTGGCAGATGCAAAGATGAGAACACTTGTTGTCCGACAAGATGAGAATTGAAAACAGTTCGGAAACTTGGTGAGGCGAATGCGCGGTCAAGCCGAGGTGCGCACCGAACTCTTAGAGACGAACCGAGCGATCTCGATCAGGGTGTTAGTTGTGAGTCGCACAGACGATTGCTGAGGCGAGATGAATGAGCCCGAACCGCAAAAAGGTCGGTCTCGAAATTGAAGGTTGCCGTTCAATTTAAAGTGTGTTGCGAACTTGGTCGCTGGCAGGAAACGAAACAGCGCGCAAGGGCGGAGGGTAAGTGGTGAGCGGTAAAATGAAGGTCCAAGGCGCAAGGAAACGAGAGTCGAGGGGATCGAAGCCCACAAAACGAATGAATTCGAAAAATCAAGGCAGCAACTCGAAAGGAATGTTAGGGAAGGAATGACGATGGCAGTGCCGACTGCGATAAAGATGCCAGCGCCGGGCGAGGGCAGCAGCAGTAAGGAGGGCCGCGAGGCTGCCCGATCGGTGGGTGTGAGCAGTGTTTAAACTGGCTTTGGAAGGAGCGATGAGCCCCTGGCGCAGGCAAGCCAAGCCCTGGCGGGCACAGCGGGGGACGGCCTGTTCAACGCTGAAGCCGCCCAGTTCCTGGCATCCTATTTCCCCACCTTCCTCCCTTGATCAAATCCATCCGCGGGGAAGGCCTCACTGACCCCTGCCAAGGCCCGGAAGACCACCCATACCAGGCCGTCAACGACCCATTGTTGCGACCACAAGCACCATAACATCGCGGTGCCGTTGAAGTCAAGGTGATGTCGCGTGAGCTAAGATTCAATCTTTCACGGAAGATAGGATTCCCAGTGCAGTTGCTGAACCGTCTTTCCGCAGAAACTTTACTCGACCTACTTGCGACACAGTATCCGCTGCCCTGCTGATCGTCCCAAGATACAAAGACGAGATGACGCATTAATTTATCCGATCCAAGTTGAGTCTGTTATCCCGCAACCCTGAGTGACTCTAGAAACATGATCGGATGTAATGCTTGAAGGGTGTTAGGTCCTGAAAACTGAAGATCAATTATGCTTCAAAAAGCATACATGTTAACAAACATTTTGACGTCGAGATGTTTTTGAAGCCTTCCATCTCCGGGGCTGGCTTCGATCACACGAGCCACGAACCACTGCCATTTCCCGTGACAAGGGGCTTGACGCTGCAGGACCCATCAAGAACTGGCATGCAGATCTGCATCTCCGCACCACTGTGATGGCGGCTGACCGCTCAATATATTTTTGACCACCGGTACGAACCGCAGCGTAATCTGACAGCGTTTTGGGTCCCCAAATGCGGACGGAGATGTCATTACCCATTGTCTTCGTGTTGGTTTGCGTATCCATGTCAGTGAAAGCATTGCTGGAACACGACGTTGAACCCTTGACTTTCGAGAACTGACCCGCTCTTGGCAATATCGAACCCACTTGGCCCCGCAGTTTGGCGGTTTCAGATTTTAGTGCTGCCAGTGGGGCCGGTTTCGGTTGGGTCTTGGCGCTACTGACCAATCAAGGCGTCTCTTGATTTTGTGACACCGGCAGCTTGGTTTGTGACAGTCCTCTTTTCAAGCTGGCGGAAAGTTACGTAAGTTACCTACTACCCGCCAACTTACGAGCCGTTGCAGACCACTATTGCCACAACATTAACCTGATCAAATGGGACAGATATGGCTATTCTTATATCGAATTATATCTCTTGATGGATTTTTTCTGCCTTTTTGAAGCGCATCTTCATTGTGCAATAAGCTGTTAAATGTGGAAAGTACTTCTGATTGGCAGAAGGGGAGAAAAGGATTTTATCACAGTTAAAGGGATGCGCCGGTAGTAATTCTAACCAGTAGATGTTGGCTCGTTTTTTAAAGAGGTCTTGATCAGAGATCCATTGGAGAGATAGTTCCGTCTGTCCTCTCCAGAAATTCAGGCAGAAACCGCGGCCTCAAGATCCTGGCACGAATGCAAGCTCATCTACGAAGTATCCTCTGAATCTAGCAGGAACCGAGCAAGAGAGCATCTTCACTCAGCTCCTCCACAAACGTTGCTAAAGCAATCCCACCGGGCTGACTCGCTAAGATTCATGATGACAAAAAGTCGAAACAAAACGGTTGCCCCCACGCGGGATTGAACCGCGGACCTCATCATGTCGCTAGGCGATACGAGTGATGCGCTCTACCACTGAGCTATACGGGCCTTCTGTGGAGAGAAGGTACTAACAGAGGTTTCTGAACTAGCAAAAGCGAACAGGCTCTGCTCAACTAGACGTTAAAGTTGGAGAGAGCTGTTCGATATAGAGATCCGAACAGTAAGGCCTTTTGTTCAAACAGCTTTTATCTGAGTGAGGACAACTAGAATTTCCAGATTCTTGTGTCTTGAAGTTTGCAATCTCCGAAGCCGTCTGCTGACATGAAATCACTGTATATAGGCTCGGCATGAGCAGTGCCACCAGGTTGGAGTCATGGATCTATCCAAAAATCCAGCTATTGTTTGGGCGATTCGATGCGTTCAGGATTGTCTATCTTTCTAGCTGTTGTCAATGTCAAATCAGGTGTCTCCTACCTACCCTTTACGCAGCACTGCCCCAAGGAATGGACCACATTATGGTCTGTCTTCTGATCTAAAGAATGAAGAACTACAAACTCATCTGTCGTAGTGTATCTTCTACCGTAGTTTCTGCTATGAGCGAACACAACAATGATAAGCCTTTCAAGATTGTTACGGATTCTGAAGCATCATCTAAGTCGTTTCGAAGGATAGCTTGGTCACCTAACCTACACATTAGGCAGTACTCAGACATGGTCAACCCAATGGTCACTGTTCTTGAGAAACACGTGTAGTAGCTCCGCAAATAATTCTGTTCAGAAACCAGTGTGATATTAACTTGGTGCCAACTTTGCATTCTGTGTCGACAGTAGTTAAACCAGGAAGTGCATTGACAAGTGTAGAAATTCAGAGATGAGAAAAAAAATGAAGTCACCCAAAATAACCGAGGGACTGCCACGCCCTTCCCCGCCATTGAACGCTGATACTCCCCCACACCCCATTCGATGCAGATATCAGGATGCTGCAGCCAGCTAAGCTAGGTATGTCACATGTTCCTCGGTCGTTGCAACTGTGAACTCAACAGGTGATCTATAAGTGTCACAGGGCTGTTCCCTTAGAACCTTAGCACCTTGCGGCCACATGGTTTGGCCACAAAAGGTATCTCAGGTAAAAAGTCTGTGGTGTCAACAGGAACTCCCGAACCTGTAACCTAGGCGGTTCCGTTGGTTCTTCAAAAGGGCTTCAACTACTTCAACGACATGGTCGATAACCGGTATCCGGACTCACATTTTAGCCCAAATGGTGAGTTTACCCAAGCAACATTCGTGGAATCCAGAACGATATGATTCTGTACCAAAGCAGCATTGCCTCGCTGTATTGTCGCGAAAAGAAAATTCGCCAGTGCTTCATAGCACGATAATTTTGACACAAGCATTCGAACTGTCAGGCAAAATAAGTTGATTGAGAAGCGGCTGAAATATCATCATGGTCACGCTCGTCATGAGCGAAGGAATTCTCGTCAATGCCAGATAAAGAATTTAAACCTCCCCCTTCTTTCCTCAATCATTAGGTAGATCATCCTCCTCATGAAATCGAGTCATTCCACTCAGGGTATCCTCCAGACAAAATAGAACCATCATTATCGCACAACATCACATCATATCATCTCCGACGCCGGTCCATCTCTGAACTCCAAGCCATGTTCATGATCGGAAAGCCATCATCATGAGTCGTGACAAATTGATTGCTTTTTGAAGCAGATGGCATTTAGCAGCAGCGCTTATACCACGAGCAAGTGAAGCCGCAGCAGCCGCGGGAGAAGCCACAGTAGAGATCGCCGCCGCGAAGAGTGAGCTCGGGGTCCTCGGTGCTCATGGGGTTGAGGGGCTTCTGTATGGTGTTAGTGTTCCATATCAGTCTGGGTCGTATCTTATCGGCTGCCATCCTTCAGATATCAATCCGTATTGTGCTGCCTTAGTTGATCCTAGCAACTTGACAAAACGCACTGGGGGAGCTGCAGAGTAGAAGAAGCACTCACCGGCTGAGAAGTAACAACCTGCGCATTCATCGCGCCGGCGCCGGTCTGCTCACTGTGCCCGTCAGCCAGAGGGAGAGGAGCGGGGTTAGACGCGGCGGCTTTCATCGGGGTTTGGCGGACGGGCTCCTGGGTGATCTGGGTCATTTTGGCTTTGATTTACTATTTTAAAGCTTTAATTCTGATTTCGAAGGTTGGAAAGATATTCGCGATGTTGAATGAAGGCAATGAACAACAACAAAAGTTGGGAGAGTTGGAGAGTGTGAGAGGTGAGGTGAGATGTGAGCCTTAAGTTTTCGCGTGGCTGGAGTCACCTAGCGGTCTTCAGCCCAGCCTCACCACGAGTGAAGCGCGTGTGGGGATTGGGGAGTGCCACGAGATCGACAGGGGGCCTTGTGCTGGGGAGGGAACCCCGGTTGATGCTGCCAAGAACCCTTCTGTGCCACAATGCGATCGTCAGAATCGATGTGCCGCGAGGCGGTGCAGCGTGCTGGGCCGCGAGAAGATGAGACGATGTTTTGGTCCGGTCTGGGACCGTCTGGCTGGCACACCGCCGGGTTGTGTGGAGTCGGTTCAGCCACGGTAGGAGGGCCCGTCCGGGTCCCAGGCCAAGGGCGTCGCGCTGGTGACTGTTGTTGGATGGCTTTGTAACCGTATCATGCATTGTATGTTGAATCTCCTATGTTACGTTCGCGTTCTGTGTATCATTGTACAAGACCTTTATCATACATGCTTCTCTGTTTTTGTCGTCCTATCCGTAGATGCCAGTCGCCAGTCTATCTGATGACCTGACTGAGCAACGAAGAAACCTCCCAAAGCCAGCCAGCGCCGACCAACCCCTTATCCAGATCATCCATCCAACTCTTTGCCTACTTATTATTACCGCTGCCACGTCCCCCATTCTCCCTCTCCTTCAACTTCCTCTCCATCGCAAGCGCAAACACCTTCTGCCACACCTCAAGCCAGCGCTCCTGCTGCGCAGTTGGCAGCTTACCGGGAGTGCGGAAGTTGCGCGTCAGGATCTCCTTCAGCCGGGCGCGCAAGCACTTGACCGCAAGCATAGTCTTCCAGTCGGGCAGCGCGAATCGTGCGCGGTTGCCGTCCAGCACGAAGACGCCTGAGAACATGTCTGCGCGGACGTCGCCGCAGAGCAGTACGATCGCGAACGGGTCGACGGCAGTCGTCTCGTGGGCGCGCGCGTCGTAGGCTCTGATGAGAGTTTGTCAGCGAATGTCTTTTCGGAGTAAATTAACAAGAAGATGACTTACGATTTGGACTGCATAATGTTGTAATAGCTCAACCACCGCAAGAGAGGAGCCTCACCACGCTTGCTCGGATGGTTGACGCTGGTCGGGTGAATGGTAATTGGCTTGTTATTACCGACATTGCGCAAGCCCTTGCTGTTACCATCGCGCACTAGAAGCTTGGGGTAAAAACTCCAAGCAATTACCGACTGCGCAACAACTTCGTTGTCGCTGTTGACGTCGACCCGCTTGGGCACCTCATACCATTGGTTACGCCGTCTACCGCTGAAGCGTAGCCTGTTAAGCGCCTGACGTTCTTCAGACGTGAGCTGCAGGAAGCCAGAGTCGGCGACAGCGACGAGCAGCTGGCCCTTGAGGTCCTCAATGCTAGCCAGTGCCTGTTCTGAAAGGAAGTTCTTACGGCAGAACTGGTACTCGGATGCACCGGGAGTCTGGCAGACACGCTTCCATGCCGTGTATGCGTTGTACGCTGTTAAAAGGTCGGAGTCACCCCTCCGAAACTGCATCCGGGCATTATCTGCCTGGGCACGCTGCCCGAAGGGGGCCTGGAACGGAGACTTGGATGATAGGATGGCAGCTACGGTGATGGCCATGTCGAGACACTTGAAGACCGCACCGAGCAAGATGAGCTTGCCTAAGAAGACGTCCAGTGGCAGACGAGCCAACTGGATACCAAGCGGCGTCAGCTCCTCTGTGTTGGCCGTCAGAGCCCTGACATCCACAAGTGCGTCGATAGCCCGACGGATGTTCTTGGCCGATGGCGGATCTAATGCCTGACTGAGGGTCTCCTCGATGCCGCCAAGATTGCACATCTTGACCCGGATAGCCAGGTCCTGGAGTGACAGTCGGAGCATCTCCGGAGTCTGCTGGTCGTTCATGAGGTGCTTATACCGGTATCTGGTGAAGAGATGGAAGCAGACACCTTCTTGGACACGGCCGGCACGGCCGCGACGCTGCTTGGCATTGGCGCGGGAAATGAAGGCATCAAGAAGCCTGGAAAGCTGTCGTCGATCGTCGAAACGCATTTCGCGATGCTTGCCCGTGTCGATCACACAGGTGACATCAGGGATTGTGATACCAGTCTCTGCAATGTTGGTGGCCAGGACAATCTTGCGCTGACCTCTCGGCAGAACCTGGAAGGCCTTCTCCTGATCCTCCGTGGCGATGGTTGAGTGCAGTGGGATAACAACCCACTCGTCGTCAGGCATGTTATCCTCGAGTCTGATGTCGCCATGCATCCTTTCATGGCGTCGTCTGGCCTCATCCTTGTGCGTCTTGAAGACAACCAGCCTGTCGTGTAGTTCTCGAATTTCTGCAATACCTGGCAAGAACACGAGTATCGAGTTGCTGAACATTTTGTATGGCGAGTCATCTTCGGAGATCTTATCGATTAATTGGATGATCAAATCGTATGGGATCTGGTACTCGTCCAATTGGGCTAAGGTGTTACGAGTCCTGGCTGAGTAACCTGCCTGGCTGAGCTCCTGGAGCAGCTCGGGCTTGGCCGACTCATCGACCTCGGGCTCTGCATCGTCGTCAATCTCCGTGATCCCGCCCAAGTTCTGCTCGTCCACAGTGTATCCAGTGTACTCGACCGCATCTTCCAGGTAGAGATCCTTGACAGGAAACGTCCGGCCCGGAACGCTCAGAACGGGAGCGCCACCGAAATAGTTGGAGAATTTCTCCGCGTCAACCGTAGCCGACATTAGGATGACCTTGAGGTCTTTTCTGCGGGCCAGTAGCTTCTTGAGCACAACGAGAAGGAAGTCACTGTCGATAGTGCGTTCGTGGACCTCGTCCAGCACCAGGTGAGTGATTTCCTGGAGGTCATTAGAGCCTTCCAGCATCCGCATGACGATACCAGTCGTGGCATAGACGAGTCGTGTCTCCCTGGCCACCTTTGCTTCGAGACGGATCGAGTAGCCAACGAGCGATCGATTTGTGCCGAGATCGTGTTTGTCTTCGCCCAGCTCTTCGCTGACACGACGCGCCAGCGAGATGGCCGAGATACGACGGGGTTCTGTGCAGTAAATCTTGCAAGGTTTTCCTTGAAGCAAGCAATGCTCCAGAAGGAACGCCGGTACCTGGGTACTCTTACCGCTGTCGAAGGTCAGTTGAAGCCTTATAGGAAGGATGGAGATGTGCGTACCAGCCCGTCTCACCGCAGATGATAACCACTTGCTCCCTTTCGACAATGTTAACGACATCTTGCTTGGCTTTCCACATGGGAAGCTCCTTGCGGTATTCCTGCATAATCTAGTCAGCCTATCCAAGACCTGTGCCCAAACTGGATTGCTGCTTACCAGCATCTTTTGGAACTTCGGCGTCTGGCTCTTCTGCAGCCAAATGTTTTGATAGTATTCAGGCTCGACCGCCTGGCGTCTGGCACGGTCTTGATCCGATTGGTCTGAATCGGTCTGATTCCTGGACTGCCCACGTCCCTTGAACCCTTGGACGAGTACGCCTTCTTCGAGTTCCTGTTCTACCCTCTTGCGGACAATGTCCCGAAGGTGCCTCAAGACATCACGATCAGCTTGATCCGCCTTGTTCTTCCTTGCCTCGGCCAGCTCCCCATAGAGATCTTTCCAGACCTGAGGGAGCCGGTTACCAGCTTTGTCCTCCTTTTCATTGGCAGAGGCGCCAAAGATGCCAAACAATGCGACTGTCGCGATATATGCCTCTGACTGCTTCTTGTCAGGGGCGGCAATAGACATCATCTTGTAGACGAACTGATTCGGTGAAGCAAACACTTCGACCTCACCCAGTTCGAGAGGAGTAGGAATCTCCTGTGGCTTCGACCAAATAATATTGACCGCATGGCGGTTCGCATAAGAAACATCAGATAGGAGGTGATATGAGATTTTGACTGAAGAGTCCCTGTTTGCTGTTAGTGGATCGTCTAGCTGCAGTAGCTAGCAGGGGCTGTATTGACCTTGACCGGCATGCGTCCTCGAGGACTCGCATAGGAGTGAGACCTGACCATTTACCAAAGTCCCGTATTGTGACTTTGACGCCATCTGCCCCATTCACGACTGTATTACTCTTCCCTGTTAAGGGGTCGACCTCATTAACAGGTAAGCTAGCAAACAAGTCAGCTAGCGCGCCGTCCTCATCCCCGGGTTGTTCTGCGAGAATCTCGGCGGCGATCCGTTCAGCCTCAGCATTAATTTCATCAGCGTCAGTTGGCGCCGGTGGTTCTTCAGCTGCTTTCTTCTTATTCTCATCAGCCTGCTTCTTGCGTTCCTCTGCCTTAGCGGCAGCATATTCCCTTTCCAGTTCTATCTTCTTTGTCCTCCACTGATTCTCGGCTACGCTCTTGTCAAACAGAACATCTTTCTCAATTCTGTCGATCTTGGCGAGCAAGAGGGCTTCCTCAGGGTCATCAGAGCTACTGTCCTTCTCCTGAGATCCCTTCTTTTTAGCTGCATCCTGGCGGGGGCGTTGAATGCGAAACAGCTTGGTTTTGCTTTCGAGCCACAAAGGAAGGAGTTGGTCAGGATCGATGTCTTCGTCAAATGTGACCGTTATTGTCGGCCGTTTGGGCGATGCCTGGCGAGACTTGTTCAGGGCACTACCCTTCATCTTGGACCCCAGCTTGGGGTCAATCTCGAATGGAGTGCCGCCTCTTGAAGCATCTGGAGTATCTGCTGGAGTATCTGGATCTGCAGTCAGAATACAATTTGCCAGGACCAGACATCGAAAAGCGCATGAACAATGGCACAAGATCCCTACCTGCTTGCGACTTGGACCCTGTCTTCCGACCAGAGTAGTCTGGCAGCTCTTCCAGGGAGCACTCTCTGGCGAACCAGTCGAGGACTTCTTCCAGTCCCCAGATTGATTCGCCCTTAACATTAAGCGAGATGTTGGGAGCGATGTCCAAAACATATTGCAGAGCCGGTTGAATGCGGTTGGAGGGCATTCCAGCCGCTTGCAGGGTCAGCTGCAGGGTCCACAGCTTGATGATGAGGTCTTCCTCCGGCGGGAGCCTACTAGTCGCGCCATCAGAGACGATCCCCGACGCTGCAAACCTGTTCTCAGCCTGGATGAGCTCCAGGATCTGGTCCATTAGCTCTGTCGGCAGCCATTTCTTCGGGTTGACCGTGTCCGCGCCGTTTCTCAGAATTCGCCGATCAGTTTCGAGTCTGCTCTTCTGCCTCTGGGCCAGTCGCCGCACGGTCTGACCGTACTTCTCGACCAGAAGCTGCAGTTCCGACTCCTCCAGTTGCTTCTCAAACTCTTCGGGACTCAATGCCTTCGCTGTCAGGGTGTTTTGGGCCGGCGTAGCACCCTTGGCCGAGTTGCTCGGCGGGACATCGTTCTTTGGAGGGGCATCTGTGTCGGCTGTCTTATTGTTGTTATTAAAACTACGGCTTTGAGCAGGTGTGCTTGCGGAAGAGGGAGCAGCCTCCGCGACTCTTGGCTTCGAGGCAATCGATGTTGTCGCAAACCCGCGGGCCGGATTCGAGACGGGCTTCTTGGATTTCTTTTTGGGAGCCATGACGACAAGAGTAGCAGCGAAGTAGCAAGCTAATTTGAGGGTCTTTTTTAGTAGAAGTGATGGGCAGCAAGAAGACTGGCGGGTGCGGCGATGGCACTACCGCCGTTGCTGTTTTGCGCCTTGCAGCGTCTAAGCTCCAGGCACGACAGCAAAAGATCGGGAGGAGTAATTCGAAATTTCATGCCCTTGCTCATCAGGTGAAGCATCCAGGTTTCCAGGTCCCAGTCGCACTCAGTGGCCCAGCTGAGGGTCCCAGTCGGCAGCGCAGTCAAACACTTGCAGCCTTGCAGGTCCAATAATGGACCCTTTCTGCTCGCGGGGAGTGTCACAGCCTGGCCGCAAAACGGGGTCTTGGAATACCACCGCCTGCCGTTTCAGGAGCTGGACCCCACCTCGAGCTTCGAGGCTTTTATGTTATTTTGACTGTGTTATTATTCGCGGCAGCTACCCATAGTTAGCATTGCAGATTGCTGGAATTCTAATGAAACAATAAACGAAACATCGTACGAGAAGTTTAAGACTTGGAGAAGTGTCTTGTAACTAGCTATAGTCAAAATCGTCTGTTTTTGGGCTGCTGGGCAACCAGCTAGAGGTGGAATATTAAAGATGAAAGGCGCAGCTAGAAGCGGAAATTCGGCCAGTGTTTTTAGCAGCCCTGCAGCCCTCGCGGGGCCCGCTCTTCCAGAAGGCCCCGCAGCAAAGCACTGCAGCAGTGGAAGGCTCAAAATCACCGCCCAAACGACACAGCTGCCATCACGGTTGCTGCCAGCTGCTTGCTGACTCTAAGCCCGGCACCATCTTTTCCCACACACTTAGCGGCCTCTGCCGCCCAACAATGTTATCATACGACCCGATGCCCACACAGGAACCACAACACAATGTCTGAACCCGTCGCCAACGATGCCGCGCCGGGCAGCTTCGACCTGGAGCAGGCCAGGACTGCCTTGACGTCGTCCTCAACCACGGTCCGAATCGCCCAGCTGCGCGCAATTGACGAGAAGATATCGCATAACTGTACGTGCTAGACATCCCTGGATGCGTCTTGTTGGTGTTATCACTGAAATGGTGTTACCGTCTCTCAAACAAGGCTGGCTAACTCTCTGCCCCGCCAGCCCTTGACCGGCCAGCCCTTCTTGGCCTGCTGAAGGTCCTCTTTTGGACCCATACCTTCTACGCCGACCGTCCGTCTCGCCGGGCTGTTCAGAAATGCCTGACATCGATCACAAAGTGCTCTGAAGCCGAGTCCTTCGTGCCCCCACTCGTTGCAGCCATCCGCCAAGAGGCTCAGAAGCAGGCTATCGCCCAAGCCAACTCCTTTGCCCTAGTAGAATGGTGCAGCTTGCTTATCCAGAACCTCGCCGGTACTTCGTTGTGGGAAAAGTGTAGCAAAGACCTCGTGCTCGCGACCGCCGATGCCCTGGAGAAGTCGTTGCAGCCGACAGCAAGGGGGTCAGTAGGCCATTCAGCCCTGGTTATTACCCGGAGAGGGTTCCGGAAGCTCGTTCAAGCCGATCAAGCGGCCGTAAGCACGGCGATCGGAGTTCTTGCCGCGAAGGATGCCAAGCCGACGGCAAAGAACTCGGTGCTGCTTGGCGTTATTGCTGGCGTCTGCGCTCGACAGCCGGAAGCTAAGGCTGTCGTGGAGGACCTTAAAGGCCAATACTTCACTTTCTACGCTCGCGAGATCATTGGCTCTCGAACAGCGCTGCCGTCACACATCGCTGATGGCCTTCACGACTTCTTTGCCGCCTTTGTCTCCCTGGAGGACCTCGACAAGGAGGTCTTCCCGGCTATCGAGAAGGGTTTGCTGCGTGCGCCAGAGGTTGTGCTGAATGACCTCATCACTCCTTTGGTCAAGGCACTTCCCAAACTCGACCTGTCCAAGGCTCTGAACAGCCGCTTTGTTAAACCCCTGCTCTCCAACATCAAGTCTTCCAACGCTGTTATTCGCAGTGGAGCCGTCAGGGCTTTTCGGGAGATTGCTACTGTATGCCGGGATTTTGCGGATCTGGAGAAGACTGCAGATGAAGTGCTTGGCCCTCTGAAGACCAACAAGTTGGCTTCTGCGGATCACAGGGTGTTGCATTCTGAGATGCTAAGCGGACTGCCGCTGTCGGCATCTATTGCTACTAAGATTGCCACAGGCCTTCCTGCTGTCACAAGTAAAGAGGCTAACGAGGCAGCTTTGAGTGCCGAGACCCTCGCGCTGAACGCCAGTGCTCTGTTCCTCCTCCGGACTCCGGAGGTGCCTAAGGCGCTTCTTGATGCGTATGTAAAGGGCTTGGGTGACAAGAAGGTATCCTCTCGGCGGATATGGATCCTCCGTACGGGTGATCTGTTGCAAGCCTTTGCCCAGGAAGCTGAGCTTCCAGCTGGCTTTGTGGCCTTTGCCGAGGCTGTCGTGCCGTCACTTCTTACTATCTTTAACGAGGTTGTGGCGAATCCTACTGCCGCTGTCCAAAGTGGACTTGTTACTGGCGCCCTGGTGGTGGCTGGCCTTTCGGGCCTGCTCCAACGGCTCGAGAACGCGAACATCCAGGCCCTGCTAAAGAAAGCGGCTGTCCAGAAGAACAGCCTTATACTCGATCCGAAGCCTTCTTTTGTGCTGAGCCAGCGTCTATACAGCAAGTATCCTGAAGATGATTTGAAGTGGTTCTGCCGCGCTTTGTCTGCCATCGTGGAGGGTTTGCTCTCCAGTAGCGACGCGATCAAGCTTGCTTGGACTCAGGCCTTTATCTTCCTTATCTGCTCTGCCACAACTCCTTCTGCTGTCCGCAGGCAAGCCATTGATGCCCTCTCTGATCTTTCTGCACGTTCTCTTAAGCCTGGATGCCAATTTGTGGCTACGGAGATTATTAAGGGCCTGTGGCACTGGATCGCAACCAGCGAAGCTGCCGAGAAGGAGAGCGCCGCAGTGCTGGCTAAGTCAGGCACGTCGAACCTTCACCTAGTGCTAAAAGCGATCTGCCTTAGCCCGGCTGAGCTCAATCGGAGATCAGGCGGTGATGTTGACAAGGCGCAGCTCCAGGCTCAGATGTGCTCTCTCCTTGTGTTGGCAAAGCAGCAGCTCATTCCACGCGCTAGCTGGATTGATCTCTGCTTGAAGGTTCAGGTTGACCCTGGCCAACTCGCAAAGGACCATGAAGATGCACTGATCGATGAAATCGTCCGGTGCACCGGCCATGAACAAAAGGTAAGCTTGAGTCCCATCCTATTTCTCTGATACGTTTTGCTAACAGACACAGTCCGAAGCTACGAAGCAGGCAGCCTACAGTGCTGCTGCCGAGCTTGTCTTTGTCTCCCCTGAGAACATGACCTCTCGGATCGTTGCTCTTATCCAAGACGACCTTGATGCTGCTGTAGTGTCAACAGTTGGCCCACTCGAAGCGGCCATCTTCCGCACTCCTGAGGGCACGACGTTTGTTGATGTCCTGGCCAAGAGGCAGAATGTGGTTCCGAACAAAAACGTCAAGGACTATGATTTGCTCAAGTGGGAAGAAGAACTCAGGCAACAGCTGGCTGAGAAGAAGGGCATACAAAAGAAGCTTACGGCTGAGGAACAGGCAAAGGTCAGTGCACAGCTCAAGAAGGAGGCCGAGATCCGTGAGAACGTTCGCAAGATTGCTGCCAAACTTCTCCGCGGGTTTGGTGTCGTCAAGGCTCTTGCTACTGGGCCGCCGACGGATGCTACCCGCTGGATGGGTGCTGCCGTTTCTTCGACTTTGGCCGCCATCAATGCTGGCGCTACCCGCATCACTGGTGAGACTGGGCCACTGGCTTTCGTTTCTCTGTCTGAGCAGATCACCTCTCGCATCGGATCTTTCATTCGTCCCTTCATGGGTGTGGCTACTCTGCGCGCCTATGAGGTGACGGCTCTTCCAGAGAACCTGACGGAGGAGCCGTTCGAGGAGCTCATCACCCGTGTGCTGTACCGTTTGCGCTTCGTGGGCGAGCAACGTCCTCTCGACACTGTCAGCCTGATCTACGTCCTTCCGCTTGTTCTCTACGTGCTCGAGAAAGGTGGCTTCGCCAAGGACGCTGATGAGAAGGATGCTCAGCTGGTTCTTGCCATTGAGATCCTGTCTTTTCATACCGATGTCGCTTTTGACGAGGCTCTTCCTCGCGCTGAGATTCTGTCCAGCCTGATCTCGTCTATGCAGAAGTACAGCCAGCACTACAAGATCCTCAAGGACTGCTTCTCGGACATGGTCCGCTGTATCGCCCCGAATATCAGCCCTGCCGAGATTGGCGTCCTGGCTCGTGGCGCAATTGTTCCACAGACGAGCGTCCGGACTGCCGTGCTGCAGGCTATCAGCGCCGATGTCGACATGAGCGATGTCAACGCTTCTGAGGAGATCTGGCTCGCCTGCCACGACGATATTGATGAGAACGCTGAGCTCGGCCGTGAAATTTGGGAGGAGAGCGAGTGGAAGACCTCCGAGGAGCTGGGGCATAAGATGATTCCTTACCTGGAGAGCAAGGATGTTCAACTACGTCGTGCTGCTGCTAAGTCTCTTGCAGAGGTCGCTGGTCAGCATCCTGATGTGGTGGCACCTATCCTTGAGAAGCTGCGCGAGTCTTACGTTGAGCTGGCCAAGCCGCGTGTGCAACAGCTGGATGAGTTTGGTATGCCCAAGAAGATGGATCTCTCCGATCCTTGGGAGGCTCGCCATGGTATCGCTCTTGCCTTCAAGGGTCTTGCTCCTCACCTCGAGAAGCGCCAGCTCGAGCCCTACTTCAACTTCCTCATCGAGCAGGGTCCTTTGGGTGACCAGAGTGCTGGTGTCCGTGCTGAGATGCTCGAGGCTGCTAACATGACCATCGAGATCCACGGCAAGGAGATCCTTGACCGCCTGATGAAGACATTTGAGAAGGTCCTTGAAGCCCCTGACAAGAACTCGGAAGCAGCTGACCGTGTCAACGAGGCTGTCATCATCATGTACGGTGCACTTGCTCGCCATTTGAAGCCGGGTGATAAGAAGATCCCGGTTGTTATCGAGCGGTTACTTGCCACTCTCAGCACACCTTCGGAAGCTGTGCAGTATGCCATTGCTGAGTGCCTGCCCCCTCTTGTCCGCACCTGTGCCGACAAGTCGTCCAAGTACTTCGATGAAATGATGGAGATCCTCTTGACGTCCAAGAAGTACTCCGAGCAGCGCGGTGCGGCATATGGTCTGGCTGGCCTTGTGCTCGGCCGGGGTATCAATGTCCTTAAGGAGTATCGCATCATGACCCAGCTCAACTCCGCGCTGGAGAACAAGAAGGAAATCCGTCAGCGTGAGTCAGCTATGATTGCTTACGAGCTCCTGTCTACCATCCTTGGCCGTCTGTTCGAGCCATACGTCATCCAGATCGTGCCACAGCTACTGGCTGGCTTCGGTGATGGCAATGCCGATGTCCGTGAAGCTGCTTTGGCGGCGGCCAAGGCCTGCTTCGCGAAGCTCAGCTCGTACGGTGTTAAGCAGATCCTCCCGACGCTCCTTAATGGTCTTGATGATGACCAATGGCGTAGCAAGAAGGGTGCCTGCGACCTACTTGGTGCCATGGCTTACCTTGATCCTCAGCAGCTTGCCCAGAACTTGCCCGAGATCATCCCACCTCTGACGGCCGTGCTCAATGACAGTCACAAAGAAGTGCGGGCAGCTGCCAACAGGAGCTTGAAGCGCTTCGGCGAGGTCATCACCAACCCTGAAATCAAGAGTCTCATCGATATTCTCCTCAAGGCCCTTAGCGACCCAACCAAGTACACCGACGACGCCTTGGATGCCCTCATCAAGGTCCAGTTCGTGCATTACCTCGATGCGCCGTCCCTGGCTCTCGTCAGCCGGATCCTTCAGCGTGGTTTGGGCGACCGGTCCAACACCAAGCGCAAGGCTTCCCAGGTTATCGGCAGTCTGGCGCATCTCACCGAGCGCAAGGATCTTATTGCTCACCTGCCGGTGCTCGTGGCCGGCCTCAAGGTTGCTGTCGTGGACCCTGTTCCGACTACACGCGCCACGGCTTCTCGTGCTCTTGGGTCGCTTGTCGAAAAGCTGGGTGAGGATGCTTTACCGGATCTCATTCCCAATCTCATGCAGACCCTCAAGTCCGACACCAGCGCTGGCGACCGCCTTGGCTCTGCTCAGGCTCTCAGCGAGGTCCTCGCTGGTCTGGGTACTTCGAGACTGGAGGAGACCCTGCCAACCATCCTGCAGAACGTCGAGTCCCCCAAGCCTGCCGTTCGCGAAGGTTTCATGTCGTTGTTCATCTTCTTGCCCGTCTGCTTCGGTAACAGCTTTGCCAATTATCTCGGAAAGATCATTCCTCCAATCCTTTCTGGCTTGGCCGATGATGTCGAGTCCATTCGAGAGACAGCTTTGCGTGCAGGTCGTCTGTTGGTCAAGAACTTCGCTGTTCGCGCTGTCGACTTGCTGCTGCCTGAGCTCGAGCGTGGCTTGGCCGATGACAACTACCGCATTCGTCTCAGCTCCGTGGAGCTTGTTGGTGATCTTCTCTTCAACCTTGCTGGTGTTAAGGCCTCGGCAAACAAGGAAGAAGACGAGGCGGATCAGGATATTACCAAGGAAGCTGGTGCTTCTCTACGCGAGGTTCTTGGAGAGGAGAAGCGCAACAAGATTCTCTCGGCTTTGTACGTGTGCCGTTGCGATACCGCAGGCGCCGTCCGCGCTGCTGCTGTCACTGTCTGGAAGCAGCTTGTTCACAGCCCAAGAACACTCAAGGAGCTCGTGCCTACGCTCACCCAGCTGCTCATCAAGCGCCTTGGCAGCTCCAATATGGAGCACAAGGTCATCGCTAGCAACGCTTTGGGCGAGCTCATCAAGAAGGCCGGCGATGGCGTCCTGGCTACGCTGCTCCCTACTCTTGAGGAGGGCTTGCAGACGTCCCGGGATGTCAACGCCAAGCAGGGTATCTGCCTTGCTCTCAAGGAGCTCATCTCCTCGGCTTCTCCAGAGGCTCTCGAGGACCACGAGAAGACTCTCATCTCGGTTGTTCGTACGGCGCTCACCGACTCCGACTCGGATGTCCGCGAAGCCGCTGCAGAAGCGTTCGACTCGCTGCAGCAGATCATTGGTAAACGGGCTATCGACCAGGTTCTGCCCTTCCTCCTTAACTTGCTCCGCTCCGAGGAGGAGGCGAACAACGCTCTGGCGGCCTTGCTTACACTGCTTACCGAGCCTACTCGGGCCAACATCATCTTGCCCAACCTCATCCCTACCCTCATCACGCCGCCCATTTCGGCTTTCAATGCCAAGGCTCTGGCTTCGTTGTCCAAGGTGGCTGGTGCTGCTATGAACAGGCGCCTGCCCAACATCATCAATTCTCTTATGGACAACATTGTCGGCTGCGCCGACGAGACCCTCCGCGAGGAGCTGGACACTTCGTTCGATACTGTCATACTGTCTATTGACGACACCGATGGTCTTAACGTGGTCATGAACGTACTGCTTCAGCTCATCAAGCACGAAGACCACCGCAAAAGAGCAGCTACCGGCCGTCACCTCGCCAAATTCTTCTCTGCTGCTACCGTCAACTACTCGAGGTACAACCAGGACATCATTCGTGCTCTGCTTATCTCCTTCGATGACAAGGACATGGAGGTTGTCAAGGCCTCGTGGAACGCGCTCAACGAGTTCACCAAGCGGCTTAAGAAGGAGGAGATGGAGGGCCTGGTCATCTCAACCCGCCAGACGCTGCTCCAAGTTGGCGTGGCCGGCCGCGAGCTGGCTGGTTTCGAGCTGCCGAAGGGCATCAACGCCATCCTACCTATCTTCTTGCAGGGTCTCATGAACGGTACTGCCGAGCAGAGAGTAGCAGCCGCTTTAGGCATCTCGGATATCGTCGACAGGACGACCGAGGCCTCACTCAAGCCATTCGTCACGCAAATCACGGGTCCGCTTATTCGTGTTGTCTCGGAGCGTTCGACGGAGGTCAGATCGGCCATTCTGCTTACCCTCAACCATCTGCTCGAGAAGATGCCTACCGCGCTCAAGCCGTTCTTGCCACAGCTCCAGCGCACATTTGCCAAATCCCTTGCAGATACTTCGAGCGAGATCTTGCGCAGCCGCGCAGCTCGTGCCCTGGGCACCCTCATCAAGTACACGCCGCGTGTTGATCCACTGATTGCTGAGCTTGTTACCGGCTCCAAGACGACGGATGCCGGTGTCAAGACGGCCATGCTCAAGGCCCTCTACGAGGTCATCAGCAAGGCGGGCTCCAACATGGGCGAGAGCTCGCGTGCAGCTGTCTTGGGCCTGATTGACATGGAGCCTGATGAGAATGACAAGGCCATGACCATTACGAACGCTAAGCTGTTTGGCGCGCTGATGAAGAACGTCCCGGCTGATATGGCCGTTGGCCTGCTTAAGAATAGGGTCATGGTCAGGGAGTTTACTACCTCGAGTGTGCTTGCGCTCAATGCTGTGCTCCTGGAAAGCCCTAGCTCGCTGCTAGACTCGCCGCTGGCGGAGGACCTGCCGGAGCTGCTGTGCCAGGGCATCGAAAGCAAAGATGTAAGTTGAACCTACCAGTCTGTAGGTACGTAATCTAGAACTAACATCAATTCCAGGCCTTCATCGCCGACAACTTCATCATGGCTACCGGCAAGTACCTCCTCCACGACTCACCTAAGGCGTTCGAGACGACCAAGGCCATCTTCACCAGCCTTGCCAAGCTCATCCCACCCGGCAATCCCGGTGACTCGCGCCGCTTGTCCCTCGTCCTGGTCCGCACGATGGCTCGCAAGCAACCCGACATGGTGCGCCCGCACCTGTCGCTACTCGCGCCGCCAATCTTCTCGTCCGTCCGGGACATGGTTATCCCCGTCAAATTGGCGGCCGAGGCAGCCTTCGTGCAGCTGTTTGCTGTCGCGGATGAGGAAAGCAAGGTGTTTGACAAGTGGATTACGGCCGCGACGGATTTGGCGCCTAATGTCAAGCGGAGCATGCAGGATTACTTTAAGCGTGTGACGCTCAGGCTGGGTGCCCAGGCTAGGGAGAGGAGAGAGGCTGAAGGCGGTGCTGGAACACTTGGTTTGTCGGCTGATGAGGTGGAGGATGAGAAGGAGCTTATGGCGGTTGGGAAGGTAGATGTTGGGTCGGATTTGTTCTCCGAGTGAAAGAATGTAGGTGTTAGTGGAATAGTATTTTGTAGCTGTGATGTCAAATACAAAACAAAAAGGGCTCAGGAGAAGAGGAGCTTCTGGATGTGACTACAGAAAATGGATCAAGAGGCATGCATGGTCAGCACCAGGAGAGAGAAGGCACTCAAAAGGAGGGACAAGCCGGGGTCCTGCTGAGATATTCATCTCCGTTGTTAACATTTTGTATCATTTGGATTCAATATCTGAGCTCTGGCTTGCGGAGCACTCTTACACCCCTTGGCTAACTGTTGCTATTTGTCAACATTGTCTGGAGCCTCGGGTCTCTTGGAACCGCAACCCGGAAAAGCTCAAAAAGCCGAGAGCACAGAGTGAAGTGGACCCCGGGCCAGTACCACTAAAGACTGTGGCACGTGCTAGGGTGCGTGATTCTCATAGCCCTCGCCCAATCGCAATCCTCGTATTGGCCCCACCAGGGAAACCCACAAACTGGCGCTCGAGAAATTCTGACGGCAAACTTCCCCTCAGCGGAAATCCAAACCCATCGACAACCTCGAGATACTAACCATCTACAGCAGAAATCATTCAAGATGTGAGTGCCCTGATATACCCCTCGTTGACACAGAGGAAAGAGTAGGATCTTGCAGGATGATATTTTTCGCTGGAATCGCGGTGAAATCGATGGATTTTTGGCATAGAGAAGAGCAGGCATCATCAGTGCACCAACGATCCTCTCCCGACAACTGCATCATCGCCATCACCACTCCGACAATCGTCACCCTGCATCATGCATTCCCCCATCGCCATCGAAATTTTCACGGAGATCACAGGGAGAGTCGAAAACACAGACATGCTGACTGGTGTCCGGCTGTAGGGTTAACCTGAGGACCCAGAAGCGCCTGGCGGCGTCGGTGTTGGGCTGCGGCGAGGGCAAAGTTTGGCTGGACCCCAACGAGGTCAGCGAGATTTCGAACGCCAACTCCCGCCAGAGCATCCGCAAGCTCGTCGCCGATGGCCTCATCATCAAGAAGCCTGTGACGATGCACTCGCGCTCCCGCGCGCGCGAGCTCAACCTTGCTCGCCGCATCGGCCGCCACCGCGGCTTCGGTAAGCGCAAGGGTACCGCTGATGCCCGTATGCCTCAGTACGTAGTCCACCCATATCGATTAGAAATGGATAGAGGAACGCGGAGTCCTAACACATTGCCACAGGCAGGTCCTCTGGATGCGCCGCCAGCGCGTCCTCCGCCGCCTCCTGGTCAAGTACCGCGCCAGCGGCAAGATTGACAAGCACCTCTACCACGAGCTTTACCACCTCGCCAAGGGTAACACCTTCAAGCACAAGCGCGCGCTTGTCGAGCACGTATGTTCTTAGAGACAATTCGAGGCTGGAGGGTAATTCGCGCTAACTGGGTGACTACAGATCCACCGTGCTAAGGCTGAGAAGGCCCGTGAGAGGCAGATTAAGGAGGAGATGGACGCCAAGCGCGCGCGGACTAAGGCTGCTCGCGAGCGCAAGCAGGAGAGGCAGGCGGCAAAGCGGAACGCTCTTCTGGGCGAGGAGGAGGAGTCCAAGTAGATGTTTTGATCGAGGACATACGAATGGACAAATGGATTTCCGGCAACCTTTCGGAGTAACGGGTTGGGCTTCTTTCTGGTCGCGTTCTCTCTACCTACCTTCATATCTCGGTCGGCTCTCGTGCACGTGGACTCTGGACTCTGGACTCTCTAGACTCTCCCGCTGGCCCTCGCGCGCCAGTTTTTTATTAGGCGGCGCGGTCTTGTAGAAACGAGACAAATTTGGCTTGCTGCATGTATGGCACTGAAAGACGGAATCAATGGGTTTGCCGGGTCTGGTGAAGAAGTTGGCTGCTTTGAAACTGGGGAACTGGTTTACACTAGAATGGCAAAAGCATTGCGGGTTTCACTGTCAACATCGCAAGTCCTGGCGTTCGGGGAGTGGTTCAGAATGCTCTATTATGGTCTATCTAAGATACAGACAGGCTGACGATTTAGGCAAAACGGACGACCGTAGAGAGGTCAAGATAGGAAACAGACAAGAAACAAGCAAAACCGGCTCCGGCGCCGGGCATCAACCAGAATTGGGTCAGATTGCTTCAAATTGTCCCTCGTTGAGTGGTGAAGGTGTGCCAGGACATGTCAGCATATCCCACCAGCCGTAAGGCGGAGGATTCGACGTAGCGCGCTCATCACCCCCAATTTAGTTGATTGGGGAAGAAAAGAATAGAAGTCGGCGCGAAAATTTGGTCGTTGATAAACGTGAATTTTGGGTGGGGCAGGGTACGGGCCATATGGTCTGTGCGTCGGCAGATACGCTTTGACCAATCTCGGGCGAGCTTATCCTAAAATAAAAGACATGATAAGATAATAGCTTACGGCAGCTTCCTTTCTTGGCGGCAATAACCCCACAATTTTGCGGCTTCTCTTTGCGCCGAGCCCAGCAGCATCACCACTGAAGACCGTCCCGCAGTACTGCCGCAGGCGCCAATGAATCGATCGGAATCACCTGTGGTGCCATTCGCTGTGCCAAAAGTCACCTGTTTGGCCCCGACGGTTCACAGCATCAGCACGATCCGCAACGACCTCCGCCCATTCCATCCTCAGGTCAATCGCCAGTCAGAATCAAATTAGCTGCACGCCGCTGACGGAGTTTTTGGTCTGTGGTTTTTTATCCTGTATGTATTACTCAATTGTTGTCGATCACAAGCGCCCCGCCCTAATCCCATGTTTAACCGAGGAAATGTGTTTTCGTGGATATCCAGGTTGATCGTTTATGAACTTTTGCTGACTTGGTGATAAAACATTGTGATTGCCAGCAGTCAGTAGTAGCCATGTCAGCCACCATCCCAGGTCTACGGCGCATGGCAGTGTGTACTGCCGCCCTTCGCGGCGTCGCCGGTGTGTCGCGGAGGACAATATCGCGGACGTTGCGCCCGGCAGTGCAGAGGAGGAGTGTTGGGTCTGCTGCAAATGATGCTCAACAGCGGGTATGCGGGCGCCAGTGGGGATGGAGCTAGAAAGGAATGGGATGCTAATGCGCCGCAGATGCTCGCTGCTCATTTGCAGCAGGCTGATCCTATTATGTATGACATTATTGAGAAGGTATGTGGGGTGCTTCGGGCAGTTGTTCGAGATGAGCATTGGGACAGAGGTTAACAAGACGACAGGAGAAAACCAGGCAAAAGAACTTCATCAACCTTATCCCGTCCGAGAACTTCACCTCCCAGGCTGTGTTGGACGCCCTAGGGAGCCCGATGCAGAGTGCGTACCAGTGAGGGAACACAAGTCATGGGATGGGAGCAGCGGGCTAATATCTGGACACAGATAAATACTCGGAAGGATACCCTGGTGCACGGTACTATGGTGGTAATGAATTTATTGATGCCTCAGAAAGGCTATGCCAGCAGCGTGCCCTTGAGACATTCGGTCTTGATCCCCGGGAATGGGGTGTCAATGTCCAGGGTGAGTCCTCCGAAGAACTCAAGGGTACTCACATGGCTGACATGGCCTGTAGCTCTCTCGGGCGCCCCGGCCAACCTTTACGTCTACTCTGCCCTGATGGAAACACATGATCGCCTCATGGGCCTTGATCTCCCTCATGGCGGTCATCTGTCGCACGGCTACCAGACCCCGACCAAGAAGATCTCTTTCATCTCCAAGTACTTCGAGACCCTGCCCTACAGACTCAACGAGGAGACCGGTCTGATCGACTACGACAAGCTCGAGGAGACAGCACTCCTCTACCGTCCCAAGATCATTGTGGCTGGCGCATCAGCCTACTCTCGTCTAATCGACTATGCTCGCATGCGTGACATCTGCGACAAGGTCAACGCCTACCTCATGGCCGACATGGCGCACATCTCGGGTCTGGTCGCTGCGAAAGTCCTGCCCGGCCCTTTCACCCACGCCGACATCGTCACCACCACCTCGCACAAGTCCCTGCGCGGTCCTCGCGGAGCCCTCATCTTCTACCGCCGCGGTGTGCGTCGTGTTAACGCTAAGACCGGTGCTGAGGAGCTCTACAACCTCGAAGGCCCTATCAACGCCTCCGTCTTCCCCGGTCACCAGGGCGGTCCCCACAACCACACCATCGCCGCGCTCGCTGTGGCCCTCAAGCAGGCCCAGACGCCCGAGTTCAAGTCCTACCAGACCCAGGTCCTAGCTAATGCGAAGGCTCTCGCCCGCCGGCTGGGTGAGCCCAAGGAGAAGGGTGGTTTGGGCTACAAAATTGTATCTGGCGGCACGGACAACCACCTGGTGTTAGTCGACCTCAAACCGCAGGGCATCGACGGCGCTCGCGTCGAGCGTGTCCTGGAGCTCGTTGGCGTCGCGGCTAACAAGAACACTGTGCCCGGCGACAAATCGGCCTTGACGCCTGGCGGACTACGCATGGGATCCCCTGCGATGACAACACGTGGGTTCACGGAAGAGGACTTTGAGCGCGTGGCGGATATTGTTGATCGAGCGGTGACAATTGCGATCCGCGTGGATAAGGCGGCCAGGAAGGCTGCGGAAGAGAAGGGCGAGGGTAAGACGGCTGGCCGGTTGAAGACCTTCTTGGAATATCTGGGTAATGGTGAGACGGATAGGGAAATTGTCCAGCTCAGGAGCGAGGTTGCTGATTGGGTTGGAACGTACCCACTGCCGTGGGACGAGGGCAAGGCGTAGAGTGGGGACCGTAATGTTTGCTGTGGGTGCTTCCCTACCAGGCAGAATGTGGGGGAGGAGGACGTCAGTTCAACGGTGACGACTGAGAAAAATCATTACTGGCATGTACCATCAACATCTGTCTCTCTGTGTAGTATTTTCATGTTCCAGGATGGCTTAACCGAACTGTTTGTATGAAATTAGATACGGCGGTTTGAGTCTCGGGCGAGCGGGTTGAACACGTCACTTGCCTTGAGTCTGGTCGAGAAACTTATGCTTAAGGTACTTTACCTGGTTCATCTCTTGCGATGTGGATACAGCGATCATCAGAGCCAACGCTGCGAGAAATAGGACATGCGATAGGGCTGAGGCGGGGATCACTTACGATCTTCAGCACCAATCACGCAGCACAACAGCAACGTTTTTGCATGTTGGTCCCAATTCCCCAAGAACGGCGGCTACTTGGCTGTTTCTCCTCGAGCTCACCAATATATACGTATACATATTGAGAGTTGCGTTGATGGCGTAGTCAAAATTGTCCCTTGTCATATGCCAGCACTCTACCGTCCTGTCCTCGGTCATGTTGGAGAGGCTTTGGAACCAACAAAGGACAAACATCCTTATCACTTACCGATCCTTTGCAAACGGGCACTTGGCTGCTCTGTAGCGATGCTCGCAGAGCCTCATCGCATGAACTTTGGTAATTCCAATTTCCTACTTGATGATGCACTAGCAGTTATCGTCCTTGACATAGGTTCCCGCCCTAATAATGCAGGCAGCTTTGGCATCTTCCAAGTTCTTCGTGCATAAAAACAGCAATTTCCTGACTCTGGATTCGGTACTAAAGTTCTCCGGCGAGCAGCGGCGTCACTAGTGGCAGCTGAGCCATCCTGCGAGGTGAGTAAAGACCGATAGCCTGGTTCGCCTGTGACCTGCATGTATCATGCGGCCAGCGCAAGGTCTGTGCTAGGTTACACAGCGTGGTTGTATTTGCCTTATTTTCGTCCGGTGCTGATCGAACGAGAGTACTCGAGCTAAGATATCACCAGCATTGGACTTGGTTTCGAGAAAGCACCATCGCTGCAATGTCAGACTCTCACAATCGCAGCTTGTCATGTCAGCCTTCATCATCAATAGTCTCAGGCTAGTCTCCCACAACGATGCCTCCAACTCATCCGATGATGTTGAATGTGACGCAGCTTCCCTAGCTGAGAGTCGACAATTTGACGCAACACCAAACAAGTACACGCGGTCTCATCCCCGCTTCATCTACCTGACCTTTATCCTCAACCTGACCATCAGCTTCTCGACTCTAACCGCAACGATCTACTTCCCGCTTATCCCCCTCCTCTTGGAACTTTCCTCTGTGCCACTGCAGTCAATAAACCTTACCGTAGCTACCTGCGCCATCGCCAAAGCCCTTGTCCTAGCCTTGATCGCCTGCCTGGCCGACCCGTATGGTCGTAGGCCAGCCTTACTGGGCTTGGTGATACTCTACCTACTTGCCAACACAGGTATGGTGGGTCTCATGCACTTCCCTGCGTCGAGAAGCTCCTATGTTGGGCTGTTGATTATCCGGATCCTCCAGAGTATTAATGCCAGCCCAACTCTGGCTGCTGCATACAATATTGAGGCTGACGTGGCCCTTGTATCGAAGCGTGGTACTATGTTGAGCCTAATGTTGTCATTCTGTAAGGGATTGTCGGCTTTCTAGCCTACCGTTGGCGGAACGCTAATTTGGAGGACCAAGAGGGCTACGTGGGTGCTTGTTACTGTGGTTGTGTTGGCAGGCGTAGTGGTGATTCTCGTCTGGGGAACACTACCCGAGACGCTGGGCGGCTTGAGAGGAGGGGGTCAGGAGGTGTTAGGAGATAGGTGAGGAGTATCGATCTGGGACAGATAACAAGGGTGTATCGAGGGAGAAGCACGAGAGGGTGGTAGGAAAAAGGAAACGCCCGAGATGGACGGTGCGGAACGGTCCCGGGCCGTTCAGTATTATCTTTTACAAGGACGCATTTCCTGTGCTCTTCTGGTTGCGTCGTCGTACTCCGTTTATCACACGTTTCAAGTTGCAACTCCAGTCATCTTTGGCCAAGTTACAAGTACAACTAGCTCGAAATAGGGCTTGTGTTCCGTTCGGAGCTGGCATGTATGACGATAGGGGGCCTCATCGCCGGGATGCTGGTTGACAGGAACTTTGCTGTTACAACGGAAGAAAAGGCTTCGATTCCCAAAGCAGGTGAACACGCAAGTAGATTCCTGGTTCCCGATTGAGGCTGTCCGATATCGACATTATCCGCTCATCATCGTGTTTCGAAGCTCTTATGGTCATCTACTATGGTTGGGCGGTCCAACACGAAGCCCATCCAGCTACCCCTACCGTTTTGGAGTTTTTGGAGTGTGAGCTCTCTACACTTGTGAGCCATGTAGCAAGCATACTCCTGGTTGACATTTTTCCATACGTATCAAGTTCGGTATACGCAGCTGGTCAGACCATGAAGTATGGTCTTGGTGCCTTGTCCGCTGCTATCATCCAACCTCTAGTGGATCATATTTAGATGAAGATGGTATTTTGCCTTTTTTTCCTGTGTTTCTGGGAGGTGCCGGAGCAATTTCAATTTTTGTAATCCTTCGTGAATGCATGCAGTGGCGACAAGCCAGGTCTAGGTATTCGCACAATGACCATTTGACCCCTATGATAACCAAATGTTGGCGAAAATCTACAAAAGGAGTGGTGGGCTGATGGCAATGTACAGAGTCATCAGACCAAATCAAGCCCCATATCTGCATATTATAGCAGTTTCAAGGTAATATAGCAAACAGAATTGTAGAACTATTATGGGATTTATGGCTTCCGAAACATGTGATCCTCTACGTATGAACTGTGTAGACCCGAGTCAAATAAGCCCCTCCGCCAAGTGAGGTATGATAGAAAGACCGGTGATGTTTGGATCAAGGGCCGGGTCATACTTGTCCATGTACTCAATAGGTGCATACTTTTCGTTGAGATAACACATGTTGTTGTAAGCCCTAGAAGTGAGGTAGAGTGTTAGCACCATCATGACATTATGCAGGGATGTTGACACTCCCCAGTGTTGTAACAGACAGGATGACTTGCGTTTTTCTTGGACTGCTACCAGGGTGCCCAGCTGAGTAATTGATAGTTCCTTTGAGACTGTAGAGCCGCAGGTGGTCTTCAAACTGGTCGACAGGCTCGGCATGAGGATAGTATTTTAAATAACTCTTTAAGTATTCCCTGGACCAAAAAATGGAACTGAACTCGAAACGCCTGTATTATGTTAGCTTCATCGTTTTGGCTGTACTTTGATAATTCGTGTCAGAATCACTATACTCACCAATGACCAAACTCCATTTCATTATGGGAAAAATAAGACGCAGCATCAAAAATCATGCTGTCACCAGTTTCCAAGTTGATCCCCATGTTGCCTTCCCAAAGGTCTCCATGAATCAGACATGGTTTGAGTTTCCGCCCATTGGCCTGAAGTGGCTCTAGCAGGATGGGAATAACTTTGTCTGCAATCTGCTGGATGGCCCGTTCGTATTCAGGCCACTGCCCGTTTCGAGCAATGTCGAACCTGCATACACCCAAGAACAAATATCGGAAAAAAACCGCCCAGCTGTCCTGCCAGTCGACAATATGGGGGCGATCGCCATCACGTGTTGGCACAGGAAAGCCAAACTTTCCTGTGGGTGACCTGCTCATCTTGTGCAGGTAGGCAAGACGTTGAGTGAACTCATCCGGGTCAGGAGGGATCTCAATGTCGAGTTCCACAAATTGGGACAGATAGAAATAAGCTGTCAGTCCGGAGTCTGGGAACTCGCCAAACCCATATGGTTTTGTAATGAACGTAGGCGTTGTCTCATATATTAATTTGGAAGATTCGATCTCTCCCTGGAGCATCTTTCGTCCAATGTCCCGGAAAGCAATTTTGACAAAATAATACTCCTCCTCGCCGTGCTGGTTTTGAACAGTGATCTTTCCTGTGAGTGTCCATGCACTAGTACCAAAATGTTCCACAGAAATATATTTGGTTCCAGGAGGCAGCTCTGCTCAAGAGGCGATTCGTCAGTGGCACAAGCAGTAATGATATGGATGTTACATATGCTTCACATACTGTTGACGGTATCATCATGCATAGGAAAACTTCCATCTTGTTTGTAAAGCATCTCTTGATGCTGAGAGAGCCTTGTTTCTCTTTAATATATACCTGGACCATCTGGTCTGGTCCCATACAGGATGAGCTCATGTCCCCAGCTGATGCTCTCATCCACGTCATGCAGGAAGGTTCGTCATCCAGTGGGCTAGGAGAGCCCTGGTGCATTTTTATATGGTCTGAATTGCTAAGGATATCTTTTGCTGCGTTATCCGAGGAAGTAGATCTCCTGTCAAGCGGTAGTAGTTGACGTAGCGCTGGAGGATTGCTTTCATGCTGACTATATCCATAATTGTGGGCAGACCAGACTCTCTTTGGAACTGCTTGGCGGCGTGATTTGATTAAGACGTTGACTTTTTGACGAACGGGATGCTTCGGATGATGCTTCCATGTTGAGTCCCTCTGACGTTTCGATCGTGTAGTTGAAACTGACACAGGGAGGAAATATGTCGAAAGGGATGAAATCATTACTGAAATAGAAGAATGAGAGAAAATTAAAAGGATAACCTGGCCTCCGCTTAGAAACCAAAAACCGAGCAAGCAAAATGCGGAGGATAAACTCCGATCCCGGCTTCCCAAAAGCAAAGCGAACCAAAGAAAACCGGGCGGAAATGGCAACGGATTGGGGCCACGCAGCAAGGCCAGAGCATCATCATCCTGCCTTGCTACAACTGAACCAATAGAATGGATGACACATATTAGAGATCAATTGGCTGTTGAGTTGTGAGGGATTCGGCAACACAGTGACATAGGGAGCAATATCCAATCCCATACGGATATTTATGCTTAGGCCGACGACGCTGACACTTTAACCCCCTTGAGTATGACGACTCCCTAAACTCAGAGCGCCGATTAAACATCCACACTTCAAGTTTTTCATGTTTTCTCTGCAACAAATCCCCTTCGATGCTCCTTGAATCCCGAGAAGGGTTCTGCCTGGTTACCGGTGTTTCCAAGTCGAAGCTCTAATAGTATTCCAATAACTTGTCATCGAGGTACGTACCTACACTACTAGCTCTTTGGGTGCATGACCATGGATCAAGTGAGTTTGCACAATGTTTCTTTGGGTATTGAACATATATTGGCCAATGATTGCTCTGTGTAACATTATGTCTGTAAAAAGCTGACCTGTTTTGCATATTAGCTTACATGCACACCCTTGATTTGCCAAAGTGATCGAGCAGATCCCCCAGAGGATCATTTTGAAAGACTAGACCAGATGCAGGAGTTCATGTCTGCATTGACTTCACATCAAGCAGGGCCCACTGTATATCCTCCGTATTTACCTGGAGAACCAACTCCATTTTCAAATGTGGGGTGACTCTCCAGGTCTGACTGTTGTCTATCAACCTCAAGTGAACGAGTACAGGCTTGACATTGTGCTTGTTCATGGGATGAAGGGGGGGGGGAGTCAATCAACATGGTGCCTAGACAAAGGTCCCAAGAAATTCTGGCCATTGAAGCTTCTACCTGTTCACTTTCACCACGCACGTGCTATTACCTTTGGCTATATTGCGAAGCCTATTCTTGACAAGAATGACTTGAAAAAAGTGTCAATTGGCCAGCTTCTCGTGACTTTCTCTCTAAACTGAAGGGAGGGAACCATGGGAAATGTACCGACTTGAACATTGGAAAGGTGAGTGTGCAATGTGTAACTCCAGTTACTTAAATGAGGGCTGCACAAACAGGATTATGTGACATTAACATGGCATGACTCGGGTTCAGAAACCGATTATCTTCATCGCCCATTCCTTAGGTGGCATTGTGGTGAATCACGTAAGTAATCCCATTTAGCAAACCTTGCTTCTTTTGATCATCACATCTGATGTCTTATGACACAACAGGCCTACAATACTGCTTCCGAAGATGAAACATATAAATCCATTTACAAATCAGTGAAGGCAATGATTTTCCTTGGCACTCCACATTATGGTTCTTCAAAGCTCTTTGATCTGTTTCTCCGGAGTTATAAGCTTGTCTCAGGCTCAAAATCAAATTTCAATACATTCGTAGAGGAGCTATCTCCGGAGTCCGAAACCCTTAAGGACATCAATGGGTGGTTTGAGATCACAGCTCAGAGACTTCTTGGAATCGTGTCTTGTTATAAAACTCGTTCTACACTAATTGAGTTAAGACACCAACATGTGATACGCCTTAGCATGATCTTATGATTCCCACTGGATACTCATGACTAATATATTTGTTTAGAGGGTTTTCATTGTCGGAAAAGAGTCTGTAGTTCTGGGTCCCAGATATCCCAAGGAAATTCAAACTCCGATGGATGCGGATCATACGGAGTCTGCAAGTTTCAAGGTTCTGATGACAAGAATTACATCTCCTCACGAAAGAATTTAACAAGTCTTGTAAACGCAATCGACGAAGAGCTATCGCAAAGAACAAGACGACTTCTGTCTTGTAAGTCGTGTCGCAACCATGCTCCTGTGGCATGATTGTGCTTGCTGACACTATATTATGCAGTTCCCAGTCGACTTGCGCTTCCGGGGATGTTTAAGGGATCCCGGCAACTGACCAAGTTCTTAAATTCTCCGGTACTTCCTTACCATGACTATTACTTTTTCCGTGAGAGGCGAGCACCAAAAATGTGCAAATGGATTCTAAACAACAAGAACTTTATCTCCTGGCTGGACCGAAGCCCAGAAAGCGGAAGTAAATCACGAATTTTGTGGATCTATGGAAGGCCGGCTAGCGGAAAGTTGGTACTTGCCTCGTTCATTATCAGAAAACTCCAGAAACAGGGGTTGAACCCCCATTATTTCGTCAGGTTTACCTCAAAGGACAAAAGCGAGTTAGAAATGATGCTGCTGTCCTCGGCCTACCAGGTGGCCCACACCACAGAGGCATATGCAGCCAGACTCAAAAAAATTCGCAAAACAAGGCATTGTTTTGAGACGAGCTGATTCTCATGCCCTCTGGAGCCTGTTATTCAAGCAGACCCTTTTTCAGCTGGAGGAGTCATCTCTTGCTGGGAAGTCTCCACTTTACTTCATCATTGATGGCCTAGATAAGGTGGACAACCCTACCCTATTTCTGAGTTTCTTGTTCGAGTTGCCACTATCGTCTTAACCTCTTCGTTTTCTCATTATCAGCCGGAATGATTCACAAGAGATTATCCGTGGATTTGCACAACTCAACAAGACGTCTCCGGCACCTATGGTCAGCAGTGTTTTTCACAAGGGCAATGACTTAGATATCCAGACTTACGTCCATCATGAGTTGGCTTACGTTTTCCGCTCATCGACATGGAGGAGTCTTAAACAAATATTGTTATGGAGATCCAAGGGAGCTGAAACCAAAATCTTGAAGCAGATTCTGGATATGGCTCGAGATAACTTCCTTTGGACTTATCTGGCAGTGCGGACCCTCAAGTCCTCACATGCTCTGAAACATTTGAAGAGGACGTTGACGGACCTGCCAGCTGATATGCAGGCTATGTATGATCGGATGGCTCTCTCCTTGACTCAGTCCATGCTGTCGATGAGCTATCAAAATCAGGAGTTGAGTCAAACAATTCTCCAGTGGGTTACATGTGCTTTAAGGCCTCTAAGCCTAAAAGAACTGACTGACGCGCTTGAAATGAACATCTTGGATATGAACGTGTCGATCATGGAGCTATGTGGAGGTTTCGTTACAATCTGCAACGAAGAGAGAGTAAGCCTGATCCACGAGACTGCACAGGAATACCTCACAACACTGTCGCCAACGCGACAATCGGTCTTTGTCAACGTCAAGGAGGCGCACCGAATGCTCCTAGAGCGTTGTCTCAAGTCTCTCACTGATCCGGAATTCAAGGAACACGTCAACAGCACAGAGCCACCAGCATTCCTGTCTTACTCCATATCCGCCTGGCCCCAACATCTGACGATGTCATTCGATCTCGAAGAGCCGCATTTACTCGAGGCTTTTCTAAGCTTCCTTCGCGAACGTCATATGTTGACATGGATATATGCGGCAGTTAAACGGAATGACCTACCCTCCCTTGTGACTGCTTCGCAGCATCTAGCCAAAATTGTAGCAAAACTACGAGCAAACCAGAGTGAATTGACATTTAATACTGATACAATCGCAATTATCGATGACTGGGCAACTGATCTCGTCAGAATCCTGGGAAAGTTTGGACCGAACTTGAGCAGAGAACCGCAGTCTATACTTAGTCTTATTCCACCATTTTGCCCTGAGAACTCCTGGATTTACCGCCAGTTTGGGACAGAACACTGGGTGAAGATCACAATTTCTGGACTGACTGGGGGAACCACGTGGGATGATAGTTGGGGTCGATTCTCCATTCCACGGAAAGGCGTTATTGCATCGGTCATCTCTCTTGGCACTCGAATCGCCCTTCTCCACATCCACAAGAGTACCAGTCACATTAGCATATACAATGCGACAACCCTGGAGGTACAGCGCTCTCTGAAACATTCAGAGCTTGTTCTCAGCATCCAAGGTAGTAAGTCGGGAGAGGAGCTTGTCAGCTACGGATACAAAACAACACGGGTCTGGAATATCAAAACTGGATGGTGCCTCGCTGTTGTCAACAACCCCACGAAACGACGTCGCCCCCACAGCATTGTATTCAAGGAAGCACAGAACAAAGTTGTCGTATGTGGGGAAGACCGATGCATCAGGAGCTTTAACATACCTGCTGAGAATAGCGACCATGAAGCTAGTACGCAACTAGGCTGGAACACGGACACGACAATCATGGAAAGAATCGAGCATGATACTGTCGTCAACTTTCCTATGTGTTCAGCTTTGAACTCAAATGCTACAATGGTCGCTTTTTGCTACCGGAACCATCCCCTAACAGTTTGGAGGATCACTCACCCAACTCAAGCTGCGGAATTGGTTGGCCAATGTTATATTTCATATGATCAGAGGGTAGCTTCCTCAGCAAACCGACGAGCCTTCTTAAATGTTTCGAGTTGCATGGCATCCTAGTGAGGACTATGTGTTTGGCATGGATCAAGTTGGCTTTCTATGTCGATGGGATCCTAC